TCACCCTTGTCTTGCTGTCCTGCATCCCTGCAATTGTTCTTGCGGGTGGAGCTATGTCAATGATCGTTTCGAAAATGTCAACCCGCGGACAGTGTGCTTATGCAGAAGCTGGCAATGTAGTAGAACAAACAGTTGGATCCATTAGAACAGTAAGGCCTTGATGTTTGTCTCTTTTAACTCACCAGAGTAAATAATTTAGCTGCATTGTGCATGTCTTGATTAATCTTTGATAAACAAAATTACTATGCAAGGTTGCATCTTTCACCGGGGAGAAGAGAGCAATAGACAAATACAACCAGAAGATAAAAATTGCCTACAATACCATGGTTCAACAAGGGTTAGCCACAGGAATTGGACTTGGAACATTAATGCTTATTATCTTTTGCACTTATGGGCTTGCCGTATGGTATGGATCCAAAATGATCATAAAACATGGATACAATGGGGGCCAAGTCATCAATGTTATATTTGCAATCATGACTGGTGGAATGTAAGTATACCATCTGCCCTGATTCAACGATACATAGCATGATAATGTACATTGTTTAGAGTATATATGAGATTTCTCAATCTGACACATTTGGTTCTGGCTTGTTGGCACAGATCTCTGGGTCAGACATCACCATCTTTGAATGCATTTGCATCAGGGAAAGCTGCTGCATATAAAATGCTCGAGACCATCAAACGTACTCCGAAGATCGATCCCTATGATACTAGTGGAATTGTATTGGAAGATATTAAAGGTGAGGTTGAACTCAAAGACGTGGATTTCAGGTACCCTGCCAGGCCAGATGTGCAGATCTTTGCTGGGTTCACATTGCATGTTCCAAGTGGAACAACCACTGCTTTGGTTGGGCAGAGTGGAAGTGGGAAGTCAACAGTAATCGGCCTAGTAGAAAGGTTTTATGATCCAGAAGCTGGTCAAGTACTTATAGATGGTGTGGACTTGAAGAAGTTGCAGCTTAAATCGATACGGGAGAAGATTGGGCTGGTTAGTCAGGAACCTAATCTCTTTACAACAACTATAAGGGAGAACATAGCATATGGGAAGGAGAATGCAACTGAGGAGGAGATCAGAAGAGCAACTGAGCTTGCAAATGCAGCAAGGTTCATTGATAAGCTTCCCCAGGTAACCCCACTTTTTTTTTATGCAGTCTTTCATGCTCATAATAAAGTTCAGGTCTATCAACCATGTGCTTTGTCTACTTTGACATTTTTCTGTTTAGAGATTGATGTATGTGATGGAAAATTCTGTATTTTCTTCACAGGGTCTTGACACGATGGTAGGTGAGCATGGAACATCTCTATCCGGTGGGCAAAAACAAAGAATTGCAATTGCAAGAGCCATTTTAAAGAACCCAAGAATACTTCTGCTTGATGAAGCAACAAGCGCCCTGGATGCTGAATCCGAAAAGATTGTTCAAGATGCACTGGTGAACTTGATGTCAAATAGGACAACCATAGTTGTTGCACATCGTTTGACAACTATTAGGAATGCTGATTGCATAGCAGTGGTGCATAGAGGGAAAATTGTGGAAAAAGGTCAGGCCATGCCTGCATGTTGATTTTGAATTTACACCAAAACTTGTTCCCCCAGATAACATTGTCATTGGTTTGATTATAGGGACTCATGAAGAGTTGACCAAAGATCCAGAAGGGGCTTACAGCCAACTCATTCGCCTGCAAGAAGGAGCTCATGTGGAAAATGATGCACAAACCTCTGATATGGACGAAATCATTACCAGTTTAGATATAGATAGGACTATGCTCAGTTCTGGGAGCCGGAGATCATCAATGGGGAGATCTTTAAGCAGAGGTTCCTCAGGTAGCCGCCGTTCTTTCACTATTGGCTTTGGTATTCCTGGTCCACATAATATCCAAGAGGCTGAAGTAGGAGATGAGGAGAATCATGAAAGAACTAAGGCTGATCTTGAAAAGCGTAAAAGAGTTTCCGTAAGAAGGCTGGCCACCCTGAACAAACCTGAGGTTCCAGTTTTGCTGCTTGGAGCCATTGCTGCAGCAGGGCATGGAGTACTTTTCCCTGTCTTTGGCTTACTACTTTCTAAAGCCATTAAGATGTTCTACGAACCCCATAATGAGCTACGCATGGACTCCAAAAAGTGGGCAGGAGTGTATGTAGGTATGGGTTGCCTTTCTCTGGTTGTGATTCCGGTGCAGAATTTCTTCTTCGGAGTTGCAGGTGGGAAATTGATAGAGCGGATTCGTTCCTTGACATTCGAGAAGGTTGTGTACCAGCAAATCAGTTGGTTTGACGACCCTGCAAATTCAAGGTGTGTTAAAAAAAACCAGTAATTTTTATGAGCTTTTAACTATTAATATTCAAACTGAAATATTTTGTGCTTCCAGTGGTGCTATTGGTGCAAGGTTATCTTCTGATGCTTCAACTCTCAAGAGTCTTGTTGGTGATGCCTTAGCCTTGCTTGCACAGAATATAGCAACAATCTTAGCAGGGTTGATTATAGGTTTCACAGCTAACTGGAAACTGGCGCTTATAGTTTTAGCTGTGTCTCCATTGTTGATTTTGCAAGGAACACTTCAGACCAAATTTCTTAAAGGGTTCAGTGCAGATGCCAAGGTCAGTCTTGCCCCAAGAGTTCCTTATTTTTCCAATTACAATGTGGTGTTGAATGTACATGCAATGTTTTGAATATCTGCAGCTTATGTATGAAGAAGCCAGTCAAGTGGCAAACGACGCAATCAGTAGCATCCGAACTGTTGCATCATTTTGTTCTGAGAAGAAGGTGATGGATGCATACCAGAAGAAGTGTGATGCTCCGATGAAACAAGGAGTACGGTTAGGAGTAGTAAGTGGTGCAGGTTTTGGATTTTCGTTTTTCTCAATGTTCTGCACAAATGCGTTAGTTTTCTACGTTGGAGCTGTTCTTGTGAAACATGGCCAAGCTACATTTGAACAAGTATTCAAGGTCGGATTTTAGCTGTGCTTGTTCCTTTCCTCTTGCTTTCATTGACAAGTTCTTTTGCTCCAATTCTAACAAATCGTTGCTTGCAGGTTTTTTTTGCTCTAACAATCTCAGCAATGGGGGTTTCACAAGCTACTGGCATGGCTCCTGACTCCAACAAAGCCAAGGACTCAGCTGCTTCAATATTTCAAATTCTAGACAGCAAGCCTAAGATTGACTCAAGCAGCGATACGGGCATCACACTATCGACCTTAGTTGGAGAAATCGAGCTTCAACATGTCAGCTTTAAGTATCCTACACGTCCAGATGTGCAGATATTTAGAGACATTTGTTTGAAAATGCCCTCCGGAAAGGTAATTACCACCACCACTCTGTTATGGCTCTGTCTATCTTGTTTACTTCTTTGAGTTATATGCATGCTTAGCTTCGGATTCCATCTGCAGACAGTTGCTTTGGTTGGGGAGAGTGGCAGTGGGAAGTCAACAGTAATAGGCCTCATAGAGAGATTCTACGATCCTGATTCAGGTCATGTACTATTAGATGGAATGGACATCCAAAAGTTCAAGCTGAACTGGCTGAGGCAGCAGATTGGGTTGGTTGGTCAGGAACCAGTTCTCTTCAACGAATCCATTCGTGACAACATCGCTTATGGCAAGCAAGGAGATGTTACTGAGGAAGAGATCATAGTAGCCACCAAAGCAGCAAACGCACATGGCTTCATATCTTCATTACCTCAAGGCTTTGACACCTCAGTAGGCGAACGAGGGGTTCAGTTATCAGGAGGGCAGAAGCAAAGAATCGCCATTGCAAGGGCCATACTCAAGGACCCCAAAATCCTTTTACTTGATGAAGCTACAAGCGCACTGGATGCAGAGTCCGAACGCATAGTACAAGATGCATTGGACAGTGTTATGGTGAACAGAACCACCGTTGTTGTTGCACACCGCCTCACCACGATAAAAGGAGCAGACATAATTGCAGTGGTGAAGAATGGTGTGATTGCAGAGAAGGGAAGCCACGAATTTCTAATGAAGATCACTGATGGTGCTTATGCATCTTTGGTGGCACTTCATTCCCGCTCAAGTACATAACCAGAACTTGAGTAAAATCCTAGCTAGTGTTACAGACTGTGGCACACATTCAGTGGATGTGTGATTAGAGAAAGTGTTAACTTAAGATGTTTTTGTTTTGTTTGGACGGACATGGGTGTAGCACTCGTAGAACTACTTGTTATTTGAAAGGGATGTGATTTCCTCACTCCCTTTTACTTTTTAATCAATTTTATTTTTTCTTTTTCCTATCCTACCCTTACCCTACATTAATTTCTTTTTACTTCACTTTTATATTAGTTCTTTTTCTTTACACTTAATTTTCCAACTTGCACTCTATTTTTAATATTTTTTCCTTTAATCGAGTAAGAAATTAAGTTTTTTTTCCCTTTAATATTGAATTTGGGTTTTAAGGAAAAGGAAAAAACACAAATAATAACAGAATTTTGTGGTACATAAATGGATGCCACTGAACAGTGTAAGCTTAAGTGTTATGTGTAATTGTATATTTGTTTAGATTTCAAATATCCAAATTGGTATTCTTTTTCCATCGATGAATCATTGCCAACAACCGCCTTCTCAAAATTTTATTGCATATATTTATGTATAAATTATTTGTAGCGTCGAAATCATTCATAATTTTTGACATATTAGTTATTGTTCTCTTTTAGCCATGATTTTCTTATGAAGATCGGTGATGGTGCTTATTCATGCATCCTTGGTAGCACTGGCACTTCGCACGAATCCTTCAATATGAGAAGGAAGAAGAAAATGGTGACTTATTGAAGGAGAGGATCATCCTCCTTTCTCAGTCTCTCCTCTCTTCTCACGATAGCCATTTTGTTTTGGCACACATTTGCAATTTTTATTTTGGATGATCTGATGATCATTTTGTAGAAACAACACGAGTCAATTAAATACATATTTATATAGCATTCATGAATCATGATAAAGCATTGTGCCATGAAAATTTGAAAGATACAATATGCACACGCATGTCCTGACTACATCATGCCATGGAGGACAAACATGAACATGAAAACCCCAGCAATGACCAACAAATCCTCGTCATTTTGTGACGATAACAGAATTGTAAAAAAAACGAAACTAAGGGCTCGTAAACTTCTGCACCGAGATCACTGGCTGGAAGCCGCTGGCGCTTCTCCACATAGCCTGATGGAAACCATCCTCCTTTACCTTTGCACTCTCCTTCTGACCATCCTGATGGGCTCACCTGGATAATAAGTTTTTCAGAACAGTGAACAAATAAATATTAGACAAGTCAAATTTAAACAAGAAAAACCTAAGATTTGGCAATGACAGAGAAACCTCAGTGACAGAGGGAATCCACTCATAATTTAAGAGGCATTGGTTAATCAGCTTAAAATGTGTTGCCTGAAAGAGTACAACAGCATGGTCAGATTCTCGAGGAGGTTACCTTTCGTACAACAACATAGTCACCCACTGACAAGCTTAGTTCCTTCTCTGATGCAGCACTGAAAGAATGTGTTGCCTGAAAGAGTACAAAGATAGAAGTTCAGATTCTTCGAGGTATCAGAAATATGGTATGTGAGGGAGCCAGTTCAAGAAAATAGCAAAAAGAGGCCTTAAATCAGAGAATTAAGGGCCTTAGGAAAAATAAAAGAAAGCCTCCAAGATTAGAAAAAGTAGTAGCATACTTCAGCCAAGAAGTACATTGTTTTCTCTGAGGAGTTCTCTTGTGGAATCACGGGAGGAGCAGACTCTTTCCGTTGTTTCTCTGAAACCATCTGACACAAAATCCAGGCCATGACATAAGTTTATATTTTTTCAATGGGAAAAAAAATTTATTTTAAGACAATCCTAAGTGGAACTAACCTCAGCTTCAACCTCACCAAGAATGGCAGCCACTCTCAGATGGTAAGTCTTTTCTCCTTCAACCTTAACAAAGCTAAGCTTAATATGCGTATAACTGCAGAATTATTATGATCTTCAACACAGAAACTCGTATCCTGAAAATCATGTGCATTCTTACCAGTGCAACAAGCCTCTGGAAAGTCAGTCTTTGCTGCTGTGCTTCCACAGCAGCCAATGCAGCTGAAGCTTCTATACCCAGAACTGCCATGTTTGCTTTTAATTCTTTCATCTTTGCTTCCGCTGCCTGCAGCTTTGCAACATTTTCAGGATTTGGGAGTTCTCTTACTCGTGCTTGTCTTCTGGAAACTTCTACGGCCTGTTTGTGTCTTATGGTCAATAATGAGTTTATAAGTCAAACCATATCACGCATGGTGAGATAGGAATGCGTTTTACCTGTGTCTCTGCTTCTTGCCTCATTCGACTATAACGTTGAGCAAGATGGCGAGCATCTTCCAAAGGAGCACCAGCTATCATTGCTCTTAACGGATCTAAAATCTAATAACAAAGAGAATGATAAGTTGCACGCTTCATCTTAGTTCATTAATGAAGTGTGCTTATACAAATTTAATTGTATTAAAAGTCCATTTGAAGTTGCAAGCTACTCAGAAGATTCAAATGTAAGTCTATTGTACTCCACTTAGTAACATTTCAAAATATAATTCTGAAACCACACACATGTGTACTTTAAAAATATACATGAAAGACTTCATGTCCTGCACCACAGCACCAAATGACTACAATGCTTAGTCTTTCTTCACTTCTCCTTTATTGTTGGATGAGAAACTTGCATACAAATGCTTTAAATGAAACCATGGTCGAGAAATAATTGCCAGAAATACAGAATACTTTTGTCATTAACAAAAAAGTTATATAAAATTGATGTGTGTGTGTTTGCAGATGAATCATGTATCCAGCTGTGCGATAAAGAACTAATTTCTTCCAGAATTGTTTTAATAATTAAAACATATGATAGAAAATATCCAATAATGTTTTCATTAGCAAAACATAAATAAAATTATACTTAGAAGTCAACCTGTGAAGATAGCAGCTTATTGAAGTCTTCTTGTTCCTTTTCCACATGCTTACGAGCATCACCATATATAGATGCACCCTTAGCTAAAATTTTATCATTTGTGTTTTCAGCACCAATCTGCTACAATCCTCAGACAACTTGGTTCCTGACTACCACAAAAAGATTACAAATAATAACTACAACTACAAAGGCATTACATGTGTTCTATTTACTATGTGAAGTTAGAAGCTAAATTCCTAGGTTATTCACTTCAACACACATTTCCCATTAGATAATCCAATGTCATTTTAAATGAATAATAAATTTCTACCTGCTTCAATATGCTTATACCCTATGGCAGTGAACACTTCTGCTGCTCTAAGAACTTCTTTCTGAAAATCCTGGGAATACATATGACGAAAATGATTTTAACAGATATAAGAAGTTTGGTACCAGACAGATAGAATGAATAGAGCTTTTCAAGTTAATGTATAATGTCAAAATGGCTCTTGATCATATTTGTACCTTTCCTGCACGAGTGGACCTGTACAGTTTCTCTAGCTGTTGATGTCTCTGCATCTCAACCTCATCTATTACCATAACATCTGAGCTTTCATAACCAGTCCCACTGAACTGCTTTATTACAGCCTGAAATTCAAAAAGAAAATATAAATTCACAATAACGGACACAAATGATAGTAACAAATCGATGGAAGAATATTTCTAACAAGTTCAGTAACATAAAACAGCAAGAACGGAGGCATGGAAAAACATAATGGAGTTCTACAGTATTAGCTGAATTTGCACCAAAATGAACTTAAATATTTTAAGTTAGCAATCCGAAGGTAGTAGTATCTTCTACACTTGTATCTCAACTATCATCAAGCATGCTATAAATTACATAAAGTATGTTCCCAAAATAATCCACCACTACCAATTTCCGCCATAAAAAAAAGTACAGATAATTACCAAATTCGGGTCGATTTAAAAAAACGAATTCAACCTTCACAAATAAAGCATAAATTCCAATTACATTTGATCTATAGCCTGCAGCAGAGAAAACCCATTTGCTCCATTGATTTGGTTCTATAAAGATTGCAGGCACAATTTCAAATTAAATGAGCCAAATTTTATTAATTCAATTAACTGCCAATCATTCTTCTCTCTTCTTAGGAAACAAACAGAGCATTCAGAAATCAGCAACAGTCAGTTACATTTCGATCCAATAATGAACTGGGTACCACTGGAAATCACTTAAACTTTAGTAAGCTATTCATTTATTTAGAAAATCACACAAAGCATTAAGCCCATGCCGCATTTTAACCTCTGTAACCAACACCGAGCCCTACCTAAAAAAAAAAAAGAAAAAAAAAAAAAAAAAAAAAGTGTTCGAAAAATCGGCCTAGGCGGCCGCCTAGGCGCTAAGGAACGAAGAACAAGAGAATTATACTAAAGCAAATAAATGGGTGTTCGCAAATCACCTGTTGCTGTTTTGCGACCTGCTCTCGGAGCTTACTGGCTTGTTTTCTTAAAGCATCCATTCTTCTTCTTCAGGCTCTGTTTCCTTGAAGAAAAGCAAAGAATTGAGATCAAACTGAAAAAGAAGACAATTTGCTACGAGATTTAACGAGCCTTTGAGTTTGAAGCTTTATGGATCTGAAACTCCGAAACCCAACCAGTGTTTTACATTTTAGTCTCTACTGGGTTGGGTTATGAACGATACAGAGCTGACGAGCTGCTCTGTTTTTTGGGAAATGTTTGTGTGCTAGTGAGGTGTATGATGTTCTTAGGTTAATGACCGTCGATGGAATTTGATTCAAAGATCTTGATTATGGGCCTAAAACAATGGACTTACATGGATCTTAGTCTTGTCGTAAAGTCCACCTAATTGATTGGGCTTTTTACTAATTTGTGCATGGATTTGTGGTGCAATTTTTAATTTTTAATGCAACAATGACTAATTTGAGAACTTAAATATCAATTATTAGATCATCTATGAACGACAAAAATGCATCTTTCCCACCTTACGTCTTAATCATGAATCTTTAATGTTAAATATTCAATTTGGGTCTTCATAAATAAAGATAATTATCCCCATTCATTTATAATCTATATTTATATATTCTATGATTAATATTTATCTATATCTATATACAAGGAGCAAAAAGAAGAGAATTGTAAAACATTCAAAATGCCAAAAAATGTTCTTGGTTAATGCAAACATTAAGAATTGAAATTATTAATTAAATGAGGATAATATAGTAAACTCACACTTTTTCATATTAAACAAAATAAAATTAAAAGAAAAATCAGATAATATATCATATTTTTGGATCCGGATCCTCTGCTTTGATTTTCTCTGCCATGATCTGCTTTACTTTTATTCTCCACATGCCACCTCATTAAAATTTAATCTAAGGGACTTAAAAGTTGACACATCATTCTTCAAGCAAAAACCCAATTTACTTCTAATTAAAAAAGAAAAACAATATCCTAACCCAACTAATCAAACTTAACGTCCGATCCCTTTCTTCTTCTATTTTCTTGCTTCTTCCTGTCACACGATTTCTTCCTGTCTATAATCAGAATCCATTATGGTTGTTGCAGCATTTGTTTAGTGGTGGAGCTCTGGTTGTTTAATATTGTTAATATTAAACTCAATGCCACCAGGTATGCTCAAGTGTGTCTTCAGAGTCGACAAATATAAAGGAGCTCCTCCAATGGAATGACCTAAATGGACAAGGCAGATCCATAAAGAAAAAATCTCTCAACTATTTTATGTAAAATTGATTTTTCTTTTCTTTTCTTTCTGTGTGTAGAAGTCTTCGTTTTCTTTATTCTTCTTCGTTCTGCTTAAAGGCGTGGCAAGATGGGATCTTACATACATATCCATGGTGGAAATCCCATTGGTCATGTTCCCATCTATCAAAAGAACAAAAAGCAAACTTATTTCCCCATATCCTTTGATGTGACGTGGGTGGTTGAAGAAAAAAAATTCCTTCGCGGTTTTCCTCTGGATAAAAGAGGAATTAGGTTCCAAGACTTGGATATTGGGATTGTTTTGTAAGGTCTCTTGATTGATGAGTTATGGTTATTTTCTCGAATCAATGGCTACTGAAAGATATATATATATATATATATTATTTTGATGGAGGAAAGAGAAGGGTACAGAATTTTTGGGAGAAACGAAAGCTTGGTGAGAGATAAGATTTTGGGGGCAAAGGCAGGAAGAAGATGTGCTAATAAGAAGGTAGGAAAAAAAAAAGGGAGAAGATGTTATGTTTGATGTTAGTTGGGTTAGGGTATTGTTTTTCTTTAGGAGTAATTTTTTGCTTAAAGAATGATGTGTCAGCTTTTAAGTCCCTTATATTAAATTTTAATAAGGTGGCGTGTGGAGAACAAAAGTAAAGCAGATCATGGCAGAGAAAATCAGAGTAGAGGATCTGGATCCCATATTTTTATGGAACACAACTATCCATTATCTTTTTTCATTCTAAAATAAATTTGAATTTTATAAAAAAAAACCTCTCGCAAGCGCCGAAGCGTGTGCGGAGAGGCTAGTATCCAATAAGTCAAGAATGTTGAAACATTTTGAGTATGATGTGTGTGAATCAGCAATAACATATGTCCCATCACCCACTTTAATTTGGTTATATATTAAAGACCAAAAAGAAGAAGAAAAAAAGGTTCTCCACATAGCTTTTGACAAGGAACTTGTCGGTGTTTGTGGTGTTGTTTGTGAGATAAACATGATAATGGGGGGAGATTCTCCAATAAGTATTTTATGTTAAGGATTGATTGCATACTTCTAATCTTTATCGTTGGATTGCATTCATTAAATATCTTGGTAGTCTCTTAGATGCAATCCAACTGTCGAGATTAAAAGTATGTAATTAATCCTTAACTTAAATGTTTATTGGAGAATGTCTCGATAGGGAAATTCCTTATTGCAAGGATGTCTAGTTTTTTATTTTTTTTCATTTGCAATGAACTAGATGTTTTTTTTTCTTCAGCTTGTTGGTGTTAAAAACTTAGACCAAGATGATATTTCATTACTCAGAATCCAGAAGCCTCATGTGAGATATGAGACTATAATATAGGAATGTAGTCAAAAAGAACAAACTACTCCAATATCCCTTTTCTTTTTCTTTTTTCAAATCTTGAATTGAGATGACAGATGTATGTATGTGTTTCATTTGGCTTTTTTGTTAATCTCAATTATTCTAATTTGTTCTTTCTGTTGAGATGCCTTGTTGTCATTGACAATTGAGATTAGATGGCTCCACTAGCAATCATCTTTGAACAAAAGAAGGTTAAGCCTATTTGTTCACTTACTTTAGATGGCTCCACTAGATGTCTCTATAGGCTGCATTCTTTTGCATTCTCACAAGGTTAAAGCCTATTTGTTCACTTACTTGCCTAATTTGGTTTCGGTTAAGTTGTGAACTTGTTACTTTTTTCCCCTTTTAACAAATGACAATATATCTATAAATTATTTTCACACCAGATCAACAAACTCACAATAAAACATGATCTAAACAAATATATATCTTCATGTTATTCACGAGAGTCGAATTTGAAACCTTCAACTCAATGAAGACAACTACCTATAGACTAAAGACTAATTCTAACTTATCAAGTATGCACATATTTACTCGTGGATATTGCACTCTAAAACAAGTTCTAAGTACATAATAATACATATAAAATATGCTTAACACACACCATATAAGGGAGAAACACTTCTGTGCAACGGAAATAACATTGTTTTGATATCCTCTACCAATTACACTATGCCACGCATGATAACTTTTCTATTTGCATGATTGGTTGAGATAGCAAGATAGTGTTATTCTCATTTCAAATAAGTTTTTCTCCATAGAGGGAGCCTGTCATAATTAGTAGGAAAAATAATCATCCACACTTGAAGAAGAATGGTCAGAAATAGGAGATGCAGTTTTTTTTTTAGAGGCAGGAAGAAGATCCAGTTTACAGATAGAAATTTAAATCCAAACATAAAAACGCAATCACCATAAACTATTTATTAGCTAATAAGTTCCCTAAGCCAACTAGACAAATTTTGCCCAAAGCATTTTAGTAGCTTTTGCTGGGCACCATATCAAAATTTCCAAATCACATCACATTTGAGCCAACTCTACCTCCAAGTTCCAACCATAAAATAATAATGACAGTCACATGCAGCCCAGATCCATTATTAGTATGTACATCCCTCATCTAACCAAACACCCCCAAGAAAAAGCAAGAAAAATTAATTAGGTCAGTCCAACAATAACACCAAATTAAACACGACACATTGGCAATTGGAATTTGGAACCCAAAATTTTAATACCAAAAAAAAACATGTAAAAAATTGCACACCACACACACTCCATTTGTTCTACATCTAGCCACATTTCCAAGAACTGACCCACCCGACCCCAAAATATTTTGGCCATTTTTCTTCCCACTCTGCACAAACATTCCGAATTTCAAAATTTTTTGGAAAAATCCACATCAGGATCCCACCCTTCACAAAATGACACTTGCATTGAAATTAGGCCCTCAGACTCGGACATCTTTCTCCAATTTTTGGTACCCAAAAAAATAAACAAAGAAATTAGTTTTTTTTATTTACCAAAAATAAAGAAAAACAAATAAAATTAGCCCAACCAAACACACAGAATCTTGATATACAGAACAGAGAGAGACAGGGCCTCGCCTCCTTTGCACAACAATTCATTCGTAAATCCCAATAGAGGGGAAAGTTCTCATCCCCTTCCAAGTCCTTCCATTGTTACCATTTCAAGGTTTTTACTTTTTTGTTTTTGTTTTTAAATTTTGTTTTGTTTTTGAAAAACATATATCCAGTTGCCCTCACAGTCCCACATAAGACACTTTCAGAGGCAGAAGAGAATCGGGGGGATCTTGAACAAGAGGATCTGTCATCTGCGAGAGACCCCATTCTTGTACATCCCCAACAAGAGGAGAGAGAGCCTATAATCATGCCATCAGGTGCTAAGAAGAGAAAAGCTGCCAAGAAAAAGAAAGAAAAGGAAACCCACAATGGCAAATCCTCAACCGACGACAATCCTCAAGGTGCTTTGTTTATTCATGCATGTCCTTTTTTTATTGCATCAATCCCACACTTACCCATATGGCACTCAATTGCTCATGCACCTTTTTCAGTGTTTCTTCTGGTTATTTTTTCAATTTGGGCTAATTTGTATTTGCTAGTTTCTTTTGTTTTGCTCTGGTTTGGTTCGATTTTTTTGATTGAATTGAGAGTCAATCTTTGGTTTTGGTTAATTTTGCCCATTTGGGTAAATGGGTATTTGCTAAAGTCATTTGTTTAGCTTTGTTCTGGTTGAAACAATTGTGTTTGAGTGTTAATTACGCATCTCTCAATTCATTCTCTATGCGTCTCTAATGTTACTTTCGATTTTCTCTTTTCTTCGGTTAAAATTGGCTTAATGGGTTTTTGTTGAAGTCCTAGCTTTGCTTGATTTTGATTGAAACTCTTGTGATTGAATCAAACCATGTTAGGAAATAATGAAGTGACCTCCCAAGATGAGAAAGGAAGTGATGGTGGTGATGTTGGCTCCACTGCATTTCAGGAGCATCATAACCAGCAGGATCCATTTAAGAAGAGCAATGAGGAGCTGGGCGAGCGAGGCCCATCATCAGTTCCACCAGTTGTTTCTGAGGATAAGTCCGGGAAGGGAGCTCCTAGTGGTGTGGAGGCTGTTCAGAAGGTTGGATTGAAGAATGATGATGGTGTTAGAATTGAGAGGGAATTGAAACAGGATTCCGCAAGCAAAAATGTGATTATTGAGCATGCGAAATCTGCAAAGGGATCACATAATGGGGATGATAGAAGCTCAAGCAGTAGTAGTTCAGATGACGAGTCTCAAGTTGTTGAGAGGAGGCAGAAGGAGGATTCCTATGCTTCAGTTTCAGAGGAGAAACCTCATAATGATTTGGTAAGGTCAATTGATTCTTCACCACCAGAAGTGATTCAGACTACCGAAGGTGCACCATCTGTGAAGAATGCAAGTTCAGTTACAGAGAGTACACCAGTTGAAAGTTCAGTTTTCTCCAATGTTGTAGTAAAAACGGGGTTGGAGAATGGTGCAGAGAAATTGTTGCCTACTGGAACTCCTGTAACTTTGACGGATCCTGTATCAAAGAAAATTGAGAATAGAACATCTCCGTTACTGAATGAGACTGCTAAGGGGTCTTCAAGTATGGTGGAATCTGTTTCTAGAGAAAATGAAAGTAAAGTATTGCCGTCATTAGGTACTTCTCGGGCTCAAGTTAGTAATGATGCTGAATCCAGCAAAAATCCTGAGATTCCAGAATATTCTGAAAAGCAGGTATTGCCTGCATATTCATTTCTTCATTGAAAGTTTGATGTAAGATCTCTTTTTGCCTTGATAATTGAATGCAATTTCTTCGATGGAATTTATGCAGCCTCTGGTAGCTCCGGCCCCACCAGTTCCCCCGAAAAACATCTTGGTTTAGCTGCTGTGGAATGATCTGGAAGTGATAACAGGCGCCAGTTAAGATTAAGTTCAGGTTGGTTTTATTTTTTTTTTATTTTGTTGTTTTTTTTTTTTTTTTTTTTTTTTTTTTTTTTTTCTAAGTTCTTTGTTTTATTACTTACTGCCCAAAATGTAATTTTTGTCCATGTGTATATAGAGCAGACTGGGTCACTAGAGAAGTGAGAGTCTTTAGGATGTTACAGGGATGTCATAATTGTTTTGTGTTATAACTGTTAACTGTGTTTCTGAAATTTTGAATTCTTGATCTTTTCCAACTAAGGTCTTGTAGGTGTCTGATTTATGCTTGTGTAGATTGCAGTTTTAGTGAAAAATAGTAGCTAAGGAATGAAACTGTTAAGATTCTTTGTCCTGAAATTCCTCAGTTACTATTTTCTCATGAAAGGTTTTTATTTGGTTATTATGTTGCCTATGAAATGTAAATAGGGGATGGAGGATTGTGTTTGATGTGTTGTATAATGTGTTTATTTTACTGAATTTATAAAGAACTTTACTTACAAATCTAGTGGAATTGTCACTACAGGTGTTGAGTAGCAAAGCAGAGAGAAGAAGAGTAAGGATATAACAGTACTTTGGGTCAGAATTTTGGTTTTTTGGTTTTTGGTTTAAAAGAGGAGAAATTGCTGAGGCTTCTTCATAAGAGGGACTTATTCAGTACTTAAGGTTTTAACCTGGCCTCACAGAGAAGGAATTGGTATTGGATAGACAAAGGAATTGGTATTGGATAGGCATAGGAAATACAAGAGTTCTAGGAGTCATCTTGGCATCCACATTCCCTTATTCCTAAATTAAAGGACCTATCTCGTGTTAAGGTTCTGTTAAAGTTTGTTTAATTTATCTCCCTTGATTTTAGATTGTTCATGGATTGTAAATACTTGGTAGAGATCGTACTAGAAATTAAAAGAACAGGGTATCATATTTTGCTCTTTGAGGAGCCCATTTTTTCTGCTTATACTTTTCTTTTATCTTTAAGGACCTATACTTATCTTTAGATGCAATCTTACGGCACTCAGCCAGACTTGAGATATGTGCGTTGCCTTCCTACTTAACAATTTTATATGGACTTGACTGATGCCACAGTTTAAGCTTTTAGTACCTTTCAAACTGAATGTTGGTTGATTTTTGTAGGTTTTGTCTGGATGCAGAACGAAGCACAAAGGGTTTCAGTGGACTCTTTAAGCTTGTGAAAGTGAAGACTCTTCAGAGAGTTTTATGATATTTTGATATTAGAACTTTATAAATTTTCCCTAAAGAATAATGGGCAAGAGGCCTGATTAGATTTGTGGTGATAGTGTCGGGAATGGTAGGCAGCTGTATATCTCCTGCTTTTACAACCTTTCTTTCTTGTTAATTTTGCAGAATAGTTTTCTATGTCGATTTTAGTTCCTTTTTGGCATTGGTAGGCCAATGGTGTGACATAAATTTGCAAAAACTTTTTTAATATCAAACTTCACTTGATGTTGTGATGGATCTGGCTTTTTCTTATACATAATAAGAAAATTTCTGCCCCTTTATATATAACCTCATGGTGGAACTGCTTGATGTATGAATTTTCTCTTCAACAAATTTGTGTTGCTTATTTGGCATGTTGAGCTCTTGTAGACATTAGGTTTTCATCGACGATTAGAACTTATGTGCATCCATTGCTGATTGGAGTTGAAAAATGTTCTCTTTACCCATTAGATTGATTCGGTGCATATAGCATGCATTTGCTTCAAAGAAAAAAATGCTAAACGATCATGTAAATTCTATTTTTAGTACTGTTTATTATTGCTATATAAATCGAATACAAATCAATCAAATCATAGCACACTATTGACACCGAAACCATGGGCAGGTTTATACAAAGGAAAAAAAGGGTAGGATGAGGGTGAAAAGAAAAGAAAATTAAACAAAACAATACACACACACAGACAGCACACAAACACAAAAGTCATTCAACTTTTCCAACTTCATCTCCTTGATACAGCACTATGAATGGCTGCTATATACAGAAGCTGCGTAGCTGAAAGGATGATCAAGAATGCCTCCAGTGTTCTCTGCACGAAACAGAGCAAGTATGTTTCAATATAAAATCTCTGGAAGATTAAGGTTTGAATAGAAAAGAATTTCTTTTTATCTTACCAGACGGGCATTTCTGATACGAAGCTCAATCTCCTTGCAAGCAAAGCTGCACGAATTAGGTACCCGGTTAGCTTAATATAAAGAGAAAATAGTTTGAAGAATTTGTATACATATGCTGTTTTAGGATGGCAATGAGTAAGTACCCCATGGCAAGGAGGGTGAGGGTCCAGGCAACGGTAGCAGCTGCGGCTGCAGATGGCAAGCTATCAGCTGTCCAAGATCGAATATGGTTGATTCCGGAAATGGCTGAAGCAGCACCAACAACTCCGGCGATCAAAGCGAATGTTACAAAGAACCCGGTTGCAGCATTTCCCATTGGGAAGTATATGGGTGAGAAATGTGCTGGGAGATCAAAACCAGGACCTGCAAAAGCCTCACTCAGATTTAGCAAATGGAGAGTGCATGTGATGTAAAGTCTAAACGAGAGAGAGAGAGAGAGAGGTTTACCAATAATGAAACCATGGTCAATAGCTCTGTTCATGGCCCAGCCTCCAATGCCCAACACAATGACATACATGCAGAAATTGAGAAGCAAAAGCAGGCCAGCAACAGACTTTAACTGCTGGTTGGCCATTTCTGTAAGATCAAAAGCTGCTGGATGAACCCAAAAGTGCAATGGAAAAGAAAAGGGTGGTTGTACGTGTTACATGTGTTAAGCACAAGAAATGGTCTTAGCTTATATATAAGCAATTGGCCATGGCATGCAGGTTTTGGTTCTTTTCTTGCCAAGGCTGCTGGTTCCAAAGGGCTTTGTGGGGTTGTAAAGGAGATGGATGCTTCATAGACAAGGCAAACCAAGCAAGAAATGCCAAGATTCTTACTTGCCTCACATTTTTAAGTCTTCTTTTTGGTGGTACATTCTTCTTCTAAGCTTTGTGCCATAAAAATTGTTCCTAAGATATCAAAAAAGTTATATTCTTTGCCAGATGGACACACATGAAACGCTGCGTTTCAGCCTTGATGTTCTAAAACCACCCCCCGCTAGTCTCTCTTCGGTTAATTTTGTTTTTCCTATATTCGGTTACGGATTAACGGTCATGCTGAGAGTTCCCGCCATTTTTCAAAACATTGGAACCTCACACTTCCCAACTTCACTCTCTGATTTCCACAAAAACCTTACAAGCTTCTCCAAATGCTTGGTGGGTTTGATGAATTACACCAAATTGACCACCCCATCTTACAAGTCACTGCTCTCTGATCACTTAAGGAACCAAAAACTCAACGAAGCTCGTCTAGTTTTCAATGAAATCCCTTTTCCGAGTGTTAGTTTGTACACCATGATGATTACGGGCTATTCGAGACAACATAGGCTTGATGATGCTCTGAAACTGTTCTACGAAATGCCTGTGAAAGATACAGTGTGTTGGAATTCAATGATGAAAGGGTGTTTGGATTGTGGGGATTTAAGTAAGGCTAAGGAGCTTTTTGATGGAATGCCTGGAAAGAGTGTGGTTTCTTGGACGACGATTATGAATGGGTTCTTGCAGTTTGGTGAAGTTCAGATGGCAGAGCACTTGTTCCGCGAGATGCCTGTGAGGGATGTGGCCGTGTGGAATTCAATGGTTCATGGGTACTTTAGTAATGGACGAGTGGAAGATGCTAAAAACTTGTTTAAGCTAATGCCTTGTAAGAATGTGATTTCATGGACTTCGATGATTGCCGGGCTTGACCAGAATGGGAGGACAGATGAAGCTTTGCTGCTATTTTGGGAGATGATGGGTTCTGGTGTACAGCCCACTTTGAACACATTTGTGTCTGTAGTGACAGCTTGTGCAAATTTGTTGCGTTTACATTTAGGTGTTCAGATTCATGGTCAGATTGTCAAGTTAGGGTACTGCCTTGACGAGTTTGTAGCTGCTTCACTTATAACACTCTATGCGAACTGCAAGCAAATTGAGAATTCTTACAAGGTTTTCAAGGAGAGTTTACATAAAAATGTGGTAGTATGGACAGCTCTTTTAACAGGATATGGTTTGAATTGTGAACACGAAGAAGCGTTAAAGGTTTTCAGGGACATGATGAAATTGGGTGTCCTTCCAAATCAGTCTTCTTTCACTAGTGCTTTGAATTCATGTTGTGGATTAGAAGATCTTGATAGGGGCAAGGAGATTCATACAACAGCTATTAAGCTAGGTTTTGAAAATGATGTCTTTGTCGGCAATTCTCTTATTGTCTTGCATACCAAATGTGGAAATATAAATGATGGAGTTGCTATATTTAAGAGAATTGGTGACCAGAATATTGTATCATGGAACTCAACGATAGTTGGATGTGCACAACATGGTTGTGGCATGTGGGCTTTGACTCTCTTTAACCAAATGATACGTGCAGGTGTCATGCCAGATGAAATTACATTCACAGGGTTGCTTTCTGCATGTAGCCATTCTGGGATGTTGCAGAAAGCAAGATGCTTTTTCAAGTTTTTCTCGCAGCATAAGTCTGTTGAGGTGAAACTTGAGCACTATGCATGTATGGTGGATGTCTTAGGACGATGTGGTAAGTTGGAGGAAGCAGAGGAGCTGATAAAGAACATGCCTGTGCAAGCCAATAAGATGGTGTGGCTAACTCTACTTAGTGCTTGTCAGATGCATTCCAATTTGGATGTGGCTGAAAGAGCTGCACAAAGCATTGACGATTTAGAACCGGACTGTAGTGATGCTTTTGTTATGCTATCTAATTTATATGCTTCTGCAAATAGATGGAGTGATGTCGCCAGAATTCGAGAGAAGATGAAACATAGTGGAACTGTAAAACAACCTGGTTCCAGCTGGGTTACTTTGAAGGACTGAGGCATGAATTTCTTTCTGGATATAGGTTGAACCTACTTAGCGAGCAAATTCATCAAAAACTGGATTGGTTACAAGGCAAATCAAAGAAACTTGGTTTATGTTCCTGATCAACAGTTTGCATTTCAGGATGTTGAGGCTGAACAAAAGGAAGAGATGTTGTCTTACCACAGAAAGAGACTATGATCTATGAAAGGAGATCAAAAATGGTTTGAGTGGGTTTTGGCAGACCAGTTGAGCTAGTGAAGATATTAACCAAAGATACTTGGATGAAAAAACCGCCACTTGTGCATTCAAACAATTTTCTTTACCTAACCATCTTTGCATGTTTTGCTTCTCTAATATTGCAGAGAGTAATTTCAGCCCATAGAGGATGCTGTAATGTAATGAGTTTAGGTCCTTAAGAACTGTTACAGAAGTTTTACAACCATAAAGCATGTCGTTCTGTGGTGTCCATCGAAGACCAGGCGATCCCATATAGCATGTTCAAATGATGTACTGATGTACACCACCTTCAAGCATAAAGGAGTCAAAGATTGCTTTTTTTTTTGGTGTGGATTGGGGTGAGAGGGTGATCCAAGGACATAGAGGAGATTGAGTTTGAACTGTTAGTGGCTTCACAAGATTTTATGTGATTTGACGAAATTGCTATCTAGCAAAAAGTTGCTTTATTTGGATGAAGGAATTTCAAATAATGAACTTGGATTTTACAAAAATTAATATATTTTTCTGAAGAAAAAAAGACTAGACAATATTAAATCGAATGAATTTGAAATAATTATATGACAAAAGTTCGATAAGAAAAATTTGAGCTCACAATTTGAGCTCAGTTTGTAGCTTTGTGAAATGGGAATCAAATATTTGGGGTTACAAACTTGCAAGAACTGAAAAGATAGGTTGTATATATATATTTAAACAGTATACCCGCATGGTGATAATGTTTTTTATTTATTTCCTTCCTTCGGGGGTTTGTTTTATGTATGTGATGTCTAGCGTTTATGATTGTACACATGAAAAAATCAGCTTTCTGGAACTATATTTTTTCGCTTCAAGTCTAGGGAAGTGCATGCAGTGTAGAAATTTTAGGGCTACTTTAGGTTTTTGTGTTTAAGCTGCTAGAACTACAGTATTTTGTTTCTTATTTAATTATCTAGTTCTTAGACTTGTCATAATTAACCTAAACCATCTTTTTCACAACAATGTTCGAGTATAACCAATTTTAAGACTTTGAGGTATGCATATGCCATGGACACTATTGTCTGTTAGATGTGAATTTTCATTTACATGCTCTTGCAACCACAACTGGGGTGTGAGTCATTATCTTTCTCTCTCTCTCTCTCTCTCTCTCTCTCTCTCTCTCTATGAACTTCTGACCAGTAAGTTTACTCTACTATTGCTTCCCAACCAGTTGACTGTTGCTATGATCAGTTGATTAAATAATAATAAAAGAATTTTGTTATATGATTTCATCAATTCCTTTTTCTTTTTTCTTGCAGATTTAGTGTTCCTTTGATTCAATCTTTTTGTTTGGTGAAAATTGATATTTAGCAATTTGCAGTGTACGTGAGGGAACATTCTGGTTACAATTTACATTTGAATGACAATTAACAGTATATCATTTGCATTTTAGTTTAAAGATTGCTAGTCTCACCCTTTATTTTGTTTTTCTTACCAACCTTAATTTTTTTACTGCTATTAAATTTTTTAACGTTATGTTGTAGGCCTAATATCATTGTATAGGGAAGTGCAAATTTTTATCTCCACTTTCATTCTCACTTCCATTCTCCCTCTTTTTCCTCTACACTCTAACACAAAAAATGAAAACTAAAAACTAAAATTGAAATTATTCGGGTCTGAAGAAACTACATGCAGGGGCGGAGCTATTCATAGGCCTGAGATGGCCTGGGCCCCCCCCAACATCTTCTCACCTCTTTGACTGTATAAAGAGTGTAGTATAGATTGCACAAAAATATCCCATAGTTTTAAGCTTGTGGCCCCTCCAAATATCAAACTCTACCTCCACCACTGATTACATGCATGGTGAACAAAAAAAGGGGCCCATAAAGCAATATAAGTAGTACTTGCGTAAATCTTATTCTTGTTTTTAATAAGAAGTTTACATATGAAAGACATAATTCGTCATTTATTTTATGCAACAAGACATTTGCGTTGAACTAGGGAACAATAGCCGGTCAATTAATTTATCTGGTTATTCTTGGAGCAACTCTCATAGCATGAATCCACAAAACCTTCCACATAGCGCTTATCTACAATCAAGCAAATAAAACAAAAATACAAAGAATATCAATAATTAAAAATATAATTTCAAACAAACATGATAAAGTTATAGATAAAGAGTAATTAAATAGAGGAATGTAAGATCAATAATCCTATATGGTAATATATATGCATATCATTACCAGAATTGGAAGTGCTTGTGGTGGCAATGGAGTTGGCACAATTATGTGTACAATCATACACAACTTCCGAAGGCCTATGTTTGCATCTAATCATGCACATGCCAAGGCATATTGGGTTCATCAGGCACTTTGTCGCACATTTTAAACCACAAGAGATAATATGGCCATTTGGAACCACTTGATTTGTACTAGAGCGAGGATCGACATGATCAACTTGATCGAGAGGATTGTCATTTGGAACCGCATTGGTATAGGAAGGATTAATATCAGCTTGAGCTATTGAAAGCACAAGCATGCTCATCAAAACCACAGCCCTCAACACACTAGCATCCATTTCTCCTCACTTTCTTTGTTTTTTTTTCTTGAACTCTCTTTGATTCTCCAAGTTTGTTGGTGGTGGAAGTGGAAGCTAAAGCCACAATTTATAAGGAGACCCTTTTGCCATCTATGGAAACCCCAATAATTCCTAAGCAAGATTGTAGCAAACGTGAGCAAAAATGGAGCAAAAATTGAAGTGATATACGATACTTTGGAGCATAACTATAGGTGTAGTAATAAGCCAGTTTTATGTTCTTTAGATATATGATGATCAGTTTATTAAAGAATGCACGAGTTTTGTTCTATCATTTCATCAATTTCTTTATTCTTGGGTTTCTTCCAGATTTACTGTTCCCTTGATAAAATCTTCTGACTTGTGAAAATGATATTGTATCAATTTTTAAGTTTACGTGATGGAGCAAATTTGACAAAATTTTGCCAAATAAAACACGAATGTATTTTATTCGTATTTTTCCCTTCCGTATTTTACTAACTATGAAAGAATTGAGAAGGCTAAGATTATTTCTTACTTGTTGGAAGAAAAATGCAAGATTGGTATCTAATTTGTCTTGATATTGGTTTTCTTGACTACTATGAGGTGAAGTATGGCATCATTGTATCATAAAAGAAGAATATCAAAAAATAATACAAGCACTGGTATTGCAGCTAGGAAAACATAAATTTAACAATTTCCCAGCCAGTATTTGGAATATGTTTAAACTTTTGCAGATGTTTAAGTCTTTACATTTTCAGGCTTTTCTTCCTGTGTTCGATTCATAATTATGAGGCAAATTAGTTGTGACACATAGACCACTGATTTAGGACTTTAATATCAATCTTCGTCTAAGTTTCCATTCAGTTTGGTTGTATTTGGCATGATATTCCGGTGAGATCCTCATGTATCCTTCTTAGTGCTTTGCGTGAATGAAGATGATTGATTTCTTGATGACCCAAGTCTTCTATGTTTCCTGCTGTTCCTGAAATTCATCCCCTGTAGTTGTTGAATAATTCCTCTCTTTTATACTATTTCTTGGGTACAAAGATTAGTAGAGGAGGGGCAGAAGAAAGAAGATGCGGGGAGCCTATCCAGATAACAGACGTGTTATTGCTGCACTTTGACAGAAGACGAAAAGAAACAAAACTCTGCTCAAACGAACTCAGGTATAACTTTCTCTCTCATAAAGGAAGTCTACACACCAAATTGGCAGCAAAAACAGGAGCAAATCTGGCGATGCACCCATTTGCCCATTCTCCTCCCAATTGAAAATTCGATTCAAGCCTAACAAATTAAGAACAAAATCATTGCTGCAAATCTCGGATTATGTATCGGGACTGTACCTTCGTGCGACTTCTCGGAGGCGAAATCGTGAATTAAGCCCGCCTAGCTGCTAGGCGTGTCCTCCTTTCTTTGTTTGTAATCATATAGCCGAGCGGCTATACTGTGTATAATATATTCAGAGAGTCTATCCACGCGGCTGTACTGTGTAATTAATATATTCAGACAGTCACGCCGCGCGGCTATACTGGGATATGTTTATTTTTTTTAAAGTAATAGAGTATAGCCGAGTAGCTATACCGGGATATTTTTATTTTAAAAAAATTAATCGTATAGCCGGGCGGCGATACTCTTAATTTTTTTTTAAAGGCCTGCCCAGCCGGCTAGGCCGGTCTTTTTTTATTAGTGCAATAAATAGTATAGCCACGCGGCTATACGGGGGTTTTTTTAAAAAATAAATCGTATAGCCGCCCGTCAATGTTGGATTATTTTTTAAAAATTAATAGTACAGCCGCGCGGCGATACTCGTAATTTTTTTAAAAAAATATAGCCTGCGGTTATATTTTTAAAATATTCGTATAAATTTAAACCCCTCGATCAATGCTTTATGCTTAATTTACGACTTGAACAGCTGGCATCGGGTCCAAAAGGGGTGAAAATGAAGTGAAGAATGGGAAAACTGCTCACGATCAGACCGTCCATGTTTGTCTCACCCCAAAACCATATGACGCCTGTCCCACCGAATCAAGTTTTCCCGCCAAGCGATGTCGCTCACCAATGGCCACCACTCCATCCTCTGCTCTGCTGCGCTTCCTTTATCTCAGATTATGTATCGGGACTATCCCTTGACGAAATCGTAAATTAAGTTCAACAGCTGTGAATGTCGTCGACCAACAGCTGTGAATCGTTAATTAAGCCTGCCTAGCAGCTAGGCGGGTCCCTCTTTCTTTTTTATTAATAAATCGTATAGCCGGTCGGCTATACTGTGTAAATATAATATAGCCGACCGGCTATACTGGGGTGTTTTTATTTTTTAAAATTAATAGTACAGCCGACCGGCTAGACTGGGGTATTTTTATTTATTTTCAAATAATAGTATAGCCGGCTGTAGTCGTAATTTAAAAGCTGGCTAGGCGTCTTTAGGTATAGCCGCGCGGCTATACTTTTAAATATAATATATTTAAAGAGTACGCCGGTACGGCGAACGGCGATACTGGTTTTTTTAAAAAAATTAATAGTATAGCAAGCCTCCTAAGCCTTCCTTTTTTTGTGATAATAGTATAGCCGGGCGGCTATACTATTTTATTACAAAATTCACCCATTCAATTCATATTATACTCATACATATGTATTTTCCAATAATTCCGTTTTAGCGGGAGTTTAAGTCCCTGAAATTATTTACATAATGATTCCTGCTTAAGGATCTTCTGGGTCAAGGCATGGCATTTCCCCAAGAAAATTCTCATACACATAATTTTTATATATTATTGAATAAAAATACATACAACATTCACATATTATACACAAAATTTTTATATATTATTGAATAAAAGTGGGTCACAAAATTTCAAAATTGCTCGGGCACCCTTTTTTTTCAATATTGAAATGTTGTAACGGTTGAATTTCCGATCTCAGTATTGAAATGTCGATTAAACAGACCAGGTATGAGAACAAAATGATATTAGAACAAAAATGCAACACCTTGTTCATTTGCTAACTGTTGACAATCAAGAGAAAAAAATCCGATCTCAGTATTGAAATGTTGGTTACAACTCAATATAATGCCTAAAAATAACGCTCACTTCAAAAACATTGCTCAGAGCCGAGCTCATTCATCCTCCTGGCTGCGTAGCCTGGCCAGCTTGTTGGTAACAACAACATCAAGCTGGGCTGCTCTCTCAACAATTTCTTTCCTCTTCCTCGTGGACACATTGTGTGCAATCTCCGCGCAGTAGGTCCTGATTAAGATAAGATGGCAAAAAGAATACAAAATTAGACATGAGATGTGAAACACTAACTCAGACCATAAGGGAAAAAGTAGAACTGGGCTCAGTTTACCTGTTGTGCATCATCAACAGCTCAAGTTCCTTTGCATTGTGCACAACAAACTTCTTGAAATGATTAGGAAGATAATGGCGAGTCTTCTTGTCAGAGCCATAACCAATGTTGGGCATCAAAGTGCATCCCTTGAACTTTCTTCTTACACGAGAATCAATACCCTTTGGTCTCCTCCAATTGGTCTGTCAAAGAAACACATGATGAAACAAAATTACTCAAAGCAATTACAACCAAGGAAATGAGAAGGACCGACTAATAAACTTCGTAGGACAAAGTGGATGTTTGCAGGGTTATAGTAACAGAAAGCTGATGAGTAACGAAGCTAACTGTGTCGCAAGACCTGTAAAGCTTTTATGTATGCCCTGTTTAACGAAATGTCCAGCCACAAATATAAATCTGGACATCAGATACCATGGGCAATGACACAAAAAAACATACAACGCTCACGCACATTCACACATACAACAGACAAAAAGGAAGGGCAATCACAACTGTAACTAAAACAAAATGTACAAACTGCAATCTCAGTCGAAAGATGGTGATTTTAACTTAATAATCACAGGATGTCATAAACGTTAAATATTTTACATCATAGATTGCAGGATTACTCTTAAAACAAGAAACAAAAGTAGAGACATTAATCATAAGAAAACAAAAGGAACTATTAAAGTTGTAAATGGAAAATGGGGTGTGCAACATAGATCAGATGGTAGTGCATGTAAATATTCATCATTCAAAAGCAGAATAGATGGGTACAAATCATCACTTCTTGTTGCATATCCCCAAACAATAAAAACCTTTTGTTTTAACATGGAGAACAATAAATGTTCAGGATACAGAGAAAACAAGACTGAGATCAAAACTTCCAGAGTGGCAAAATCAAAACTTTCATTGCTACACCAGATCAGATAGTCGATCACTAATTCACCCTATTGCATCTTAAGATGCAAGTAAGACAGGGCATAGAAGTTATCCTCATATCCATCAAAACCAAGTTTTAAAAAAATGAAATTGCCAAATAAAAACTGCTTTTACACTGAAAAAACCACAACAAACAAATTCACGATAGATATATTGCAATGGAATCAGATATGAATACGTCCATCACCATCTTGCATCTGTTGATGCAAGTAAGACTGGGGCGACAACAATATCATCATTTTCACCACATAACTCAACACGAACAGAATACAAAATGAAAGCAAAAAAAAAGAGCAGGAAAATGAACACGAAGGTTGTAGAACTGGAAGCTGATAAATGTGAAGGTTTTATACCTTGACAGAGACCTTGCGGTCGCTTTGGGGCCTTTTGAACTGCTTGACCCTCTTCTTCACGATAGCCTTATTCAGCAGCGGCACCGCCATTTTCACTTACCTCCTGCAATAATTTTTAACCAAGAAAGAAGATTGAACTGCATTAGCTAAAACCAATCGAAATAATTAAAACGAATAGAACAGATCTGAAACCCTAGGCTAGAGAGGAGGAGGGAAAGGGAGATATGCTCACAGTGAAGTTTAGGGTTTTTGCTGAGCCGCCGAGCTCCAGTTTCTACTGGCGCCTCTGCTTTTATAAGCAAAAGTGCGAGCTTTCGGGGTACTAGGGTTTTGTCATTTGGGGTAGTCCAGAATTGGGTCTGTTTGGTTACTGGCTTAACATAACCCCGTTTAAAAGAGCTGGGCTTCCCACCAAAAGAAAGAAGAGCTGGGCTTAAAAGGGCCCACTGATTAATTTCCATTTTGGATTTGGCAAACTAGACATAGCGAACTATCGTGGAGGAGTAATCAATTTCTCTCTGGGCACCCTTATTTCTCCTTCTTTGGACACCCAATTGGATCGTATTTTCCCAAGAACGCCATTCATTTTACTCACTGAAACTAGTTCTTTCTTTGGACAACCCTTTTCCATTATTCACTTTCTACTCGACATTAAAATCTAAAATAAGAGTAGATAGTATGATCTAATCGTCATGTATGATTATTATCAGGAGAAAATGTAAGATTTTTGCACCATTTATTTCAGTTTATGGTTTTAAGAATTTTTTGATTTGCAACATATACGGTGAACTAAAGTCGCACAACTTATAAGTATACCATTGTTGACCCCACAATTTGACGATGTGCGATTTCCTGTAACTGCACACTTAAGTTCGTTACTTGTCATTTTTTTTCCTTTTTTTTTAGGACATTTTCTATTGAGAGGGACGATAATAATACTAACCTCACATATTACACGGATGCTAGAACTCGAATCCAAGACCTTTCCTAGAGGACCTTGATTACTTCTTTGTTTGCTAGCAATGTCAACGTTATGACGAAGAGATTACTATTTTTTCAGTACAGTTATCTAATACAACGTATCTTTATCCATATATATTGCAAAGACTCATCTACAATTTTTTGTTTCCCTCTTTTGGGTAGATACAAATGAAAAACGTAGATTCAGCTGGTTGCAGGTTTACTCTGTAACCTCCATTATACAAAGCTTATCAAAAGAAGAGGCCTTTAAAGAGCTGTAAATCGTCCAACCCAACTCATAGGAGTTGGGAGAGCTGGGAGTAACATCCACCCACTCTTTGTCCACCAACTCAACATGTAAATTTTGCTTCGGAGTAGCGTAGAACTGGAGTTTATTGATCTGTTTAGTCAGCTTTTTCATAAAGCTTGTTGAGAATATAATGTCAAAACCTTCAACAAAATCCTTTCGGCCTTTGAAGATTTGGATCCCAACATCAGATTTCCACGAATTAACAAACCCAAGAAGTACTGGGTTTGCACCAGCGTATCCTGGATTTGTGCTGCATACCTGAAAGAAGAAGCAGAGGCAATCAATCGAGTGAGAGAAGAAGATATGCTTAAGTGATGATCAATAATGCAAGCAGTCACAGCATTCATATGTATTATAACTTGAGAGACCGCTCAAATATAATCTATATAACGAGTTTTTCTAACCTCAATATACTCCACACCCATTTCACCAAGACTCTCTGGAATATTGTTTGATGAAAGCAAACTGAAAATTCCTCCGGATCCAACAGGTGATTGAAGTATTTCCCAAGGTGATTTCATCAAAATCTTATGCTTCTTCTCTGCTTCAACCGAGTTGCTGACAACTGGAAGTTTCTCTTCCTCTAAGAACCAAACCTGTGGAGAATCAAAGAGAACGTAAGAACCAAACCCAAATTTTGATCAGAATGTCATACCCTGTACTATCAGTCTAAAACAAGATTTAATAGAATTTTTAATAGCTGAACATTCAAAGGAAAAGTTTATGTTGAATTCATTTGAGCATTGATGCCTGTGCAGTGGGCATTACTGTTTCCATGGAGTACTGAATTGTAACCATTATTACAATGTTTTGACAATTAATGAGATTAATAATACTATCATGCTGTGCCAATCAAAACTATAAAGACTCTTCATGTGATGCTGTAACTACAAACCTTTTCAGGGACGAAGCCGAAGTAATTGTTTTCTGAGAAATGCATCCTTAAAGGTTGAATTTCCTGGGCCGAGCAAACCAGAACCAAAGGCACTGATGCCCGATTTTCCATCTGCGACAAGGAATGTTCAATAGATTTCTCTAATCATTATCCAAACAAGAGTATCCCCTGCCACCCCGCAAAGAAAAGGGAAGAAATAATGTTGACCATTTTTATGCCAGTTTTTCTTACAAGTACAAACATGAATCTAGTGGAGAACTATGAAGTACTCAGTGAAGTTTCAAGGAAACTGACAACTCAAATATGCACTCATTCCAGCATGCATCTTCACAAGAAAAAGAAAATCTCTACATATATGGCATTTGTTTGACATCGTTTTCCCCACTCAAATTTACTTGAGAAAAAAAGTCTATATTAAGAATATAGTTTAAATTGAAGTGGAGAACTGAAACAACAAAATCTTGATATGCACATAACACCAAATCTCCAGCCAGAACCTGTAGTCATCAAAAATTTATTCCAAGCTTTACAATGGAAGGGAGCAAATGAAAAGGTATAGATTATCTTTAAAGATGATGGGGAAAAAGCACCTAAAATGAAAATTCTTGAATGAGTATCACCTTTATAAATCTCTGGTCATCACAAAGTAATGTCTGAAGAAAGGGAGATACTGATTTCTCAATGCCATCGGAATTTTCAAGATCAGGGTTACAGGCCAGTTGTGGTTCTTGCGGATTCCCACTGTCATTTACAACCAAAGCAATGGCAACTTTCCCTTTAGATATGAGATCTACTCCTTTCTCTTGCAAATGAAAATGTGTACCCAGCTTATCTTTACTTGCAGAAGAAACGAGACATTCCTCTGATATTTCCAGAGTGCTAGTTGTTTCTTTGGCTTTAAGGGCACTGACCATCTCAGTTACATTCCATCTGAATTAAGAAGCCAAACAAAGGTTAAATCATCAATGCAAATCCATCTGGCAGTAGAGCAGACATCCCTCATGCTTCTCCTTCATGAATCAGATGAACAAGAAACTAAAGTGTAAACAAATCATATTAAATTCACCTTTTAGAGAGTATCTCAACATTTTCCAGAGCCTGTTGAAGCAATTTTGAATTTACACCAACAATCTGATCAGCAAGTAAGCTCCGCTGTGCTTTCTCTCCAAATCTTAACCCATCAAATACATGTTTTTGCTCCATTTCACACAGTTTCTTCTTTGCTGCTATGAGGCGCTTTTGCATCTTTTTTCTCTCTTTCCATTCCTGAAAAGTATCAAAAGATGAATAACTAAAGGAAACAAATAGCATGGTAATTATAAGGGAACGATGAGATGTTCATTTACCTCTACAATGTACTACAGTAACCTGCACTAAAAAGCTTTGCTAAAGGTTATGTGCAATGCCTTAATTGTTATATTATAACTTTAGCCTCAATAAGGTCTCAATGATCACTTGTCTACCAAAAATGAGGTGAATGTAACTCCCTTTCTGTCTTTTGTTATCCAGTGATAAGAAATGTAATCATTTACTTATGTACAAATTGTATATTCACATATATTCAATAAAATTTGTCCAACAACAAAAAAAACCCTAATCTAACAGAAAACCACTTGCCATCTCCACATTTTTAATTTGGATAGCTAGTGGGAAGAAAAGGCTGAAACAATCTAACTACAAATCTCATAGATGATATGGCTTAGGACCAATCTCCATAAGATCACCTAATCCACCTATAATTCAGCCCAAAGCAAGCCAGGAGTTCCCTACAGTAAACAGCCTATGAGAGGACATAATAATACTATATTTAAATCTAATTAGCCTTTACCACATCTATTGTAACCAAAACACCAACAGGTGGGACTTTGACTTGGTAATTCTTTCAATGAACATTATAATGCATGAGATATTAGATTTTGCCAAGTAGTAGCAAATAACTAAGATTCTTTAGTGTAGAACAAGAGAGTGTGCCTCACAAGCTGGCGCCTTTCTTTCTTGGACCTCTCATCGAAGCGTAAATTTAGTTCAAGGAGTCCCTTTGGAGGTGTAATGAGCATTTCTTTTCTTTGCACATCAACATTTGGAACAATTTCTTCGACAAATGGTATCCACACAAGGTGACCAGATAATCTTGTTCCTGTTGGCCTTGGCTTTCCAGTTGAATCAAGGATATCTAGAGATGTATCAAGCATGACCTGTAGAAGATCACTAGCTCCGCTGTTGAAAACATTAACAACATTTCCTACAGGTTCACCAGTTTCCTGAAAGCGAAGAACATAACTTACGGCATTAAAAATCTAGGTTGAGTTCCTACAAATGATGAGAAAAGATAAAGATAAGCTTCTCCCAAAGTAAGAGAAAGTAAACCGACAAGGATAAATAAAAGCTAGTGATAAAAGTCAGACAATGCATTTTCAAGCAAAAGTTGATAATGAACTTTAAATGTGTGTGCGCATTAAATAAAATATAGTTAATAAACAAATTATCTTATCAAAGGAAGAATTTCAGTATGAAATGATATTATGATACCAATATTTATCTTGTGGATCTCAGGGATACAAATGAAATTAGATGTAAGGATCCTGCTCATATGCTCATGCACAAAGCCACATCTTTAAAAATACAATACATTATCAACACAAACCTTAAGAATAACTCTCATCCCAACAAGATCGCGAGCATAGAGTTCGCCTTCCTCCAACTGCGGCCTATCTTCTTCCCTCACAAGTAAAGTTGAACCAATAAGCTGCCTAGCCTGAACGAATTATCCATGGTTATTGACACACTAACACAAAAAAGTTTTCAATGTTCTCAATGACAAAGATAAATGCCTACGGAAGTTTAATCGTGAAACTCTATTAGCCGACATACTAATGGGAAATATATTTTAAACCCAAATTAGGCTCCCCTATATATTTTCTGCATAAATAGAACAAGGAGAATGTAGGCCCAATTAGATCATCACCACATATTTTATGCATAAACAGAACTAACAAAAACAAAATTTGAAACAAGTGAACTAATACATGAACAACAGAAAAATAAATAAAAAATAAAATAAAAAAGTTAGCTCTCAATAAGCTCACCTCGTCCACTGTTTCAATTCCTCTCAATCTAAGTATCCAACTCTTCTGGCCAGGGTGTCCTCTTCCCTCCACCAGCTCAACTTCTTGAACTGTTTCTCTGCCGGAAATTTGTTGTCTCAGCCATCTTTTTCCAGGCTAATAAAAAGAACATCAATTTAACATAAAACAAATGATAATATTCAACGACAAACACCCTCAAAGAATGACATTCCAAATCCATTTTAATTTTTACCTTGGAAAACCGCAATTCAGGAAAGTCAGTGCTGGGTTTCACACGAATCTCCCCTTGAAGCCCGTGGACATTGGAAATATACCCAACTTTAGTGAATCCTGATTCAATCTCAGCAGTCTCAACAATCTCTTCAGTGACTGAAGTGGCAAAACAGACAATCAAATAAATCTATTATACAATTCACTAGAAAAAAGGATTTCAAAATCATCAAAGGGTATTCCACATGTGTATCAAGATAGACCACATCCACCAAATGACATTTTCATAAAGACTGCATGGAATATTCTGTCACATACATAACAATTGTTACAATTATATCATTGCTGGAGGGAACAAAGAAAAGGAACAAAAACAGGCAAACTCAAACATGGAAAGATTATGCAACTTGCATAAGCACGAAGCAAATTACACCAAAGAACAAACCTATGAACAACAAGTAAGTTCAAACAATAGAACAATCCTATCGCATGAAACAAAGCCCCTCAGAAAATTTACCCATGGTCCATGAACATTATGCATGTGTCTAAAACCAGTAAACTCTCACACTTCATCAAAGACTTAAACAAAAATTCTTAAGAGGCTAAATTAAGTGCCTAAACAAGAAACTACAGCATAGTTAAAATCATGCATGTATTTTAAACCAGTAAACTCTCACACAACATCAAAGACTTAAACACAATCCTTAAGAGGCCAAATTAAGTGTCTAAAAATGCAACTTCACAAGCTTATCACGTGCACAAAATACATGTGTTTGTGAAAAAAAATATATAACGCAATAATTACTGGTGGTTCAACTTAATTTATGAACTTAGACTCAAACTTACTAAGCTCATTTTTTCAGCTTCTCTGAGCCACTGAAAACAAAAATTAAGCAGACCAGGTAAACAAAAGAGTGAGATAAACAAAACCCATCATCAACATGGAGTTCAAAGTGAAACAAAAAGTCCACTTGATAATTAAAGTACAGGTAAGTTACCAGTGCTGTGCAGAGGAGGGAGGGCAAGGCGGTAATTGTGTAGACGAGTCAAGGGCAACCGGAGGGGTGAGGGAACTGATTCAGCACGTCGACTTTGAAGCGGAGCGACGAGTCTATGAGAGGTCGGGGGAAAACTGGGAATTGGGTTTGAAGAACAGAGAATGGAAGCTCTCTGCATTTTTGGGTTCTTGCCCACTGACAACGAGTACAGCTCTGAGTTTTACACCAGGATAACGGACTATACAAATTTTATTTTTATTTTTATTAATTTATATGGATTCTACACATAAATAAGCGGGCTAGAGGTTTTTTTTTGGGTGGATGGACGTGTGAGTTTGTAATAACCCATTGGGCTAATTTCTTGTTCTCCGCTTTTGGGCTTTTACCCATAGTTCTACCCAAAAAAAATTATGTGATAATTTCTAGAGGGGAATAAATTCAAACTTAAGTGTAAGGGTGTCGACTCATAACCATGGATAACTGGCCTAATCTAGGTATACAATTATCTCACAACAATAATTGTGAGATAATTTTTGGTTATTGTCTTACTACTTTTATTTATCTCACAATTAACAGCATGTTTAGGAGTGCTTTTTGACCACTAAAAGCGCTGCTAACATCGTTTGGTATAAATTTCTAGATGTGCTTTTGGGTCATAGAAGCGTTTTTCCATGAAACACTTGGATTTCTTCTAAAAATTTCAACATATTTATAATAAAAGCGCTTATGAGCAAAAGCGCTTCCTAAATAAGTAGTCCCAAACTAGCCCTAAAAGTTGTACGAATGCCACTAATTTACAAGAATGTTGTTCCAATATGATGTAAGAGGACTTACTTGCACACTATCATGACTAACAAACAGAACTTCACATATGCATCTATCTATACTATTATTCAGACTAGCCCCACCCATGTACCAATTGGTTTTTTAATTATTTTTTTAATGTTTTTTGTATTAGAATTGTAAAAGATAAAAGGAGCATTTTTTCTCACCATTTTAACCAAATGTGTATGTATGTTCACTACTCTTCTCAACACTTAACAATTGTCCATAAGTATGACCATTGTTATATAAATCAAAGCAAAAAGTTAATCATGGTTATGCCTATGTACACATGTCAAGTATTAAGAACGGTAGTGAGTATACACTTTGAGTTAAAGTGGTGAGCACAAATATTTCCAAAGATAAAATAGGTCTAGATATGTGTTGTGAAAATAGAACCCATGTTCTTTTTAGTTTTTATATTTTGAATTTTTTAAAATATAAGAAAATGATGAATTTACTTTATTATTTTTATTTAATAATAGTCTCATTTGTTAAAATTTCATTAACCAATAACATTTTTTAGTATTTTGAATATTTAAGCTTTTGCCTTTATACTATATATATATAAAAGGCTTTCTCGACCAAGACTTTCTCTGTCTCTTCTAACATTTTATACCAAAAATCGCAGTGCAGGTGGCGATATTTTGGCAATAAATTGTTTTCCCCAGTCTATAGATAGATACTTCGTATAGAAGCAAAAGGTACGTGTGAACTGGTCATGAGAGGGTCAGGCCATGGTGGTCGTACTACATGACAACACCCTATGTGCGCGCCAACCCTTTTTCTCTCTCTCTCTTGTTTTTTTTTTTTTTTTTTGCATGAGAAGTTGAAAGAGACCCCACACACAAGAGTTGCAAGTTGCATAAGATTGCTCAAGTAGTTTTTGACATCAGACACTCCCTAATCCCTGTCCCCACTGAGAAGAGACAAGGAGATAGAGACAATTTAAATTAAAACAATTCAAGTGATATTTATTTTAGGATCTTTTTTATTGAAATGGGCAATAGTATCGTCAAACTCACACACAAATGTTAAGACTCGAATCCATAATTTTTCCTTAGGGGGGCACATTTACTCCAAACTACTATATTAATGGGTCATTTACCATTTCAAATGATATTTAAAAAGACAAAATACATAAAATTTCACCTCCGAAATGTCCTCCTTTTATAAAAGTTGAACCTAGGTATGTGTACTCTGTTTTATCTTGAAAAGGAATATAGTAATGTACTTTAGAATAGTTTTTTTTATGGACATCCTATTATGACTCACATAAGTTTTAATATATGGATAAGATAATTCATTTTTATGTTTATTTCAAATTTCTCCACCAAACTCACCTTAAAATTTGAAATACATGGAAAATAAAATAAATGTAGACTTTTTTATTTTTAATATCTGGATGTATCAATCTGCAGAGGTAAATGGTAACAGTGACAGTTGCGGTGACGGTGTTGATTTAAGAAAAAAAACACTTGTGTGTATGTTTGGTGTCATAGTCACCAAAGTTTGTGTAACAAGAAACCCTTATGATCTAATATGTATAAAGCTTAAGGCACACTTTTAATACACACAATCATCCGTAAAATTACGTGTATCAATTATATTTTAAGCCCGTCGAATGAATAATTTTTAGTTTGAAACTTCTCCTACACTCTTTCTTGCTAAATATTTTGAAAATAAGTGTTCACTAAATATATGTATATATATTAGCAAAATGTGCAAGTAGAATAAAAAGGATTGAGGATGAGTGCAGCCATTTCAATTCCCTAATTAATTTATGTTTGGATTGTAAGTAAGTGCACCATCTCTCGCTTTCTTTTTGTCCATATTTGGCACCAAAAGCTTCCTTTAGGCTTGCCTCAAGAGACATCATAAGAAACTTTAAAGTTAACTTTTTCCAAATGCATATCCTTTTAAAGGAAAGTTTTCTTAAATTTATGAAAACGTAGGCTGACACATATCCTTTTTATAAATATATATTTGGTACTTCTCCCTATTGCGAATTACAATTTGACACATATGAAAAAATAATTTATAAAAAAACACAAAAAGAAAAACTTATGTGCACACACACACATATCACACTTCCATTAGCAAGAATGTAGGGGCTCCTACTTACATGATAAGAAGGGAAGTATTTTCCTTTCTACAATACTTCAATTTAGAAAGCTCACACATTTTCTTAAGTGATGTGACACATCTCACACTTATCTCTTAATTAATTACATAAGAAATATTCATGACTATAATCAAAATCCATCATTATTCAAATCTTTTACATATCTTTTAAGGATTTTTTTCTAAGGTTTTAAAAGCAATATATGTGTAAATTTTTTTTTTTTTTTTTTTTTGTTTTTTTTCAAACGATAGAATTTACTAAACTAGGGTGAATAATCAAAATTCAACGGCTTTTTCGTGACACAAAATATGTTCATAGAGAATTAATGACTTTTTGTAAGATAATTTTGTTAGTATATAATAATCTAAATTGCAAATACTAGATTGAGGAGCCTAGAGATGTCATGGGCATGGCACAGACAGTATAAAATTAGCTGTTTATAAAAACTAAATTGATGATGTGGCTAATTATTATCCACTTTTAGCATTATCATTATCCAGAATTTATCAAATTCACCTCTATCATCATTAATCATCAAAATAAAAGTAAGATTCCCAAAGCTTAATTATGCCAATCATGCCATATAGGTAACTTTCCCTCTTTTGGGTTTTTTTGTTAAAAAATATTTTTAATTTGAATAAAATTAATTCATAAAAAGATCAATGTTGTTGGGCACCAAATTCATTTTAAATACAATTGAAACCACCCCCATTTCGTAACCCAAATCCAAACCCAAAAACCCACTCTCTCTCTCTCTCTCAATCATTCTCCGCTCCTTTTTAGTTTTTCTTTACTCTTCTCGTCCAATCACCATCACTCGCCTCTCTCTCTCTCTCTGCAAACAAATTCCAATTGGGTTTTAGAGAGAGAAAGTGGCAGCAGGCAAGAACACTGCTCCTCTCTCTGTGATCGTCTACACGGTGAAGCTCTAGGGCTGGGCTTGCCTTTGTACCTCTTCAGGTGACATCTGTTCTCAATTTTATTGTCGTTTTCTTTTGTTCAGTATATTGTAAGTTTGATCAAACGGGTTTTGTGGACTTGCATAGTTTTTCGAGTGTAGTAGTTGTATAAGTTGTGTAAAATATTGCTTCAATCATATCTTTGTTCCTTTTTAAGTATTTGGTTTTCCTTGAACTTATATAGAATTTGGCCAAACTTTATCAATTATTGAGCTTTTTGGTATTTATATGACTATTGTGCTGAACAGTTGAGTCCCAAGAAGCAACAAAGAATTAACTGTTCTAACTCCCGACTCTGAGAGCTTGAGAGATTAGACTGATATGCATTTCCAAGATTTTATTTTATCTGTTTGAATCTTTTGAGGCGGTTTGAATGCCTAGAAGCATGGGTCTTTGATTCCTGATATATAGCTGTTTAATACTTATGGGTTTAAGCCAGTTGTGATTATCTGTAGCTGCAAAGTTTCCCACTTATTGAAAATGGACACACACCCTCTAAACAATATGCTGTTAATTCATTTCTTAATTCGTAAGTTTATGTATTTCTATGTCCATATTCCTTTGATTTCTTGAATTGGACGCTTTTTTGAGTTGTATTCCAAGGTGGGGTTTGATGTCTTGCAATTGGAGTCCTTAAATGGAAGTTGTTTTTCTGGTGCCAATTCTGTAGGCTTCAGGTTTAGAAGTATTTAAATTGGTTAAGTACAGTTCTGCTAAAACTAAATTTTGATTCTCTGTGACTTTGTGTAGCCTTAAGAACTCACTCTTGTGCTTAAAGTATAAGAAATCTCTGAAATTTATGATTGATTTCCTTTTCATTATATAACGCAGTGCGATTACTTTGAACTGGGTGATGAGTATTGACCAATTGCATCTGTGTGCTCTGTAGTATCTTTAGTAATAATGTATGTATATATCTGTGTGTATATCAGATTTTCTAGTACTTTGAGTTGCAGATTGTTTAGTTCTGTTATTTTCGTTACCATCACAGAAGTTAACTCTGGTGCATTGTTAATTTTAAGCAGGACAGGGATGCAATGAATCAGTCTTTCAACTTTTCATCTTCTGGTAATAGTCCAGAATCATATATTGTATTATGTCCAGACTGTATGCAGTTTGTTTTCTGACTGACGTGTCTGTTAACTTGTCTTGTAGGCCCAACCGAGATTCCAATGGTGGGTATCCCCAAAGAAGTGGGTAGAGGAGGTTGGGGCATTTTATCTGGATCTGGTGTCCATCATGCCTCAAGTGATGCTACCCTCTTTTCAAGCTCGTTACCTGTTCTTCCACATCCAAAGTGTATGTGTGAGCTATTGCATTAAGATTTTCAATGCCACATTTAGTAGGGAATGACTCATGTATTTTTGCATTCTTGCAGTGAACTTGAATGATACAGAACATGGCTGTCAATCTATTGATGATCTCTCAACTGGCTTAAATAAGCTGGGCCATAATTTGGAGGGCAATGATACACTTGAAGATATTGAAACTCATGCGATTGGAAGCTTGCTTCCTGGTGACGAGGAGGAGCTATTAGCTGGCATAGCAGATGATCTTGACCTCAGTGGGTTGCCTGGTTCCCTGGAAGACTTGGAAGAGTATGATCTCTTTGGTAGTGGAGGTGGCATGGAATTGGAAACTGATCCACAGGAGAGCCTGCGAGTTGGCATGGCAAAAGTAAGTTTATCTGATGGTGCTACTGGGAATGGGATCGCTCATTATGCTCTTCCAAATGGCGTGGGAGCTGTTGCTGGAGAACATCCATATGGAGAGCATCCTTCTAGAACATTATTTGTGCGAAATATCAATAGTAATGTTGAGGATTCAGAACTGAAAGCACTTTTTGAGGTAATCCAAATAAGGCAGAGCTCCTTGTGTTTTATTCCAGTAATACCCATATCCTTTGTTCACTTGTCTGGTATGTCTTTGGTTTCCATAAGTTCTGTGTAAGTTTGTGATATATTACACGTGCTTCCTGAGTAGAACTTGACACTGTTACAATTATCAAGGGTTCTCTTAGATCCTTGCGCACCATTTATAAAAATAAAAGAAGTTTGTCAAGCGAGGTTAACATTTTACAAAACTGTTTCATAAAAAGAAACTATACAAACTGTAGTTTGGATTTGTCTACAAAACTTTGAAAAGAATCTATGGGCATATATATTATCTACTGAAATTTAAGGCAACATCAAATGGTCAAAGATGTATTTCGCACTAAAAGTTTCATCTTTAATATTTTATTATCTCATTTAGGCTTGCTATATCTACAAGACATGAATGCATAACTAGTTATGAAGGTCTGAGAGTCTAGTCAAGATTTTTATTTTATTGGCTGAGCATAAATATTTGTTTTCCTTCTTTCACAGGTTCAATGTTATATCATTCATTTATTTATTAATCTATTTTGCAGCAATATGGCGACATTAGAACGCTGTACACTGCATGTAAACATAGGGGCTTTGTGATGATATCTTATTATGATATTCGTGCTGCTCGAACTGCTATGCGCACATTACAAAATAAGCCTCTGCGACGGAGGAAACTTGATATTCACTTCTCAATTCCAAAGGTCAGAACAGCGTTCCAGTTCTTTATTAGTTGTTCATCGACACCCTTTTATATATCTTACAATTTTTGCATTCCTTTTTTCATGCCACACCAGGATAATCCATCAGAGAAAGATATTAATCAAGGAACCTTGGTAGTTTTCAATTTGGATCCATCAGTTTCAAATGAAGACCTCCGTCAAATATTTGGGGCTTATGGCGAGGTCAAAGAGGTGATAAATGTATCTTAAGGGAAAACCCCTCCATTTCTCGTTTTGTGTTTAATTATTTACTTATTTTTTAATTTAGAAGGTGGTTAACATGTATTTTTCTGGTGTACAAAGCAGATAAGGGAAACACCGCACAAGAGACATCATAAATTTATTGAGTATTATGATGTCAGAGCTGCAGAAGCAGCCCTTAAGTCATTAAATAGGAGCGACATAGCTGGTAAACGCATAAAACTTGAACCCAGTCGCCCTGGTGGAGCTCGTCGAAAGTGCGTATACAATATAAATACTACGATTTCTAGAGTTTTTTTTTTTGGCTACAAGTTATGACCACTAGAGAGATTAGTGGTTAATCTTCTTCTAATCGGAAGTGAAACTTGTTTATAGACAATTTATTTTCTTAAGCACTACAACTAGTTAAATGTTTCACATAAACATTCTTTGGCACATTAATTTCATGTTTTTATTCTGTTATTTTAATAATTAAAATTAAATAATGATGTTGTTTAACTCTAATTATGCTTTGTGATTATTAAAACTTTGGTGTTGTCTGTTTTCTGTATTGTGCTTGAACCAAGTGTTGGTGTCTGTTATTGATTGTATTGTGCACTGTGTACCTTCTAGCTTGATATTGCAACTGAATCAAGACCTTGAACAAGATGAATCTCGGAGTTATCGACATCCTGTGGGTTCACCGATAACCAACTCTCCACCAGGTAACTTCTTCTTTGAGATAATTTGTATTGCTTTGAACATATAATGCCTTAATCAAGACAACATTTTTTTTATAATGCATTTTTCTTACAAAATGAGGTAAATGCAATATTCTTGACAGGTAGCTGGGCACAGTTCAACCCCATTGAACATAGTCCTGTACACAGTATTAGTAAATCTCCTGGTTTCAGGACCCTGAGTCCAACAAATAGCAACCATTTGCCTGGATTGGCGTCAATTCTGCATCCCCAAGTATCAAACAATGTGAAGGTTGCACCTATCGGCAATAACCAAGGAAGGGGGAGTCATGTGGATCATATATTTACCAATACAAACTCATCCCAGGGATCTGCATTTCAACAATCACATTCATTTCCAGAGCCAAATTCAAGCCATTTCCATGGCAGTATGCACTCATTTGGTCCTTCAACCTCAAGTGGATCTGGTATGGAAACGTTATCAGGCCCACAATTTCTTTGGGGGAGTCCGACTCCTTACTCAGAACACACCAATTCTTCAGCTTGGCCGCGACAGTCAGTGGGACATCAACTTACATCTAATGGGAAGGGTCATGCCTTTCCATTCTCAGGTCATCGTGGCTCTTTCCTTAGCCCTTCCCATCACCATCATCATGTTGGATCCGCCCCATCTGGTGTTCCGTTAGAAAGGCACTTCAATTACTTCCCCGAGTCACCAGAAACTTCATTTTTGAGTTCCACTGCCTATGGAGGCATGGGTTTGGGCCCCAACGGTGGAAATTTTATGATGAATATGAGTACTTGTGCTGCTAGGAATGTTGGTGTATCTATACCAGGAAACATGTCTGAAAGTAATTCCTCAAGCTTTAAAATGATGGCCTCACCAAAGCTTAGCCCTGTGTTTTTAGGTAATAGCCCATACACAGGACTGCCACCTACAAGCATAGATGGTTTAATTGAGCGTGGGCGGAGCAGACGAGTTGAGAATAGTGGGAGCCAGATTGATAGCAAGAAACAGTTTCAGCTTGATTAGATAAGATTATCAGGGGGGACGATACTAGAACAACATTAATGATAAAAAATATTCCAAATAAGTAAGACTGACTTTTATAGTTCTGTCATATATTTATTACATTTGATGGCCATTATCATGATTTCATATTTTTTCTGTCCATTAGATACACCTCAAAAATGTTACTTGCTGCAATAGATGAAAATCACAAGGGTACTTTCGATTTTCTCTATCTGCCGATTGATTTTAAGGTAATTTAGGTTTCTTTAAGAGTATGTTTCAACACTTTCTTCTTCAATAATTTATTTTCTTTTTCTTTTACCCTACAAGTCTTCCTTGATTGATATTCCTCTTATGTGCAGAACAAATGCAATGTGGGCTATGCATTTATCAATATGCTGTCTCCTTCACACATCATCCCATTTTATGAGGTGCTTTCCCTCTTTTCCCCCCTCTTTTTTAGGATTTTATGTTAATTCTTTGGGTTATTTCTACATCATTGTCTTCGTTGTATTGTGAGATGTGTTCTGCCAATTTGAGCTTCCTCGTTTTGCCCTTACAAAAAATAGTTTTTAGGCTTTAGCTTATTAGCGGCTGACATGGCACTGGCATGCTATAAAGGAAATGGGATATGTTATTGATATACACTTATTTCCATTATAATACAGGCATTCAATGGAAAGAAGTGGGAGAAGTTCAATAGTGAAAAAGTTGCCTCCTTGGCTTATGCTCGTATCCAGGGGAAGGCAGCTCTTGTGGCCCACTTTCAAAATTCAAGCCTAATGAATGAAGACAAACGTTGTCGCCCGATTCTCTTTCACTCAGAGGGTTCTGAGGCTGGTGTTCAGGTAGTACAATAAACACTACAAGAAAGCCATTGCTTTTTTAAAATTCTAACTTGCTTGCACTCCTTGATGTTTTGCTTTAGGAACTAGCTTAATTGTATGCATTGATGTATCACGCACACAAATGGAATGTTTGATATGATCTTGTGCATTTCTTCTATATAGATTATCCAAGAACATCTTCCTTCCAATAATATGAACATCCATGTCGGTCAGCGAAACGAGTCGGACTCTGATTCATCAGGAAGCCTAGAGTGTGGCTCTGATGAGAAGCCCGATAAGAGTTAACAGTGTATTTGAAGCAGATGCCCTCGGCCCTATTTGGTGGTGGCCGTGGCTTCTAACCATCATATATATTATCAAGTATATAAACGTAGGAGTCGGAGAAGGATGCATGAAGATTGTATTCTAGTTCCTTTTGGTAGTATTTTGTAGGGAGTTTTACAAGAAACAGTAGTAGGAATTTGTTTCCTCTGCAGTTAACAGTCTGATATGAGCCAGATAAGGGAGCGCATTTAGGCGAATTCAATTCTCTCAGCAGCCAGATGCGTATGTCACCAGTTGTGCAGGTTTCTTATTTTTGGGCTCATTTTGTTTGCGTGACTTGGGGTGTGGATAACGTAGTCCGCAAATATGATGTTGATATAGCTATATGGGTCAATGTGTTTTGAGCGAGGGGTTGGTGATTTAACATTGGGTACAAAATTGTACAGTTGGGGACAGAATCTTTTCGGCATAATTATTTGTTGGGGTTCTTGCAATGGAAAATTCAAATGTGTATTTGAGATGTGACATTGCCCAGATAATGGTTTCCATCTTATACATTTTGAATTCTTCAAACACATTCAAATGTGAATTTGAGGATTGATATCCGAAGAATGAAAAGGTAGACAATTACTCTCATGGTGCAAAAATAAGACAATAGCATCACTCGTTTTAGAATTCCATGCAAAATTCGGTATTCAAGATTGATTGCTTGATTAAAATGATTCATAATGAAGCAAACATAAAATGATTCATAACGTGTCATAGTTTTATCTGATTATTATTATTATTTTGCTTAGAATACCTTGCAGAGAATTTGCATTGCAATGATGCAAATGAATGCCATCAGAGGAGGGCTTCCAATAAATAAACATCCGGCTTTGATTGAGGGGCTGGAATGATAAAAGATTATATACATATCATAACCTCAAGATTGCATTTATACACAAGATAACCTACCTCGGCCAGTAAATATAATGTGTTGGTCCCGCAGCCCTATTTCATACACATGATATTTTTATTTTTACTTTATTTTAAACAAAGTTCGTAAAATACAAAGAAAAACAGCTGGAGTAATAGAACCTGCACATGAGGAAGGATTTTTGCTAGGCAAACCATATAAAATGGAAGCTGAGTAAAGCTGTCGTAAATACTACGGTTGACCAAATTTTTAGGCCAAGATAGAAGGTGGTTCAGACAGCCTTGATGATGCCCTAAATATCAAGAGACTCAACAAACAGAGATCCTGATGAAACTTAAGTCATTGTGCTCATGTCGGCCTGTGACACTGAAACCTTCTGCCCTTCTTTCCTGGTTTTAAGTTCAAGGTCAATGAGGAAGTAACATTTGTCATGCTCTCTAACATACTGAACCTGACCATTCATTCTATTCAGAAGTTTCCTGGACAGATTTAGGCCAAGCCCTTCTGGCGTAGTCCATCGATTTTCTCCCTCAAACATATCTTGGATAAGCGCAGCCGGAAGGCCTTGACCGGGGTGAGTCATTCTACATGCACAAGAAGATAAGGACAAGTAAGGTTTATGTTAAATTTATTAGCTGTGCATAGTTAAAATATGAACCTAAAAATGGTTGAGGTACCTGAACTGTAAACGGATACAATTGTTGCCGTCCTGTATTAACTTTAGACCAGGTAAAATTTTAATTTCAACCCAGCCATCTGGGGAAGGTGCATGATTCACTACATTGAGCAAGAAATCTGACAAGACCAACTGCAGCCTGATTTGATCCCCATGCAAAGATAGTGATTTAACTTCTTCTGGAATCTCATGAAAAAGCTGCAGATTCTTTTCCCTCAATGAGATCATTGATTGACTAACAATGGCATCCAAAATGTTTCCCAAGACAAAGTCTCCCATGTTCAGCTTCACGCTACTGCTATAACCAGGATAAGATGTGAGGCTTATTCTCGCACAAGTTCATCAGCACACTAAAAAGACTAATGTCGTTTATGTATTAAGTGCTTTCTTATTGTGTAATTATTTCATAATGATTTCAAAAAAACAAAGAACCAAATATGTTGCGAAAAGATAAGATTATTACTATTTTTATAAGAAAATACCCCCAAAGATAATGACACCAAGAATTAGGAAAAACATTAGAGCTAAAACCAGTTGGTTTGAAAAGTTCTGATTCAGGATTTTATATAATTTACTATGCACATAGTGAAAGAAAAGAACCTATACACTACAAATAGATTCAAAAGAGTTAGCTTACGCACATCATGAACCAATTAATAAGAATACTCACCCTTCCTCTATGCTTCTCATATTCATATCCTCGATGACTGTCATGATTTGTCTTTCACACGCATCACTAGTGTCAAGAAATTGCTTCTGATATTCTGAAATAGTTGTATTTTGAAGTAGTCTGTGCGTAAACCGAATACCATTTAAAGGATTTTTCATCTCTTGTCGCATGTATGTTAATTCCTTTAGTTTTGAAAAGCCTTCTCTACCCTCTTGTTTGTGTCCTTCCAAGGGCTGCTGCAGGTCAGGCAAAAATATTTGCAAGAAGCAGAAACAACCAATTATATTTCCACCTGCATCAGTCCTCTTGCTTGCTGTTAAGATCACCTCAACAAAGTTCCCTTTTCTATCAAAAAACCCAAGTGGAAACTTCTCAATATCTTGACCACTGATTCCTTGGTACAATACAATCATAAATTTAGTCAGTGTATCTTGACCTTTCAGCCGACAGAAACCTCCAAAGATTTCCCCAGGAAGCATTTTACCAATAACGTCATCTCTTGTCCAACCAGTAAGCTTTTCCATGGCCGCATTCCATTCAGAGCAGCAGGCATTCTCATCAGATGCAAATATGGGTGGAATCAATGGGTTAAGACTCTGTATAATAGCCTTATAATCGCCTTGCAAACGGATGAATTTATCCATAACAACTTTTTCACAAGTAATATCTTGACCCACAAAGCATACACCAACAACATTCTTTGCATGATTCCTACTTGTGCATGTGTTGGCTACAACATAGACAACCGAGTTATGCTGAGAGAGCCCAAAATTTCTCAGTTTTAACTCAATATTCTTGTCCTCATCACCTGGATAAGATAGAAGTTAACATCGGCTACTGTTTGGAAAATTAAGATTATAATTAAAGAGGCAAAGGAGGACGAAAACTAGGTTTGAGAATTTCAAAAATAAATTCCATACAAAAGTCTAAATCCCTCAACTTCCTATGTATCATTCCATATATTTGCAAAAGCAACTGATAACTGAAGAAGAAATCTTACTTAAAGTATGAGCCATCACTCAAAGAATAAAAAAAAGGAAAAAAGTCTCTTGTGTCCCACAAAATAATAAGAACGCAGATTTGTAATGGACCCTATTCATCAAAAAGCCCTTGAAACGTATTTTATCATGTCAGCTTCTTACCTATAGGACAGCCTACTTCAGTAGGAGTATTTAAAATGTTAAGATAAAAATGCAAAGATTGGATATTTTGAAAATTTGACAGGATAAAAGAAACTTAAACATGGCTGTCTTCACTAGTTGAAGATGTTTCTTTGTGAGCACTGAAGAACAACTGTTATACTAATAAGAAAAGTCATCAAGCTCTACTCTGGGGCCCTTAAGGGATAAAGGGAAGAAGGCCAAGAAGTATGGACCAAATATGCAAGACATGATAAGGCAGCCCAGTAAGGCAGTTCAGTTAAGAGAGGACAAATCTGTTAGTGCAACCACACAGTATAATTAGCAAAGTTCAAGAAGACGAGCCAAAAGAACTGAACTTGAGAAGCAATGATGGACAATAGAAGCAGTATAGAAGTTAGTAAGCTATTTGCTTAGTACTTGGTAACTTATAAGCATGCATAAGCATGGAATGTAGTGTCTATGAAATTTGAGTACTTTAAAATCCTCAAACACAGTACATTATAAATGCAAGAAAGAATTTACCTTGTAAGGCTCTGCATAAAAGATCTTCAACAGCTCCCCGTGAGTCCTCACAAACAATTTCATTAGCTAGGGACTTCCCCATAGCTTTGCTATCTTGTAATCCTGTCAATTCGGCCATCTTTGTATTCCATCCATTGATGAGACCAGCTGAATCAACCCCAAAAATCGGAACTGAAGCTGTCTCAATCAATTTAGCCATTTCACATGCCACAGAACTGAGTTCATCTATCCCCTGAGGCTGCATTTCAGTATCACTCTGATGAGCATTATTTACTGCCTTAGAAACACTTTCTTCCATATCGTGAAACGAGTCTCTCATTATGAGCTGTAAAGAGTGGATGGCATTAATTTCAGAGACCTCCCAAGGCAAACTTCTACTTTTTACTACTTCAAGAAAAGCTTTAAATGATGATCTTGGGTGCATCCTTCCACCGTCATCCTTATCCTCTGGATGATGCTTAGCTCCTCCCCATTTGACTTCCTCTGCAGTGTGAGACCTGAACCAAAACAAGAAATCCTTTGAACTGGCTCTTGCAGTAGCCATACCACAGACTGCATCACCCAGTAAAGGTGCACCAGGGTAACCAGCTTCTGCCAAACTATCGGTACTCAGACCTGTGGAATCCCCATGATTACTTAGCAGCCACTCTGCTATATCTTTAACCTGTGATTCAGTTGGAGTTACACCTAACAACCAACATGTCCCACCATAATACAATGCAGCTCCATCACACTTCACTAGATCCATTATACTAGGAGATTGGGTCACAATACCTGATGGGGCGTCCCGGAGGAGCATGTCACAAAGTAAGGTTTGTGTTCTGAGAACCTTTTTTTCAGCCAATTGTGCTGCCAATTGAAGCTCCATGTACAGCTGCAGCCCAAATGCCTGCATAAGAAATTCACAAGCATAGCGAAGAGGGAAAGGGACATAGCGGGGTGAAGTGTGGTGGCACACTACCAACCCCCAAAGCTTCGTCAAATCATCACCATTGATAATAACTGCCATCACCAATGAGGCAATGGATCCCATGTTGGCCATGTACTGTCTGTGGCAGCCATGTGGTGACCGGAGGGTTGAATTGACCAAGCACAGAGGCTGCTTTAGTTCTTCACTTTGAATGATTTTAACTGGATTTGCATTGCAATCACAAATCATGCGTACGCGATTCTGCTTGAACAAGAAACGGGCGGCTTGAGGGATATCCGTGGCAGGATAATGTAAACCCAAATAGGATTCTAAATCCGCCCTTCTGATTTCAGACACAACTTCACCATGATCATCCTCATGGAACTTGTATACCATAACTCTGTCATATCCAGTAAGCTTCTGAACATCTTCCACAACTGTATCACATAACACACCAATATCTCCTCCAGGGAGAGACTGAAGCCTAGAAATTGCCCGGACCGCAAGTTTCTGTGACTGCACAGCACCTGCAAGCGACAATGCAGGATCACCAGACCTAGCAGGCTCCAAATCAATCACAATTCCCACATCAATTCTATGCAATATAGCATAAAATGGCTTCTGGGTACTACTAGAATAAACCCAAATTGGGTTTAACAATGATATCTCCCTGGACGCAGCAGCTTTGGCCAGTGAAGCCCCGGAAGAAGGTGTAAACAAGGTTCTAGAATCAATTCCAATTAGACCCTTTAATTGTTTTGACTCAAAGAGACTATCCAAACCCAACAACTCAAAGCAATTCTCACTATAACCGATAATTCTAAAAGTGGGTTCTTCAATTGCAAGCATACAACCAAAGGATTGAACAAGAGCACCCCTTTGGATTCTCTTGAAATAGACACTTATTTGCTCTTCAGGTACAGATTCTGGAGGATAAAGCACTGATCTTGAATAGTTAAAGGACTTACCAGACGCAGTAGACTGCTCATACTCAGCTAAAATGCCAGCATCTGCATTGTACCGAGCAATTGACTTGTCTCTTTTGGCGGTGCCGCTAGTGGTAGTGTTGTTTTTGTTGGGCCTCATGTTGCTGGTTGCTGAGGATGAGAATGTGGCGGTGCCTCTCTCTCTGCTTTCGAGCTCCATATAGAGGGCTTTGGCTTTGGCTTTGGGTTGAGGGTTTTTCTCAGAAACTCATGTGGGTATTGGAAAAGCTGGAGCTTTATCATTTCTGTACTTGCTACTTCTGTTGGTTGGTGCTTCTTCTTGTAGCTTACACTTACACACGTCTCTTTCATCGCTTTCGCAGTTTTGGGTTTATTTCCTGCTAATAAGCGTGTTTAATTATCGCTTCCTAATCATGTGTGTTTTGGTTGATGCGTCCCCTTCTGTCCTCGGCGCACCTTGTCCCTTCTATTCTCTCTCTCTCTCTCTCTCTCCCCATTTTCCGTTCCTGCATTTTCCTCCATGCAAATTGCTCAACGCGTCACCACAAAATCAAAGCTTTAGAATATTAAAAAAAACCGAAAATATATATTTTTTAAATGGAAAAATCGAAAAGAAGAGAGAGAGAAGTTGAAGTACAGAAAAGAAGAGACCTTTACACGTTGGTCATCTTTTTACAAAGCCCAATGGAAGAAAAATATGAACAATGAGAGAGAGATCTTTGATTCTTGGGAATAGTAGAAATATAAATCCAAAAAAGGCTCACTCTAGTATTTAGTATTCACCACAAATATATATTTGATTTTTTGTCTTTTTTTTGGTCGAAATATTTGATGTTTCTGTCTATGGACAGCTTCTGCCAATACCTCCAAACACGTCATTTCAAGCTACTTTTTTAACGCTTATAATTATTAAGAAGACTGTGAAGCAGGCAGTCAGCTCAGTTGCAAAGCATAAGCCTTTTTACCAGCTTCTTAGAAAGCACTAGTCTTGAGCTCTACACGGTTTGCCTTGTTTTTTGGCAAGTGTTTTGGGAACAACATAATCAAACGTTGGAACCCTCGACCCAATGGACCTAAGACATGATTTGAACTGCAAAAATCAACATGCTACCAACATGATATGTTTTATAGCAGGTTAAAGCGATCACTTACAAGCATGACGATGCATTAAAAGTTCATAATTACTATGTTCGAACAGTTAAAACTAACATAACTCGATGTGATATATTACTCACTCACGATCGGTGTCCTATCATTTTGGATATGATTGTTGAACTTTCTATGTGGAATTAATGGAACCCATGGCTCATGCCCTCCTCGTTATGCTTTGTTCTCTGTTTGGTTTCCTCCACATAAAATGGCTTTCCCTTTAATTCTGTTTTGTTTTTTTTTCAGCAAGGACCAAGCCTGGGTGGATGAATTGCTTCTCACATCTTGTACCTATCATAATTGAAACAATTGCTGAGGATGCCAACCTCAAGGACTGCCGAGTCCCGCCTTTCTTTCTTTTTTCTCTTTTTGTTTCGATTTTTTTTTAATGTTTTTTGTTTTTTGGTCTCATTTTTATTTTTGTTTCGAATTGTTTGGCAAGGTTTTTTTGGATGATGTTTTGACAAGTTTTCATTTAACAACACGTTCGAAAGCCCACCAGAGCCATGGGCTTTTAATAAACAAGGCTAAGTAATTCGGTCTCCGGAATAGTCCAATATAGGAAAGATTATGGGCTCCCACATAAGAGGAGCTTACATCCAAGCTTGTTCTTTGGTCACCCAAACGCTAAGGCCGCGTTCGGTATCGTTTTCACGGCCCGTTTTCTGTTTTCATTTCCTGTTTTCTGGCAAAAACCTGTTCGGTGGAACGTTTTTGTTTTCCCTAAAAATATTTTCCAAAAACAAATCCAATTCATGAACAAAAGTTGAAAACGATATTATGTTGTTTTCGTTTTCAACGTTTTCATTTTCAGTCCATACGATAATTCATTTTTTCCATCTCTCTTTCTCCAATCAACATCGATTCTTGTCTTTGAAATTCTCCATAGCTATTCTTCTTCTTCTAAAATATCTGAGATCGTGATTTACTTATCACCAGCACCCAAAAAAAAAAAAAAAAAAAAAAAAAAAAAAAAACAAATGAGGAGCACCACTGTGGAAACCCATCTCCCCCGATCCAGACCCATCGTCTAGTTTGCCGCACCGGCACCTCCAAAGCACGATCACCACCAAAGCAATCGAACCATAACTGCCACAAACCCAGTTGAACCACTATCACCACCCAATGGAACCACCACCAACCATTAACAAATGAAAACAGAGAGAGGATGGGTATGAAGAGAGAAGAAGAACAGGAAGAATCAGAGAGAGGAAGAAGAAAATAAAAAATAAGAGAGGAAGAAGAAGAGAAGAGAAAACAGAGAAAAAGGAAGAAAGAAAAAAGAAAGTCTGGGAAGGAATAGAAGAAGAAAAAAGGAAAAGAGAAAAAAGAAGGGCACGGGCCTGGCTGGGAAGGAAGGAAAGGAAGAAAGAAAGAGAAAGAGAAAAAAGAAATGAGATAAAGATAGTTTGTCTTAAAAAAAACATTAGAATTTTTTATTTGTTAAATTATACATTTTTTTATTGTTTATAAATTGTTGTCTTTGAAAAATAGCAGATTTTTATTTATTTAAAAAAACTGAAATTAGCAAAAATACAATTGAAAATAAGTCACATATTATTATTTTCAAATTGTACTACTAGACACATTTTCATTGTTTTTGTTTTTTGAAGATGTTTTCTAATTAATCTATCAGATGCATTTTCATTTCCTGAAAATGCAAATTTGTTTTCTTGTTTTCATTCTCTGAAAATATTTTCAGAAAACATTCTCCGAAAACGTTACCAGACGGGCCCTAAATATTTTGTCTTAATCTTCTACTTTCGTTCATAAAATTCAAGAAATAGAAGGAAACTTGAAGCTTCCCACCCTCTCCCGCCAAAATAATAATTGACATGATTCTATTTACTTTTTTCATTATTAACTAATATGAGATTTCAATTTAGAACCTCTTTTAATTTTAGATTAAGAAATTGTTTATACTATATATGACTAGCCAATTTTCTGCGACACATTGAACATGAGACCTACAAAGGGACCCGTAGAGTCTAATAAAAACATTGAGGCCCATAAAACAACCATCGACATGGGTGAGCCTAGGGGTTATTATTCGGCCAGTGGGTTGAAGTAGGTAGTCCGAAGCTCGATGGGCCAAAGCTCGATCCAATGGTTAGGCCCACTCGGCCCGGCTAGCTCTAAGGTTAGGTAGAGCTTGAGTTTAGGTGTTGAAACCTTTGGCCCAACAAGGCCCGTCCATGGCTTGGCCGCGAGTAAGCCCGCTCATTGCTTTGTTGTTTTTTGTTTCCCATTATATTGCCTTATTTTCATTCTAAACATTTAAGTTATTTTTATATTACTTCATTTACTTAAGTTTTACAATGTAAATACGGAAATATCCTCATTTGGATTTAATAAAAAAAAACTAGAAAATCAAATTCCCAACAATTCAAAATAGGAAAATCTAGTTTTGGTATAAGATACAGTTTATACAAATATTGATACCTCAATAAGTCAATGTATACTTTATACTAAAATCTCATTAAATCGTGTTTGATTATTTAAGTTGTAAGGAATATAAACCGTCAAAAATATCATCGAAAACATTAATATTTCAGAAGTCCATTTTTCATACTTAGTTAGATTTTGATAGAAAACAATTTTTCAAGTATGATATGTAGCAATCTAGGTTGACACAACTAAATATATGCATATCTCAACTAGATTGGCACTTACACACTTATCAATCAATTGCACTTTACAACCTTAAGGTACAAAAATAATGTTAGAATTATGTTAATATAAAAATAAATTAAAGTGAAAAAAAACAAGACAAGACATTTATTTAAATGTTTAGAATGGAAATAAGGCAAACAAAAAAGGCAATGGGCGGCCCGTGGGTGGCTTGGCCCATCCCGGCCCGGAAAGTCTACTTAAGCCATCCTTTATGGGCGGGCTCTGGTCGATCCCTTTCAAACCTCAATCCGGCCCGATGACGAACCCTAGATGAGCCTTCGACAACCTAACCTGTCGATCTGGGTGAAAAAGGAGTCTATTGAACTAGGTTGGACAAAGGATATGTGGTAGCCTCTCAGGTAATGTCCACAGTCTCACACTGAAATATCACTTAATGCACACCTCCCAAGGTCTATAAATAAGGGTACAAGTCCCTGAAATGAGGTAATAGTTACATTTGGCTACTTAGCCATTACTCTGTCCAAATCACTATTCACTCTATTATTAAGTTAACTTAAGCATCAGAGAGTTTTCGATCGGTACCACATACACCGGTGTCAAAGATCTTACCATTGCTCTTTGTCTTGCAAATCATCCACATTTGTCGAAGAGCCCAAGAGGCCGAAAGTGGCACATCATCTTTAAGTTTAGCCCAAAAGTGATTATCCATTTTTTAGCATCAATAGAAGTACTACAAGATTGCAATTGTAGGTTAGGTTAGTTGGTCATAACAACGTGTCCGCCTTTTTGCACTCGTGTTCAAAATCCCCTCTTCGTAAATTAGGTTAGTTTAGAATATCGCTTTACCAAAAAAAGAAGTACTACTAAATTAAAAGAAAATTGATGAGATTTAGGTGATATAGGTATAATATCATTGGCGGACCTACACATGAGTAAAGAGGTGCAACTGCACCTACCCTCGCAGAAAAATCCTTTGGGGTAGCCGGAATTTGCCCCTTTGCTGATGCCGACCATGTGTTCGATTAAATGTCTGAAAGTGACTTTGTAATATTCAATTTCATTTATGCTTCGGATAAACTTATTGTCTCCCAAAATTCCCTTAATGGTATATCTCTATTTAATAAATATCCACGAGCTTTAATCCCCTTTATTTGACATATGTTTGTTTTTATGCAGATTTCATGTTTATTTACAAATTTTCTCTCTTCCATATTGACTAATGTAGATGGGTTCATGGACTTCTTGCACTTGGATTTCCCTTACATACTTTTAGCATTTTAAATGTTGCCCCTCCCTTGAAAATTTTATGAGTCCACTAGTGTATAATATTATAGTTTCTTTAATTGAATGCATGAGTACGTAATTATGAAAGGATACCGACAATCAAGTATGATTATGGTAGTACGTAATGGCCTTTTTGACGTCATTGCGATATTCAACTTATAAAATACACTTATGAATGAAAGACTAATATAATTTTTTTTTAAAAATTAATAGATTTTTGTAAAAAAAGGGTTAAATATCTTAATTTTATGTTCTTTTATATTTATGAAATATGATATAAATAAGACATTACTAGCCTCTTCGCATGCGTTTTCGCTCATGTGAGAGGCTTTTTTTTAATTATAAAAAATTTAAATTTATTTTAGAATTAAAAAAAATAATGGGTAGTTTCATAAAAATATGATCTATTATCTTATTTTTCTTTTAATTTTAAAATTTTTAATATGAAAAAAATGAATTTACCATATTATCATCATTTAATTAATAATTTCAATTCTTAATGCTTGCATTAATCAAGGACATTTTTTTATATTTTGAATGTTTTACCATGGGTAGTTATGTTCCATAAAAGTATGACCTATTATCTGATTTGTTTTTAATTTTAATTTTATAAAATATGAAAATGTGAATTTACCATATTATCCTAATTTAATCAATAATTTCAATTGTTAATGTTTGAATTAACCAAGAGTATTTTCTAGTATTTTGAATGTTTCATTATTTTCTGTCTTTGGCTCTATATATATAAAATATAGATGCTAGAGAAAAAAAAAAGAACAATAATATATGTTTCTTTTGCCTGCTTTGACGAAGAGGTACACGCGCTAAGAAAGATGGTGGCCAGGAGTCTTGCCTAGCAACACAACTCCCTGTGTTTCGGCGAAAGTGCACGTGTCAACGCGTCATGGTGAGCTGGTTCAACTGATTACGTGGCAGAGTTCTATTTGCTGAAATCACTTAGCGAAGATCCCATCAGAGCCGTCGGTATGATCCAAGAGAAGCCGACATATTACCTCTGTCTGACCGTTAAGAGAGAGAAGAACAGAGTCTTAGAGAGAGAGAGTGCAAGAGCGAGCGAGAGAGAGAGAGAGAGAGAGAGGTATTTTCTCTTCAATTTTCACCTTTTAATTTATTTATACTGTTAATTTTTATCAATTTAGTTAGCTAATTACAGCTTCATGGTCCTGTTGCTCGAAATTCATTGTTTCTTGGTTTCGTTTTCTTTCTTGCTCTCTCTCTCTCTCTCTCTCTCTCTCTCTCTCTCTCTCAAGTGTGTGAATTTGGTAATTGAACTGTGTAGTCAATGGAGCTTCTTATTTAGGGTTTTAAGTTCATGTGTAGGTTTTGATTATTCTGCCTCTGAGAAATGCTTATGCGATTTGTGCGTAGTTCTTTGGTCAATGGGGTTTAAGAACCTTGGTGATATTTTGGTATGAGTCACTTGGTTGGTTGACTTTATCTTTAACGTTTACTTGGAAATTTTGGAGCTTTGGAATAGGGGTTTTGAATTTTGTGCCTTGTTAAGAAACGATTATGTTGTTTTAAGGCTTTTCAATCATTTGAAGGTTTTGGAAATGTTTCTTAAAGAATAGTTTATGCACTTCTACTATGTTTTTTATTAGGATTTTTCAATCTTTATTCTTAATTAGATGCTGACGAGATAGTATAGTAAAATTTTAAGGTCAAAGGCCCTATTTTTCAGTATTTGATTCCAATATATCATGTTTGGATACCCTAGTCATATCCTGTTTCACAAACTCATAAACGTGTTAAACACAATAATTTTGACTTCGTGATGGTGATTGAAGCAGTGGGGTGCTAAGGATGCAGTGGCGTTGTTGTGGTGGCTGGAGCGTGGCATGAGATCTTTCAGGTTAGTAAGGGAATTTAAACAACCTTGTTTGCCCGGTTAGCTACGTGTTTTAGTGCTGAATTTTACTCTCTCTCTCTTTCTCTCTCTCTCTCTCTCTCTCTCTCTCTCTCTCTCTCCCGTAAAACAGATTAGAAACAGTTTTGGGAAGACTTTAAAAGACGTGGAGTTTAGATTGCTAATCATCATTATTATGAATCTTTGATTAGATACCCAGACAGACATACGGGGATCTCGCTACCAAAATGTATGTTGCTTAATATCTCTACTGCGTGGTTCCCATTATTTCTATCAGTTTCTTTAGATTGGTATCATTTACTTTCTTCTTATCTTAATTGTTTCCCTGAGACAGACTCAAGATTGTGGTTCGCATCACAAGTAGAGATCAAATGCCATCTTTCAAAATGAAGGCTCAATCAAGCATGGGATGTTTACGAGAAAAAAATGGTCTTCGTGTATGTCAAAAGTCGAGTGTGATTACCAAGAAAGCATGTTCTCATGTTAGGAAATCTGAACATACAGCGGATCTTGACACTTGTACAAATTGTCAGGAAGGTAAGAAACCAAACATAAAAAGAAGTTGATGTTCGATCTATCATATAGTGTTATAGTAAAGACTGTATAATTTATCTTTGTATTTTTCCATGCATTTTGAGCTCTCTGGCTTTCTAATTTTGTAATGGAGGCTTTTAATTTTTCGTAAATTGCTTAATTTAAATGTTTCTTATGAATCTACATTGAGCGTGCAATGCAAGTTTCAACGAAGGACATTGATTCAGTCCATGCACAATTATATGCTTCCAAAGTTTTTTTTTGCAATTGTTAACATTAGAGCTTCTTATATTCTCATAGTTCCTTCGAGCATGGACGTTTCTATTAAGGAAATTGGACGTGATGAAGCAATTGACCATCAGGAATTGCTGGATGAGCAAGATTGTAAGCAATCATGCGATTCTGAAACCAAAAGGATGGTAAGTGTTTAATTTCCAAGGTTGCGGACACCAATTTATTGCCTTAATAGTGCATTGCCCTTTGGTTTTGAAAATGATCCTTGCTCAAAGTTTTCTTGAATTGCACCGTGTGGCTATTAAGATTTCTTATAAGGTTGTATAATTTTCAGGAGTCCTCTCACACCTGCCCATCAAATTTAGAGACAATTTTCTCTCCTGCTTTGGAGTCTAGTGAATCCCATGGCGAACCAAATAGTGAACCAACTGCTGACATTGATGCAGGTATGCCTCAAACTTGGTTAATTAAACACGTAGAGATCAATCTGATATAATTAAAAAGGAAGAAATAACTTAGGTATGTGCCAGCCCTGAACTGTGTGTAAATGCTATTCTAAAACATTATTTAGTATGTGTAGGTTATTTCAACAAAATTTAACCACTTTCCAGTGGTAATTTGTAACTTGTTTTTATATAATAAAAAAATCAAATCTACCTACTGTGTCATGTAATTTAATGTTACCAATAAGAGCTAATATCTAGTATGCTAATCTGATCCTGACTTTTCAGGGTTAGGAGCTGGTGACAGTGATGATAACAGAAGTTCATGTGACAATCAAACTTGCGATGTCTCAGATTTCTACATTTCTGACATGATCATTTCGAGCTTACCCTTCAACGAGAATGCATTTGATGTTGATATTGGTGAAACGAATTGCTTTCCAGACTACAAATGTGCTGAACCAAATATGTTCTTTGGTGCGTCTGAGCAATACATGGTATTGCCTTTCCTAGAGGACACTTTCAGAAGCAGTAATATTAATACTGATGTTGACAAATCATGTGAAGAAGCCATCGTAGATACAGATTGTGCTGGAATGTATTCGGAAATGGGTCAAATGAGCCCCTGCAACCAGGAAACTTTTGTTAATTCTTCTGACTCAGATCAGGCGGAGTCCTTTGATCCACAGTTGTTTATAAAAAACTTACCCGAATTATCAGATGTGGTATCAAATTATCAACCCAACATATTGCCTGAGGATGCTCCAAAAAGAAAGTCTGTAACTCTTGTACTTGATTTGGATGGTAAGTAATGTTATATGTCTGTGTTCTCATATGATTATATGTTTATCATCATTTAACGTTATTTCTCACATACTTTTGGGACCGTAGGTACTTGTTTACTAGTTTTGGAACCTTGTTAATGTTATCTTAAATGACGAATTAGGAATTTATAGTGAATTTTTTTTAATTTTCTCAACAAGTTAATCAAACATCATTGAGCTGTGCTATTGGTAGAGGACGCTGTCCTAAAGTCTACATGAATATGGTATATTAACAAAATGCCTACAAGTCAAATTTGAAATCCATAATGTTGAGAATCAATTTTTTTGCAGAAGTCTTTGTTACCTGTTTCCGGTGTTAGTGAAACATTTAGTTTGAAGTGTTGGCAGCTCCCATCTCACTTTCTCTCTTAACAAAAAATAAATAAATTATAGTCTTGTGGGTGTTTGCTCATAACAAACTGCAACCCAGTTTATTTATGAAAAAATTTCAGTTGATTTTAGCTCAGTCTGGCTACTATAACTGTGTATTAAAGACTGAGCCACATATTTTAGTTGTTTGACATTCGTCCGGCTAGCCGTCAATGTGTTGAAAGTTGTGGAAGCAATTTGTAGTGCTTAAACAGGACATGTGAATTGATTGCGATAATATCATCAATGCAGGCTATGTATGTGCAGATGCACACCACAGAGACCATATGGCTTCTCTCTAGCCCACAAATAAATTATTTTTTCATTTTATACTGTATCACGTAAACACATTCATAAGTACAAATATATTTGTCTGTGTGCTCGCGCTTGTGCATGCCCACATTAATACATTGATATGTATAGACATAGATACGTGAGTATTGACAGCATTTAGGCTTAGGATATGGTACACCAAGGCGCTAAGAATGTTGGTTTTCCATTTTTCAGTTTAATCTTACTGTGAATTTTTTTTTTTCCAGAGTTTCAGTTGAGAAATATATGTTGAAGTATATGTTACTGATACTTAGTAATGCTGCTATTATATATGCAGAAACACTGGTTCATTCTACATTGGAACATCTTGATGATGCAGACTTCACATTTACCGTCTTTTTCAACATGAAAGAGCATACGGTATATGTGAAACAGAGGCCTTACCTCCAAACATTCTTGGAGAAAGTTGCAGAAATGTTTGAAGTTGTTATTTTTACAGCCAGCCAAAGCATATATGCAGAGCAACTTCTTGATATATTGGATCCATATGCAAAGCTTATATCTCGCAGAGTTTATCGTGAATCGTGCATTTTCTCAGATGGCAGTTACACTAAAGATTTGACAGTTTTAGGTGTTGATCTTGCAAAAGTTGCCATAATTGATAATACTCCTCAGGTATATCCCCTGGCCATTTGTGTTAACTTCTTAGACCTTTATTTCTTAATGTTTAGGATTTTCTTTTCAATTTCCATTTGTCCTAATTTTTGCATTGCCACTTTATGGGTTGCCCTATTGCTTGAGAACTCGCACTTTCTTTCAGATCTCTTGATGCTGGCAGTTGTAGTGGCTACTAATAAAAATTGGTTTCACTCCTGGCGAAATTAAAAGCTAAGGCAAAGAGAAAAAAAATGGAAAGAAATGAACCTTGTTATTACTCGGTAAACTGACTGTTTTTCTCCTATCCTCTTTTTATCATTTCAGGTTTTCCGATTGCAAGTTAATAATGGAATTCCTATAAAGAGTTGGTTTGATGATCCGTCCGATAGTGCTCTGATTTCATTACTTCCCTTCTTAGAGACCCTGGTTAATGCTGATGATGTTCGTCCAATAATTGCCAAGAGATTCGGTAACAAGGAATAAGAGTCACTTGTCTTTCTCATTTGCTTGAATATAGAAGCTCCTTGTCCCTCTCATACCTTTTTTTAAAATAGAAACTATTGGCCTCTAATCTTGATGCTCCCGTTCTTTTCTTTTGAGCTCATGAGATAATTAGCTATACAATAAACTCTTTCTTATTGTCAGTCAGCTCTTGGTTCTTGTTCCCTTGTTTTCTTCCTTTCAGCTTACAACACTGTGGAATGGGTTGTCTAATTTTTGTTCAGAGGTAATTGTAGAGAAAGTATGATTTATCCTTATTGTACAGTTTAAGTTGCTTTTATATCAGGGTGTACACATGAGAAATTAGCTATAAAATATTGGCCTTTAATCAAGATGCTCCTCCTTCTCTTCATTTGAGCTCATTAGGTAATCAATTATGCAATTCAATCTTCTTTTCTTTATTGTCTGCCAGCTCTTCGTTCTTGTTTCCTTATTTCCTTCCTTTCAGCTGACAACACTTGAGGACAGTTTGTCTAGTTTTTTGTTCGGAGGTAACTGTATGGAATGTCAATTTATCCTTTTTTGCAATTTCAAGTTGCTTTCTATATTAGGGTGTTCGCATGAAAAACTAATAAATTCTGAGATACAATTCTTGAAAGCGTTGCCTTTTACTGAGTTTGCTTATTACAGCCACATGTTTTGATACATTGTCTTTTATTAAAAAATATTCACAATACATTAGGGATCCAATCTAGTCAATATTGTCATAGGCTTTTATGATTTATTAAAAGATTATGTTTCATAGGAAGAATAATTAATAGCTTATGCCAAAAATTGGAATTGGAAGCCTGTGTAGTAAGATTTACTCTTTCCTTGAGGGATTTATGCCAAAAAGTACATAGTGGGTACACAAAGAGGAGTCTGGCATATTGAGTGTGCTACATAGTAAATAAAGCCAGGTGGCTTATAAAAGAGAATCTCTTAAAAGATGAATTAAGTTGAATGTGCAATTATGAATGCCTTTCTAACCAACTTTTTGACATCTTCATAGATGTCTACCAGTAAGGAAATCTTCAAACAGCTGAATCCTAAGTATTTTCAAAAATTCAAATGATAGTTATGGTAGTTATAATTACTGTAACAGCTCAAAGTTTAGCTTGTGATACTGCATATCTTTAGTAAATAAATGATTACCATTCATATAAAATTATTTTTGAAAACAAAGTAATGTAAATGCTATAATAAGTAAATGGCATTGAATACTTTCTGAACTTAAAAGGAAGTCTTACCTTTAATGCAATGATATGTCAAATTATGCTAAATGAAGTTCAGAATTTTTCTGTAGTAATATGAAGGTGTGGCCCTTCTGGATAAGAAATAAGAAACAGGGAGGAACAGAAAGAGGACAAACAACTTGCGCATCCTATGTCCACATGGCATCATTTTGCGACAGAATTTCTTCGTTCACACTGACTGACTTCAGGCTTATTTATGTTCTAGGGATTAGTTTTTAGTTTCATTTTCTTTTCTAAAGAGTTTAAACAACTGGAGCACCATTTCTTGATTAAATCAAAGTAGATTTAGAAGGAAATGTGAGGGGAAGTAAAGTCTGTATTTGATTACATTATATTCCGAATAGTAAACATAGTTTGTATGTTTGAGTGAATTATATCTTATGAACCAAGATTGCTCTTAGAATAATGATATAATTTTTTTCCAATGAACTATATATACTGCTTCAGTAAACAAAACATACACATGGTGACTTAGGTGGTGAATGAGTTAAGGTTGAGAATGCCATGTTTTATTCTAGGAGGGTGGTATGGGTATGAGATGTACCCTATGAAGTGATTTAGTTCATATGGCCTCTAAAAGTGAGTTTTCTCATGAGGATGCTTAATTTATTGGATTAGCAGATGCTTCCAAAGATATTGCGTAAAAAGTTTAGATGGTGGTTTCTATGCTTACACTGCACTGATGGATCAAGATATGTATGAAATGTGAATAACAGATGTTGGAGGATTGTGCAGATTGTGGAGACAAAAAGGGTTTGAATAACAGATATTAATGGGAGAAAGGAAGATTAGCTGGGTTGTTAAATTAGCTGACTAACACTGCTTTTCATGATCTTCTGCCAGTTTAGTCTTTTTGTACTTTTACAAGTTTGCATGCCTTGTCTGCAGGTCATGCGGACAACACTAACACATTTTCTGCTAATGTGAAAATAGTAAGGATGTTGAGTTTTGTTGCTACCTCTTTCTTGAGAAGTCTGTAGAGACATGTATTTATAAAAAGCATACAAGTTTCCTGCCTGTATCTTCTCACTCTTGGATTTGTGGAGTGACGTTTGAGATGAGGTGGTTGTGTAAATTGTTTTCAGATAATCGAGTATTTTTTTACTTCATTTTGTTTAATTTTCTGTACTTTGGTACCCTGGTCATTTGCTTGTTTCATCCTTGCCAATGGCTATGGCTATGGCTATCTGAAATACATAAAAGTAAAATCTAGCTGGTTGGCGTTATTTTCTTTTGCCATTTTATTGGAGGTTGTGACAATGATTCGATAAACCTCAAGAGATTTCCATTCTCTGGTGTTCAATATTTTCAAGTTTGCTTTTGCAAACAACCCAGCGGAGGAGAAAACTTGTCTTTGAGGTTTGTCTTCTGCTTAACCAAATTGACAATTTCCCATTTCCCAGACCAGGAGTGACTTAAGATCTTATATTACCTCTCTCACTGGGAGTATGGGGTGATGATGCCCCACTTTTTCTGACCCATTATTGTCGAGGTTGAACCATCTGTAGGTATATCGATAAGTCATGGTTCTTTCTCATGCTCCATGGCATGAATAAGAAATGGTTTCCATTGCTGGTATGAAAATTGCCGACTGTTCACTACGCCATTCAACTGGTTACAAATTAATGTACTTAGAAATGGACAAATTCAAGTTCAATTAAAGCTACTAGTCCATTTCAAACCATCGCTGAAAGAACGACTAGTCGTATCATTTGCAACTGGATGCCTTTGCAACACGAAAAATGGTCACTCAACATAAAAGGGCCAGTCCCTTTTGGCTGAATTGAGCTACTGTCATATAAAATAGAGGTAACATAATGAACAACGGTTAACTTTGTACTAGAATTACATTCAAATATAATTCAACGTCCCTTTCAAGGAGGTTCTCCATGTCGTAAATCACAGCATGCTCGTGTTGCCTGCCGGGGCATCTGCCTTCATTTCTGTCTGCATATGAGGAGATACAGAAGATACAACTGTTCCATGGCTATCAGAATTATTTGGTGGCACAGCTGCTTGATCCTACATAACCCAAAAACAAGAGAGAATAAACATTTTGGTTAGATACAACTGTGCAGACATTCATAAGTTCTTCTCAATTCAAAGGGAAGTAGAAAAGGGGATACGTCAACACATTTTGGCCAACGCATGGTGTACGACTATTTTTTTTTTTAATCATAATCTTTTTTGGGATAAATCTAGCTCCAAAGTAAATAAATTCCTTAGTTTTTAACTGAGACTATGACCATTTTTTTTTCTTTTTTTTCTTCAGGTTAAAAGGGGGCCAAGATGCCCACATACATGGGCCAATTTGAAACAACTTAGAAATCTTTGAAGTAAATGAACAGAGAATGTCTTGATAATCCTCAGAAACCAGCTTTGGAAACAATGTAGTCTGGACAACAAGACTGCCAGCAATCAGCTTTCTAAGAATGAACAAAAAGCACAGATCATTGAACGAGAATTTTGAGGGGGAACAGAACATCCAGTGGGGAAGAAGAAATAGAATTCAACTGTTTGCTTTATGCTGGACCCTAAGGATGAACAGAACATTCAGCGGGGAAGAATAAAGCGAGAAAAAGATGGCATGATCCTTTTACAGTTACATTAATTTAAAATTGGAGAAGAGGAGGGAGAAAAGAATGAACATGTGATAGTTTCATGTCGTCATACCTCTAACTCTTTATCCTTTATCCTTTTTTGGGTTCATTAATTTGAAATTGTTACTTCGCTTGCCAGTTACACAAAACGATACATTTAATGCATGGTATACTGATCATATGCTCATGCAATATTAGCACGCATCTGGATAACCTTTAGTCCCCCTGATTAAGTGGTTCAACTTGGAGTATTGACATTTAATTTAAACATGTATTTCCTAGTTTCCTTGACAATGCAGTAACATAACCATGCATTGTAGTCAAAGTTCAATATCATACCTGATGGTAGTAGTTGTCATGCTGAATCCCAGGACTAATTCGCTGCTGCTGCTGCTGCTCCTGCATAAGTGATTGCTGTTGGAGTGGCTGCTGATTGTTCTGCATGTAACTCAGATGCTGTTGTTCCTGAAGTTGCTGCTGCTGATGAGGTTGCTGAAGTTGCTGTTGTTGCATTTGCAACTGCTGATTGTATTGCTGTTGTTGCAAAGGAATCTGTTGCTGCACATTGTGTTGTGTCTGTAATTGCTGCTGTTGATAAGGTTGTTGCTGTTGCATCTGACCATAATATTGTTGAAGTTGTTGCGGCTGCTGCTGATACTGTTGCAACAAGGCCTGCTGCTGCTGGGGCTGGGGCTGGGGCTGTTGTTGTTGCTGCTGTGTTTGATGCAGCTGTTGTTGAAGGAACTGCTGCTGCTGCTGCTGCTGCTGGTAGTAATAATATTGCCACATCTGATTATATGCTTGGCTATTCTGCATCCCGTACTGCCCTAAAATTGATCCTTGAGATGCCTGTGGAACAACAGATTGGGCAGGCAACTGGGGCTGACATGAAGAGGCATAATTTGGTTGTGGTACATTTTGCATATGCCAAGCCTTAGGTGCCATTACATTAACAGGAGTAGCTGCTGCTTGATATGGATTATGATCCTGGCTGCCCTGCTGAATTTGTGGGCTCTGTGAAGACACAAATTGAGAGGGTTGACATAGACTGCCAGTCCCAGGCATTGGACTACCCACTTCAGTTTGTGGGTATTTTTGTGGGGAAACTGGCTGCTGCTGATATGATTTTCTCTGTAAACGTCCCCGAAACCCAAATTTGGAATCTCTACGAACTTTACCAGAACGATTATTTTGATGCCAGTCTCCGTAACTATTCACAGCTGGTTGAGAAAGTGCATGTGTTGAAATCGGATTAACCGCTTTATTTCCAGCCGTCTCCAATGCTCTGGCCTTTCTTGGGCTGTACATATAAGAGTCTTCATTAGATTTGCAATTGCTCTCTAGCTTCCTTCCATTTGAAGTACAGGTTTCTTGAGAACCTTCGCAGTTGAGATAAATGGAGGGTATTAAATCCAGATTTGTATTCTCCTGGGAATTTAGAGAAAGACTCTCTAACGACAGTGGCTTCAGGTCTTGTTCAGACTTATTGTCGCACTCTCGATTAGCATCACTCCTGTTTGTGCCTTCTTGTGAAGGTTCTACAGAATCATTTCCTTCAGCAACTTGACATCCTAATTCAACAGATAATGCCTTCGGTTCAGGAGTATTTTCTCTGGGCTCCTCAGAAACTTCAGGAGATACCTGCTTCACTTTTACTAAATCTACAGATGCCAGATTTGCTTCTGGTGTATCATCTCTGGATTGCTCTTTTGAAACTTCTAGAGATGGCAGTTTCAGTGTTTCCTGTATGTTTTCAGGTTGCCTTGGTTGAAGCTTGTCAGAAGTAGTCTTCTCAAGTTGACTTCCCGGAGATGACAATTTCTGGTCACATATCTGGTCAGTAGGATCCTGGCCAGACTCAATTTTATGATTGTCTGGCAATAACATTTTACTGTCATGCAATGGGAGCTCAATCAGGGAGTCAGAACTACAATCTCCAGATGGCTGCTGAGGCAGAGCAACCAATGTTTCCTTTGTTCCTCTAGACAATTTCAAAAGTTTTGTAAATGTAGCATGCTGATCAAAAGAAGCTGTCCTAGTAGACGATGGGAACAATCGTACATGCCGATTCCACACCTTTCTTACTTCATGTATAGTTCCACATAGGTCAACAAACTGTTGCCATCATACACAAGTTAGAACCCTTGGAATTAGATGTAATAGCATAAACTCTATAATTAGAGTGAATTACTTAGAGAACCATCTCATATTACAGGAATTTAAAATAGCCTTGCTTGTCATTGTAAATTCTAGAGAGATTTTCGAATAAGTTCTCACTTTCTTGTAGTTTTATATCACTTAAATATGTAACTATGTTAAACATCAGCGTTCTAAAAAGAAATATTGCCATCACCATTTTGAAAACACATTTCAAAAAATAAAAGAGCACTATTTTGACCTTTAATTAACAATATTAATACAATCCATTTCAGAATTTGAAAACTGTATGTCCAGGTCCAGCAGTAAAAGTTAGTTGAAATTCCCCACGTGAAGGGATTGAGAAGGATGTTAATGTAAAATTTTAAAATAAGGGAGGATACTACATTTTTAGTAAACATCAAGGGAGGTTGGTGTAATTATCTCCATTAGTTAGTATGTGGAGATGACAAATGATGCTTCAATCAATGTGTCCTTGCCTTGGATGTACATCTAGATACCCATCTACTTGTTCATCAAAATAAAACAGTTAAATCTTTCAGCACGGGAAAACATAATTAGAGATTATATTATGAATTGACTCTACCAAAGAAAATCATGCTTTTTATTTTGCTGGAAGTGGCTCTGGACAAAATTTAGGAAGTCCAAGTATTGTAGCAAAGCACCATGCACCCTGTAATTAGTGGAAAAGTAAATTGACATTCATTCTGAATGACAATAAGCTTTGATCAAACTTGACAATAAGCTTGATCAAACTAAAGATCTAAAATTATAGAATATGGTTTGAAAATCTGGAGAGGCATAAACCAACAAGTAACACCTTTTCACGTCAATCTACTATTTTCCCCAAGACCAGCATATACATAGAAATGAGTTCAAAGAGAAATTTTAACCTCTAAATATAAGCTTGAAATATCCTCTGCGTCTTTTGCATTCAGAACATCAGATACACTTGACTGTGGAGATATTGCAGTGGCTACAATAGAATCTACCACATTTAGGTGTCGCTTCCCTCCATGCATAATTGAAAAGTTTATCAACTCCTGCAGGCGTAACCAAGAAACTTTACTAGTCTCCGATAGCAGTTAGACTTATATCATGATGCTACAATGCGGCAAGGGTTAAATTATAGATTGATGTTTGGTGCAGACTGTATTTCCACAACAGGTTTCCTTTACGATCTGGAAATGTTTTAATAGTCATAAGAGATGCTAAAAGAAGAAATATACCTCTAGAAGTGATTTGCAATGAGGCAAGTGTTTGATGCCATCTATCAAGACATCTCTGGCAGCATCTGCACTATCAGTCATCTATAATCAGGAAGCAAGGAGATGTTAATAGTCATATCAAGTTGGCTGGAGCACTCATGTACCACTTAAAGATGGAATAATCACCTAAAAAGTCAAAATATTAAGGGGGCAATGGAAGCACACAGAAAAATGGAAATCTGTGTAATCAAACATTTCTAATTACTTAATAAGCCTAAGTGACATTAAGTACTTAAAACCTAGAGAGCTGAAATAGAACCAAATGTACATAAAATAACTGATGTGACACCAACGCTGAGAAACTGGATTTTCCTGAGTTCATATATTACCTACCATGTAGGTAAGTCGGGAAAAATGAACATATAAAATAGGAAGAGTATGCAACTTTTTCTTCTCTACCGCCATTTCTAGTGCTTCTTTGTATATATTGGAAGCTACTGCGAAATTTCCCTGATAATGTAGGAAAACCATCAGCATGTGTTAGTCCTCATTCTTGATCTAATCAATATGTACAGGTGGTATTTCCTTGAAGTGATGAAAGAGCTAATTGCATACCATACGTTTTTCCATATTAGCCTTTAACATAACATTCTTCACAAACTGGGAATCTGATTCTGTATCACATTTAGGAAACGCAGCACGGGCACCAGATACATCTCCTATTTTCTCCTTAAACCTGGCATTGAAAAGATGAATCACCGACAGTCTCTGCAACGAACATATGAGCAGGGCCATAAACATCTCCAGTCATGTACAAAGCAATCAAGTCAAGGCATCCTATAGAAAGCAGCAATCGAGCAAGTTTCAGCATGGCATAAACTAGTCACATAGTTTCTAATACTAATTTTACAGGAGAACTCTAATACAGTCAATCTCAATAGCACTACTGTAAGTTGCCAACAACAGGATTCAGGAAAAAATATATGGCTCTTGGAGCAAATCCTAGTGTAATGGATTGGTTTTACAAAAGCAAAGATATGTCTAATACATATAATCCAAACCATAAGGAGTTCCGGGGTGTATCCTTACATGGAAGAAAATTAAACCTTTGCCTCAATTCCCTGGTAACCAGTAAGGTGAACAATGAAGTCGTATGTTCATAACTACCATAAGAAAAAAAGATATCTGTTTGGTTCCAGATAGGTAAATCCCATAAAAAAATAAAACCTAAAAAACCTAAAAAACATAAAGCTTAGCCAACAAACTTTAGAATGTTAGTATTTTTGGAAAGCCCATTAAATGTCCCAATATTCACATATTCTTAAGAGAGGTGCCACATCTGGTCATTTCATGCTATGAAGGTTTCCACTTCAATCACTAAAGAGGATACCCCAGAAAATATAACTCAGTAGGATTCATCAGTGCACTGACTACAAAAATTGACGATTAGCCTGTAACTTACCAATATTATAGTCTTTAGATTGGCCAATAAAACCATTTTACCACAAATACGACTCACCTAAAACTAGATGTATATTCATGTTGTAGTCTTTCTTGTCATGGACTCTTAAGCAAATTTTAACAGATTTAATTCATTTAACTTTCTTTAAGCATGCTTTTTAACATCACAGAAGGAGCTAAGCTCCATATGATGCATAACAATAAAAGAAAACTAAATATGAAAAATGGATCAAATATATTAGCTATCAATTTACTTGATGTATAGCAGCAGAATAGTGAAGGGAAATACTGGTGCAAAAACTTCTTCAGATTACATCAATTCTTAATGAAACTTAGCAAAAGTACCTTTAAATTTGAAGCAGGGGAATAATGGTTTCAAGGAAAAATACCTTCATAAATATTTGGGTTGCTCGGTCAAGAGCATAGTTTGCAATCTCTCTTCCTCCGTTGATTTCCATGAATTCCACATAACGCATCCAAAACTCAGGGTAATTGGCACAGGGAATCAAGCATCTCTCATAAAGTTTAACAGCCTACACTCAATGAATAAAGGGGGTTACGATAACAATAAAGGCAGGCAAGAGGCCAAGGCCACATAAGCAGAAGAACAATATAGAATCATACCCAGTCAAAATCCCCTTGGATCTCAACGAAGTCCAGATAGTGATGCCAATTCTCCAACTGACCCACATCAATTGGCCTGACATGGAAGTAAGACCTCCTTATATTAATCTCAAAAGTACGAATTGTTTCATCCAGCCGACATGCTTCCTGATACAACTGCTTTCCAACATATATGTATTTTTGCAGTGCTTTAGACCTTTCTAAGCCAATTGCTGGATCAAGCAAGTCTTTGGCAACAAGAGCAATTTCATCATCTCTATAAATTGTAGGGGCTTCACTATCAAGCACAGTTTCTGATTGCAAATCTACAGTAGAACTACTCTGGCATTTCATCTCCTCTTCACATGAGGCACCGAACTTCTTCAAACTAAAGAAAACATGGAACTCATGCCTTGTAAGAATAACATCTGAATGGCTCAACTAGAAGAGGGAAAAAGACATAAAATCGTAAAATGTTGCATTCCGCAAGCACAACATAAACCTAGGTCATTAGAAATCAATCATAACAGCAAACAGGAGATTGTGGTAAACTGTCAACAATCGTGCAAATCAAGGTCTTCAGAAAATTACATAGTAATACCATTGAATAATAAGAAATTATAATGAAAGAGCAAATCAAAGTTTATGAGGTTGTATTTCAGAAGTGTAATGGAGTGTACCCACTTCATTGATAACGATGATTTCATATTTTTCTCCTTACATTTCAAAAACTATAAAGATCCAAAGAATCAATGCAAAGAGATATACCTTTCGTAATAACGATGCAACTTTTTGGTAGGAAATCTAAGCGCTTGGATGTAAATCTGGGCCAGCGAACTCCATTGCTGCTGAGAATACTCAAATTCAATGTATTTGTCCCACAAAGTATGGCATGAGTAATCCTTTCCAACAAAAGACATGCCTCTCTGAAATAATCTGTCAAAGAATTTCAAACAGAAACAAAAAATTAATAATTAATTGCGTCAAAATTGATAATCTTTTTGCCCCACCAAGCAAGAAATCCAAGTATTCGAAATTTGCAGCTGAAAACTGTTATGGAAGCTAATTGTTATCACCTGCGAATGTCAGATGGGTTTTCAAAAGCTGCCATAGCGAAGTTACAGTAGTCCACCCACAGGGGAACAGAGTACGTTGCTGATTGCACCGCTCGTTCGAAAACTTGAACAACCTTGTCAACGCTGCATAAGCGGGCCTTATGATCAGCGTACCTCCTCCAGTATCCATGGCACAGCGGAAACTCGGACAAGAACGAGTCATAAACTGAAGATATTTTCTCTACGTCATCCTGCAGAGAATTTCACAACCAAACATTCATAAAGAAATAAAAAATGAGAGAGAGATAGGAAGAAGAAGAAGAAAGCAATTTGCTTACAGAATATGCAGTCTCTATCTCTGAAATGACTGAAGTCCAGTGATCAAAGTCTAGTGAGTCTCGACGAAAATCATCTGAGTGAAAAACGCAAAAGAATTTGAGCGGTAAATTACTTGAGCATTCAGAGAGCAGATTACAGTAGCTAGATGAACAAATATCATATTCAAGCAAGCTTATTGAGAGAGAGAGAGAGAGCCTGTGTGTTTGTTTACCTGGAGAGTCTGATTCCATGGGCTCAGGCTCCGATTCGCAATTACAAGTTCTCATGGGCCCAAAATTGATGAATGTGATCTCAGAGACTGAGAGAAGAGAGGGAAGGGACGCGGTAGAGTGAGTGCCGATTACGGGCGGTGGCGGGTAATTGGTTCTCCAACTTCTGCTAATATTTTCTTTTAACTTTTCCTTTCAGCAAGCAAATATTTGTTTTTTTTTATATAGAATATAAATATAATAGGGTTGGGCTTTGTCCTTTTTTTTTCTTTTTTTTTCTGTCTTCTCTGAAAGAAGATTTGGATATAATAAGATGGACTTGACATTTGTAAATAACCTAAATAATTTCATTTGCTTATCTGACTAATAGCTAGTTAGTTAGTTATTACTATTGTTTTTTTATTATAAGATGAGTTTGGGGAAATTTTTGAAATTTCTAGGTTAAAAAAGAAAGTGTAAGAAGAAGGCATCGGCCAAAGAAGTCTAGCCCAAGGAAAATGGTTTTGATTTATAGACCAGATGTCACTAGTTCGAACCTCATGACACTTTTCCAGTATGAGTGTGAGAAATCCTATTAGAAAAAAACAAAGAAAGTCCCCAAAACAAAACAAAATCCTATCTCTAAAACCACAAAAAAATAGGTATGAAATTTGTTATCTAACGTTGTTGTTGTTGCTGGATGACCAAGACACTAGATTTGCAGTGAGAGTCCGTCGACGAAAGCATATCTCCAATAACCCCAAGCTCCGGAAACTCACTCCATTGATCAAGACCCGAAGTCTGAGGGCTGCTCACATTATATCTTCTCCCAACTATGAACATGTCGTATTCATTTTCATCCATCAACGACCGTATTTTCCTTGTCGTTTTAATCCCGTCCTCTACAATCTGCTCCACATAACTCACGTACCCCGCGCCATTATACTTCATTTCCTTCAACATCTCATTGTCCTGCACCCACTCCCATTTGTTGTTCCCGTCTTCATCCCCGGACGCATCGACTAACCGAAACACCGTCAGGCTGATGTACGCGTCCTTAGCCATGCGCTTCGCAAGGGTAAGCGCCTCCCTGTCATCACTCCCTCCGAGAAAAATCAATGCAACTCGGTACGCTTCGTTAGGTGATTCTGGGGAGTTGGTGTATTTTACGTGACCACGGTTGACAAGGATGCCGACCGAGCACGGCGCTGTTTCGAGCACTCTACAATTGAGTGTCCTTGTGTTTTGGTTTTCTGACTCAATTGAACCGTTGACTGCCGACCACTTTCGATGGAATGGGAGGATTATAAACGACGTTGCTTTGTCTATCGCGAGGGTGCATATGTCATCGTACATGTAGTGTGGTTGAGTGATTGCCGTAAAGACTTGTGCAAAAACAGCTCCTTCGTTGTCTCTCTGAAAGTTGGAGAAGGAAATAATGACATTCTCGGAGAGTGAATTGTTTGAAAGGGTTCTCTTTTGTAGATTGTGGGAAATTAGGACGGGGGCGGCTCGACCGACTAGCTTGACGAGGTGGAGAACATAGACGGCAATGGGGCTATCTCGGGTTGGGCACGAAGCATCGAGAAAGTTAATTATGGCAGGGGTGTTATCAGCTCTGTTGATGCATGCAAGGATTCGGAGCTCGGAATTGGGTTTCCAATGCATAAGGTTTCTTTTTTGATAGCCTACGTATTTTCTCTTAGGATCGTACAAGAGTCTTATAAGAGGTGGGACGATGAGTACACATAACACAACGGTTAACATCATATAATCAAAGACTTCGGAAAATATTATCTGCACATAACAAATGAACAACATTGAAAACCCTAGTTAGTAAATTTGCCTGTAAGAAAACATGAATTAATGTGAGTGAGAGTTCTACTTTTTTTTAGAGAGCAGTAATAAATGAAACAATTAGCATGTGACAAAAAATACGTCGGTGTGTCACATAATATTATTGTTAAAGAGAAGTTGAATTCATATAAAAAGTTTACCCAAGTGTCGCTAGCAAAGGTGTACGCGCCTAACTCAACAACGCCTTTGCTACACAAAATGAGAGCCAGCGCTAATGCATCCCTCATATGCATCTTGCAACACAAAGGGATCACCAAAGAAGCCACAAATTTGCTGCAGTAAACCACAGAAGTAACAATTGTGACGGCTAAAACTGTCCTTTTGTGAGCCTTAGGCAGGGACATTGTAACCCTCATCATGGACGTGGTCGCAAAAACTGGCATAAAAACCCTATTGACCATAAAGTCAAACTTGTTGACCAAAGTAGCTCCTACTGGTGGCCCATCTGGCACGGCAAAACCCAACATCAAAGGTCCGATGATAAAAGACAGCTCACACCAATTGGAAAGCAACGCAGATCCGAGAAAAGCCAACATGATTAGGACAACGTACGAGTCTTTGATAGGCTTGCCATGAGGTGTTCGTTTAGCAATCCAAAACATACATGGTCGAAAAACAAGCCAAACAAATAAAGTGTAGGCTACCATTACCACTATGTCCCGTATCCCTTTGAGGATATTTTGTTGCACAGCTGCTGCCATTGCTGCAACGCCGGTGATGGCAATGCTGCAGAGGTCGCTGACAAGAGCCGAAGACAACGCTAACCGGCCAAGCTCGGAGTTCAGGATTTTGAGATCGGTGAGAAGACAAACTACGACGGGAGAGGGAGTTAGAGAGTGCACTGCTGTTAGAAACGCAAGCTGCACAATTTCTTGTCCATTTAAGAACCATTTAGAGTGAAGGAGGATTATGGTACCGACGCCGGCTACTATAGGCACTGACAGGCTTAATGCGCCCGTGTAGAGGGCTTTTTTTCCGGATTTAGGTATTAACCCCAAGTCCAATTTGACTCCGATCAAGAAGGAAAAAAATATGTAGCCAAATAGAGACATTATGTTGAGTATTTCTTGATTGGCAAAAGGAAATATGGGATTCACATCGTGATGACTAGATGATTTGACTATTCGGGAAAGTCCTGCATCACCAAGGAGTATTCCTGCCTGCATGGTTCCACCAAAAGAGAAAATACATTCATAATTTACTCGTAAATTTGAAGCGTACATTTTAGTTTTATGATAAATAAATAAAAACTTCAAAAGTTGGAACGCATTTTGCTAGATGTGAGACAATCATAACGAACGAATTTACATGGATTAGCCATCTCACATCCTGCAATTCCCGAAGCCAATTGATCATTACCATCTCTCTAAAGACAACTTCAGTGATGACAAAAAATATACTATTTTGATATTCACATGTATCTACAGTTGTTTAACTTTAATCTATGAAGACGATACCACGCATAGAGATGAAACTAAAAGGATATTAATGAGGAGATAATTAAAGCGCTTGAGAAATATGTAGTACGTACTTACCACAAGTTGAGCGGCCAAAGCCGGGAGGCCAAAGATCTTGAGAAAGAGATAGGTGAGCTCGGTGAGAAGAAACATGAGAATCATTTCAAACTCTAGGATTGGCATTGTGTAATTCTGCAGAGGAAATGAGAAATTCACCAACGAAGTAGTAGCATTCACCGTCCACCTTTCCGATCTGTTCCACAACCCAAGCGAATTTACACGAAACGGAAGATCGGTGCATATTGTCACCGTAGTATTAGCCAACGCTTCGTACAACGACATTTTGCCACGGCCACCACAACAAAGCTCGGAAGTTCATACAAGTTTAATTTGGTGGTATATATTCAGACGCATACAGTAGCAAGCAAGCAGCTGGTTTGAACGTGATGTCGTTTAGCTTTTGGCCACGGTAACTGCCTTGAACAAGTATTTAACTGACTAGAGGTTGGTTGGGCTTGGGAGGTTAAAAAAGGTTAATTTTGTTCCGCAGAACAGTTAAAGATTGGTTATTTTACACCTGTTTTCTCTGCACGCACAGCCACCGTTAAGAGATGAGGTTAGGTCAGCCATTATAATAGGAAATATCAAATCTACCCTTGATACACAAAAACAAATACCTAGTTCATGTTGTGGCAAGTGGGGCCAATCGCCCCATGCAACAAAAATAAAGTTCGGTAGAACGTCCAATCTGTCCATTGGTACTTTCGCGAAGATATCTCAAAGAGGCTAAGTAGACGGTTCATATGTATTTTCTGTCTCAACAAAAAATTTATAGTTCCACCAAGAAAAATTGAGCCATATTTGGTTTACTACAGTTAAACTGCCTATTTATGCTTTTATAATAACCAAATAATAAAAATTTCACCTGTCTTCGTGTTACTATCGATGGCTTACATATATTTTCGTCTCTCAATTTCTCTCTCTTTCCTTATGTAATTCAATTTATATCGTAACTTACATTAACACAGAGAAATTCAATCTCAATCTCCGTATATTAGATATTAGAATAATTTAGAATATCATTATATCAAAACTATTAAATATTTATATTAATCAGATGGCTACCTCAACGATCCGTCCTCGGAGAACCGCAAACCGAACACGTGGATCCAAATTATTTGCCGGGAAATAGTGAATTACGGTAAATAAATCATTGTGTCCTCCACCACCTTCCAATCTCACTCTCTCACTCTCTCACTCTACACGCTAGTGTATGTTTGTTTGTCTCTGCGCTGGAGCCAAAAAGAGAAAGCAGAGCAAGATATGAGAATGGCGAGCCTCTCACTCTCCTCCACGTCACCACAGACTTTCTCTCTCTACAGCATCGGGAGCAGCACCAAGTTCTCCGTCTCTCAACCAAGGCCGGCAAAGCTCTCTAGTCTTGTTCTTGCTCGCACCTCCAGCTCACTCCACTATAACCCTCTCAGGTAATTTTGTAATTTCACATTCAAGGTTTCAAATTTCAATTGTTGACGTTGAAATTGAATGCAAATCTCTGGTTTTGTTTTCCGGGTAGAGTTTCGATTGGTGGAAGTAATGATCTCGGGGTGCTGAAGAAGAAGAAGAAGAGCATGGGATCGGGTGCGGTATGTTACGCTGCACCTCTCACTGTTCATAGCCTCCAGTGGATCTCCACCATTTCTTCTGCGTAACTCTCTCTCTGACCCCCTTTTTTTGTTTTTGAATTTCCTTGAAAGATTTCCAATTTTAGTAATGGAATCTTGAGTGTGATGGAGTATGCGTTAATGGGTATTCAATTTTGTTACATTTCCAGGGTTCTACTGCTTGCAAAAGGCACTGCTGTTCAAAAATCATTTCTTGTTCCATTGTTTGTTCTACAAGCACCATCCACTGTAATCTCATGGTTTAAGTAAGCCTTTCAAAAACTTCTCTTTCTCCTTTTTTTGTCTTTTTCTTCAGTTTTTGATTGCATTAAAGTTTTTTTCTTTTTTCTTGGTAACCTATGGACCACGTCTGCCATTTAAGTTTAAATGCATAACTTGGCTGACATACATGATTTTGGCTTGCAGGGGCGAATATGGTATCTGGACTGCATTCTTAGCACTTCTTGTTCGTCTCTTCTTCTTTATTCCTGGTAGGTTCTCTTTTGATTCCTTGTTTTGAGTGTAGGATAGATAAATCTCTAGATAGATAGTTATCTGGTTTTCTCAAATGATAGTTTCTAATTTCTGCCTGGTTTGTTGACTTTATTGGTTTACTTGATTCACCAGTGGGCAACAACCCATTCAGTGTAATCTACCCTTATTTGGGCACTATTCCTATAAACAGCTCAATATTAATTGAAGATTCTGCCCAGTTTTTTAAGAATACTGACCCTTATGGTTTAGTGTGAAATCTGAATTCTTGTTTTGGGTCGCATATTATGGAGTGGTTACTTGACACTTCTCTAAGTCTTGTTCTGTTTTCTACTTTCAATTTGAAATTTGAGGTGTGGTAATATTTACTTACAGTTACCTCTGTCAAGTAATATTATGTACGGTCTCATTTTGTTCTTTTGCAGCCGAACTTGAGTTGCCATTGGTAGCATTACTCCTGGTGATTGTGGCTCCTTACCAAGTTACAAACATAAGGTAGGCAAATGCATTGTCTGAGACCAACCTTGACCATTATTTATAATTTTCTTAGTTGTTATGTTTCAATATGTTTCATTGTCAGGGGAAGACAAGAAGGTGCTATTATTTCACTGGTTATTGCAGCATATTTGGCTTTCCAGCATTTCTCACGAATAGGAACCTTGCAGAAATCATTTGACCGAGGTTCAATTGTTGCTACCTTAGCCATAATTTCTATCACTGCTGTGTCAGGCCTTCTCCTGTTCTGAGTTTATTGTAAAATATTAAAGAGTTATCAACCATATCTGCCTTATGGACTCATCTGAAGGGGGTGGAAGCCTAAGAACAGTCATGATCTACGAACCTTTCATTCTCATGTTAGATATATGTGTGAGGGTTTAGGAAAGCTTGACAGATACAATAAAATAAATAAAGTTCTCAGTATTTATTCATGTTTTGTCAATATCAGGAAATCTTGTCAACTAGTGTAATCTTTCCCCTGATCTACTGTTGAATTATTCGTATATACATGTAAAAGAGATAGTTGTCTGATGCCAAGAAACATCAAATGCTTCACTTTAGGCCACTAGGTAGAATTAACTTAAATCAATCTTTGTGCATTGTGCATCTTGTTTTCGTGCTTGTTAAGTTAGTGATCAAATTGGTCTTTCCATTAGCACAACGATTCTCTTCTTGCCTAGTTTTAGTATTTTTCCTTTCGGTTTGGAGTACTGCATTTTGGGGTTAAGTGATGCCATTTTGGGATATGATAGAGATCGTGGAATTGGCATGTTACAGCCTTGGTCGCTACCTAGCCATTTGAATGCACAAAATTCTATAAATTCCTTTGATGATTATATTGGAATCTAGAATGAAAGTTAATAATATGGATTGAGCATGATTTTATTGTTGGAATAAACATTTTAAATGTAGAAAATGAAGAAGAGCGAAGGATCTGTTGTCGTCTTCATCCTCCAAGAAAGTACTTGTAATGGCGAGTGTGCGTGTTAGGTCAAATTTTTATGTGTTGTATCTCAAGAAGGCATTTTTATTTGTTGGTGAAGGGGAAACATACCCTATATTTGAATAAATTGGTTCTTTTTAAGTATCTAATGTCTTACTACCAGACAAGCCATAGGTCATTCCTTTTTACCAACTACTCTACATCCATTGTTTCTAGTTAGGTCAATAACTTTTGATAACTACACGTATTACTCTGTCCTAGTTTCTATATTTGTGTTATCCATTGGCATGATAAAATTTTAAATTATGCTAGCTAATATATGTAATAAGCACCTTATCATTTTATATAAAAATAAAAAAAAGTTCTAAAGCCTGGTGGACTTAGCTAATAATTAAAAATTTATTGTACTAAAACTGCAGATAAAGAACCTATATGTCTACAAATACAAGAACCTAAAAAATTTCTATGCTTTTCTGTCCTTTTCTCAGGCTTAATAGGCTACTAATGGGTGTACTTAGATGAAGTATGGCAATAATTTAAACGGTGTGAACAAGGCCTGGAGATAACATAGTGGCTCGTTTTGATTCTCAGTGCCTCCTTGAACTTTATGTAGGATGCTGGCAAGTGAATGGATTACCATCTAATTGCAGATAGAATAGTTGTAACTTAGTTTCCTTTTAGAGATAATTTGCTGCAAGAAGTGACCCCAAGAGCCCAGTCGTGGTGAATAGCAGCAGCATGCAAGATGAGATAGAGGTGGCTGAGTTGGGGGACTCTGTTGGTTCCGAACCATAAATTGTAGATCCACCACCTGGTGTAGCAATGCTTGGGGTGTATGGAGTTGGCATCGTTGGTGTTGTCATCGTTGTTGGGGGTGGTGGTGACGGGTTAACTGGTGAATACGTGCTGAAATTGGAAACTCGAATAAGATTTATTTTCACTTGATGTGTTCATAAATGAAGTTGGACATGGGGTTATGATAGATTACCTGGTTGATGCTGTGGATGATGAATAGTGACAGCTACCGGTACCTGCAATAAGACAGAGTAGAGAGAACTTAGTGTCTATTCAAGCACGTAAGAAGAACAAGGTCAGGAAGTTGAATTTGTTCAGTGGCGGATCTGAAACTTTTGGCAAAAGAGCTAGGAAGCTATAGCTGGATAGAACATTCAACAAGATCTTTGTAATTAAAAGAAAGAGGGTTCTATTTATGATATTGTACAGGTATATTTTCTGTAAGGAGGATGCTTCCCTTTTTTTTTTCAGTGAAAGTTCGAACAAGCTATAAGGTTCAATCCACATTTTTAGATATTTCAGCAATATTGCTTGATAGGACTTAATTTGATGAAAAAGTCTTACTTGGGTCAGTGTTGGTGATTTGAGCTGTTCCTCCAAAATTGCAGCTAGTAGGAGCTGGGTTCTTGTGGTAGTAATCATTGAAGGCGTAGGAAGCGTGATCACGGAGAGTGTTTGGGTTATAACAGCTTCCGCCTTGTTGAACAGCTGCACAGTCTGCACCTCCATAGCCACAAGCATAATCAAGAGCTACCTGTAAGGCAGTTTGTGAAGCTGCTTGGCTGGCAATACACCAAGTTCCACCTGATGATGTAGGAGTTGTGGTGGTGGGAGTGGTTGGGGTCAGGGTTGTGGTTGGTGGCGTTGGCGTTGGCATTGTGCCTGGGTCTGTTGTGGTTGGTGGTGTTGGGTTTGGGGTTGGGGTTGTGGTTGGTGGTGTCGGCGTTGGCATTGTGCCTGGGTCTGTTGTGGTAGGTGCTGGTGGTGATGTTGTCGGGTTCACAAAAGGTGTGGGAGTCAATCCAGTTGGACTTGGATTGACTACAGGGATTGTATCAAGCTGGGTAGTATGCACCGAAGATGAGAAAAGCATATGATTCACTTGTGTGTTGCTTCGGTGGGTTGCTTCCAAAGGAGGATTCTTTGGAGCACTTGAACCTGAAGAAATGAAAAGCATGGTAAGTTCTTTTTCTTTCATTGAAATAATGGAAGAAATTGCTATGATTTGCTTTCCATACAAGTTGAAGGTAAAACAAAACAAACAACCTGAATAACTGTTAGGAAAGATAAATATCTAGAGTTATTCCAAAATCAAAAGTAGATACAATGGAAACACAAGCCACCTTAGTTGTTGATCAGATTCACCGTCAGGTTTAGGTGTTTGATGCTTGTAATGCATGTGTGAGTTCTGTTTTGTTCTCTCTTTTTCTCCGCTCATGTTCTAGTTACTTAAGATGATCAATGGATGAATTTGAAAGAGTGATATGATTGAATTAAAAGATAATGCTAAATGCCTCTTGTGCTTGTGGATAATCTTTGTCAATTTCTCATGTTTGGGTCATATACAAGGGAGGTGAATTAGTATTAGACAGGAATTCATACAATTTTGACTTAAAATTGTCAAACGCCATAAATGCATGCTGATGATCAGAAACTAACAATGAGAAACCCATTATCCATTGTTCTGAACTCTGGAAAACAAGAAGGAACTGGTTTAGAAATCCTCTGCTCTTTAGAAAGTCATCTTTTTCTTTCTCAAAATCAACCTATGCACCTTCTGACCATGGCCATAGGACATAAAAGAAAATTGATGATCATGCAAGATGATGAGCAAATTCGGGTTGGTAGTTAGAAGGCTTGTTTTGAAATACATAGAAGAAGAGAAACACACCAAGAAGACAATTCAAATTACCTGAACTAAAGAAAAGAAACAAGAAAAATAACGCAGAATGCCAAAGAGAGCTAACACCCATCTCTGCTAGCTATTTCTTCTACACCTTGTGATTGTAGATTTTTCTTCGGGGCTCAAAACAATGATGGAGAAGCTAAGATATACTACACGAGAGAAATAGAAATGGTGGTTGTTGCAAAAAGAAGAGTTCATCTCTTTTCTCTGCATTTGTTATATATATCTTGAGGAATCATAGCTTTCTTGGATCGAAGAGAAGATGAAAAGAGAGAAGGGAGAATATAGAAAACTTGAGAAAGGAGGCATTAGGGTAGTTGGATATTGCAAGCAAGAGATGGTGCAACAACAAAAAAGTATATGAAATGGTGAAAGGCAAAAGAATGATTTCATGGAATTTAAATCTCATGTTTTGGCTAATAAGAAATTGAGTATCTCTGTGACAGTGATGCTGCAGCATTTTTCCCTTTCTCTGTTGTGCTCTTCTTTCTACTGTTTTTGCTGTACTTTTGTTTTGTTTATTTATTTTTATTTTTTTTCATGGTACTGAATCAAAAAGCTAAAGGTGGGGGCAAGTGTGAGTTTGTGTGTCACATCTAATGGTCTGTAACCAAGAATATTGTCCCCCTTGTCGATTTCTTACTTCACTCAGCTTTAATGGAAGTTTCAAGTTCCCAAATTAATGTATATGCAATGCAGCATGTGATATTGCCTTGCTTTCTCCAAAATTTAAAAAAAAACTTGGCTACATACGATCAAATCAAGCTCTTGAAACCCAACATTTAATCTGGGCCTAGTCCATTTCAGTCAAGTTTCAATGTTCAGTCATGACCTAAGAATGCAAAACTTTTCGTGCAAAACAAGAGAGTTGAAGAGTAGAAATTTATATACCACGAAAGGAAATATTTGGGTTTTCTGGCTTTCTTTCTTTTGAGGTCAGTGTGTTGGATGTTTTGAATAAAAGGTTTCGTGGCAATTAAGGTTCATCTATCAAAAAGCAGAGAATCAACTAGTTTCGGAAAGGATCTGAGGGCAGCGACTTTTTAGTGGCATAAACAAAACTTGAACTAAAAAGTAAGGCAACGTCGCTATAATTGTTATCTTGGTTGAGTTCCTTGAAATAGTAAATGACGTGGGTTATGGATCTGGAATTAAAAAGGAAATAACTGGGTTTTCTAATGAACATTAGAGATTATGCTAATTATGCATCTATCCCACAACGGAAATGTCACTGTCACAGTATTCCAAACCAATCACGCACCGATCATCATCATTGGTGTATCATGGATAATTTTGTTTCCATGGATTCCTCATACTAAACCCCATCACGGAAGGTCACTTGATCATCATCAGTTTTGTGCATGATGATCATGATCACCAACTACAGTCCTAGTGCGCAATCAAACAGTCAGTAAGACCACAACAATAAATAGGGACAAAGGGACGGACGGCCCCTTGATCAGCCACTTGTCTTTTTTTCCTTTTTTGCAATAATAGATGGGAGGCTGCTCATTAAATATAAATGGAGGTCGAAGAGGAGACCCATTAATTGCTTGTAATATGATAAAATCCATGTCCAAACATAATTAAAAGTCTCAATTATATTGGTTGAAATTTGGTCTCAAATACATTTATGTATGAAAATGTACAGCATATTTTCCTATACTAGTATCGGTCCCAAATTCCATCCCCACCTCCAGGGTCTTCTCCAATTCAAATTTTCCCATGTGAGCACTCCTGGATCCTTCAGTAAGCTGACTTGCACCAGAGACATGTTTCAGTACAGAACTCAAAACGAAGAGTTCCATACACCCTGTCAATCTCTTATAGGCATATTGACAAAGGAAGTTGATGTTTTCCAAAGTGGGAATCGCTGCAGCTTTCATGCTAACAGATTCTGCGTTTGACTATTATTCAATTAAAGGTAGAAACATGTCCAGAAGAATCAAAGGTAAGAAAGAACTGTGTCAACCACTGATCTATCCCCGCTGAAGCATATTACACTGTGAAAGATGTTGTGTGACGTCACTCCAAGCTGCGGATAAAGAGATCCTCAGATTACATGAAGTCTAGAACGATTTTATGGCAAAAGAATGAAGTATTATTATACCTGGGAAATTTCGATAATCAGGCTCTATTCCATTGCCATTTATGTCCTTATGTTTTGGCGTAACATACTTCCCAACAGTTACAACCACACCAGAGCCATCACGAAGTTCAAACACGGATTGAATCAAACCCTGTCAAAAGCATCAGAGACACCATCAAAATCACCAATGGGACGTTAGGGATATTTTTTATTGATTCAATGTCTGCAAACTCCAAACTTTTAGATTGATTAAATGACAAAAAGATAAAAATCTGCTTTCTATCCTCAATCATGAAAAGGCATCTTTTGTTATATCCACCAAGGACACTCGCCATTAGAAAGCAAGTTGCTGGAATTTAGGTAACAGATGGACTCTATCTAAATCAAGTTCCATCACAACACAAATACCTTATACATATATGCAAAGACAATGCTGAAGCACCAGTGATGAAATTATTTTTACCTTGCCAAATGTCCGTTCACCAACAAGAACACCTCTACAATTATCATGCAAAGCTGAAGCAACCTGCAATCGGAGCCACCAATGTAAATGCTAGAATTGTACGAACTAAAAGGAATCATACATAATTGGGACAATCAAGCTGCTCACAATTTCACTAGCACTAGCAGTATTGTTGTTCACCAAAACCTGCATTAGAAGTTAAGTCAAGAGCCTTGTCATAAACCATAAACTGAATACGTTAGAAATTACATTTGCCACAAATCCTAACTCAGTGGTAAAGAAGACATAATCACAAGATTTTTCAAGCCAAAGAAGGAAAAAGCTAGCAAAGATTGTCGACGTTCTTAGAATAGAAGGCAGGAGGTGAACATTATGTTTGACATGAGGGTGCACTGAAATTCAATAGATTGCGAAAGGATTTCTTAATAAATTGAGCCCATCTGGACCCAAACTTGAGCCTATCAGGCTCCTCAAGAGACGCCCATAAGAGGAATAAGTGCTGTCTCAAATCTTCATTAATCTACTCTGATTTAGATGAGTGGAAGGTATCCACTCCAATTTTGACATTGGTTAATCGTTAATAAGTACTTAGCAAGTTTTATCATGTTTTTGTTGTTTATCCCTTATTTAACATTTAAGTTTAAAACAGATCTAACAGATACCTAAAGTTTGAACTCTTTTTCTAAGTGACAAGCCAAGTTCAAAGAAAAACTTAGCATTCAACTCCCTTGCAGCCCCAATCATAACAAAACCGAAATAGTCTGGTAAGGTCAGTTAACACAGTTGGGGCATAGTTGCAACCTTACTATACACAATTGACCTTTGGGTTTTCTTTTTCCAAGGAAAAGCTGCAACAAAAATTATCCCATGACCATTCCAAACAATGTCATCAATTTCCAAATTCTTCCAGTGCAGGGTTCGAGCAAATTTATTATTCAGAGTTGACAATTGATACTACTAAAATGTGAGAATGTCAAAGATTTTAGACAAAGATAAGCCTTTGATGAAAACCAAGGAAATTACTAAACACTAATCTATTCATGGAAACAGATAAAAAGTATCTTAGATATGTACAAGGGCGTACGATAACAGGAGCTGTAACTAATGGTGCAGTATCTGCAACGATACTTTGTTGGTATTCGGGAACCTTCCCATCAGTATAAATCACCTGTTCATAAACATCATCAAGAAAATACACCACGTATATATAGTTAGTTTAGTGGAATTACTATATGCAACAGAACATGCAGAAGTACTCTGCTAGCATAGAATAATGCAACATATAGAACTAATGCCAAACACTAACACCACCAATGAGATAATAAACATGAAAATTGCATCTGGAAAAAGAAAGAAACATACCGTCTCCCCTTCATTCAAAAATAGCTTGGCAATTTCTATTCCAGCCTGAAATAGGCAAAAGGGTATAAATAAAGAATCTTAAAATTACAGAATTCAGCTGAAATAAAGTACATATTGGAACATACAAACATCACTGAGTTTGTGCAAATAATCAATTGGACAGGATTGAGTGAATACAATTACATGCAGAGGATGCATGATTTTCCACAAAAAGGTGTAAAAGTTTTCTTTTATTACTTTTCTACATGTCCTATGAAAACTTGATAAGAACAATTTACTCAAAGTTATCTCTAAGATCCAGAATGAAAACCTGTACTAGTCCACCACGATTATCTCTAAGATCCAGAATAAAGTATGATGCACCCATGTCCTGAAGTCGCTTCATAGCTGCAAAAATCATTTTACCCTTCAATATAATCCTAAAACCAAGTAACCACCATATAACTCTAGTATAAAGCACAAAAAGAAGCTACTAATGTTATAAATAAGGTAAAGAAAGTATTCTGAAGCTAGCAAACAAGGAACAAAACAGAAGCAATAATTATTTAGGGTTTAGGGAACCACATACCAGTTACCAAGTCTTTTCTAGCCAATGCATTGAACTCTTTTACGCGAGTGTATCCAACAGATCTGGTTCCATTTTCTATTTGTTCCAACCGATAAGAGACAGGGGTTCGAGCAACAAGTTGTCTTTGGACTTCAATAGATTGAATAGGCCCACAATTTCCATGCTTGACCTAAAAGTATGACAATGTTTATTCTCAACAATCATTGTAAAAAAAACGAACAAAAAGGAAAAATACCAAAACTCATTATCAAGGTTAATTTAAATGATAACCTATTTATGGTAGAGACAAACAACAGCATTACAAATAGTATCACAACCTTAATAGTAACGAAAGTTTCGTTAGGACCTTGCATCATCGATGATACTTCAAAGGCTGATTTCCCCTTCACATCCAATCCATTAACAGCTAGTACTTCATCCCCCTACCAAATAAGAGAACCCAAGAAAACCTATTATAGACCAGTTAGAACAGGGGGAAAAATGTAGGCACAGATAAACACTGAAACTTCAGGAAATAACAATAAAACAGGACTTTTTTGGATCCTGACAATGAAGTTAACATGACTATACAAACAGATAGGTTCAGGGTTCTAGACTTCCAAGAAGAAATATATGTAGCCAGATGTTATTTGATGACCTATTCACTCATTTATTGCACTTCTTGATATGCCAACATTGGGGAGAACAATGATATATGAATGCATAAAGCCACCAGTTATATGTAAGAAGAACCATATCCAAGACTTTCATTTCAAAGTTCTAAATTAAATAGTTACCAACTATTAGCAGCACCTTACCCAAAACAACCTTGACACTAACCCCATCAAGACTTTCTGTGAATTCATGATACATCAACTCGGAGAACTAATAGCAAATGAAAATCCAAAGTGGAAAGAGATATATAAAGAAACAGACATAATATTACATCTATAACTGTAAGTTTGGCTTCTATAGAAATAACTACCTGTCTCACACCAGCAGAATGTGCAGGGCCATCTAATACAAGTCCTAGAACCTTCAATTTCACATCTCCATTGTCATCTGGAACTTCCCTGAGGTTTATTCCAATACCACTCATGTCATACCTCGCCATCTTGGAGAACTTTCATTTCAACAAAGAAAAAAGCGACATGTGCCATGGAATAAGATACGCTGTAAATTTCGTAAGTGAAGACGATCCATATTTTGTAAGAGATAACATTCATAATCAAAGCACTTAATTTTTCTTCCCATCTTTCCTAAGCACAATGTATCATGATTTTAAAACTTGTTGTATGCGTCTCTGTGAATAAACGATACTGAAAGAAGAAGAAAGAAATAAAAAAAAGGCTAAATACAGAGAGAAATAGAGGGGACAGATAATGAATTACCTCTTCAGGCGAAAGAAATCGGGTATAAGGGTCACCCAAGCTGGCCAACATTCGCTTAATCGTATCATGAGCCTTTGATCTTGTCTTTATTGAACTACTCCTTATGTCTTCCTTTTTCCTCTGAAAATTATCCCCAATCATTAATCACACGCACACACGCACACACACATACACACTTATACATATAAATATAGGTACACACACGTGTACATACACAATTGAAAATCCAGAATCCTATACACATATCCATAAACAGAACAATTACTCTCTTATTCCGTAACTTCACTAACTTGGTTAAACAAAAAAAGTTACTTTCTTTCATGCAAGCTCTACAATCCACCTTCGCACGTGTGAATATCTGTTTACCTGCCAAGTTTCCGGGAACGAGCGAGAGCCACTGGTGTTGAGAAAGCTGTCATTGACGATTTCCCAAGCTTCCTCCACAACTCCCTCACTGGTCACGGCCGGTTCGGACCCTAACTCGGCCGTTTCATCTCCTTCATCTTCGCTGCAAAACTCCGGTGGCTGCGAAGAAGGTTGGACTTGAACGGAGGAAGAAGAAGAAAACTCAATCGCTATGGAAGAAGAGGGCGAAGAGAACAAAAGACCGAACGACAGAGCACCACCTAGGGCTCCAATTAGAGCTTTCTCGGCCCAATTGATTGAATTGCGTCTGAAATTGGATCGAATTGGGGATTTTGGGGTTCGCGGTGGTGGTAATGAAGATAGTGAGAGTGTGGTGGTGTTGCTGAGCAACAAAACCCTCATCTTCTTCCAACCCAAAATGTTTTATTTTTTTCCCAGCTCCGCGGGAGTTTAAATACGAGGAGTTTTGACCGTTGTTACAGTTGGATGCCTGTGAAGGGGGCTGCTTGGTTTCAAGTTTGAGTGAGTCCAATTCCAGTGCGGAATAAGACAGAAGTGGTGGGCCATAGGCCAGCTGTGAAGTAGCTCGCCCACAAACCAGCCCTTGCCTGCCACGTGTTGCGCTGCCGAACGTAGTTTGAACTCGACGACTGAGACTTTCTCTTGTTCCTTGTTTGCTGTTTGGATTGGATTGTGTTTTGGTTCAGTGTATGCTACTTGCTATGCCTCATGAAAAACTTTAGGATAAGCACCAATAATTTCTTATTATATATTCTTTTGCACCAAAGACGCGTACTCACTCTAAAGGCGCGTCCATGCCACTCATAATTCAATAATGAAGAAGAACCCAATGTAAACATGACAAGTTTGTTGTGTGATGTAAAAGTACATGTCTTGTTTGGTTGATTATGGATTATGATTTTTCAAATATACTAATTAGGAGGATTCATCAAAAAATAAAAGGATAAATCGGACTCTTAAGATATGTGCGTGAAGAAAAATTTAAATGATATGTCACGCGATTGGTGATAAATAATGAATTAAATTATATACATCATTAGTGATAAATAATGAATTCACCTGCAATAGGCAAGTTACTTTTTTCTTTTTTTCACTATATGGGTGATGGCCAGCTTGATTTAGAAGGTTTTCCAAAGTGACTATCAATCATCAATGTGAATGTTATCATAAATATTTTTCTCATTATACAATTACCATAAATATGTTCATGGAAGTTAATGCATGATAAGTTATCATCTATCTATATATATAAAGCAAAAGTTAGAGAATGGTAAAACATTCAAAATACCAGAACATGCCATTGATTAATGCAAACATTAAGAATTGAAATTATTAGTTAAATGAGGATAATATGATAAATTCACATTTTTTTATATTAAAAAAATTAAAATTAAAATTAAAAGAAAAATCATATAAGTGATCTTATTTTTATGGAATACAACTACCCATTATCTTTTTTAATTTTAAAATATATTTTATATTTTATATATTAAAAAAAAACCTCTCACAGAGAGGCTAATAAAAAATAATTGAACAAATAGAGTGTGGGTAAGTGAAATTTATCCTATCACCCTTAAGTAGTACAAAACGGACATAATGATCATTTTACCCTATTTAGTTGACAAATAGAATTCTCTTAATAATAGTATGTGTATATATATCTATATGTCTTGTTGAAGCTATTGAGGGAGATGATGTTTTAAATTTTACGTACAAATGTGAGGGTAAGATTTGTACGAATTATTCGTTTGCATAATTTTCTATAATTGAAACTACAAAATCAATATAATCTTCTCAAGTTGGAACCTCAATGACACATTGGTAGAGTGTGTGTGAGAAACCCACATTCTCGTCTAATTTAGATTGTCATATGTATTTAAAAAATATAATATATATCATCCAATGAAAATTTATATATGTATATATATTCACATTTAAGAAGCTTTTAAAAACAATATGTCAATTATTTGCATATACTCGTGCGGAAGAGTTATTGTATTGATAAAATCCCTTGACACTAATAATAAGTTGAAAAATTAAAGAAAATAACTAAAATAATAAGCTGAAAAATTAGAATGATAAATTGTATTATTATTTACGATCATATTATCTTATTATATAACTTTGCATATTGTATTTTATTAACCAGGAAGATTAAAAAAAATATGTTTCTTCTTTTATCTGAGAGAATAATATTTAAATTTGGTTTTTACTATGCACTATGGAATAATAACAATAATTACTGGGTGTTAAGGAAAAATAAAAAAGAACCGCAGTGGTTTTCAATATGCGAAACGGAAAATAATAAAAAAACTTGCACACTCACAGAGGAAAGAAAAAAGAAAGAGAGAAAGGGAGGGTTTTCGGTGCAAAGACAGAGAGAGAGAAGGAGAGAGAGAGAGAGACTTTGGATATTTATCTTCATCTTCTACTTCTTCTTCTGCTTGTGTTTTGTTTGTTTGGCAGCGGCGGAACCACTGAGACGAACAATAAAGCGAAAGAAAGCCGTACCGGCAGTCTCAGATCTAAGGGTTTTCTCACAGAGGGAGAGAGAGAGAGGGAGAGAGAAATAATGAGTGGGAGAGGCGGAGGCGTGGCCACCAATGGCAAGGGCAATACTGGACTTTCGGGTATACCGGCGGGGTCTCGGAAGATGGTGCAGAGCTTGAAAGAGATTGTCAATAACTGCACTGAGCAGGAGATCTATGCTATGCTTAAAGACTGCAACATGGACCCTAACGAAGCCGTTAATCGCCTCCTCGCCCAAGGTCTCTCTCTCTCTCTGTATTTGCAAACAAAGCTTCAATCTTTTTCTTATTTTTTGTTTTCAAGTGTTGGGTTTTGTGATTTTTGGTTTTTGCTATTTTAGGGTATTGGGAAAGTTCGTACTGGACTGAGCCAAACTGTACTATTAATGTCAGTCCAGCGGGTTTTCTAAATTATAAAGGAAAAATATTTTTTTGGGTTGAAGGAAGTTGTTCATTTGATTTATAAAGTTTTATGCTTTCCCTACTATTTGGTATATCAATTTCCTAAAACGATTTACTCAACCTTTTAATGTCATGCTTTTCTGAGCTATAACCCACTTTTGGGTTTTATTTATTTATTTTTCTGGGTTTCCTATCTCTCTCATACACAGAGTCATTCATTCATCTTGTTTGACAGAATCATACATTGGAGCTTCAGGTTTATTTGCAAGATATGAAATTTCATTGACTCTTCTCAGTCAGAAAACTGGAACACAAATGAAAGCAATGAACTCTTTAAGAATTTTGTACTCATTCAACTTTAATTATGTCTTTGAAGCATGCTACTACTGATGCTCGGTTTGCAAAATCTCAGTTGAAGCTTGAGTCTTGTCTGTAATTTATCGACTCCTTATTGAGTCTTTTGAGGTCTCAGAGCTTATATGAATGTGATACTATACGATATATGCTTTTGTTGATATTTGCTTCTAATGTAAAGCTTATATCTTGTGTAGATCCTTTTCATGAAGTGAAGAGCAAACGAGAAAAGAAAAAGGAGGTTCGTTTTATGACATTTGCATGATTTGATGTTCATGTTTCGTCATTTACCTACCATCCTTGTTGTTTTCATGGTTTGTAATCCTATATTTTAGAAAATGTTATGTTTTCTCATTACATAATTTATTTGCAAAATGTGTGGGTGGTTTGATATCTGTTTTAGGGTATACCTCATTTTCTACATTTTATGTTGCCTTTATATATTCGTTATTCTATTGCTGTTTATTTGTTAAATGACCAATGTACTTAATCTTTTTTCTGTACATTGATAAGGGGTTTGCTCCGGTATAGCATTACGGTTTTAGTCTTTGCATTCTGGTCTTGACATGGTTCTTGTATCTCTCTCTCTCTCTCTCTCTCTCTCTCGCATTTTGCTTCAGAATAAGGAACCAACGGAGCCCAGGTCCCGTGGTGCTAATAACACCTCAAATCATGGTGGTAGAGGTGGTGACCGGTATGCTGCACGTGGCGGATCAAACCACTTTAGCTCTAATGGTAAGTGGCCAGCCGCAGCAATTCAAAGTTTGGATAAGACTGTTTACATAGTTTGAAATTTCTGTGGAACGTTGATGAACTTAGTCTCTCACCTATCAATTTCTTTTCCCCCTCAGAGTCTGGTTTTTCGCATGGTAAGTCTGCATACAAGAAGGAAAACGGAACACATGCTTATGCAGGTTCTGCATCTGGCATGGCAGGACATAACATGAGTCGAAGACCTACATCCTACAGGTTATAACTATTAAACCTCAAACTGATAACAGTTTTTTTTTCTTCCCTGATTTGAAGAGTAGAAAATGCAACTATAGTACAACTATTAATTTTGATTGTTAACCTTCTTATGTTCATTCTTGTTCTTTCGTTATCTTAACTTAATTTTGAATTTTCGAAGAAAAAGCCTCTGATCTGTTGGGTATTTGGTTGCACTTAACTTCCACTGTTATGAGTAGCCTCATTTCTAACAAGCTTCTGTTCGATATATTTGTGCTCATGTGGACATTGCTACTATTGCAAAAGAATTTAATTAGGCCTTTTCTATGTCTTGATTCTTGACATGTAAATCACACGTGGTTTGTTTGCATTGCCATAATTATTTGTAGTCTCTAACAGTTTTTCTCTAGCTGGTATTTTTGTGTTACTTTCATAGCTCTTGGGTGGTATGCATTGCTGTTCATATTAAACTATGTGGTGGATGATACAAACTCTATAGTATTACTCATCTATGTGTAAAATATGTTGCAGTGACTCTGTGGGGACTGAAAATAAAATCTCAACAATAAGCACAGATGATGCAATATATTCATCCTCACAGCCTTCTACTGGATATCAGTCTGCATGGGTAGGGGTTCCAGGTCAAGTTTCCATGGCCGATATTGTTAAGATGGGTAGGCCACAAGCCAAGACTTCCACCACGCCAAAACCCCCTAATCACAGTGGTAATCATCATGATGTTGTGGCACCTTCTGAAGCAGCATTTCATCACAATTTGCATCCATCACAAGATCATGTTCCCAAGGTGTCAGCGACCCATACTGAGCCTGGAGCTGCTGCAAGCCAATATCTATCTCCCAATGATGAGTGGCCCTTGATTGATCCACCTTCTGTTAGCATGTCCTCTGTTTTAGGGGCACCCACAAACTCGGAGATGTATGCTGATTCATCTAACTTGCCCTTGGATAGAACTAATCAACATAGAATATCCCAGCTAGATGAGGTTCAGGTGGAAGAAGATGGTTCTGTTGATGCATTTCCAAGCCATAATGGGCCTACTTCTGTGTCTGGTAGACATATACAAGAAGATAATTCAGGAGGTGCATCTGCCTTTGATAATAGCTTGTATGAGGACATAAATTCCTACCAAACGCAGAGACATGCTTTCGAGGAAAATGAAGGTAACCCCCATGTTTTTTTTTTTGGCTGGGCCTGCAGTATGCCATTATTTTCCGTTCTTTGTAACTTATATTTTTTTCAACATTCCACTATAAAATTCGATCTAAACATCTAGTATAGATACTTTTACTTGAACTTACTTGATCTTGTAAAGTTCAAGTGACTGCATAAGATGGTAACCAAAATCAGTGAATATCCTGGAATGGAAAACTCAGTTATAAAATGTGAAATTAGTATCTTGAATCAGGGAAAAAAAACTGACTCCACTGTGTAGGACATTGACCTGAACAGTTACTTGCTTTTCCTCGAATGTTAACTAATTTTTTCCTTGATAAGGGAGATACTAATTTAAACTGTCCTGTGAGTTCCAGAATGTTGAATGCTGTTTTTTTACTAAGAAATTGCACTTTCCTTTTCTCAGCTGAAGATGAAGCATCATCGGTAGCTGCAAACCTGCAGCAACTTAATTTACAGAATGATGATAGGGGAGCACCTCCTGAAGATGATAACCCTCCTGTGGTCATCCCGAATCACCTTCAACTCCATACTCCAGATTGCTTGAACTTGAGCTTTGGCAGTTTCCGATCTGGCACTGATTCTGCTACTTCTAGCTCTCGGCCACTACAAAGCAATGTGGAAGAGACATCTGGGGCTGTAGATGTTTCTGCAATTGGGCACTCAGATTCTAGGTATGTCCTTGCGATAGTATTACCCTTGACTTTATTTTTGGTTGTTTAGCATCATCTTAAGAAAAACTTTTCCTGCAGAAATCCTGAGTATTATGGAGATGAGCATCTCATAAATGCCTCCGATGGAAATTTGGTTCATAGAACTGTGGCCAGCGGTGGAGATTATGACTCTCCTTCAGCTTCACCACCGGAGGTCTTAAAACAGGAAACCCCTGAAGCTGCTCAGGGGAATCAATATGTGTTTCCTTCTGCACCTGGATTTGCATATGAGAACTCCCAACAATTGAATGTGGCATTTTCTCACCCACAGACAAGCTCACAGATGCAGAATATTGCTCCCTTTTCAAGTGTGATGGTAATTGGATTAACTATGAAGTTGTGTTTCTTATTTGTTGCGTTCATAGTTTTGCGGTAATGATGCAGTCCCACATAATTGATTCTGGGCTGAGCAATACATTGTGAGTTGGTTCTGATGCAAACACCATTGGAAATACAAATCTCACATGTTTAGAGTTTTTAGATTCACTGCATTATTAGTTTTGTAATCGTTCCTGCCTCTCTCTCTCTCTCTCTCTCTCTCTCTCTCTCTCTCTCTCTCTCTCTCAAATTATAACGTTAGCTTAAGTAACAGCTACATTACATGTAATGCTAGTGCTGGAAGTATTGTGTGTGTGTTTATTGCTAAGTGCTTTATCTTCACAAGTGGATTAAAAGTTAGGGAAGAAAAGGCTGCATGGTGGTGATGAGGATTAGGTAAGAAATATGAAGCCAGTAATTAGAAGGATATAACAGAATTGGCAAACATTGGAAAAATTAAATTGGGAAGATGAAAGTGGGTATGAGGTGAAGCCTATCCTTTATTCGGTATACTTTAGATCATGCAGTCCTGGTGGTTTTGTTCGTCTTATAGTGTTGTATTGTATTTTGCATGTTCAAAACCACTATCTTATCAATCTTATGGGAGCAAGATATTCTGATGTAGTTGAATCTCACTTCCCATATCTAATTAAAGCAGGCGTATACGAATTCATTGCCCAGCACTCTGTTGGCTTCGAGTGCTCAGGCTGTAAGGGAAGAATTTCCATACTCACCCTTCCCCGTGTCACAATCCATGCCCACAAAATACAGCAATGCGGCTTCTTCTATCAGTGGTCCCACCATCTCCATGACAGAGGTGCCTTCCTTTCTATAGTGTATTGAACTTACTAATTATTCTTTCAGTATATATTTTGACTGTTATAAAACATTTTTACAATTTATTTTGTGGATGTAAGTCACTTGTGTTTGCATAAAATAAGTTAAATGAATGATTTTATAATATAACATAAATGCAGATGTAACATTCTTGTTAATCGAGATTCATGCTTAAATCCAAAAATTAAACTCAATGTATGCAGCATATATTAGTAAAAGTACATTAAGTTGGCTGCAATTTACTTTTTATCTGTTCTGTTCTGTGAAGGCCATGGATTTGTTGGTGCAATCAGATGCCTTCTGCTCGTGATTGAATTAATTTGAATAAATTTAGCTTATTTTTAATCAGCTAAGGCTATCTATCTTTTCTACTTTTCTGAGCGAGCCTCTGGGATCTCTTGTAAACCCCCATGATGTGGTAAAGGGAGGATATTAGGGGGCCGACGAAGGGGGGAAAACGGAAGATGTTTTCTGGTCCCCCCTGATACTAAATTTTTTCAATGGTTTGATTTCATTACTTTCAGAATTTACTATTTATGATTGCAACTTATGTATGGGAGGCATTTGCCTGTGTTTTCTTTATTTTGTGTGTATGTTCTAATCCTATGGAATACATCCTTTTTTTGAATTTTTTTATTATGGACAACAAATGCAAAGAATGAAATTGTTCATTTTTTAGTGTTTTGGGGTCAACCTATTCTCTATTTTTCTGATCATAGACACGACATTAAAGATATGAAATTTCCTTCCAATTATTTTATTTTGTATCTGCAGGCATTGAGAGCAGGTGGTATTTCTCCACCTCAGCCTACTCCACAGAACCTGCCTGGTGCAAGTGTTGCGACCGGACCTGCTCTTCCACAACACCTTGCGGTGCACCCTTATTCCCAACCCACTCTTCCTCTGGGGCATTTTTCGAACATGATCGGTTATCCTTTCTTGCCTCAGAGCTACACATACATGCCATCAGCTTTCCAGCAGACTTTTGCTGGCAACAGCACATACCATCAGTCTCTGGCTGCAGTTCTCCCACAGTATAAAAATAGTGTCTCTGTTAGCAGTTTGCCTCAGTCTGCTAATATTCCGTCTGGTTATGGGTTTGGTAGCTCAACTAACATTCCTGGGGGAAATTTTCCTCTGAATCCACCCTCAGCACCTACAGGCACAACAATTGGCTACGATGATGTTATAAACTCTCAGTACAAGGACAATAGCCATCTGATCTCACTTCAGCAGGTAATTTTTCACTGGTCTTGGGAAAACTCGTGAGAAGTGCTCACACACAACTACTACTCCGTACTTAGGGAAATCTTGCCTATGATTGTGATACGTCATTCTTCTTTTGAATCCTAAATGGTATTCTTATTCCTTTTTTTTTCTCTTCCAGAATGACAACTCAGGCATGTGGGTTCATGGACCTGGTTCACGAGCAATGTCCGCTGTTCCAGCCAGCACATATTACAGCTTTCAGGGTCAGAATCAGCAGCATGCTGGGTTCCGGCAAGCTCAGCAACCTTCACAGCAATTCGCCGGAGCTCTTGGTTACCCCCCTAACTTCTATCACTCTCAGACGGGAATGTCCCTGGAACATCAACAGCAAAGTTCCAGGGACACGTCCCTCGGTGGCTCTCAAGGCCAACCCTCTAAGCAGTCTCAACAGTTGTGGCAAAACACCTACTAATCTGAGTCACCTCCGTCTCCCCAGTTTTTTTTCAGGGTCTTGTAGTGAGTTTGAAAGTGGCCAACCAGAGGCATTATCGCGGTCTTAATAATCATCATGTATCATTGTTTGGTCATAAGAGACTGGCTGCTGCCCTGTGCCACGAGGTTGTATTCTAGATGCTATTTCTTGGTCATGTTTAACGTAGGAACACGTGTGCTAATTTGGATTAGTGGATTTACTGCGCCCCTTTTCTTCGGTTTTCTTGTCTCTTTTTTTTTCTTTTTCTTATAGTGGAAAGTTGTTTTTCATAACAAGTCTTGAACTTGGATCACTAGATTGGTTCCTTTGCATGAGTAAACCTTATACATGAACCCTTGCGAATGTGTGAAAATGTGATGATGGCAAAAGGACAACTCCATCAAAGATTCAGTTTTCTTGTCGAAAACTCCATTAAAGCTTCAAAGGACCATTTTACTGAACAAAATTTCAAAGAATTAGACTTTGAATTTAATTAGAAGAAAAAAAAAGGAAAGGGACACTACTGATGTGTCTTTACGCACAGCAGCGGATCCTTCACTGTTTAGAGAGAGCTCGAAACAGTGATTTCCATCCATCCTCTCTGTCACTGTGTCAGAGACTCAGAGAGGTTCCTACGCGTTAAAGTTTGAAGCTTTAAACATTCACTCCAGAAAAAGAAGGCATTTCTTGAAATTGGTTTGAAGATCACTCCATCTTCATTCCTTGGTAAGCTCCTCCTCTCACGTCTGTGTAATAAATTTTATTTATACATTCTAGAAGAAACCATTTTCTTTTCTTCAATATACCTTTCTTCTAATCAAGTTCATTGTTCTCTCTCTAATTTTTGGCATACAACTTTTTTGTTTTTTGGGTTAGGTATACTTGTGTTTTTATTGGATGAAACACATGCTGTACGAGGTTATTTGCATGCCTCATGTACTAACAAAATAGACCTGGAAGTGAAACAGAGAAACTGAGAATAGAACATGTTAAGAATGTGTCCACATTGTACTTCGAGCCTGGCAAGCGCAAAACTTCCTTGTTACTTAACACGGTGGTTTGCACAGGATAGAAGCCTAAAAGTGACACATAACCTGACCGTTTTTGGTGGCTGCGGCCTCGTCCTTTCGATCATCCTCGGGCTATTTGGAGTGAACGTTGATGGACTACCAGTAACAAAGAATGTACCATATGCCTTTGGAGTATTTTCAGCCTTTCTCGTGGCTATAGGAGCCGTGCTAATTGCAGTTGGGTTGCTCTGTCTTGGGTTGAAAAAGCCGATCATGGAAGAGCAAGTTGAAGTTAGAAGGTTGGGGCTTCAAGAGTTGGTTAAGATGTTTCAGCATGAGGTAGTCTCTCATGCCCTGATTCGTAAGAAAGTGTATCGGAAGAATTTACCCCACAACGGCTGGTGATGCATTCCCACATAGTATTTATCAAAAATTGCCAAAATTAGGCTCATTCTTTCATTAATATCCGTTTCTATAAAATAAAAAAAATTGAAATATAACAAAAAACCCACTTAAAAATACATAAATACCCTAAAAATTAAAATTCACATAAACCTAAAAAGTTTCAAAGTAAAATCGATTGCTTGCATCTCCGCACGAAACTCCTTCCCACCTACTTTGACTAGCTTCTCAAATGATTTCATTGCAATGAGTTTTTTTTCCCTACGTTTAAACTCCTTTTGTAAACTCTCCCAACGACCCCTTCCCAATTCTTGTTTGTGGTAGTAATGACCATGGTAGTTGGACTCTTGAGGATGGGTATTAGATTGGTGTTGATGTGAGTGTTGTTTATAGTGTTACTTGTTATGATGTCGACCTTGAAGACAGATGTAGTGGACTCCTTAAGATCCCTTCTGACATGTTTGAGGGGTACGTTTTGTTTTGCACAAATATTACTCACACTGTAGAAAACAGCAGCCCCGCAGTTGCAGGCTTCCAAACAAGACCTTTATATCCACACAAATCAGCCAAAAACCTGCTTGATCAAACATAAGCAATTTATATGCAAGAAAAATGTATTAATTTTGAGATGATTAAACAAAACTTGTCAAGTCTGGTAAAAGATGATCGCCTGCGAAATATTAATATATTTTTTTTAACTTTTAGGTTTATGTGAGTTTTAATTTTGAGAATATTTGTGTCTTTTTACGTAGGTTTTTTGCTACATCTGAACTTTTGTATAAAAACTCATTCCCCCATGATGCAGATTGTCTCATCATTTAATGAATACGTTACAATTTTTGAAGTGCAATGTTTACACCCATGGCAATTTCTTGATAACTTCATCTCAAAAATAAACTTGTAAGATTAGTTCCAGAAATAGACTAGAATTTCAAAATGAGATGAGCTAGATTTACTTTACGGGTGGACTACTAAATTTTAAACTAAGACTATAAGTAGAAAAAAAACACTCACTTGGGGAGACTTTGGAAAAACACAAAGGAGAGAGAAATTTTGTAAAAGAAGCCAAAATGGACAAAATTGCCCTTATTTATTTTTGAATTTCTTAAGGAATCCTTTACATTTGCATGTCTTTGATTTGAAAGTCGAGAGGTTTTTCTGTCTTTTTTGAAAAAGTTTTGGCTTTTTTCAAAAGTGAAATTTTTTTTTTGGCTAAAACCTAAATTTACTAACTGGTGGGGGGGAAACAATACTAAATTAACTCGATACTTTTTTTGGACACATGTATTAAAAAGTTCATAAGCTAAAAAAAAATATTCTGGTTGAGCTTGAGCTTCAACTTGAAGCAAATCGCAATTCGCCACGCGCACACACACACACACTCCCTCTCTGCCACCAAGGTGCCATTCATGGTTAGCAGCCTTCACACGTCCTTCCTTTTTCTCATAGATTCGGAGCTTTTCCAAGTTCCTGTGCGTTATAGTTTTCAACTTTAGACCTTCTTCTCAGGGAAAAACCAAACAAAGGCATTGTCTTTATGGGAATTAATTCGAAGGGCACTCTACCTTTTTTCTTTGGTAAGCTTCTCCTCTCATTTCCTTGCAGTAATTAATTCATTCCAGAACCTTTACTTGACCATTTAAATTCTTCAGCATACTTTCTTCTTATCAATATCATTGTTTTTCCTCTGATTTGTCTGGGATAACTCTCTCTCTCTCTCTCTCTCTCTCTCTCTCTGTTGGGTATATTTTTTACTTTTCTGGATTATGTTCTTATTTGTTTGTTTATATGGGTAGAGTTCAGGTTTTTCTGATTTATTTGGTTGCTTGTTCTTCTTCTTCTTTATTTATTTATTTATTTTATTTTTACAAAATTTGATTATAGGGTCCGGATAAAACTAAGAATGATTCCCATTCATAAAAGGAGGTGAATTCTTTAGTTTGAAGGTTGCAATGCATGTAAAAATGGCGAGTTTTAAATGTTTATGAATTGTGCTGTGTCAAGATGGGGAGTGAAACTATAGTAATGTTTTGATAATTTTCCAAACATTGCAGTATTTAGCTGTGATCAGCAACAGCTTAACCTGTCTTTTGTAAGAGACGAACCAAAGCTGCGACGCAATTCAGCCTCTGGTTACTTTTGCTCCTTGCGGTCCTGAGACTATTAACTGATTGTTAACTTCTATATGTGCATTGATGGAACACAACAAAAGCAGGGCTGGTGAGAACAGTTCTTCCCGTGGTTATAAGATGAAGAAACTAGATAGCCATAAAAACTGTCCTAGTAGAGATGCCATTGCTGGAAGTGATCTTTGGACAGATGGACTTATTTGCGCTTTCGAATTTATTCGAGGCCGGAAGAAATCAATTAGTTCGAAACCTGGCTCAAGAATCCTAACCAAACAACAAACAGATGGTGAGCATGAGAGGCTGCGTGTTCCTTCTATTGGATTTTCTGAGTCTTCTTCCCCAGTGGAAGATAGGAGCAAGTCCCCAAGTGATGACTACAGAGGTAGCCAGATTCAACATGATATTGAAAGATTTGAGGGTGGTCATTGGGTACCAATTGGGTGGTCTAGACTTTCAGAAATTGTCCAAACTGTGCAAGCTGATTCTGGTTGGGCGTGTCAGGAGTTTGGGGTGGATGATGAAGATGACTTCACCGTTGCAGATTTAGCAGCTCCCTATTGGGAGCGTCCAGCAGGGCCCATTTGGTGGTGCCATGTCTCTGCAGGTCACCCATCAGTTGATGCATGGCTCAGAAATGCCCAGTGGCTGCACCCTGCCGTTAGTTTAGCCTTGAGAGATGAAAGTCGACTGATTAGTGACAGGATGAAGCACCTGCTATATGAGGTAAGTTGCATTTTAAATATCCGAAATTTCTATTTCATTGGTAGGATTGGTTTAGTAAATCCTCTTGTAATAGTAAAAAAGACCTGGGATTGAATCCCTCAACCATGAATTGGTGGCTTATTGGATGTTAAGGGAGCCACCTTCTATTGGACCCAAGAGAAAAACTGAGAATAGATTATATTATGAATGTGTTACTTAGAAACTATTGATAAGTTTTATGAACTATTAGGATCTTCTTATGTTGGAAATATGTGTTTCCAATGCGAAGGAGTATGTTCGTTATGAAAATTGGAAATGTGGAAGGTTGGTTGAAATGGTTTTAACTTAACCCTCTTTTCACCATTAGACCTCTGAGTAAGACAGAGACAGCTAGGAAAGTAATTGCATTGTGCTTGTGAGAGTCCTCTTACATCGAAGCTATCGTTAACATATTGACTAAGAGTCTGCAACTATGACTTTTGGCTTTTCTGGACTCTGGATTTGTTGGTTTTTTCTTTTTATGGTTTGATACTTCTCTTCAGGTCCCAGTTAGGGTTGCTGGGGGATTGTTGTTTGAGCTCTTGGGACAGTCAGCTGGTAATCCATTTGTTGACGAGGATGATATTCCCATTGTACTTCGCTCCTGGCAAGCACAAAACTTCCTTGTAACTGTTTTGCATATAAAGGGGCCGGTATCAAGCGTTAATGTGTTGGGTATCACAGAAGTTCAGGTTGTTCATGTTTGACAAAGATTCTTTCAATGCCTTTGATCTTCTTACTAAGTTACACTTTTTTGTGCTGTGTGACTTATTGTGGGTTTGTACTTTAATCGTTTGCTTCTTTGCTTTGGTTAGGAACTTCTTTCCACTGGCGGCTATAACATACCTAGAACAGTGCATGAAGTCATAGCACATCTAACTTGCCGCCTTTCTCGATGGGATGATAGGTAATGTTAATATTATTTTTCTTTTATAGTGAAAATTACAGAAGCCTACCTACTCTGCAAAGTGATACATCAAATATTGGTGTCAGCATGAGCATTCATCTTTTATGCTTGAGGCTTTGATCATATAGAGATTTGATTTTATAATTATAATGATGTCTTGAACATGGGTGGTTAGTCTGTTTAGTATCTGGAAGTTCTTTCGTCTGTCTCTCATTGAAGTTCAAATTCTCTTTCATTGCCCATGTTTGACATTTATATATGCATCATACATGTTTGTCAATTTTAGTTTCTTAACTTGTGGTTTCCTTCATTGTCTTGGTTGTTACAGGTTATTCCGTAAGTCCATATTTGGGGTGGCAGATGAGGTTGAATTAAAATTTATGAACAGGTTCTTCCATATGCATACAACCATTCCTCCTAAACTTATATTTTCTCTTTAATTAGTTTCTACTTCGTTTATGACAACCTTTTTTTTCTCTCTGAGTAGGAGAAACCATGAGGATATGAATCTATTATTTATAATCCTCAACCAAGAAATCAGAAAGTTATCAAGACAGGTATGCTAAATCCCTTGCTAGTTAGTAAGTATTAAGACACTTCCAGTGAACCTTCAGCTGGGATATTAATTGTGTATAATTTTTTTCAAGTCATGATTTCAGTTGGGTGCCTACCAAGCTACATGTCAAATTAAGTTCTTTAAAAAGAGTTGGCCGGATTTTATCTTATTGTTTTCCTATATTTTGAAGTCGATAGGTTTGCTGAAAAATTCAAATGCAGGTTATCAGAGTGAAGTGGTCACTTCATGCAAGGGAGGAGATTGTATTCGAGCTTTTCCTACATTTGAGAGGAAATGTAGCAAGAAACTTATTAGAGCAAATAAGAAAGAGCACAAGAGAAATGATTGAGGAGCAGGAAGCTGTTCGGGGCCGCTTATTTACCATTCAGGATGTGATGCAGGGCACTGTTCGTGCATGGCTGCAGGCATGTGCTCATAAAACAAAATGGGAAATATAGAGAAATTTATAATTTCCATTTGTTATTTTAAAACGGCTTTTTATTCGTTTAATAGTCAATTCATTGTCTTCTGAATGGTTAACCCAGGATAGAAGCCTTCGAGTGACGCATAACTTGGCTGTTTTTGGTGGCGGTGGCCTCGTCCTTTCCATCATCACCGGACTATTTGGAATCAATGTCGATGGAATGCCCGGAGCACAGAATGCACCGTATGCCTTCGGTGTTTTTGCAGCCATTCTCGTCTTTCTTGGAGTGGTGCTAATTGCAGTTGGGTTGCTCTACCTTGGGTTGAAACAACCAATCACGGAAGAGCAAGTAAAAGTTAGAAAGTTGGAGCTTCAAGAGTTAGTTCAGATGTTTCAGCATGAGGCAGAGACTCATGCCCAGGTTAGTAAAAAAGTGTCCCGGAATAATTTAACCCCAACCGCTGGCGATGCATTCCCACATGATGCAGATTATATTGTCCTTCAATGAGTATGTTACAACTGTTGAAGTACATTTTGTATAATGGAAATTTTGTATTCTTGAATAGTGGTGAATATCATCCAGAGCTGGCAAACAAATTCTCTCTTAGTTTTTCAAATTAACCAAGTTCTACAGAAGTAATCAAATTTCATAACAATGCGACATTTTAAGCTAATTTGATACTTGAAAACCAGCACGCCATGTATATTGGACAGAAAAACATAAAACTGACGTTCTCTCCTTGCTTCTCTTCTTTCATATGGTGTACAAATCATTTAAGAAGTGATCTAGCTAGATGCTCGCGTGCAGTGGCCAAAGCTTGACTAATTGTCTGCAAACAAAAGATATATACATTAACAACATAAAATATGGTGGCAGGGGGGGGCTATTTAGTTGTTGACTTGGTATCTTTTGACACGTCAAGTTTAACTATCTAGTGCATAGGTATACCTGCTCGGACAATGGAGCTCCAGCATCAATGCTATGACTTGCAACCTTACTTGCTATAACATTTGAATCGGTCTCGAGGACAATACTGCACCAAAAAGAAAGAGTTGAGCTCCTAAAGTGAGATTTGCACTCATAGGCCTAGCGGCTCGTGAATTGTAAAAGTAATAAGGTACAACCAGACTAAACAAAAGGTGAATACGTGCAACATATCTAAAAAGATCAATATTCTCTTCAAGTAAACTGCTACTACTCTGGTTCTTATGTCATACTAGCTTATAAGAAAAAATGTAAAGGTTGGAAATTGAACTCACTGAATAACACTAAGAAACTTTATTAACGTGAAGACTATAGCTTACCCGCCATCAACAATTTCATCAAGGCATAATAAAATGAGATCCAAATTCTCAAGTGCCTCCTTCTTGTCTACATTGCCTCTGGACAAAAGCAAGACTAACGAACTTCAAAATTTAATTTATTGAGCGTAAAACATTTGATTGTACAAAAACAGAGGATAAGGTAGCAAGCTTTAAGAAGGGAGCAAAAAACCTAAGGAGAATGCCAACTGCATCGAAAAATCCCTGGAGAACTGTGGATAAAATGAGCTCATTTTCATTGTCACCCCCAGTAACAAAAAAGTGAAGGTCTTGAACAAACTTGTAGACTACAATGGTGTTCTCAAACATTGCTATCTCGGCTGTACATGAAGAAGCAACAAGTTAATATAGAAATGGTTAGCAGTTGAAAGGGATTAGAATAATTGGATGACATATAACATATACAGAATATAACCTCAACAGAAAAATAATTATAGCTCAAATTACCTTCTGTCCGTGCATTTGTCTTTTGAGTTTTAGTAAATACAGCTTTCTCAAAAGATTCCTTTGCACTATTCGTTGGCCAGTCCTCTGAATAATACTTGACAGCCACACGCTTCCCTTCAGAATCGAGGAGGAGGATGTTCTTAATGGAAGGGCACGACTCCTACAAACAACAGCCAATGAAGGATAAAAAGATTGCCAAAATTTTGAATCATAATAGGGTCACTACAGCAACTGATTCTAGCCCTTCCATTAAAAGGAAACAGCCCTAGCAACATCCACTTAAGGTAGATATCTTACTCAATCATAATTATCAGGGAAAACTAAATGTCTTGCCTCAAATTATATGAAAACATAATATGGTAACCGACTCTATCTAACACATCATTTTACAAAAGTTAATAGTCAATTATTTGTTCCTGCAAGCCTAAATTTACCTGAAATTTGGATTGCAGCTGTACAATAAAGAGATATTGGTCGTGAAGGTGTTCTTGTACATCTAAAATTAGCATATGAGACATAAAGTGTACCATCTTTCAGACAACACTATCCATGACAAACTTTTGGTACTACAGTAGCACATGTGCATTAACATTGCGATTGCATAATTCTGTGTGATCCACATAGGATACACACATAAAACGCAGTCAAAATGACAATATCACTGAATACGTTCTACTACAAGTTTACTGAAATCATTTCCCAGGATCATAGTTGGCTATGGTAACTCAGTTGCAAGCTCAGCAGGGTCCTATGAAGCTCGAAGGAGATACCGCATATAAAACATCTTAAAAAGTCAAATGGGGATCCATTTATAACATTAAGACCATTTCTTTCACATAAAAGAATTACCTAACAAGAACAAACAAACATAAAAAAACTTGTGATGTGAACAAACAATCATTTTCCCAGGGTCATGGTTGGCTAGGGTAACTCAGTTGCAAGCTCAGCAAGTCCCTACCAAGCTCAATTAAAGTTATTATTAAAAATTCAAATGGGATCCATGTTTACCATTATGACATTGATGTTTTCCTGTCATATAGCAGCACAAAATTAACAACAAACCAACATAAAAAGCTTGTGAAAATTAGGACGCTTTATTAGTTTTAATCAGAAAGTGCATGCATATATAGCTATATTTTCAAGAAAATGAATTTCAGTTGTGTTGCTGTTGTAGGATCTGCAAGATCCAGTTCTAAAGAACTTGGATCCGCCTCTAATCATTCCACTCACAGATAGATCAAGAACCTCATACCAATGTCTAACTATAACCCTAACCCTAGCCCCTAAAATTATTAAATCAATTGGAATTTAAGGGGGAAGAGAGAGAAAGGGGAAGAGAGTGAAGAAACTGACCATTTTGTTCGGAGAAGAGCGAGTCTCTGATGAAGCAGCACAAGAAGCGAAATTTTTTGTTTTTGGGACACGTTATTCAATTTTATACTTTCCCCAACCCACCACTTAAGTTTTTGTTATTTCGATAAGAACCCCGAAATTATTTTTAGTTTATACTTACTAATTACGCATTCTATGCTAATTCCACCTCACCCCTGTTCTCTTTCTATTTTTTCCCAATCATATCCACCGCGGAAGCTTCGCGCAAAGACAAAATTACAGTTTCATCATCTGATATCATCCATTCATGAGTCGGCTGTTGCAGAAGGTAACCATCAAATCAAACCCAACCCTCTCTCTCTCTCTCTCTCTCTCTGCTTCTGCTACTTTGCTTACATTTTTGGGAAATTTTCAGGCTCCATTAACATCGGTGTTTCAAAGCTTGGTTGGAGCTCATGGACGGTACATCCCTACATGCCCCTGTTTTGTTTTCCGTTATTCATGTGATTATATGTTGTTTGATGAAATTCTTTGTTCAAAATTGAAATAAAATAGAGCAAGTTTTATAGCTGATATGATTGATTGTTACTTTCATCCTTTCTGATTATGTAGCACTGGAATCTGCTTTTTGAGTTGTATTATTCTGTGAAGATGAAATTTTTACTTAAATACAGTTCCAGTAGCCGAGTGTTTGGGATACTTCAGAACTATGTGGGAGTGTCATCTTGTAGAAAATCTGTTTGTGGATTTAGAGCTCTTTGCACTGACAAAGGTGCGTGTAACCCTTCCACCGTTTCTGTAATTTGATAATCAAATGTAATTTCACTCGAAACTTCGATTTGTTTACGTAAACCTTTCAAATAATCTTGAAGTGCCACCATGCAGTAAAACATCCCATCCATTCACAAAATTTTCGAAATGAGCTGCATTTCCTTGCTTCTCAGGATAAGAGATATGGCTTGGAAAGGCTACTTTTTCTTGTGTGCAATCCTTAATCCACATGAACAATGAACGAAAACTAAATTATCCACAAAGCACAAACATCACGCTGATATCCAGTTTGTCTGTGATCTATTAGTTTGTCAACTTTATTGCCTTGGCCCCATTCTAAATCATCTTGTCTTGGTTCACATCTTTGAGATATTGCTAATCACTTCGAGACCTTTACGAGCAAACTGTAAAGTTTTAAGTTATTCCCGATCCTATTAGGGGTTAGGAATGCAAACATCACTTGTATTGTGGTGACTGGTAAGTAATCTTCACTTCTTGGTAGGTTCATCTCTGTTTTTGCTTTCTATCCTCCTCAATTAGCTTGTCCGATTTCCAGTAGAATATAGAAGCTCTTATTCATTAAGGGGAAGGAACCTGCTTCTTGATTTGTTGGCCTTATCCACAGGTTTCCCTTTTTATCCAATATGACGGGCATTGGTTATTGACGCTATTTGTTCTGTAATATCAAAATTTGGTAATACTAGTGTTGTCATAGCTGGATTCTAAGGGAAATTTTATTCTTCTTATGTGGCACTGTTTTCTGGCTGCATCAGATTTGTCAATAAAGAAGTGTGTCCCTTGCGACTCAAAGGATCTGCGACCCATGACTGAACAAGCAGCAAGTGATTTAATCACAAAGGTTTCTGACTAAATGAATATACACACAAACAAACACATGTACACTTCTCTTTTAAAGCTAATATATTTGGTTTAGGTGGATGGATGGAATTTGGTGAGTGAAGGTGATGCATTGAGACTGAAAAAGTCATGGAAAGTTAAGACCTTCACAAAAGGACTGGAAATGTTTAAGCTCATAGCTGATGTTGCAGAAGCAGAAGGTATTTGAAGCCTGTTTTGTTTTCTGATGCATAGCAGTCTGCATGTATGAATATTTCATTTGAATTTGAGTAAGGTGGAATGTCTCTAATGTAGATGAGCAACAATAATGTTTATGTTACAGGTCATCATCCAGACCTTCATCTTGTTGGATGGAACAATGTAACAGTAGAGATATGGACGCATGCAGTCGGTAAGGACTTGCCATTACCAAGAACCAATTTGTTTGTATAGTTTACTGCACGTTGAGGATGAGTTTTTGACATGAAATGCATTGTGCAGGCGGATTGACCGAGAACGACTTCATTCTTGCTGCTAAGATCAATGCACTCAACATGCAACATCTGTTGAGGCGGAAAGCTACCAATTGAGCTGCCGGAATCGGGTGATATGATGTCGTGGGAAAACATGCTTTTGGCTTTTTTCTTGGCATCTCTGCCGTGAAATGAAGCATCTTAGGAAATCTTAGTTCAGTGTTTTTTTTTCTGTCAAGTGTGCCTGAAGCCAATTACCAAGGCTTTTTTTTTCTACTTTTTCGCTTTTTAGTTTTTTTAATAAATCAAATTTCATTCCAAGGGTAAAATGTTGGCTCAAACTTGGGCCTGCCGGGCCCGACGTATCTTCCTAAGCGCCAGTTTTGCATTGGCACATAATCAAATGACCCAGAGTGAATTTTGCTAAAAGTAGTTTACCAATTAGAATTGTAGAACTGCAATCCATAATTTTCCACCCCAAAAAAAAATTCCACAATTTCACCTCTTTTATATCTCATAAATTATTGATTTAATTGTTAATAATAATTATAACCTGGCACACTAACATATAAAAAGTTATAATGAGGGAGACATGAGCTTAGCCTAGTTGGTTAGGGCGGTTGTGCTCTCCATTTTGCACCCGAGTTTGAATTCCCATTTCTACAGTTGAGATTAGTTTAGAGTAGAAAATCGTTTGTATTAAAATAATAAAATAAAAGTTATAATAATAAACAAAGTCGTAGTCTATAATATTTCTCTACAATTGGCAGAGCTTATGAGACGAGATCTAGAAACCTTGTCACGGGATTGGCATGTAGACAGCTAGAAAGTTTTACCCACTTTCCTTTCCTTTGCTTGCTTTCTTTTTCCCCCTATCCTTTCATGCATGGAATCCAATTCCATGCTTTTGCAACACTTTCAGCAACTTCGTGCATAAATATAGTCCATACAAGTGTTAGCCTACCAATAAGCATAATCGCTCTGCGGATTTATTTCTAAAGAATTAATCGGAACAAACCTTACAATCAGTCAAGAGCCCCACAAAAAGCCATTAATATGTTTCATTTTCAGCTTTTTTTCCCTTGGGGAGGGGACCCTTCGTGAATTTACATCCGGCCTAATGTCCCCATACAAGTCTTGGTACATTTGACAATTGTTTACCACATTAACAAGCAGATAAGAGCACAACTCACTTCGGACCAGAGAATGTAAATATACTGCTTCATGGCTCAATGACCAAGGACCCCCATCTTCCAACGGGGAGGTAATTGTGCATAACGGTTTCTTATCAGCTGAAGAGCAAAGATTGACAGAAATACCTGCAAGCCTAGCACCAAACCCCGTCTCAAACTAGTCAGATTTGAAGTTACAGTTAGCAGTATTACAAAAGTATCAGTTGATGTTTTCCTTTGAAAAGCAAAATAAAAATAAAAACCATAAGTTTGAATCGCCATGCGCGGATATGGGGATTATCCAATGCCACCATTTCCAAGCAATTCGGAAAATGAATGAGTATGTAACATCTAGGATTTAAAAACTGCCACTTACAATGCTACATTACTTTACATTACACCATAGTAAATTCTAGCAAACACACCTTCATTTCCTGCAAATTCTACTCTCAAGTAGCAACAGTACATTTTTCCATCCTATAACAGTGCGAGGTTCAGAAGAGTCTAGGATACACAGTCAAATTGATGCATTTTCTACCACCTTTTTGTTTTTATTGCTCCACAGAAGGATAGTCTGATCAAGTCAATGTATGTGAACTGAATGTTTCATCTCTTTAGAATTCCTTAGAACTTAGAAAGGTCTGCTAGCAAAGAATAGAGCATAAAACTCAATTGATTTTTTTATTTGATTCACTAGTTACCGTTAGAAGAGAAGTTCTTCCTAAAATACCCTGTTCTGAGGAAAAACAACTACAAACCGGCAATTGAAACACCGATGTTACGAAATTTTTGTGATACTCGGTGTTCACAAGTTTAGTCTATTCCTATTCCAGTGGCATACCAAAAGTGTTACCAGGGCCACCTTAACTAGTTTGGGCACCTCATATGCCATCTTCCTCCTGAAAGCCTGGTTATTCGACTATTATGATAGCCTAGGACTAATGTGACTCACTATCTCCTAGAACTTAGTCCAATGAAGACATGAATGCCCACATTAGATCAAGCAAGATTACACACAAAACTTCACCCACAACTATTCAAGTAATGTGATCCTCGATCTAGTTAATTCAAGTATAATCATATTCAGCTGACATTATAGCTACAAAGAACAAATGATGGATCCAACTAATTACACTAATCAACTTCTACAGCAAATTGCAGATTCAAGACAAACTCAAAGCTGCCCAAAAATATAAACCACATTAGTACCTCAAATCTCAACCCTTATTTTGAGACAGGCTTTTGGAGAAGAGCAGATAAGTAAACCTCTCCATTCTTCAACCCACCCGAATCGTTCTTGCTCGCCGTCGCCCACTTCACCTTCCTGTACCCCAATTTCCCAATCAACGGTCCAAAAATCTTATCAAGATCCGCCTCTTTGCTGAAAAAATGGTCCAGCCACAAGTACCCTCCTCCCCTCAACACTCTATCCGCATCAAACAGCAGAAACTCCAACGCCGTCACCGGTATCCACCGGTTAACGGCGTGCCCGCACCGCACCAGATCCACCACCCCATCGAACACCGGCAGCCGCTGCTGCAGCGGCGCGTGAATCGGCACCAGCCCCCTCAGCGCCACCGCCTCATTGTTGGGGATCCCGAGGTTCATGGTCGTGGTGACAATGGTGACATTGTAGAGCTTCATCCTCGCCGCGAAGGACCCGGTCCCGCCGCCGATGTCGATGCCGAGCCGGAGGACCGAGTTGGCCGCCTTGGCGATTTGGAAGAGCTGAGGGATGGGGAGGTCGAGCTCGGACTTGTAAGTCATGAAATTGACCACTTCGTGAGGCGGGTCGAAGCCCAAATTGAGGTTCTGGCGGTTGAGGCAGCTGAAGCTTTTGCACGAATACTTGGTCCACAAGACATTGGCGTCTGGAAGCGAAGAAGGAAATGGGTTCTGGGGGAGAGAAGAAGTGGGTTTTGGCGGGGTTTTGGTGAAGCAGCGGCGGCGAGGAAGAGGGTGGCAGCCGCGCAGAGTGAGTGACTCGGCGAGGTCCGAGTCAAGAGGGCAGAGAGAGAAGGGGGTGTAGGTCATGTACTTGTGGAGGAGTTCAGGGTGGTTGTGGCAGGAGGAGGCTATGGGGGAGAGCTGAGAGTAGAGGAGGAGATCTGAGGGAATGGTGGGTTTGGCTGCTTTGGCGGTGACCGGTGGAGATGGGTAGTTGCGCGTGAGGTGATTGATGGTGGCGCGGATGGTGTGGAGCTGGTGGAGGAGGTGGTCAGGGACTGGCTGTGGAGCTGGGGATTTGGGGGTTTGGATAGTGGAGGAGAGATGGTAGAGTGAGAGTATGTTGGTGGCCACCATAGCCATCAAGAGCAGCAAGTTCAGGCCCATTGTGAAACCCATTTGCTTCACTCTCACTCTCTCTTCTCTCTCTATATTTCTGGCTTTTTCTTTTGGGGAATTGCAAATTTTTGAGATTTTGGTTTTGAGCTTCTTCTTGAATCTATGTCTCGGTGCAGGGACCGTTTGACTTACCAGTGAAGTAAGTGAGTGGCTTTTTCAGCTATCTCAGCAGGAGCAGAGTATGGGGCCTGCTTGTGTGTGAGCAAGGGTATGGATTTGAGATTTTGATATATGATTTTGTCCGTTCGATTAGGACAAGTTGTGTGGGTTTCCAGATGAGGCAGGTTGATGTAGATTTTGGAGTGGTGGAATCCAATGGCTGAAAACTGAAAACTGAAAAAAGAGTTGCATGGGTTGGCAATCAGGACTTTGGATTTATTTTATTTCCTCTTTTGTCATTTTGTTTTCCTCTTTTTCTTGAAGCCCCTGTGGGTTTTAGGAAATTAAATGATTAAAAAAAATTAAGAAAATGAATATGGGACTGGGGGCACGTTGGACTTTCTGGACTGACTTGCATTTCATGCAGATTTTTATATTGCTGTTATCAGAGCAAAGGATTAAGAAAATATTACCATGTTTTTAGGGACAGCTTGTCCTCAGTGACCTTAGCCAAACCCAATTAATGCAGACACTGTATATAGTTCAACCCAAAGACTTTGCCTCACTTGCTTTTCCTTTTTAACAATTAGATTCATTTTTACTATATTTAGCAGGACCATTAACCTTGAAAATATGTAATTCAATATAAAATAGTTCATCGCATTCACATTGATAAAATAAAAAAAGGAGTTTGTTGTAGCTTAAGCGATAAACAATATTTATCTAACACCCGAATTTTTAGATTCGATTATCCTTCCTCTTGCTTGCACGGTTGTACCAATGAAACTTTTCCGGCTGGATTAGAGAACAATTTCTAAAGGCATCCTTATTCTTAAATGAACAGCCCAATCCATTCCGGTCAGATCGGAGAACAATTAAACTTTTCTAAAGTACCAACTAAACCCGGGCCATATGATCTTGTGGAATATATAAGATATTTTCCATTAGACTAAGAATTAGTTGATTAAATAATGAGCTTGTAACTCATATGGTTAAGAACATTTACCTATGTATTCGAAATTTTATATTCGATTCCCTATATAAAGAGTAATGAAGGATTCACTTGATTTTTGTGGGTCTTGTAATCATGCCTTAAGATTCAACATGAGAGAGAGAGAGAGAGAGAGAGAGAGAGAGAGAGAGAGGAACAAAACACATTAAAAACAAAGAGTTGACCAAAAAGAGAGATCGAAAATAAAAACAAATAGGGAAGAAAATGTTCATGTATAAGATTGGGTTAGAAAATTTAAAAGAAAGAGGCCTATTTTCTTTTGTACAAAAGCCTCTTTCAAAATAAACTGTGGATTTTCTTTCGGAAGTGGGCTAAAAAAATATTATTTGGGGCCCTATGCCGTCGTCCAGCCTGCACATGTTTTGCGCCGGGCCTGCCTGATAGAAAAGATGGTTGGTTAAAAAAACACAGGGTGTTTCTGTTTCTACCTTGCAATAATGCACTTCCCCATCCAACAAAAAGTTTGAGTTCCCATTTCAGAGTTTTGCTTTTCCATTTTTCAATTTGTTTTTAGGGTTAAAATTGGAAGTTTAAATTTTGCTGGGTAGGAAACAAAATTGACCAACACGCCTGTATCACAGTAGCATTCGTTGGTGAGAGAGATCAAGAGTCGTATATAAAAGACCTAACTCGAGAATCCGGCGCCTGCCTAACGCAACTTTGGTTTCCTTTCCTCTGTTTGGAACACTAGATCGCTATCCAAAACTTGAATCAATGGTAATGCTAACCTACTCTCTACTGTTTTCCTTTTCATTGTTATCTTTTTTACTTTCAGATACCAAATGCAGCGTTAGGGTTTGCAAATGCTTGTGTAGATTTCATGTCTATTTTATCTTCGTTCCCCAAATTAGGGCTTGAGTTGAGTAATTCACAGTCTTTGATGTTGTTTTGCATAATTCTAATTTTGTGTGGTGTTGTGATTTTATTTCGGATTATGGTGTGCAATTGGCCAAGAAATGAATATTGGGAATTTGGGAGCTCAATTTTTACTTTTGAGTGGTGGTCGGGGTTGGGCATGGCTGTTACACTGAGCAGGCATAGCAAATAATAGGTTTTGAAAGAACAGCAATTATCACACGAGTTATATGCAAATACTTCCTGAAACAGGCTCCAAGAGAGTTAGGTAGTTCTTTTGGTGCATAGATCTGTGGTCTCTGTTGAGGAGATTTTTCAGACTGTCTTGGCCATTGAAGGGTGTTCCGGACTGTTTTGAAATTTTCAATTGCTTTTTGATTTTGTATCTGTGATGCGATGGGGTTTGGGGGATTAGGAACATGGGTTCTGATTTCACAGTCATCATGTGTTTCTTTGCTGGTCTGAGATGTGTTGCAACTTGCTAAATACATGTAGATATGCTTACTGATATACAGTGTGGTTGGCACAATTTTATATTTAGTCTGTATGATGATTATGATTTGTTTTTTTCCTTAAGTTTTTGTTACTTATTGGTCTCCTTTTTAGGCGGATCCTGAACTAGAAGCAATCAGACAAAGAAGAATGCAGGAGCTTATGGCTCAACATGGTGTGGTAAGCAATCAACTTGGGTTTATCTGAGTGTTTTAGCTAAAAACGTGCAGTTGCTTTTTTGTGATTTCGTGCTGATCTCGCCACCTTGCATTGATTGATAGGGAGGGTCCGGAGGGAAACAACAAAATCCGGAACAGCAGAGGGCAAATGAAGATGCCAAGAGGTTGGGTTTTAAATCAATTAGGGAATTAGTTTTTTCTGTTTTGTTTTTCCAGAAAGTTCTTATTGATTTGATACATAAGGAAATCAACTTAGGGAGGCTGAAGAACAGAGGCAGATGATGCTTAGTCAGATTTTGTCAGCAGAAGCTCGTGAAAGAAGTAAGTTTGATATCTGAAATTGGCGTTTCATGATTATTATACTTGCGCTCCTTGGAAAATCTTCCGTTATTATCACTTCTCCTCTTTTAGAAAAGCCTATTCTTGGTTTAGGATACTATATTTGGATTACTTTTATGACAATAGTTAATAAACCATGGTACTTTGATATCTTGGCACAAGATTTAGGCGGTTTAAAATAAGAAAGATGGAGTATGATATGTTGTTAATCTGGGCTGTTGTCTGTTTGCAGTTCAGTAACATGCATATGTGTATAGCAATTCATACTCTGGGTTAGGCTTATCTGTTGATCTAATACACTTAGTGCTATGCATGTATAGTTGCTCGAATCGCTTTGGTGAAACCTGAGAAGGCAAAGGGTGTTGAAGATGTTATACTGAGAGCTGCTCAAATGGGCCAGATAGCTGAGAAGGTGTGGTGTGATATTTCATATCGTGGTCGCTTTTATAGTTTCTTCACAGGGCTTAATATTTTTTAAGTGCATTAACAAGAGTTTGTTTTTAGGTTTCCGAAGAGAGGCTCATTTCGTTGTTGGAGCAGATCAACAACCAAACAACAAAACAGACCAAAGTCACTGTAAGTGATGATCAATTTGTAATGATCTTTCTTTCGGTTAAATTTTACATGTAAAATTGTACTGATTTTTGCCCCATGTCTTGGATTACTCTTTTTCTTCCAGATTCAGAGGCGTCGGAGTGTCCTTGATGATGATGATTGAATTGTATTTTATATTTAAAGACAATGTTCTTGTTGGTTGTATATTTTAAGATAAAAGTGCTTGATTTTTTGTGTTTCTAAAATATTCAACTCTGCTCATACTTCTATTTTGTGATTTTGATATTTGTTTTTCAGTAATATTCTTGACGTGCAAATATAACCTGTGTCACAAACAGACATCCTTAGCACCATCTCAAGACCAAAAAAGCTCCAACACATGTACACTACCAGTTTGATCATGGCCGTATATCTGAGTTTAATTTTTGACATGCTAGGATTACTTTCCCATGACCATATGTTTGTCTGCCATTGACGTTATTTGCTTCGGTGAAACTCTACAAGTGCTCTGACTAATTTGTGATGATTAACTAGGTAGTTGCAACTAATCGATCCACAAACCATGTTTGTGTTAATGATGATCTCATGGCTTTGCTAATAAGTTGTAATCGAAATAATTAATTATGGCCTTCAATTACATGATATGATCCTTGTCCTTGAGCATATACATTAGTTCTTATGCATTTACCCACATTGAGCATCTATATTAGTTCTCGTGCATTTATCCGTATTTCACGATAATTGAAGCATTTAAATAATCTAATAATTTAAGACATACACATCACATTATAAGTGTTTAAAATTGTTCTCATAGGCCCTATTTGGTTAATGGGAAATGAGATTTGGGGATGGGAAATCAATTGTTTTTCCACGTTTGGTAAGTCAAGGCATAGGAAATCGTTGTTTGGTCCATGGGAAAGTAAAGTCATTCTCCCAACTTAGGTTTTGTTTTCCCTTATCATGGGAAAGTTTGGGAAAATGAGCTAATTTCATGACCATTTTGTCCCTATTAACAATTTAGAATGGCAATATATCAATAAATGCATTCTTTTTTATTTGATTTAATATAGGTATAATTGAAAATTAATACACACTTTGTTTTCCATACATACTCGAAACAAATATGGGAAATGAAATAAAGTGATATTTCCCGGTTACTTTCTCAGCATTATCAAACGTGAGAAATGAATATTCCATTTCCCATCCATTGGAAAATGATATGGGAAATGATTTATTTTCTCAAATTCATTCCATGAATCAAACGTGGCCATAGGGTAATCTAACAATAACAAATTGACAGTGGTTACTACTAATTTGTCAATAGGAGATGGCGGTGGTTATAGGATTGCAGCCTTCAGATGCCATTAGTCCATTTCTAGAAGCTTGGAAATAATTGATGCTTCCACCGAGAAATATAAACCAGTATCACTGTCATCAAATAATTCAATATTTCCACATTTGTTTCCTTGCGCATAGCATAACTCATTTGTGATTCCACTACATTAGTCCAAAATCTAATGATGTCACGTGAAGTAGGTATATTAAACTTAAAACAACTATCATTTAAAATGAATAAATAACTAAAAAAAACAAATACATTATAAAATGAATAAATATTTTTATGTGATTATAAACTACTATACAATGTTACAAATTCACTCATATTATAATATCAGTTATGTCTACAACTTTAACCTCTTATTTATTTGACAAAAGATATTTAAGATATGAAATGGTTCATTAGAACTTCGATTTTATATTTTAAGTATCTAATCTTGGGATCCAACACTATAAACTTCAGTATAAGCTCCAAAATAATTATTTATATCGTTAAACAATTCATTTAGATTAGAATAAAGTAGAATATCGTTTCATAAAATAAAAAAACAATCCATCATGTCATATATAATATCAAAATCAAGAAAATTAAGTAACAATGAGATTTGATTTTCCTCAACACGTAACCCGTCTTACATGTTTTGGTAGATTTGAAAAATAAAAACTCCCTACTATATATATATATATATTTCTGGGGCGCGTGGCTGAATCATATATTTATCCGAAGGAACCGAATCTGACGACGTACACATCTCAAATTCTGCCTCTCGTTGTAATCTGCAACGTTGGTTCTCACAGGTATTTTGTTACTCTTTTTTGCACTTTTTTGCTTGGCTTCCCCAAGTCCCAACAAACCGACCGAATCAAACTCCCCCTACCCCATCTCTCTCTCACTCGCAAGCGCACATTTCCCTCTTTTGAGAATCTTCAACCGTGTAACAGCTCTCAATTGAATATTGACCCAAGTTCCCAACTTTTCTCTTCAATTCTTCCACCTCTCTCTGCAAACCCATTTCACCATAACAGCCAAAAGTTTTCTGTTTCTGGTTTCCCGGCGATACCAAAAGCGGTTTTCCGGCGTACCCAGATGGAGAAAGAGCCTCTGCTTCCCTATGTAGGCAGCCCGAGAAGAAAGCTCTCACCTTTACACACTCTCTGTCCGCTACCAGAAGATAATGAATTCACTGCCCCTTTAACCCCTTCAGAGTTCAAAGACCGTATCATCTTTGGCCCTTCCCCCTCATCACCACAAGACTCTTCTCCTCTAGTTGATGCCTTGACTCTGCCTTACAGTTCACCAAGAGCCTCAAGGCCTCCTTCCTCTTCTTCTTTATTAGACGCCATAGCCACAACCCCAAAAGATCCACAACCTCAACAACCCCTGCAATCTTGGCTCATTGACCCCAACTATTCATGGACCAAAACCAACCTCCATCGCTCCAAAACTGCACCTGCTATGGCTGTTATAAATGATGTGGAAAACCGGCGTTCTGATCCTAGACCCCAATTTGGTTCACAGTCTATTGTAAGACAAGCTTTTATTCTTCTTGTTATATATTTGTCATTGGGTGTGACTATATATTGGTTTAACCGTCATCATTTCTCGGCAATTGAGACACACCCGGTAGTTGATGCATTGTACTTTTGTATTGTGACAATGTGCACAATTGGTTATGGAGATATTACACCCACTAGTACGGCAACCAAGTTGTTTTCTATAATGTTTGTGTTGGTGGGGTTTGGATTTATTGATATTTTGCTTAGTGGGATGGTCAGTTATGTGCTGGATTTGCAAGAGAATTATTTGCTAAGGAGTCTTAAGGGTGTGGGTGAGAAAAAGGAGTCCTACATATTTGATGTCAAGAAGGGGAGGATGAGGATTAGAATGAAGGTAGGATTGGCATTGGGAGTTGTGGTGCTATGTATTGGGATTGGTGTTGGTGTTATGCATTTTGTTGAAAGGCTTGGATGGTTGGATTCATTTTATCTTTCGGTTATGTCAGTTACCACCGTTGGGTATGGTGACCGCGCTTTCCAGTCTTTGTCGGGTCGCATCTTTGCTTCAATTTGGTTGCTTGTATCGACGCTTGCGGTTGCTCGAGCATTTCTGTATTTAGCTGAGGCAAGGGTGGATAAACGGCATAGGATAATGGCAAAGTGGGTTCTTGGTCAGGATATGACTGTTTCTGAGTTTCTTGCTGCTGACATTGACAATAATGGCTTTGTGAGGTATGTGCTAGTATTAAATACTTACATTTTGATCAGTTAGGTTGTTTTAGGTTGTTGGTTTTTTATCTATGAAGTTGGTTCATCAAAAGGTACATACTTGGGCCGTATAGGATAAAACTTGTATTGATTTAGCCTTTCTTCTTCTCCTAGTTACTCAAATACATTTGGCATGTTCTTGAGCTTAGTAATCTAAAGCCAATATTGTTGACTAACTAGAATTCTTTAAATGCCTATTTGAAATTACGTGTTATAACTATCATTATGAGAATTATAATAGACTACCAGCTTACTAAGTTTTCTGAAACATGAGGCCTTCCATTTGACTGCCCGAGTGCATAAACTCTTGGACAACAAATGAATGTATTGATTTGTGAGTCATATTTTGTAATTTTTGGATATTATAAGTGAAGCTTGTTGATTGCAATTAACAATCATTGGTCAATGTCTGTCTCTATCCATTATGAAGGGTCGTCTGAATGCATGGGTCTAAACAGAAGTTTAGGAGACAAGGAATATTTGTGGATAAAATGAAACAGAATTTCTGTAGGTTAAAATACCTATTTGAAATTACGTGTTATAACTAGCTCTATGAGAAATTATAACAGAGTACCCGCTTACTAAGTTTTCTGAGACCTAAGGCCTTCCATTTGACTGCCCAAGTGCATAAACTCTTGGACCACAAACTGTAAGTTTCAGATATTATGAGGTGAAAGTGAAGCTTGTAGGTTGCAATTAACAATCATTGATCAATTTCTGCACATTATGAAGGGCTGTCTGAATGCATGGGGAGTAAACAGAATTTTACAAGACGAAGAGTATTGGCAGATATTATGAAATGAGGCTGTGCACAGACCCCTCCACCTTCTCCTTATTGTGTTAGCTCAGTCCCCCTTTGCGGGCCTTAATAACCAAGCATTTCAAGTGTGTTGAGCACAGTATTCCATTTCTATTGGAATTATCAAAGCTTATTGCAAATTTCTTGAGCATGCAAATGGTTTATAGTAAGGGGAACTGTATCCCTATGGGATATTTTCTCTGAACTTTTGTGTTTGATCAAATTATTTATGAGTTGCAACATGAATCTGATAATTTGCTATCTTGCTTAGTAAGCCTTCATTTCCTTCGGAATTGACATGTAACATCATAATAGTTAGGAGTTGTAACATAAGTTTGATTCAGTTTTTCTTTATTAATGACTCAAGTTTGATTCAGTTATCAATACAAATTAGTCTGTACCAAACTGTTTAACTCTTGTTGGAACCCCAAATACTTGGTGACATGGAGGTTATGAGCACGGCAGTTGATTCAAGTGCCTAGGTTTCACCAATTTTGGAGGAGATTGAATTTGTGACCTTGATAATTTAGCGTGCATTGATTATTTAGTTCCTTCTAGAAATCTGGAGGTTAAGCAGCTGGTAAAATTTGTCCTCAGTGGTAGGCAATAATATGGTTTGAATTTTGGTTTTTTCTTATTGATTAGTAGTTCCAATTGTGTTAGCCTGGAATTCTTACAATAAGCAACTCTTGTTTAGAAACTGGCGCAAGTTTGCTTGGCTGACTTCATTTGTTTGTAAAGTTCTAATCTTAAAAATATATTTGTGACTTGGTCTGACTTACTTCCATTGTCTGGAGTTGTTGACTTATTTCTTTGCTTATTCTGAGTTGCAGCAAATCAAAGTTTCTGTTGGCTAATTATGTTGGCTTTATGTGTGCAGTAAGTCAGAATATGTCATATACAAACTCAAGGAGATGGGAAAGGTATCAGAGAAAGATGTTATGCAGATCTGCACCCAATTTGATAGGCTAGACTCTGGGAACTGTGGAAAGATAACCCTTGCGGATCTTATGAGTCGTCATTGATATCCAAGTAGCCTTTTGTCCTTTTCATCATTATACATCAAGGCAAGCAAATAGCAAATATCTTTAAACATGAAGTATGATAAGCCTGATCTTATGGAGAGCATTGTTCATATCCAAGTTGCATACAATCCACATGAAGTATGAACTTTGCTGCCTGATCTGTTGGTCCTCTTACCCATGCATCCTTATTCCCATCAAATAAATCTTCCATATTTTAGGCATAGATGCATGATACTTGTGGACGCACATGGATGCATTTCCTGCTAAAGTATACAATTTTACAAACAGTCAACAACAAGGTCATTGACATATTCCACAAAATACCGGTGATGGGAGAACTGAGCTGATAGAGGGCACTTTTGACTTAACACAAACTAATTGACAATACAGACTAGTTGTATTTCTCTTTCAGAAATGAAGATAATCTCAGAAAATAACAATATTTTACTTTTTGCTCAGAGTTGGAGACCCTTTTTGTGGCTTCAGAATGTAAATGGTTGTAAATTAGTATGAATGAAGGTGAAGCACTTTGACTACGTCTCTCTAGCTTGCTTGCTTTCTTTCTTTCTTTATTTCTTGCATTATTTTGGATCCAAGTTAAGTTGGTAATCACAAATATTGACACTTTGCCCTTTTTTTAAGAACCTTGATTTTCTCTTCATCATCAGGTTATGCTATTTTTAGTGTTGTGTGGACCCTATGAATGTTAGACTTGGCAATGAATTGGGTTGATTAATCTATTGAATAACAGGCACTTGTAACCCAAAATAGCCATTCTCGTGCTCTTCATGGGCGTGCCTTTTCTGGCTTGATAACTTGGTACCAGCTGATGCATTGCACCAACATTTGTCCTATATGTTTGGAAACAACAGCGGAGCTAAATGTGAAAAGGGTGGGTTCAAAAAGGGCTCATATGGTTTTTGACTGCAATGTTTCATTGGAAGTTATATAATTCCAATTTTCTTGCAGAAATATGATCCTTGCTTTTTTCTTGGAAAACATGAAAGACAGGTGCTCATAATAATAAACCCAAAAGGTGTGCACTTCAACATTCAACTCATTGTTTACAAATTCCTCTCACTTATATAAAAAAGTGAATTTGAATTGATGAAGGGATCAAAGCAACTCCTATTAATCTACTAGAAGTTTTCTGTTTGAAAGGTAGCCTTGGACCATGTCGGTTTCAAAAGCTTCATCAGCAAACCAATCCGTTCATGATTTACTGCGACTTTTAGGGTGATTGAATTGAAAGAAGACCAAGGACTATACACATAATATATATATATATCTTGTCCTCTTTAAAAAGTTACTTTTAAAATTTTGAACATGAAACTAGTCCTTTTCTTTGAAGGGATCAAAAGAGCAATGAACATTAACCCAATACTCTACAAGACTACTTCATTCCAAATTTCCAACTCTCTCTCTCTCTCTCTCTCTCTCTCTCTCTCTCTCTTATTATAAATTAGACAACTTCTTGAAGAGCATCATAACAAAGCTTTTGAATTCTGTTGATGAAGTAGACTGTTTTCAGTGATCTTGATTGACTGGGGAACCAAAGACTATGTCCTATATTAAATCTATGGGGTTTACCAAAAGGAGATGAAGAATTAAAAAGAATGCAAATTAAAATATAAATTATATATTACGGCATGGCTGAGTCAACTTAATTAATTAATTCATTGCAACTTAATTATGACTGCTGATGACTCTATCAGAGAAATAATAATTTAATAATTTGGTAGAAGAAATGTCTGTTCTTTCGTTTTCAGTTCTTTATTGGCTAGTGAAATGGAGGGGCATTATAGCAAATAGAAAATTCAATTTGAATAACATTAAAGTATAGAGAATGCTGCTGCAGTTGTTAGATTAGAACCAGTCAAGTAAATTTTTGACCTCTTGAAGAATCCATCCACATAAGCGGTCTTTTCACATTTGAAGAAGATGGAGCGGGCTTTCCTTACACTAAGTGATGAATATAAGAGACAAACCCCATATCTTGTATTTTTCTTATGACTTGATTTGCAATTTGCACCATAAATCATAATACCATATTCAGTTCTTCTCCTATGCGCACGTTACGGCGTTATTACCGTGATTTGCAATTTGCACCATAAATCATAATACATGACGTCTGCATGGTAATAATAGATGTTGGCATAGAAGAAAATCAGGTACTATATTGTAAAATACTATACTATGCATGTAATAATAGTCATTTCCGATGTTGACTATGGGTTTCAAGTCAAATTGAAATCATTGAAATCAAGATTTTAAAACATTATAGCCTAATGGATAGGGTACTGGTGGTGAAGTGGATTGTCAGCTTTTCTTTACTCGTACAATTTTTATAAATTAAAATTAAAAAAAAATTGTACGGAAATTTGACGGGAAAAGTTAAAAAAGAAAAGAAAACTAATTAATATACAGGAAAGAAACTTGTTCAACCAAGTTATTTATTTGTCTGGAAGCAAAATGGGTTTTGCTTAACTAAACTAACCCTTCGTATTTGTGGGAGTAATAATCCGGCTTCCAAATACGAAGATATTCTTTAAAAAATTCTAGATGTCTATAGTCTTATAAATACATGGTTACATTCAACACACTAGGTAATTTTAAATTCCTTTCAAAACCCTAAACACCCGAAACCCCTCACACGGTTAAGTGACACCACACAAAGTTACGACCACCCGGTTCTCCTCATAGAGAAAACTCTGTATTGTTTCTCAAGAATTCAATCGAATTAACTTAGACATCGGATGGCCTTTAGCCAACACCCTTCAGGTGTGGTCTTTTACTCATGTTTGATTTTACAGGAATTGGAAAAGAGAGAGAAGTAAGTTAAAAAAACGAAGAATTTTCAAGCGAATATTCTCTCTTGAGATATTTACACAAACAGTATTAATAATATAGACTGCAGAGTTGTATTTGTCTGAGTAGTCTTGTATTGGAGTTTTGCCTGACAAGTTCATAAGCGTACGCAAAAATAATGGCCATACATAGAGTTATAGTACTGTAGCAGCATACATACGCATTATCAGTTTAAGGCTCTCTCTCTGTCTGTCTCTCTCTCTCTCTCTCTCTCACTAATAAACTATTTATATACCATCAATTATTGAGCGGAAAAAAGTTAGGCACACACTGCTTTCTCTTCAATGAAGTGGAATTCTGTGGATGTATTTTAATTGAACTTAATCGTGTGCTAGCTAGGTTACAACCTCGGATACTATTCGACATACAGACTCTCTTGTTATGAAGAGTCATTCAGCTGGTCTTCCAAACTGTAAGATGTTGTCTCCTTGCTACATCCTTGCCTTTTTCTGGTTCTGGAAGTTCGTGACAACATCCTAGTCATTGATGAACGCGAATCGAAGATTGATATGTGTAAATAAAATTGTCGTGATATATATGGTCGAAATTAAACCATTGGTGCGTGGGTGGTTGATAAAGCTGATACGTACAAATAGGGATAAGATAAAGTTTGTTAGTGAATAGTGATTAGGCAGATGACAACTAAAACAAAGATTAATTTAGAGATGCTGCTTGCTTGGTGGTGGTGCCTTTAAATTTGAGGTTGAGGGATGGGTTGGGTGCAAGTGCAACCCCAAATGTTTCAACATCCTAAAGATTCTTTTTTTCCAATGTGCACACCTAACAAAAAACCTGCCCTCTTCTAAATCGATAGGGACTTCCATTACCAATATACCAAAGTCCTTATTTTATGTCACTTATAGCGGACGCAACTGATTAATAATAGGTCAACAATCTCATGCTTTTCTTTAATTTTCTCTCTTTCCATCAAAAGTCATCCCTCTTAAGCAACCGCCCCAACCCCATCAGATTGATTTACACTCTGATTTGATTTAAGTTCAAATCATGTACATCTACACTTTCCCGTAATGCATGTATTTCCTCTTGCTACCTTTTGATTAAACTAATCTCCAGTCAAATACACAAAGATTACCCTTTCGATTTGACGCTAATCTTCCAAATGATTTTAGATCATTTAGAATTGAAAACATGATACACTCATGACGCACAAGTAGTCATCTCTTACGTACTCTTTCTTTCTTTCTTCTCTCTCTTTTCTTTAGTAGAAATTGACAATTAACAATACGAGATCAATACTTGAAGGATCATAGTTGATATGTTATTTAATAGTTACTCATCCTAATCGACATAATAAATAACTAATTAGTTTTTGGTATGGTGATATTTGTCTTCATTTAATTGGAGGAGGTCTCATATTTCATTTATATAAATGACGATGACAATTTTCTATTGTAACGGTGTAGTTTTGTTATGCGTATATTAGCCGGTTGTAAAAGTAGTTTGTAATAAATCATTAAAAAAATGAGACTTCTCTAGCATATTTCCTTTTCCTTTTGATAAAAATAATGTTTTTACTAAATTATTATAACTTCGTCTTAGTTCAAGAAAGACAGTGTTCAGTATATAAATACCCTAATTTGTTTTCTTTACCAACTAACATCTTGGGAAGGTAGGTATATGTCATATAGATCATATTCATATTTCTCCTTTCTCTGTTTTTGTGTGTGGATATTTTCCTGCAAACAGTTATTAGCTCAAATTAAGGGCGCCAGATTAACATCTTTCATTTTTCTTTCTGCTTTTTTAAAAAACTAAATCAATTATTTAGTTGCATGTACATTATACATAAAATGTGTATTGTTCATGTGGACAACACATCTAATAACAAAAAACAAAAGGCTTAATTATTGTTTTACCCGTTGGAATGGATGCTCGGTCTCATTTTACCCAATGAAATTGAAAATTTCTCACTTAACCCCTTGAATCTCTAAAAATTGCTAAAAATTTCTTACTTTACCACTTTTGTTCCTTTTCCTCCACACAACTATTAAATGTGCTGATGTGGCATAAGCATTTAGTAATTTTAACTATTAACAAGCTTTAAAATCCAAAGAGTGCTGCTATTTCCACTCACCTGTCTTATTTTCTCACCCACCTTATTTTCAAAATTTTAAAGACTAATTTACCCATACATAAAATGACTTTTAAAGACTATCTAATTTTTGTTGTTGACAATGTTCACTTTTAATAACTAAAAAAAAAACTAAAATTAATTCTTAAAAACAAAACCAAAAACCCAAGAGCCACTAAAGCTCGTTTGTCCCCACCCGACTTGTCAGCCATCCCACTTGCCTGCGGCAACACCCTCCCCCCGTGCGGCCGACAAATCCTCATTTCCTCTCATCTCTCTCTATCTCTCTGTCTCTCTGTCTCTATCTCTGTCTCTTTAGGCTGGGGTCGTTGATTTTCATTTTTGTAGTAATAACATGTTGGCTTTTTGAAGGGTAAGGATGAGTTTGGTGTTGGTGTTGGAGATGGACGAGGATGATACATGTAACATCCCACATTGACCAACGGAAAGGGGGTGATGTGCCTTATATGTACATGCCCACCTCCATCTAGCACGAGGCCTTTTGGGATCTCACTAACTTCAGAGTCATGGGAACTTCGAAGTTAAGCGAGTTTGGGCTAGAACAATCCTAAAAACAAAACCGTGAGGGGCAGGAGACCCAAAGTGGACAATATCATGCTACGGTGGAGCCGATCCGGGATGCGACAAAATGGTATCAAAGCTACTTTGCCGTGTGGTGCAGATGTACCGACGAGGACGTCGGGCCCCTAAGGGGGTGGATTGTAACATCCCACATTGGCCAACGGATAGGGGGTGATGTGACTTATATGTATATGCCCACCTCCATCTAACACAAGGCTTTTTGGGAGCTCACTGGCTTCAGAGTCATGGGAACTCTGAAGTTAAGTGAGTTTGGGCTAAAGTAATCCCAGGATGAGTGACCCACTGGAAAGTTGCTCGTGAGTTCCTAGAAACAAAATTGTGAGGGCAGGGGGCCCAAAGCGGACAATATCATGCTACGACGGAGCCGATCCAGGATGTGACAATAGATCTGGGGTTAAGGTGTATTTTAATAATGATCTAACATTGCAGACAACTCATCAATAGGAGTATCGATCAAAGACTGTCGTTTTTTTGTTTCAGCAACTAAATAATTCTTCAGTTTGTTTTGTTTCTAGAGATGCCAATACAATGGCACATAGTCTTGCATATTTTGCTATTTCATTAATTGACATGTTCTCATAGGATAGGGACCCTCTTGCTTTCATTGAGAACTTGTTGGTTGAGGAGGATATGCTGTAATCGATTTTAGTCTTATTGAAATAAATACATCGTTTCCATTAAAAAATATAGATAATTTGTATAAATTAATAATTAAATGGTATTTTATGAATAATGATGGGTAGAAAGATAGGATTGTGTTTTTTTTCAAATTTATACAGTGAGTGTGAAGATAAGGTGGGTGGGGAAATAGGATATGGGGGTGGAAATAGCAGCACTCAATCTAAATTGAATAGAAATTGAAGAAAATAAAAACAAAAACAAAAATCAAGTCTTTGTGCGAACCTACTCTCCCCACCCCTTGTAACAAACCCCTCCTACTCCTTCAAAGAACCATCCTCCTTTTTATCTTTTTTGTTTCTCATGAGGAAAAACTCAAATCTTTCCATCCTCTTGGTTGTGATTAACAAACCAATAACAAGAGGAAATGGGAAATAAAAAGGACAAGGAAAATAGGGTGAAACCCCACCGCTGCCTTTCATTGTCCTCCAAATATCGCGAGGTTTGAGGACCACATTAAATACACCATTTGAAACCACAGATATGATGTTGTCGGCATTCATTTACATTAGCAACTCGTGATCCCATCGATGCTATAAAGAGGGAGAGAGGAAGATAGAGAGAGAGAAAGGGTAAGTCGGGGAGGGGGGTTAAGGGGTCTATAGCGTGCTTTGGAGATGGTGGTGATGGGAAAGGGAAGAGGGAGAAGATGGAGGTGAAAGTTGGTGTGGGGTGACTCGGATGGGAAGAAGGGGAAGACGGATTCTTTTAAAATTATTTTTGTATTCTAAAATATATCAACTTTGTTTTTATATTAGTTTGGATTTTATAGTTTGTTAATAGTTAAAACTACTAAAATGCCCATGTCACGTTAGCAAACTTGACGGTTTTGTGGATAAAAATGGATGAAAGTGGTAAACTGAGAAAATTTTAGCAATTTTTAGAGATTCAAGGGGTCTAGTGAGAAAACTTTAATTTCATGGGGTAAAGTGAGACCGAGCGTCCATTCCAGGGAGTAAAACAGTAATTAAGCTAAAACAAAATGTTGATTAATATATATATATATATATATATATATAATAATGTCACACTCACGCAAAGTAACTTTTTTGCCCTTCAATTTTCCAAGTTTGACTAAACTAAATCAATCTCAGAAAGGAGTTGAATTGGTCTCTCCCATAATTTCAATTGGTTTATGATGTTTGCTAGCAATAAAGTTTGATTTTGTTGACTATAAAAAAGTTAATATGTGTATGCATATGTTTCTTCATATAAAGTAGTAGGCAGATGGGAATCCTTGCTAGCTAGGAACATGATGAGCTTGTCTAGAATCCTTACCCCACACGACGTCGATTAGAAATGTAAATTGTTTTTTGTTTTTGTTGTGGTAGGAAAATAAAATATTTAAATTGCAGACCTAATTAAACACGTAATGTATATATATATATATATATATATATATATATATATGTATTTAGCATGCACATTTTGACAGAGTAGTCTATTCTGTCTATCGTGGTGGGTGTTTCTGGGCCTATCAATGGGGCAGCCACCAACTCACCATTAATGCATGGATGGTAACCAATACGTTCATATCCCCCAACCCTTTACACATCAACTAAAGTTGGTAACCACGTATTAACCCACATATATACCTTGTTAATCCGAATTAGATTTGATATACGACCATGCTTGACAAAGTGATTTAATTTCGAAACACGTTATGTATTTCATACACTGTTATTCATTCTGAATACGAATACCTTAAAGTAGACACGTTTCGTATTAAATCTACATAATGTTTTTTTTTCCCTTTGGGTGGACAAATCTACCTAATGTGCGTTATAATTTGTCTAAAAAGATTCATCAAGTGAATTGTACTGACTTTTCCCAAAAGTTAAAAAACACAAAAAGAAGAGCAAAAAACCATATGACATGAAAATTCCCAAAATAAAAGCATATAATTGAGGAGGACAAGAAGACAAGTCGCAGAAACGCAGAGAGAGAGAGAGAGAGAGAGAGAGAGAGAGGATAGGAGGAGGCTGGGTGACGTGGGTTTGGCATCAGCAGGACAAACAAGCACATGTTTGTAAAAGAAAGAAAGATGTGAAGATGAAGATGAAGAAGGAACCCTCCGATCCGAGTGGTACCACGTGGCCCCTCTGAATCGACTAGACTACGGTCAAATACCGGTGCCACTACTGCCATGTGTATGCCTAATATTCCAAACACTCTCCTCTTCCTTCCTTCCTTACAAACTTTCAACAATTGACCGCACATGGAAATTATACAAAACTATACTTTTTGATGTTTGATATTTGTTTTTCTTATAGGATTTTTTTAAGGACATTTCATACGGAGAGAGATGGGGAGATAACATATTAAATACATGGATGTTAGGATTCAAACTCAGGACCTTTTTTGATGGAGTAATTGCTCCAAACCATTAGATATTTTTATATCTAGTAATAAAATCACATTATTGTCAGTATAGTAGGGTTATTTATTTATTTTAATTTAAGTAAATGTCAGTGATTATGTATAGCATGAGTAATGTTCTCATCTCATATTTATACGTTTGGTAAATACTTATATCATTAGATTATAAATATAAATCACATATTCAAGTGAGGATGAAGTTAATGAATTAGTCGAGCGGGGCGTTACCACAGTGGTTGTGGTTCTCCCCCTTCATCCCTTATTTCACACCAAATTCCAGGATTTCTTTCCTCTCAATGTAACAAAAAAAAAAGTTAATTAATTATCCAAATTTACATTACAGTAATTTGACAATATATAAGTATATCAATGTCACGAATTAACAATGTTGGTCCATTAATGAGTCAAGAAATACGATGCCTGGAATATTATTACTTTATTTGTGTAAAAAGTGGGAGTTGCAAAGGACTAGAGATGTTTCCATTTGAGGAGGCACTTTTTGGGTCCTCTCTCAATTTGAAGGTGTTTTGTCAACCTCCCTTCATAAAGCGATAGTAGCCAAGTCCATTCAAACTTAAAGGCTCACTCTCTTTCTCTTTCTCTCTCCAATATTATTTTTATATATAATGCTCAAATCATAATCTATACTCCAAACCCAAAACCATATGTAGAGGGACAAATATCCAAGTCTTGAAGCAAAGAGTCCTCCCCATCTCCATAATTTAATTCTTTGTCAAACCCTTCTTTCTTCTTCTTCCTCTTGTTCTTGTTCTTCTTCTACTTCCATGTCTGATCATGAACATAAAGACCTTTACTACCACGACCTATTTCAGTATGAAGATCATGAACACCTCAATGGTGGGATGATAAGCATCAATCACAACCAAAACTTGCAAGGGGTTGAAGTTCCTTCATACATGAACAACACCAGCTTCGCAGAGTGTTTGAAAGGACCTATGGATTACAATACGCTCGCAACTGCTTTTGGCCTGGTTTCTTCAACGTCTGATGAAGTTATATTTTCCTCCGCTAATGAAGGAGATCAAAAGCCTGCTGAGCATATTCGATATTCAGGTGGTGGTGGCGATGGCGATGGCGGAGGTGGAGAAACTCCTTTGACACCAAACTCTTCGGTGTCGTCTTCTTCAGCTGAGGCCGGTGCCGAAGAGGACTCTGGTAAGAGTAAGAAAGACAGGCAGCCAAAAGGGTCATCAGAAGATGGAGGAGATAGCTCGAAGAAAGTGTAAGTTTGAATTGAATACTTTCATAGTGTATTCAAATATATGTATACATGCTTGATCTAAATGGTGATGAATCTGGTGAACATGTTTGATGTTGTATAATCAATCAAATCAACAGGATGAGCAAAGCAAAGAAGAAAGGAGAGAAAAAGCAAAGAGAGCCACGATTTGCGTTCATGACCAAGAGTGAGGTTGATCATCTAGAAGATGGATACAGATGGAGAAAATATGGGCAGAAGGCTGTGAAAAATAGTCCATATCCAAGGTACTATTAACTCATTGATTCGGATTGATATACAAAATGGGTTCATTTCTGTGTTTCCACTCAAAATAACCCACCAAGAAATAGTCCCTCAAACCGGAAACTAAATGTGAACAAGGTTTAAAAACTTGATTTGTTTTCACTAATAATTTTCTTTTAACCTCACCAAATTTTGTGCAAAAAGTCCTGAAAAAAGACATACGAACTGATTTATAAAACCAAAAGGCTTGACTTTGGCATAAGATCTTCTATATATTATGTTCATGGTTGGCCAAGTGTGAGTTTTAGGAGCTTAGCCCCGTTTGATTCATACCCAGAAGAGAAAAAAGAAAAAAAATACAAAGTTTGATTTGGTCACGACTCTCTTTATAATTGTTGTTGTTGTTGTTGGGCATTGCAGAAGCTACTATCGATGTACGACCCAAAAATGCGGGGTCAAGAAACGTGTAGAGAGGTCGTTCGAGGACCCATCCACTGTGATTACGACGTATGAAGGCCAACACAACCACCCACTCCCTGCAACCCTCAGAGGAAATGCTGCTGCTTCTTCTGCATTCTTCCCACATGCTGCTGGTGCCTTCAACTATGCGCCCATCACAGGATCTGCAGGTCCAAGCTCCAACTTTCCTCAAGAACTCTTGTTTCAAATGCCCCACCACTACATGATCAATAATAACAATCAAGGGTCATCAAGAAGTGTTGTTGTTAACCCTCATCATCCTCATCATCAGCAGCAGCATCAACTACCTCGTGCTGATCAGCATGGGCTTCTGCAGGACTTGTTGTTTCCCTCCATGTTCCTCAAACAAGAGCCATGATTTGATTTCTCTCTCCTTATTTTGTAGATATAATTAATTATATACTGTAGTCTCCTCTCATCACGATCATCTTGATCATCCTTGACTTGTCAGCTAGATTGAAGATGCTTTCTAATCATTTTAATTTCATTTGGATTTGTGAGGCGACCGCTCAAAGTTTTAGCAATAGAGCACTAATCTTACATACTTATTGTGAGAGAGAGAGTTCGACTCTTTCATTGATCTCTCCCTGTAAGGTTTGGACATTTCTGTAGTAAAAAAAAAAAAGTCCATTGAAGATGCTCTATCTAGTGTGGGGTTTTTTGTTTTTTGGGGGATGATTTGAATGTAATTTGCTAGCTCTCGAACTGCTACTAGCTATAGGGAAAATTTAGTGGGTTTCGTAAGATGAGTTTAATATTGATGGTGGTTCGAGAGATCAACTAGTGCATGCTGCATGCAAAGAGGGATTTGCATGCTTAATTGCTTGTATTACTACAAGAGCAATGGCGCAACTGGTTTTTCTTATCTTCGGATATTAATGTAATGAAAGATCCTTGCAGGCTGCAGCCTTGCATGCATGCAGCAGCCTGGGATTTTCACTGAGTTCAATATATATCTACTATATACTAGTTCTCTTTTCTTGATTGGTTTTTAATTGTTATTTTTTTTTAAATGTGCTTCTGGTACCAAATTAAAGGCTTTCTCTAGCCTGCTAGCAAAAAAAAAAAAAAAAAAAAAAAAAAAAAAAAAAAAAGAAAAAGGAAAATTTGTTCATGTGACGAGGAAATGGGTCTTGAGGCCCAAACCAATGGCTCGATTCTTATTTTTTGCCGCTCAAAACCCAATTCTACAAGTTGATTCACTTGGGTTGGCTTTCGCCAGTGCAGCCTATCTAATGGGAATGGGATGCCATGATTTCGTGATTGTAATAAACGTACCTTCATCATACATGTTGACGCCTAAAAATGAACGAGCATTTTTGAGTCCAATTTAGTGATGTTGTGTCATCTTCGGCCATGTGTCCTTTGCTCAGTTTAGTTAAGCATGCACCTTCTTTAGTCAAATCGGCAACCCACCATGCCGATGATTTGTACAAAGACAGGGCTGTCGAAGACTTGCCCTATCGAAGATCATTTTGTGGTCTCAGTGTTTTGATTGGACTTTGTGGGTTTCTTTGTAGGTCTCATGTTCCATGTGTCACAATATAATTGACCGATCAAATATGGTATAAACAACACATACTCATATCAATATAATACATGCACGCTAAATTAAATTAATGTCTAAAATATTGGGTTTAATAAACAAAATAAAAATTAATCTAACATATAGCTTTTTAAAATAGTTTCATATCATCTTGGATCTACATGCATAATGCATTGCCAGTCTAACAGGTTAAAAAATGTTGGTATTGAAAGGTGAGCCCAGAGAGATCTCTGCCGGAAGCATCACCAAGTAACTAAACAGTATATATGCCACCTTTAAAAATTAATGTTTAATCAGCACTAAACATTTGCCAAAGTAGTTTTCTTCAACATCAGTGCTCAAGCGCTACCAACTGAGTATAATCTAGTGAAAAAAGGTCTTAATCTACAGACTAATGATTTCAAGTTCGAATCCTTCCATATCGTTGTAATTTAGACTATTAATTGTATTTGAAAACAAGTGCTCAAATACTAATAAACTAGTAAATTAATACAGCTTAAACTCGTTTCTCCACAAAATATATTATATATATATAATAATGAAAGCTTATTCTAGCCGTCATTCTTAATTCATATAATTATCCTTGTAATTATATTTATGTTTGATCGAAAAACAGAAGCTGATCCAGGTTGAATACCTCATAAAATTTACTTCAACGTCCTGCAATAAAATTTCTAGTATTGGGACAGACATATATTATTAAATTAAAAAAAAAAAAAAAAAAAAAAAAATGCCAAAGCATATGTCTTTCTGTCAGGTTGTCAAGGTATGATTTACCAGAAACTGTCCAAGCATAAAGTTTGATTAGGAAGCTAAGCTTAGTAAAGCCAAAAATGGTTAAAGAAAAATGATTAGGTGGGTTTCTTAATATGCACATAATTATACCCAAAGTTTAAGCTGGTAATACAACCCACACCACCATTTCAGTGTAAGAGATGAGAGAGAGTTGGCTCTGCTTTGTTCTCACTCCAAACTCAGGTCATAATCTCAAGGGTCCATTGGTTCTTCAATTAATTAATTATGGTTAATTAATCAATAATATTTCTGGTATAGTCGTGCCATACACTCCTTTCCAATCCCAATTATTAGGGCTTAATTACAAATGTTAATTATAATCACCATCTTAGCATTTTCCAATTTTCCATTTGAAACCCGTTGGAAGCACTTTACAATAAGGGACAAGCCGAATTCCGAACGGGATTAATCTCACTCTTCGAGTATGAGGACACCTTGTGATATTACCAAAAAAAAAAAAAAAAAAAAAAAAAAAAACCAAATTTTAAAATGAGACATTTTAATGACAACTTTTGACTACATTTCTATTTCTTTGGGTTCCATTTCTGTTAAGAAATATAGTCAACGATATGGTCAACATGACTAATTACTAACTGGAATAAGAATTTGTTAAATTAGTCCTTAACAGTAAACAACACAAATCCTTCCACCTGAAAATTACCAAACTTTAACATGTTTTTAAAATTTTGTTAATTTTGTTTAAGTCACACTCTCTCTCTCTCTCTCTCTCTCTCTCTCTCTCTCGCTGTAAAGAAAAAGAAAAAGAAAACAAAAGGGCAACCACAATCAAACCACAACCACCACCATCAACAACCGCTGAGGAAAAACAAACTTAACTGAGAGGGACGTACCTTCCGACATTTTCCCTATTCTTCAAGCAACAGCCTGAAACGACCACGTTTTCTTCTTCTTCATCTTCGATCTTCAGCTAGGGTTTCGTATTTATCCCCAATGTTCGATAGAGTACTCACTCTCTGAACTCTTCAACTAGGTACTTTTTCTCTGCATCGATCTACGTTTCGTATTTCCCAATTCGACTACTTTTTGTTCATTTTCTTCTGGGTTTTGTAGTTTGGAGCCGATTTGATGGATCGGGAAATGGTGGACGCTGGCCCAGTTACGCCTGGACAGGTAGTTTAATTTGAATGAATGCCAAGGCTATCCATTTTTTACGTAATTTGCTCTTCTGCTAATTTCGATTGAATGCTAAGACTGTTTCATTTGCTTAGTTAGTTGTGTAATTTTGATAAAGATCTGTGAGTGTCCATGAACTACTGGTTTCTAATTTTTGTTAAACAACAAGAAATTTCTTTGGTTTTTAAGTTCTTGATCTAAAGAAAGATTGCTTTATTTTGTATTGCCATTGCCTTTTGTAGTGGTTAGTGGGATTATTGCATTCAGGTATTATAGCGGATCATTTTAAGTTAGCTCTGTTTATGAATTCATCCTGACGTGCCTCATTTTAGTATCAATTGGGTAGTAATGTTTAAATTAATGAGTTTTTGCTGTCTCAAAGTCTCACCGAAGATGTTTAAAGCACCAAAGATGTGGATTTTCTTTATGTTGAGCTCTAAAACTTGAGACCGGTTAATGTTTCTTGAGAAGAAATGCTTTTGAAGTTAATTTTCCCAATTTAAGAGCTAATTACATTTGGTTAATTTATTGTTTCCCTCATTTTATCTACAAATCATATCCTCTGTGCTAATTGAAGCACACCAATGTAGTTCAGTGCTGCATCCCCTCCCTCCTTTTTTAAGTTCCTTTTCTATTTGCTCATTCATTCATTTTTTTTTTTCATGAATCGTCCTAACAAATTTACTGAAGCTTTCCATATCATGCTTCAGGTGTCTTTTTTGCTTGGAATCATCCCAGTATTTGTCACATGGATATATTCAGAGTACTTAGAATATAAAAAATCTTCATCTCATCCTAAAGTGTAAGTTCGTTCACTGCAAACTGGAGATATGAATTGGTTTTAGTTTAATTTTATTGGCATCAACTTGGATGTTTCCACTTACCTTTTATGGAAATATAAAAGATGGAGAAAAGCATCTCAATTTGTATTCACTTCTCTTATCTGATGCATGAATGTGGGCTTCCCTAGTTCACAATGGTATAGTTTGACTTTGAGGTAAGTCTGACATAGAGTGCTTATGTCTTTTACCTCCTCAGTTTTCAATCACAAGTAGCCCACCCAGGCCCTATGTAGAGTTTTTGTGGCCGGATATTTTGGTACTTTTTGAACTAATTCTAGTATAGATATGTCAGATGAGTAGTAATAGTACTTTAGATTTGTGTTTGATTAGAAATGAGATACAAGGATGTTCAAAGATATGATATTTCCAGTCAATATTCTTTGATTCTGAAAAGTTAAGTTCATTTTTTGTTTTTTCAATTGTAGTCATTCAGATACTAATCTGGTTGAGTTGGGAGAGGAAACGATCAAGGAAGATGATCGGGCTGTTTTGCTGGAAGGAGGCCTTTCGAGATCAGCATCTACAAAGTTTAATAGTTCATCCATTAAAATAAACTTAATTAGGTTACTACCCATAACATACGGTATCTTCATTGAATTTTCATATTGATTACTATTAAAGGTCTTTCTCACGTTCCACTTCTCATGAATTTCTAGGTTTCTGACTATGGATGACTCTTTTTTACTTGAAAACAGAGCAACTCTTAGAGTGATGTAAGTAATTAGTACGCAACGTATCTTCTCAGGACCAAATTTCTTATTGTACAATTATATAATACTTGACATCAAATATAGGTCTGAGCTTGGGGCAATTCTGTTCTATTTCTACATATGTGACCGCACAAATATACTGGGAGCTTCTACAAAGGTACATTTGTTCTGCTTCCCTAATGTATTCTTAATTACCTCTAGTTGCTTTGATTGAAATTAGAACAGGAATACTATTCCCATGATACTAAGTGTGTATGATCCCATAGAAGGTCCTAATCTATTAGCTTTTTTCCATATTGTCCTTTTCTGCCGTAAGTGCCTTATTTCATTCACCCACACATCTTGTTCATCATTTCACGTCTTGGTACAATAAGATACAATTTTTAATATTGCTTCTATGTTTCTAAAGGAATTATTCAATTGGGTGAATCTTTATTGAGGAAAAATGTTAAGGATGGCAGTGTTACTATTGTCACGTGTTTGATAAACACAATATTTTTTTTAATTGACGTCACCACATGCTGCTAAGCACAATAAGCTGGTTTTACAGTTGTAAACATTGATTACTTTTGTGGTTATTTTTTGAACAGAATTACAATCGGGATCTGTTCCTCTTTCTGTACCTTCTCCTCATCATAGTTTCAGCAGTGACATCTTTGAAGAAACATACTGACAGATCAGCATTCTCTGGAAAATCTATACTTTACCTGAATCGGCATCAGACGGAGGAATGGAAAGGGTGGATGCAGGCAAGTACTCTTTTCCAAGTTCATAACTTGTAGGGAACATATATTTAGTTTGGGAAAGAATTGTATGCTCTGGTTACTTTTTCTCCATTTTTTCTTTAGGAGGGGAATTTTGAACTTGTACTCATGGTGAACTGCCACTGTTATGTTCTTTCTACTCTTGGAGTGTGTATTGTGACATCATCCATGCTCATCTTGCTGGAACAAGCATATGTCATCCTTTGATTTTTTTGTTTTGTTTTTGGTTGTTAAATTTGGATGGTGTGAAGCTATAGATTTGATTGGATTCATTTAGAGTTAATCAGATCTCTGTTGGGAAAAACCTACATCAGTACACTTTAGTTTTCATTTCCAGTTGAACATCAGAATGCCAATGTATAGAGCTCAGTTCTCTTACTACATTGTTGTTTGTAACAAGTAACTTATTTATGTACTATTAGTATAATTCATTTCTTTTGCTTCTTGGCAGGTCCTATTTCTAATGTACCATTACTTTGCCGCAAGCGAGATTTACAATGCAATACGTGTCTTTATTGCCGCATATGTTTGGATGACTGGATTTGGAAACTTTTCCTACTACTACATTAGAAAGGATTTTAGCCTCGCCCGCTTTGCTCAGGTAAAATGCAGTTTCTGGGCAGTATAATATCACAAGTTTCTTTGGGGAGTATTATGCCAATGATCTAAAATGCTTGTACTCTTACTTGTACAATGCAGATGATGTGGCGGCTAAATTTTTTTGTGGCGTTTTGCTGTATTGTTCTTAACAATGACTATATGTTGTATTACATCTGTCCAATGCACACTCTGTACACTCTTATGGTGTATGGAGCCCTTGGCATCTTTAGCAAGTACAATGAGATCAGATCAGTGATGGCTGTAAAGATTCTAGGATGCTTTCTTGCGGTTATCTTGATTTGGGAAATACCTGGAGTTTTTGAAATATTCTTTCGTCCATTATCCTTCTTATTGGGTGAGTAACCCATTCAGCTTTCCGGTTTTGATTTATTATGTTTTTTACTGTTGTAAATTCAAACCAAAAGAAAAGAAAAAAAAAAAACAGTGGGACAATTCAGGAACCTAGTTCATAATTCAGCCTTTCAGCATAGCTGTTCTTCTTACTCTAGGCAGACTTGTTAGAAATTTGATTACACTCATCCTAGAGTCTTTATTTTATGCTATTCTTGGTAGGCTCATACTTGGACCTTTGACAAATACTTTCAGGTTAAGGGCTTAGGATTTTAGCCGAACAAAAAAGTTACAATAGGTCTCAAGTTGATTTTAGATTCTTTATATAAAGAAGAAAAAAAAAAAGGTTGATATGGGATTCTTGAATTTTTTTATGCGGATGAATATCTACTGGATCACACATGGCTTAAAACTTATTGTCTTTGTTTTGTATTTTTCTGTCCTGTAGGGTATACTGATCCTGCAAAACCAGATCTCCCTCGTCTGCATGAATGGCATTTTAGATCTGGACTTGATCGCTACATATGGATTATTGGAATGATATATGCCTATTATCATCCTAATGTAATCTCCTGAATATCTAGGTATCTGGTTGCTTTTGCTTTCTTGCTACTCCAACTACTGACATTTTAAACATAATATATATTAGGTGGAGAAATGGATGGATAAATTGGAGGAATCTGATACCAAAAGGAGAGTCTCAATTAAAGCAGGAATATTTTCCAGTTCTGTGTTTGTAAGTTTCATGCTTTGTCTGGTAATTGTTATCTGCTTATTTAATGGCTAATGTTTTAATCTTCTAATGAGATCTCATGCTCATTATTTCTTTAAGGTTGGTTATCTGTGGTATGAATATATTTACAAGCTGGACAAGGTTTCATACAACAAGTTGCATCCCTACACATCATGGATTCCGATAACGTGCGTGTTTTAAGACTTTTGTTTCTATTTCAAATGAAAGGGAATGTTTTGTTGGGAGTTTTATCAGATGAAATTCAATATTTGGTGAACTATATTTTTCAGTTCATTTTAATGACTTGTTTTTCACCTCTGCTTATTGATTTCAGTGTATATATATGTCTGCGGAACTTTACTCAGCAGTTGCGGGGTGTCTCTTTGACTCTCTTTGCGTACGTATTCTTATCTGAAAACTGTAATGAGTCAAAACCTGCAGTCCCCTTTGCAGGGGTAATAATTTTTCAGTCCTAATTTTTTGCTTTTTATGTTTATGAATAGTTTTACTGATCATTTTGTGTGTACAATTTCACTTTGTATTGCTAGGTGGCTTGGCAAGATTACTTTGGAAACCTATATTTCACAGTTCCATATCTGGCTAAGGTATGTGACACTTTACCCTTTTCTTTTCCTTATTATTCTTTAACTATGACCACTAAGTCATACATTTTGTAATCAGTGTATTAGTGTTTACAATTGCCTGTCAGTTCTGCTACTATTTACAAATTTTTCTTTTTTCATATGAAAATACATGAAAAAATTCCTATATTCATGTGCAGATCAAACACACCTAATGGACAGCCTAAGTGGCTTCTCTCTCTCATTCCAGAATATCCCTTGCTCAACTTCATGCTGACAACTGCCATCTATGTTTTGGTAAGGGAATTTTTATGTGACCCTTAAAAAGTTTGCAAGCCAACAATGCTTACAAGTTCTCACCTTTGCCTGCTGTTCTATTGGTTCTGTAGGTATCTCATCGGCTTTTCGAGTTAACTAATACACTTAAGACAGTGTTTGTACCCACAAAAGACAACCAAAGGCTGCTTTATAATTCTCTTGCAGGGGCGGCCATTTTTGCTTGTTTGTATTTCATCTCATTCATTCTTGTTCAGATACCTCATTGACCAGTAAGAGCCCTTCTGCTATATGCTGCTCACTCTTTCGTTGTTGTTCCTTAGATGCTGTGAAGAGCTTTTCTGATTTAGCTTTATCGAGAAGTTTCAAAACTTGTCAGAGTCTTCTTAGTTGCATATATTAATGGGTTTTTACTGTGACAGGCTTAACGAAGAAGACCCAAAAGAGGGTTATAGAGATGTTTCCTGTTGAATGTGCAAATATAGAAAGAATTTAATAAGGGAGTTGGAAGATGTTGGTTGCAAATATACCCTGCAAAGCTTGCGGTTCCAACAGTTTTTCAAGGAGAAAGGCACTGTCCATTGCTGTGTGAAAACTTGAACATGGATGTTAGATTTGCCTTTGGAAAGTTTGGCAGGCGGTGGCAGGAAGCAGGAAGCAATAGAGAAAGGAATTCTTTTGAAATATAGATGATTGCCATGTATCTTCTTTTTCCTTTCCCACAGTTTTGTTAAATCATTGAAGAAAAAATGTAGATCCCTGTGACATAGATTTGTTGTTTGTTATAAGTCAAGTTCAATATTCATGAGCAATGTGATCTTCTGTTATGTTTATTGTTAAAATGTTTCACACAAAAAATGTGCGGTGAATTGGAAAGAAATAGTTGAGTTAAACGTACAGGTATCTATTTGCCATATTTTCAGTTAGGTATTTCACACTTTCCATGAGCCCCCACATGAGCATCCAAATACAAAATGTGATTAGTTAGAACAAACCTAAAAATGTTACATCAATTCGAAACAGATGAATTTAGAGAAATTATACATCCATTTATATTACAATATAGATTATTTCTAAAATGCCCATCATAATTTCAACAAATATAGGAAAAGGGTGGCAAGGGCATGATCATAAGTTGTCAGTGGCAAGATTGGTTGTTTATCCCGGTGCATCGAAATTAGGAAGCCAATATAAATAGTTGATGGTTACAATTTCTTTTTTGAGTACCTAAACATTGTCATATAAATTTGACAACTTGCATTGTTTAGAAGTAGAGTAAAACAAGAATGATAAAAGAGCAAGGCCAATTGGAAAAACCCATGTATCTACTCCAAGGTTTCATTGCATTGCTTGCTTGTCTGTCTTGTTTCTTCAATGCCCTGTTAAATGACACACACCACACTCCACATTTCCATGCCCAAGTTTACATGTGAATTAAAATAAGGCCTCTCTCTCTCTCTCTCTCTCTCTCTCTCTCCACCATTTGGTCAGTTTCTTCACCTCTGACATGGGAGAAGCTCAAGAACTGCAACTCAACATCATAGGTATGTCCCTTACTCATTTACTTACTACCTCTTTTTATTGATTTATTTTTAAGTGCAGTGAATCTATTTTCAATGTGATATTATCAGAGTAATAGCAACTGATATGCATAAGTCAATCCAACTAACTTCCAATATTGATCCTTGCATATCTGTTCACTTTTTTATCAGTCCAGGATTCACATGAAGCAAATCACCAAGGGTGCACAGATGTTCCCAAACAACCAGTGCTTCCCTGGCGTAGAAATTTGAACTGGTGGCTTAGAATTGCCATTTATACGCTGTTCGTCATTGCCGGCCAGTCAGCTGCAACACTTCTAGGAAGATTATACTATAACAAAAGTGGCAAAAGCAAATGGCTGGGAACACTTGTACAACTTGCTGGCTTCCCCATCCTCCTTCCCTACTATTGCATCCCAGCAAGCAGAAGAAACCCAACCACAAACATCACTACTAATAATATCCCATTGAAATCACCCTCTACCTTAATCCTTGCATCAATTTATGTCTCTCTTGGCCTTTTGGTAGCATTATGCTGCTTCTTGTACTCTGTTGGCCTATCTCTCCTTCCTGTATCTACTTATTCTCTCATTTGTGCATCTCAACTAGCCTTCAATGCACTTTTCTCCTTCTTCCTCAACTCACAAAAGTTCACTCCCTACATTGTCAATTCTCTGGTTCTCCTCACCATCTCCTCCACCCTCCTTGTGCTCCAAGGCGGCGACTCTGCAGACGATCCAACTGGAGGCTCGAAAACAAAGTATGTGATTGGGTTTCTATGCACAGTTGGGGCATCAGCCGGATATGGATTAGTGCTTTCTCTAACACAGCGTGTCTTCAGAGAAGTTATAAGAAAGGAGACATTTGCAGTGATCTTGGATATGATAGTGTATCAATCTCTAGTTGCAACCTGTGCTGTCTTGGTGGGACTTTTCGCCAGTGGAGAGTGGAGGGGTTTAAGGAAAGAGATGGAGGGTTTTGAATTAGGGAAGGTATCTTATGTCATGAACTTGACATGGTCAGCTATAATATGGCAGCTCTATGCTATTGGTGCAGTAGGGTTGATTTTTGAGGCCTCTTCTCTCTTCTCCAATGCCATAAGTGTTGTGGGTTTGCCTGTTGTTCCAGTTCTAGCTGTGATATTCTTCCATGACAAAATGGATGGGATTAAGGCAATGGCCATGGTTTTGGGCATTTGGGGCTTTATTTCATATGTTTATCAGCACTACCTTGATGACCGCAAGTCCAAGACAGAGAGCAACAATGCCACTGGTGAAGTTTCTAAAGCTTTCCCACTGGAGAACATCAACGGTTAGATAGACAGGCTTGTTTATATCAAGTATAACATTCAAGAATCCAATACCTAAAGAAACAAATTTCAAAAGCTAAACAGATGCCCAAGTATAGCATTAGACGTGATTTATGTGGCATCTTATAAGTGTCATCCTTGTGCAGGGAACATGCTAATTTTCTCAATATCGTTCCAATTTTATTGGATATCCCTGAAGGGACAAGGATTGTTATAGTAATTTAAATTAAACTCAATGCATATATACATCATAGAACATGATTGATGCGTAGGACAATCTACACAATTGTGCGTAATTTTAACAGTTTGATTGGGATAGTAACTTTTGGAAACAGGAACATGATTAATTAATGTTAGTTTTAGGGAGAAGAGAGGCTTAGGAAAATGGTTGATAGTGTTTAGGACAATAGCTTGATAATGAATAGAAAACTTTTTGAAAGAGTAACAAGATAATCTTATTTTATTGATTGAAATAAGAAGGGTACAAGGGCTTTAGAGTTGATTGGATACAAGAGGTGACTGATGTAAGTTAAGAAAGCTGGTCAACTCCCAATCTATGTGGGAGTAAAGAAGCCAACTCCCAAACCATTAGAGCATGTCCAGCGCAGGACCCAAACTGGGGGAAAGGGCCCCCTGGCGAGCCCGAGATGGCTCCAGCGCAAGAGAAGCAGCCTGGTTTCGTGGTGGGTCCCATCAGCCCGAGCAAGCCCAAGGGCAACTTCTGCCTGGGCTGAAGCCCGAGTTTTGTGACGTCAGCGCTGGCATCACGCTGACGTCAGCGCACAGTAAAATTTTTTTTTTTTTTTTTTTTTTTGCCAAAAAATTCGAAAAAAATTCGAACAAATTCTGAAAAATTCTGAATTTTTTTTTAAAAATACCAAAAAATTCTGTATTTTTTCCCTATAAATACCTAACCATTTTATTCACTTTCTACACCAAATCTTCATAAAAACCTCATCTCCTTCCAATATTTTTCACATTTTCATCAACATCAAAATTGCAAAAGAGAAAAAAAAAAAAAAAAAAAAAAAAAAAAAAAAAAAAAAAAAATCCGTTTATTCAATTTAATGTCTTTTATATATATATATATATATATATATATTTCTTGCATTTCCAATTTCTTTTTTTTTAATAGATTAGTCAAGGCAAAACCAAAAATGTTATTCGAAAAATTTTATCCAAAAATTTTATTTGAAAATTTTATTCGAAAAATGTTATCTTAAATTTTAAATGAAAATTTTATAATAAATAGTGACACGTGACAACCAAAAATATAATCTAAAAAGCTTATCAAAATTAATAGTTTAAAGTATAAACAAATAGGAAATAAAGTACAATGAATAGTAATTGCCTTAGACTTGCCCTAGACTTTGCCCTCATGGGTGGAACCACAAATGCAAAGGCTGACACTATTCACGTGAATAGTGGTAGCCCTTGCTTGCCCTTGCCTTAGACTTAGCCCTTGTGGGTGGAGATGCTCTTAGGGAGCCAAGAGCTACCAAATGCTAGCTATGTTAGAGAGCCAATAAGCTCACCAATCTAAGTGAAGGGCCAAATAGCCCAAACTAATCTAAACCAAGTGTTGTGGCCAATAAGCCAATATGCTAAGTGAAGAAGGCCAATTAGCCTACACTAAGCCATGTACTATTCACCTCCTCAATTAATAAAATCACTTTGTTGTTTCCCCCTTTCAATTCTAACAGTGGTATCAGAGCTGGTTCGATCGCATTGGAAGTCAAAGAAGGATCACTTTGGGCATAAGGGCCAACTCAAGAGCCGTGTTCAATCAACTATGGGCGCATGGGCCGATTATAAGGAAGCAAAGGAAGCAAGGTATGTGCTATCAATACTCAATTCAAATTTTCAAGAAATCTAGAGAAGGGGAAGGAGATCTAGAGAAAGTTCTAGAGGGGGAGATAGTGAAAATAAAAGAAATGGCATGAGAGGAAAAACTTTCCTCCATGTGGGGTGTGCAAAAAAGAAGCTCGAATGTTGAAACTAAAAAAATTGGGCGTTGAGAAGAGAAAAATTGCCGATGAAGAACTATCAAGAGCACAAGCAAATAAAGTGCCATAAGAGCACGGAGTTGCATCATCAACTAGAGCTTCATCAATGCTATCTTCAGGAGAAGCATAATGTGAACAAGACTCTTCCGTGACGAATGATACAGAGCATGCTTGGAGAAACACAATTATGCATTAAGGAGGAGTGTTGAAATTAATGCATATTTGTAGAAAAATCTAGAAGCTTGAAGAAAGAGCTATAAGCTTGAAGGGAATAAAAGATTGAAGAATGTTCCAGAAAAACCAAGAAAGCATGCAACAAGGAATTGTGGAGAAGTTTCTAGGCAAAGCCACATACATGTGGCTGGAGCAAATGCCCAAGTCGGTGGACAAGGGCTAAGTCGGCAAAGGTGCCTATAAATAGGCATGCAAACAACAAAGAAAAGATGGAGTCTAACAAAGAACTCCCAAACTATTAGGGAGCACAAAAGCTACCCAACCCAAATCAAAGTGGAGTCATCCACCAACTCCCAATCTATGTGGAGTCAACTAATAGAACTCCCAATCTATGTGCGAAGAAAAAAAGCTACCCAACCCAAGTCATATAAGGAGTCAACTACTAGAACTCCCAATCTATGAGGGAGCCAAGAGCTACCCAAACAAAGTTATGTTGAGGAGCCAATAAGCTCACCAATCTAAGTGAAGGGCCAAATAGCCCAAACTAATCTAAGTGTAAAGCTACCCAACCCAAATCAAAGTGGAGTCATCCACCAACTCCCTGAAGAAATTTGAATCTCTTCGATACTTTTATTGATAAACAGTATAGGAAATATATACACAGCCATTACTTGGTGATTACACAACATATCTCCTATTCTAGGTAAGGAATATACAAACATAAATACATATAAGTGGCAAGTAAATAATATCTCAATCATATCAGTATTAACGTTCATTACACCCCCGCAAGCTGACGGGGCGGTGAGGCACAAGCAGCTTAGACCGGAGTAAGGCGAACCGGGCAGATGATAAGCCCTTAGTAAAAATGTCAGCAATCTGATCAACTGTAGAACAATACACAATGAGTAACTCATTCCGGACCACCCGTTCACGAACATAATGATAATCCACCTCCACATGACGAGTGTGAGAGTGAAAAACAGGATTAGAAGCGAGAGAAAGAGCACTAATATTATCACACCAAAGCTTGGGACAAGGAGCGGGAAGATGAAGATCTTGAAATAAAGCACGGAACCATGAGAGAGTGGCGGCAGTGTAGGCAAGCTGACGGTATTCCGCCTCAGTACTAGAGCGTGAGACACCGTGTTGCTTCTTGGAACTCCAGGAGATTAAGTTAGTACCCAAGTAAACACAATAATCTCAAGTGGAACGATGGTCATCAGGATTCCCCGCATAATCGGCATCAGAGAACGCACTGAGAAAGAGAGTGCTAGGCGAATAGAATAACCCATGAGTGAGTGTGCCATTCAGATAACGAAGAATACGTTTGACAGCGAGCCAATGAGCAGTAGTGGGGTGATGCATAAATTGACACACCTGATTAACAACAAAGGCAATATCTGGACGAGTGAGAGTTAAGTACTGAAGAGCCCCAACTGTACTACGGTACTCAGTGGGATCAGGAAGAGGATCCCCATCAGAAATGCTAAGACGACGACCACTAAGAGCTGGGGTTGGCACAGGTTTAGCTTCATGCATGTTAACACGCTTGAGGAGGTCGACGACATACTTGGTCTGAGTAATAGAAAGGCCAGATGGAGTACGAACAAACTCCATGCCCAAGAAATAGTTGGCAGGGCCAAGATCTTTCATAGAGAACTGGCGGCCCAAGTTAGAGATAAGGGTGGTGATGCAGGAAGGATCGGAGCCAGTAACAAGAATATTGTCCACATAAATCAACAAATAAATGTGAATAGAGCCTTGAGTGTACACAAAGAGAGACGAATCAGACTGAGAAGTAATAAAACCCAAGCGAAGTAGGTGAGAAGAGAAACAGTGGAACCAAGCGCGAGGGGCTTGCTTAAGACCATAAAGGGAGCGTCGTAAGCGGCAAACATGATCAGGATATGTGGGATCAACAAAGCCGACAGGCTGGCGCATATAAACCTCCTCATCAAGATAGCCATGTAAAAAGGCATTCTGAACATCCAACTGACGAACATGCCAACTAAACTGCACAGAAAGAGCCAAGATAAGGCGAATAGTAGAATGATTAACAACAGGACTAAAGGTTTCACCATAGTCAAGGCCCGGTTGTTGATGAAAACCATTAGCCACCAAGCGAGCCTTATAACGCTAAATAGTGCCATCCGAATTCCGCTTGACCCGAAAAATCCACTTGTTTGGCAATACATTCATAGCAGGAGTACGAGGAACCAAAATCCAAGTCCCAGCACGAAGAAGAGCATTAAACTCATCTGCCATGGCAAAATGCCATTCCTTAAGCTTTTTAGCATGCGAGAAAGATGTAGGCTCAAACGAATCATCAATAGAAATCAATGCATGATGCGCATATTTAGGATTAGGTTTACGGACACCAGCTTTAGCACGAGTAGCCATTAAATGAGTATTGGATACACTTACCAGAGAAGTATCAGAAGGAGGAGATGTACCAGATGGAACAGGGACAGCACACGGAACAACAATTTTGCGATGTGAGTCTCTAGAATATGTTTGTGAGAAACGAGAATGAGGGGGTGCAGGCGGGGTGACTGGCGGGCTAGGAGAGCGGAGAGGAGAAGGCAGACCTAGAGGGATATGTGACGACATAGATGGTGAGCTCGGAGGAGGAGCGGACACGGCAGAGAGTGGTGCAGGGTTAGAAGGAGGCGGGTCAGGGGAAGCGGTTGGTGCAGTGGCTGGAGCCGAGAGAGAGGGTTGGGCCTGGAGCGTCGGAGGAGTGAGTTGGGAGGAGACAGAGCCACGGGAGGTAAAAGTAGGGCCAGGAAGAAGGAGAGGCATGTCAGTGGACGACAGAGAACTGTCCGGAGCAACAGTAGCGGAGGCCTTGTGAAAAGGAAAAGAAAGTTCATCAAACAAGACATGACGAGATAAAAAGACACGATTGGAAGAAAGATCTAAACAACGATAACCTTGATGATTTAAAGAATAACCTAAAAACACACACTTATAAGACCGAAATTGCAATTTATTAGAATTATAAGGACGTAAGTAAAGAAAACAAGCACACCCAAAAGTTTTGAGAAAGGAATAATTGGGGACTTTGTGAAATAAGATTTCATAAGGTGATTTATGAGAAAGTAATTTAGAAGGGAGACGATTAATTAGATAGACAGCGGTATGCATAGCTTCAGCCCAATAGAAAGGGGGCATAGAGGCATCGGCCAAAAGTGTGAGGCAAGTATCAACAATATGACGGTGTTTGCGTTCAGCTAAGCCATTTTGCTCATGGTGATGAGGACAAGAGAGACGATGATGAATGCCATGATGAGATAAAAAATCCTTAAATAAATTATTAGTGTATTCCTCACCCCCATCAGATTGAAAAGCCTTAATTTTAGTAGAGAACATATTTTCGACCAACGCCTTGAATTTAACAAAATGAGAGAAGACTTCAGATTTTAACTTCATTGGATAAATCCAAGAATAACGGGAAAAATCATCAACAAAGAGAACATAATAAGAAAAACCAGAAATTGATTTATTTGAAGAACTCCACACATCGGAGTGAATAAGTTCAAGCGGTGCAGTAGAAATAGAAATAGACGGACTAAAGGGTAACTTAACACTTTTACCCAATGGACATGACTGACAAAAAAAGGAACTAGACTGAGAGCCAGAAAGCGGTAATTTATTATGAGAAAACAAAAATTGTAAAGTAGATGAAGCAGGATAACCAAGACGAGAGTGCCAAACAGAGCGACCGACATGAACACCTAGCAAAGCAACACGATCAGGCAAAATTTGAAAGGACTCATTCGGGTAGAAGGAAAACGGATATAGGCCATTGCTACTCTTGCCCCGGAAAAGAATCTTCCTCGTCGCCAAATCCTGGATAAAAAAACAATTAGGGAAAAAGGTGAAGAAACAATTGTTGTCAGTAGCAAATTTATGAACAGATAAAAGGGGAAGAGAGGCATCAGGACAATGAAGAATATTATTAAGAGAAAAGGAAGAGTTAAGGTGAGAGATACGAGAGTGACCAATATGGGTAGGCAAACCTGTTCCACCAAGCACACCTCCAACATTGTCGGAACCATGATACTCTCTAGCAAGGGAAAGATGGCTTAAGTCATTGGTGATGTGGGTGTTAGCCCCAATATCAGCAACCCATTGTTGTGCCCCACCATGGGACAGATGGTGAGCAGTCATGCCTTGAAGACGAGTAGGAGGAGTGGGCACGGAAGTAGACTTGGAAGGACAAACAGCATCAACATGTCCAAAACCACGACAATTGTAACATTGCAAAGGCCCACGAGAAGAAGAATTAGACCCAAAAGAGGAGGGATGAGGCCCAAGAACACCTTGACCAGAATTGTGGTGACGACGCGGCTGTGAAGAAGAGGATTGGGAGAAGCCGTAAGACCTAAAGTTCGGAGAAGAACCAAAACGCGGGGCAGAGAGAAAGTTGCAACGATCCGAAGCACGGCCGGCGAAGCCACTGCGATCACCAAAACCGCGCCCACCACGGCCACCGCGACCACTAGGGGTGGTTGCGGTTCGGTAACCGCGAATTTTTACTCAAACCGCAAACCGACCGACTATTTGCGGTTTGGTGATTTTTGAAACCGCAAACCGACCGCGTTTTGCAGTTTACTGCATTGCGGTAAACCGCAAAATGCGGTCGGTTACCGCGAATTAGCGGTTTAAAACCGCAAGTTCTCAAGCATTCACAAAAATATAAATTTACAACCTAAATAAATAAATACACAACCTCAATTTCTCAACATATATAAATTCACAATCTCCTCAACTTCTCAAGCATTCACAACCTAAGAAAATTAAAGTTACAATTCCAAGCATTCCAATTAAAGTTAAACTTCTCAAGTATTCCAATTCCAAATCCTTTAAAGTTACAAACCAAAAGGAAAATGCAAAGCAAAATGAATTAAAGTTACAACCAAAAAGAAAAATATAATTCAAAGTTAATTAAAGTTACAAACTAAAAAGAAAATGCAATGCACCAATGTTACAAACTAAAGCTACAAACTCAAGTGTTGGTGGTGAGTGGATTTGAAGAACCTCGTTGTGTTGTTTGAGAACCAATATTATCTACAAATAAAACAACTTAGTTTAGTACATTTTATTATAAGAAGAAGCATAAATGACATTAGCATAAATAAACTAATTATTTACAAGTTGTCATATGTTCCATTTCCTTGTAGAATTTAACCTTATCATCCGTGCGGCTATACTTTGCGATTTGCGGTAACTGCAAGTTTTGAAAATCAAATACCGCAACCGCAAATGCGGTTCGGTTCTTAATACCGCAAATGCGGTTCGGTTCTTAATACCGCAAATGCGTGCAGTTTCATTGCGGTAAATTGTCGGTTGATTTTTGCGGTTTTTCGGTTTAAAATGCCACCCCTAGCGACCACCATGGGAAGCAACCATGGCTGTCGCACGGAAGAGATAGCTGGAGAAGACGAAGCTTGAAGACGGCGTTCAGCCGATAAGAGAAGGGCTTCAAGATCAGGCATGCCGATGGGTTTCTCACGAGCTTGAGCGGCAGCAACCGTATTCTCATAAAGCGGACCAACATTATTCATAACCACAGCTAGAAGATCAGATTCATGAACGGGAGCACCTGCCAATGCCAAGTTATCTGTAATAGAGTGAATACGATCCAGAAAATCAGTGATGGAAGAATCACCACGGGTCGTGCGAAGCAAATCGCTACGAAGCTGAAGAAGACGATTTTGATTCGGAGAGCGAAGCAGGTTTCAAGCGCCAACCAAGTGTCACGTGCGGTGGTTTTGGTAGCAACCGTAGCAAGAACTTTATGATGAAGAGAACCATTGATGAGAGAGAGAACAAGTTGATCTTTCTGAACCTAGTCCTCATAGTCGGGATTGGAGATGAGAGACGGAGGAGAAGACTCACTTTCCTTGGCCTTGGGGTCTGAAATGGTGGGAGAGGGACTCGGGCAGCTACCATCAACATAGGAGAGCAAGCGGCGACTGCGAAGAACAGGAACAATCTGAGCAAGCCAGGTCGGGTAGTTATCACGTTCGAGACGAACAGAGATAACGTGACTGATGCTAGGAAGGTCAAGAGTAGAGGAGGAAGCCATGAGATCAAGAAAAGAGAAGGAGAAAAAAAAATAGATGATGGATTGAAGACGGTAAGTCTCAGGCTCTTGATACCATGAAGAAATTTGAATCTCTTCGATGCTTTTATTGATAAACAGTATAGGAAATATATACACAGCCATTACTTGGTGATTACACAACATATCTCCTATTCTAGGTAAGGAATATACAAACATAAATACATATAAGTGGCAAGTAAATAATATCTCAATCATATCAGTATTAACGTCCATTACTCCCAATCTATGTGGAGTCAACTAATAGAACTCCCAATCTATGTGGGAAGAAAAAAAGCTACCCAACCCAAGTCATATAAGGAGTCAATTACTAGAACTCCCAATCTATGAGGGAGCCAAGAGCTACCCAAACAAAGTTATGTTGAAGAGCCAATAAGCTCACCAATCTAAGTGAAGGGCCAAATAGCCCAAACTAATCTAAACCAAGTGTTGTGGCCAATAAACCAATATGCTAAGTGAAGAAGGCCAATTAGCCTACACTAAGCCATGTACTATTCACCTCCTCAATTAGATTAGTATAGTTTGGGAGTTCTTTGTCAGTCAGTCTACTACTGTGAGAGACACTAGGTACCCCATAGCCCATAGGGCTGTTTCTGTAATTATATATGTATGTACGATCATATCAGTATTTATTAACATTTTCTTCTGTTTAATTCTGGTGTCGACAATGAACAAGCCACCACGGTGAATGCCAAAATTAATCTTCTAAATTATACATACATATATTTATCATGAATATATATATTCTTTTAAAAAGAATCATATATGCATCATGAAATATTAATTAATTAGTCAATGTGCATGCATTTGCTTTCAATTGATTGCCATCTGTTGTTTGAGTCTGGATCAATAGTGAGTGAGAGAGAGAGAGAGAGAGACTCCATCTTTTCTTTGTTGTTTGCATGCCTATTTATAGGCACCTTTGCCGACTTAGCCCTTGTCCACCGACTTGGGCATTTGCTCCAGCCACATGTATGTGGCTTTGCCTAGAAACTTCTCCACAATTCCTTGTTGCATGCTTTCTTGGTTTTTCTGGAACATTCTTCAATCTTTTATTCCCTTCAAGCTTATAGCTCTTTCTTCAAGCTTCTAGGTTTTTCTACAAATATGCATTAATTTCAACAATTAACTTTGCTAGTACCAGGGACAGGCCAAATTTACGGAGCTTGACATTTTGACAGCTTTCAAAGAGGAGAAAAATACTACCTTATCAACACTGAAATTTAGATTGTAATGAAGATGATGATGGGCCATGCAGAGTTGGCCTCTGCTGTACCACGTATATAAATGTATTGATGAACAAACAGCTCGTGGGGCCCAGAAAATGAGGCGTGCGTGGCCATCTTCTTCTTCAATGATCTCTAAGTCGTCAGCCGCCCGAGAAGAGGTCGAGTTGTATATCAAACAAAGAGAAGTGATCAAAATTTAGCCTGTCTTATTCATGATGTGATATTATTGTTGCAACTTGCAGTATCTATCTATATCTACTGTAAAATTGCATGCATGTATCTATCTATATCTACTGTAAAATTGCATGCATGTCTTCAATCCCATGCTGGTTGGTTGACAGTCAACATGATACATGTAGATTAATCCAATAATATTTTCATGCGAATTGAAGCAAGACCTCTCTCTCTCTCTCTCTCTCTCTCTCTTGATTTTTTGACATGGGAGAAGCACAAGAACTGCAGCTCAGCATCATGGGTATGTCAAACTCATTTACTCACAGGCTTTGGTCAATTTTTTTTCAGTGCAGTAAGTTTACTTCTATGTGATCTTATCAGAGAATAGCAAGTTAGCACCTGATATATGCCTAAGTCAATCTACTTGTTGATGTTCAGAAGTGAATTCTGTTCTTGTGAGTTATGAGTCATAAAAATTACAAAAGGAGCTTGGAGGGAGAATTCTGAAAAATCCCAACTTTTATTTATTTATCATCATAATCATAGTATAGCGAGTGAGAGAAACTTTGTGACAGAATTTGATGTTCAAAAACATCTAGAACTCTCTGGGCACTGAAACACTGCAGTTACAAATAAAGCACCACTTCAGTAAAATGACTCAATTTCAAAGATTAACTCATAAGTTCCTTATAACCTCTGTTCTTATAGCTCAGGAAGCAAATGAAGCAAGCTCACCAGGGCATACAAATGTTCCCGACCGGTCACTGCTTCCTCAGCGCAGAAGTTTCAACTGGTGGCTTAAAGTGGCCATTTATGCATTCCTTGTCATCGCTGGCCAGTCAGTTGCAACGCTCTTGGGAAGATTGTACTTCGATAAAGGCGGCGACAGCAAATGGCTGGCAACAGTGGTACAACTTTGTGGCTTTCCTGTCCTGCTTCCTTACTATTGCATCCCAGCAGCAAGCAGAAATCCAATCACAAAAAATAGTACTGTCCAATTCAAACAACCGTCCACCTTAATCCTTGCATCAGTATATGGCTCTATTGGCCTCTTATTAGCACTGGACTGCTACTTGTATTCTGTAGGCCTAGCTTACCTTCCTGTTTCTACTTATTCCCTCATTTGTGCATCCCAATTGGCCTTCAATGCGCTTTTCTCCTTCCTCCTCAACTCACAAAAGTTCACTCCCTACATTGTCAATTCTCTAGTTCTCCTCACCATCTCCTCCACCCTCCTCGTGTTTCAAGGTGACTCTGCGGATGACCCTAGTGGAGGATCGAAAACAAAGTATGCGATCGGGTTCATATGCACTGTTGGGGCATCAGCCGGATATGGATTGGTGCTTTCCCTAACACAACTTGCCTTCAAAAGGGTTATAAGAAAGGAGACATTTAGAGTGGTCATGGATATGATAGTGTATCAATCTCTAGTTGCAACCTGTGTCATCTTGGTCGGGCTTTTTGCTAGCGGAGAGTGGAAGGGTTTGAAGAAAGAGATGGGGATGTACAAACTAGGGACGGTATCCTATGTTATGAATTTGGTATGGACAGCTATAATATGGCAGCTTTTTGGTATTGGCGCTTTAGGCTTGATTTTGGAGGCCTCTTCCCTCTTCTCCAATGCCATAAGTGCTATGGGTTTGCCTGTTGTTCCAATTCTAGCTGTGATCTTCTTCCACGACAAAATGGATGGAATTAAGGCAATGGCCATGGTTTTGGCCATTTGGGGCTTTATTTCTTATGCTTATCAGCACTACCTTGATGATCGTAAGTCCAAGAATGAGAACAAAAATGTCAATGGTGAAGTTCCTGAAGCTTCATCACTGGAAAAAATTAATGGTTGAATAGATTGGCTTCTGTATATCATCAATCTAAGTCTAGTTTTATGCAAAAGAAGAATTACAAGCTTTAACTACAGGTCGTTCTTAATTATATGTTGACTGGTTTGTGACATATAGATGCCCTTATTCTGACTAAAGAAAACATCATTTTCTAATTGAATGTTCTTTCCAAGTGCCTGAAACATGTTTTAAATCGTACCAGTCTGGCCATATAAAGAATAATGATTATGATGCAGCCCATACGCTTTCCCAAATATGTTGAAGATGGTGCAGTAACGTGTTAATTGTGGATCAAGGCCTCAAATCACTGAAACTGGACACCTATCACCTGCAAAATTTGCAGGCCGTTCATATTGCATAAGAGCTCTTCTTCTTCTTCTTGTTCTCTCTCTGTCTCTCTCTCTCTGCTGTATGACTTTTAAGATTCTTCACCTCTGAAATGGGAAAGGCTCAAGATCTGCAACCCCACATCATAGGTAAGCCAGATTTCTATTTGCACAAAGATTTTCTGATTTGTTTGTTGCTTCTCTAAATAAATTCGGAAAAGCATTTTCATGGTTCTTTTTTCCTTTTAATTTATGAACTCAATAAGACTATAGAATTTTACTCTTCTTACCGTATGTTCGAGTGAATGTAATAGAAACCTGTAGACAGCCCATTACATTGAAAATAAATGAAGAAAAAACACTCTACAGATTTTATTTCATCTGCTATCAAAGGAAATGGTGAATTTATTGATGAACTAACTCATAGATGAAGCTGCCCCCATCGTAATTCAAATATATGTTTCATAACAGTTAAAGGAGGTGAAGAAGTTAATACACTGGAGTTTGAGAAAATCACTCACCAAGCAACAATATCTCAGCTCAAAGATTTTACATGGTGCGTTCGTATGGCCATCTATACACTCTTTGTCCTCTCTGGCCAATCAGCAGCTGTACTCTTGGGACGACTGTACTATAAATTTATACGAGGTGGTTGAGATTGTTGATAAATTATGTCTCTCTTGGCCTTTTGTCTGCTTCTTGTACTCTGTTGGCCTATCTCTCCTTCCTGTATCTACTTATTCTCTCATTTGTGCATCTCAACTAGTCTTCAATGCACTTTTCTCCTTCTTCCTTAACTCACAAAAGTTCACTCCCTACATTGTCAATTCTCTAGTCCTCCTCACCATCTCCTCCACCCTTCTTGTGTTCCAAGCCGGTGACTCTGCAGACGATCCAATTGGAGGCTCGAAAACAAAGTATGTGATTGGGTTTCTATGCACGGTTGGGGCATCAGCCGGATATGGATTAGTGCTTTCTCTAACACAGCTTGTCTTCCGAGAAGTTATAAGAAAGGAGACATTTGCAGTGATCTTGGATATGATAGTGTATCAATCTCTAGTTGCAACCTGTGCTGTCTTGGTGGGACTTTTCGCCAGTGGAGAGTGGAGGGGTTTAAGGAAAGAGATGGAGGGGTTTGAATTAGGGAAGGTATCTTATGTCATGAACCTGACATGGTCAGCTATAATATGGCAGCTCTATGCTATTGGTACAGTAGGGTTGATTTTTGAGGCCTCTTCTCTCTTCTCCAATGCCATAAGTGTTGTGGGTTTGCCTGTTGTTCCAGTTCTAGCTGTGATATTCTTCCATGACAAAATGGATGGGATTAAGGCAATGGCCATGGTTTTGGGCACTTGGGGCTTTATTTCATATGTTTATCAGCACTACCTTGATGACCGCAAGTCCAAGACAGGGAGCAACAATGCCACTGGTGAAGTTTCTAAAGCTTTCCCACTGGAGAACATCAACGGTTAGCTAGACAGGCTTGTTTATATCAAGTATAACATTCAAGAATCCAAAACCTAAAGAAAACAAATTTCAAAAGCTAAACAGATGCCCAAGTATAGCATTAGACATGTGATTTATGTGGCATCTTATAAGTGTCATCCTTGTGCAGGGAACATGCTAATTTTCTCAATATCGTTCCAATTTTATTGGATATCCCCGAAGGGACAAGGATTGTTATAGTAATTTAAATTAAACTCAATGCATATAATACATCATGGAACATGATTGATGCGTAGAACAATCTACACAATTGTGCATAATTTTAACAGGTTGATTGTGAGAGTAACTTTTGGAAATAGGAACTTGATTAATTAACTTTACTAGTACCAGGGACAGGCCAAATTTACAGAGCTTGACATTTTGACAGCTTTCGAAAAGGGGAAAAATGTACAACCTCAGCACTACCTTATCAACACTGAAACTTTGGATTGTAATGAAGATGATGATGGGCCATGCAGAGTTGGTCTCTGCTGTGCCACGTATATAAATGTGTTGATGAACAAACAACTCGTGGGCCCAGAAAATGAGGCGTGGGTGGCCATCTTCTTCTTCAATGATCTCTAAGTCGTCAGCCGCCTGAGAAGAGGTCGAGTTGTACATCAAACAAAGAAAGTGCTCAAAATTTAGCCTGGCTTATTCATGATGTGATATTGTTGCAACTTGCAGTTTTTGGAGAACACAAGCAAGCAATAATAGAACGGCAAGAAGCAAAGGCCAATTAGGACTTTGAATTGGAAATATCCATGTATCTATCTATATCTACTGTAAAATTGCATGCATGTCTTCAATCCCATGCTGGTTGGTTGACAGTCAACATGATACATGTAGATTAATCCAATAATATTTTCATGCGAATTGAAGCAAGACCTCTCTCTCTCTCTCTTGATTTTTTGACATGGGAGAAGCACAAGAACTGCAGCTCAGCATCATGGGTATGTCAAACTCATTTACTCACAGGTTTTGGTCAATTTTTTTTTAGTGCAGTAAGTTTACTTCTATGTGATCTTATCAGAGAATAGCAAGTTAGCACCTGATATATGCTTAAGTCAATCTACTTGTTGATGCTCAGAAGTGAATTCTGTTCTTGTGAGTTATGAGTCATAAAAATTACAAAAGGAGCTTGGAGGGAGAATTCTGAAAAATCCCAACTTTTATTTATTTATTATCATAATCATAGTATAGCGAGTGAGAGAAACTTTGTGACAGAATTTGATGTTCAAAAACATCTAGAACTCTCTGGGCACTGAAACACTGCAGTTACAAATAAAGCACCACTTCAGTAAAATGACTCAATTTCAAAGATTAACTCATAAGTTCCTTATAACCTCTGTTCTTATAGCTCAGGAAGCAAATGAAGCAAGCTCACCAGGGCATACAAATATTCCCGACCGGTCACTGCTTCCTCAGCGCAGAAGTTTCAACTGGTGGCTTAAAGTGGCCATTTATGCATTCCTTGTCATCGCTGGCCAGTCAGTTGCAACACTCTTGGGAAGATTGTACTTCGATAAAGGCGGCGACAGCAAATGGCTGGCAACAGTGGTACAACTTTGTGGCTTTCCTGTCCTGCTTCCTTACTATTGCATCCCAGCAGCAAGCAGAAATCCAATCACAAAAATAGTACTGTCCAATTCAAACAACCGTCCACCTTAATCCTTGCATCAGTATATGGCTCTATTGGCCTCTTATTAGCACTGGACTGCTACTTGTATTCTGTAGGCCTAGCTTACCTTCCTGTGTCTACTTATTCCCTCATTTGTGCATCCCAATTGGCCTTCAATGCGCTTTTCTCCTTCCTCCTCAACTCACAAAAGTTCACTCCCTACATTGTCAATTCTCTAGTTCTCCTCACCATCTCCTCCACCCTCCTCGTGTTTCAAGGTGACTCTGCGGATGACCCTAGTGGAGGATCGAAAACAAAGTATGCGATCGGGTTCATATGCACTGTTGGGGCATCAGCCGGATATGGATTGGTGCTTTCCCTAACACAACTTGCCTTCAAAAGGGTTATAAGAAAGGAGACATTTAGAGTGGTCATGGATATGATAGTGTATCAAGCTCTAGTTGCAACCTGTGTCATCTTGGTCGGGCTTTTTGCTAGCGGAGAGTGGAAGGGTTTGAAGAAAGAGATGGGGATGTACAAACTAGGGACGGTATCCTATGTTATGAATTTGGTATGGATAGCTATAACATGGCAGCTTTTTGGTATTGGCGTAATAGGCTTGATTTTGGAGGCCTCTTCCCTCTTCTCCAATGCCATAAGTGCTATGGGTTTGCCTGTTGTTCCAGTTCTAGCTGTGATCTTCTTCCACGACAAAATGGATGGAATTAAGGCAATGGCCATGGTTTTGGCCATTTGGGGCTTTATTTCTTATGCTTATCAGCACTACCTTGATGATCGTAAGTCCAAGAATGAGAACAAAAATGTCAATGTTGAAGTTTCTAAAGCTTCATCACTGGAAAAAATTAATGGTTGAATAGATCGGCTTCTGTATATCATCAATCTAAGTCTAGTTTTATGCAAAAGAAGAATTACAAGCTTTAACTACAGGTCGTTCTTAATTATATGTTGACTGGTTTGTGACATATAGATGCCCTTATTCTGACTAAAGAAAACATCATTTTCTAATTGAATGTTCTTTCCAAGTGCCTGAAACATGTTTTAAATCGTACCAGTCTGGCCATATAAAGAATAATGATTATGATGCAGCCCATACGCTTTCCCAAATATGTTGAAAATGGTGCAGTAACGTGTTAATTGTGGACCAAGGCCTCAAATCACTGAAACTGGACACCTATCACCTGCAAAACTTGCAGGCCATTCATATTGCGTAAGAGCTCTTCTTCTTCTTCTCTCTCTCTCTCCTCTCTCTCTCTCTCTCTCTCTCTCTCTCTCTCTCTGCTGTATAACTTTTAAGATTCTTCACCTCTGAATGGGAAAGGCTCAAGATCTGCAACCGCACATCATAGGTAAGCCAGATTTCTATTTGCACAAAGATTTTCTGATTTGTTTTTTGCTTCTCTAAATAAATTCGGAAAAGCATTTTCTTGGATATTTTTTCCTTTTAATTTATGAACTCAATAAGACTAGAGAATTGTACTCTTCTTACTGTATGTTTGAGTGAATGTAATAGAAACCTGTAGACAGCCATTACATTGAAAATAAATGAAAAAAAACACTCCAGATTTTATTTCATCTGCTATTAAAGGAAATGGTGAATTTATTGATGAACTAACTCATGGATGAAGCTGCCCCCATCGTAATTCAAATATATGTTTCATAACAGTTAAAGGAGGTGAAGAAGTTAATACACTTGAGTTTGAGAAAATCACCCACCAAGCAACAATATCTCAGCTCAAAGATTTTACATGGTGGGTTCGTATGGCCATCTATAAACTGTTTGTCTTCTCTGGCCAATCAGCAGCTATACTCTTGGGACGACTGTACTATAACAAAGGTGGAAAAAACTTATGGATGGCAACCCTGGTGCAATTCATAGGGTTCCCAATCCTAATCCCTTACCGCTGCATCTTATCATCCAAAAAGATTGCCCTTGACCGCAATGTGAACCAGCCGGATGCCTCGGCACTTGCATTCATGTATCTTTCTTTTGGTGTGTTACTAGCAGCAGACTGCTTTCTGTATTCTATAGGTCTATTGTACCTTCCAGTTTCTACCTTTTCGCTGATTTGTGCATCCCAGTTGGCCTTCAATGCTTTCTTCTCCTTCTGCCTTAATGCACAGAAGTTCACCCCTTGTATAGTCAACTCTTTAGTTATTCTCACCATCTCCTCCACCTTGCTTGTGTTTCACCCCAACTCGGTAAACCTCACTGGAATCTCCAAAGAGAAGTATACAGTCGGAGTCATTTGCACGGTTGGTGCATCTGCCGGGTATGGTTTGATGTTTTCCTTCACACAGTTCTCCTTTGAAAAGGTTCTAAAATCGCAAACATTTGTAACTGTCTTAGAAATGATAATCTATGAGTCGCTCGTAGCAACCTGTGCTACCCTAGTGGGACTCTTCATCAGTGAAGAATGGCAGGGTTTAAAGAGAGAGAGATGGACGAGTTTGAGCTGGGGAGGTCATCCTATTTTCTGACTTTGATTTGTACCGCAACGGCATGGCAAACTTTCAACATTGGCGCAATAGACTGATTTTTGAGGTGTCTTCCTTATTCTCCAATGTTATGAGTGCTTCTGGCTTGCCCTTTGTTCCAGTTCCAGCTGTAATCTTCTTCAAGGAAAATATGGAAGGAATAAAGGTGATTGCCATGGTATTGGCCCTCTGGGGCTTCGCTTCATATCTCTATCAGCACTATCTCGACGATTTAGAGTCCAAGGCTGAAAATAAACATGTAAAAGAAATTTCAATGATTCCTTTACTGAAAGAGGACAACTTTTGAGTGATTTGTAAGACCGACAACGGAAGATCCATTAACAAAGGAGAGAAACATCTTATGAGCACAAACACTGCTGATTCTTCTAATCCCCCGTTTTTATTACAAGATGGCAACATTTCACCTCGACCTTTTTATTGCATCATCAATCAGTAAAAGTTCTAGCCATCTTCTTTCCCTGTGAGGCTGTGAAGTAATCCGAACTTGTGTTCATCAACTTCAAGGAATTATTTAAGATTGACTACAGTTGCAGTTTTTCTTTTGTCCTACAGTAGATACCCCACTTTTTTCTTTCATACCTAAATGTCAGAGAACTAAATCAGATGTAAGTAATCCAAGGCTTTTGTTACAATTATATCAATCCAAATGTGCAAACTTGGCCAAAATTGACTGATTACTACTCTGTTCTTTTTCCCCTGCTAAGCCCCACATGCTGGATTTACGCATTAGAACTATGGCTTCAGTATGTTAGAACATCATAAAAGGTCAACATTTTTAAAGATTACCAGTGCCAAATACTGTGGAAGTGTTAACCCAAAAGGAGAAAGACCACAGAACCTAAAAGGTAAAGACGTAATGCCAAGCTTTAACAAATGACAATGCCATCACGGTTAAATTATTCTTCTTAATATCAAAGTTGAAGCTAGTTGTGCATAAGTTTTGAAATCTGACATTCCCCAAAAAGTATTCACATAGATAAAGCAATGAACTTTACATCAGTTGAATAGTTCCGAATTGTCTGATCCAATCCTCATTGGTGGGATCAGAGCACACTTTTCCTCACTCAAGAAGTATAACATGTTGGCAACTATAGGTGCAAGAACAAAAATAAAGTGTAGAAGTTGAAACTTGAGAAATGCACATTACATTGCAAAAACTTGGAGGTTAACTGTTAAAGTGAGAGTACCCATGCCAGGAGCAGAACTGAACCAACTACATGAGGCAACCGACATAGTGAGCTCGAGGATACTTCCTCTGTAGCTGGGGCCATTGCACAAAGAACTGATCCGCAATGTGTAACTTGTAAAGCAGCAAGCCACTTAAGGAGAGCCTTTGCACTCTTGCTATGCTCTCAACATAAAACACAGATGACCATCTAATCCCCACAATCTGCATTATTCCAATATCACCTCATGAATCAAAAAGTTTCCAAATTTATCATATCACAGTATTAAAAGGGCAATCAATCACCCAAGAAAGAAAAGAGAAAAAAAAACACAAAAGGGTCTAAAAGAATTGCATCCAGACCTTAAACAAGAAAGCAATTACACAAAGTGGAACACAAGTCCCAGGGCCGTTGCATAGAATCTGCAATTAAAAAATTGTTGATCATGAATGATTTGATTTCAAAATTTCCAAAGTCACATATCAATAGAAATGAATAGGAAAAAAAGGAAGAAAACACCAAAATTACCACTTGGGGTCTGATTCTGAGCATAAGCCAAAACCCATGAGACAAAGCAATCAAAGTAGTCCAAACAGAGGTGATATAAGACTGACCCACTTCCCTACTTCGGTAGATCTGCATGAACTGTGAGCTTGAAGTCTCTTCGAGCAGGCGAGCTTTCTGGAGGCTCATGTTGTCAGTGGCAGCAGCAATGTAGAACCTGGGGGCAAATCTGTCCTTTTGCAGCACGGACAAGAGGTTGATCATCTCTGCAGTGTGACCCCCTGAGCCTAAAACGATGAGGGTGCTGAGGGGTTGCTGTGGAGCCGAGCCTTTCGACCTTCTGGGTTTGAGGGGTTTGCCGGTTCGGTGCAAAACGTAGAGCAGACGGGTCACGGTCAACGTTGTGGTGACGATTATCAGAGCAATTGCGACGGTGCAGGCCATAACTGGGAAATCGAAAAGCCTTTTGCTTCCTTCAAAGGTGAGGACTTTGGGGGAAAATGGAAGCGACTGAAAAGAAGTAAAGAAACAAAAACGAATTTTCGGTTTATTCCCGGGGAAAGTAGAAAGTACAACTTTTGTTGGTGTCTATCGAAATAAGACACACCTGTGTTCGAAAAATCGGCCTAGGCGGGTCGGGTTTTTATTTTTATTTTAAAATTTAAATTTTTTTAAATAATTTTTTTTATAATTAAAATTTTTAATAAACAAATTTGGAGAAAAAATTGAAAATCTGCCTCAGCAATTCCAGATGAGAGAGCATTGAAAATGGAAAATAAAAACATTTGCTATTAAACTGAACTTCAGTAGAAATCAAGTTCTAGAAATGAGGCACATATCCATGTTCACGAAGCCGAGCAGTCAATGAGTCCAATTCAGCATAAATAAAGTTTGCTTTAGGATGGGCTCTATCTCCAGTTATAAAAGCATGCACACCATTCTTCAGCTCAATCCAGCTACAGCCTGGTGTCTTCTTCACATTCTGTTGCCTCATTGTGTGTCTAACTTCTGATACCTCCTCGTATCGACCATTCTCTACATAAATATTCGACATCAACACGTAATTACCACAGTGTCCCGGATCAAGTTCATTCACCTTCTGTGCAGCAACCTCTGCGAGATCCTGATTCCCGTGGAGTCTACATGCTGCTAGTAGTGCCCTCCACAACACAGGATTGGTCTCAATAGGCATTTCTAGCACCAATTCATAAGCCTCCTGCAGATGCCCCGCTCGACCAAGCATGTCAACCACGCAGGTATAATGCTCAATGGTTGGAGCCATGCCATACTTTGACTTCATTTGTCTCAAGAACTCACGACCTTCTCTCACTAAGCCTGCATGGCTGCACGCAGACAAAACCCCAACAAATGATACCTCATCAAGCGGGATTTGGGCCTCACACATATCAGAGAACATATCTAATGCCTTGCTGCCATAGCCGTGCATGCCATAACCCTTGATCATGATGTTCCAGGATGCCACATCCTTATTCCTCATCTTATCAAAAATCATATAAGCATTTCTCATGCTCCCACATTTTGCATACATGTCCATGACTGCATTCGTCATTTGCACATCATCCACATGTTCATTCACATCCTTCTCCAACCCATTTTTGATCATATAGCCATGAATTTCTCTACCATGCATCAATGCTGCCAGATGAGAGCACACTGGAAGAACCGTCGTGATGGTTACCAAATCAGGAAGAACCCCAGCACTCAACATTCTGTCAAAAAGCCTCAGAGTTCCATCTAGATCGCCACACTGTTCATGCACTGCCATAATTGAGTTCCATGAATATATATCCTTCTCAATCATCATCTCAAAAATCTCCAAGGCATCTCCAACACACTTGCATTTCCCATACATGTCAATTAATGCATTCAAAACCTCAATTCCTGAATCATACCCCATTTTCATTGCAAACCCATGCACTGCTCTCCCATTGTCAAAATCTCCCATTACCCCAAAAATTGACAAGACCCCAGTTACTGTAAATCTACTCGGCACAACCCCTTCCTCACCCATCATCCTGAAGACCACCAAAGCCTCCTCAAGCCGCCCAATCTGCGCAAACCCATTAACCATTGCATTCCAAAGCACAACATCTTTCACAGGCAATTCTTCAAACACTTCTTGTGCCTCCTCCATTAACCCCAATTTTAAATACGTACTCACCAAAGCGCTACCAATATAAACATCCAACTCCAACCCAAATTTAACCACCAACGCATGAATCTTCCTAACCTCCAAAACCCCACTACAAGCTCTGATCACACACGGAAACGTAAACTTGTCGGGCACAACACCGGTCAGCCTCATTCTTCTGTAAAACTCAAACCCATGTCTAGCTAGCCCATTTGCAATGAACCCAGCAATGACTGCATTGTAAGCAAACACATTGTGGTCAAGAGATTGATAGTTGAAGGTGGAAACGGCGTCGTCCATTTGGTTGCACTTGGAGTACATGTTGATGAGGCTGGTTATGGACAGAGGGGAGTGAAGGAAGCCATTGGTGAGCATGTTGGCGTGGATTTGCTTGCCCTTTTTGAGGCTCTTGTGGCGAGCACATGCTTGCAAAGAGGAAATGCAGGTGGTGAGGTCGTACGAAGACCGAAGAGGCAAATGGGTTGTGGAGTGTGAGGAGGAGGAGCTGAAACAGAGAGAAAAAGACGGTTTCTTGAAGAAGCTGGTGGTTCTGTTCATTTGAAACAGAGTCTGAGTTTGTGGATTGTCTGATCAGCTTTGCTAGCAACATAATCAGTCACTATAAACTTTTGCAAAATTTTAACGTTATTTGTGAAAGTGATGTATAACTTATACCCGATCAGATACAATTTAAATAGTATAGCCGCGCGGCTATAATCTTTTTGACAGATGCATAAGCCGTGATTTCCTTAAACTTTGATCACTCCATAAAATGAAGTAACATGGCACATGACAATACTGTTATTTGAATTTAAAAAAAAAAAAAAAAGTATAGCAAAAAACACAAAACCAAACTTATGATTTTTCCATTTTATAATATGTAATTTAGTTTTTCGTATCCAACTAACTAGTTGTAAGTATAGTTATATTTCTCATTTCAATATTGAAATAGAATTTAAATTCGAATCCCATTCTACATTTATGAGTTCTCTCTTAAGAAGTTTATGATCTGAGTAAAAAAAAAAAAACTCAAAAGCAAATGAATGAATTCAAAAAATTTATATTGGAGGGTTTAAATTGGTAATTAGTAATGAAATAATTGTTAAAGAGAGAATTCAAATTCTTTATTTCCTATTAATGCTAATTTTTCTATTTTAACGTGATAAAGTTCCAAATTTTGTGGGAGGACCCGCCCAAAATGCACTTTGACCCACACCTTATGACCATTCGATTTTACGGATAAGGTGATGCGCCCAAGTTTTCGTATACATTCTACACCGCACTGCTGCTTCTAATTCGTTTTTTTAAAAAAAAAAAAGAAAAAAAAAAAAAAAAAAAAAAAAAAAAAAAAAAAAAAAAAAAGAAAGATTCGAATACTTTCCTTAGACTATAGAGTACCTCTGCTTAGACTTACCCGATTCCTGAGATTACAGAAAACCAGATAGTTCGTTGTGGCAAAGAAATCACTTCTTCTCGTTCTCTCACACAAGGAGAGAGAGAGAGAGAGAGAGAGAGAGAGAGAGAGGAGAGAGAGGAGAGAGGAGAGATTGTTTTGATCATCAATGGCGGTGAGGCTAACCACCTGGTTCGTGAGCCAGAGGATTAGCGTTAGCGGCTCCAGCTCCAACTCCAAGCGCTCAAATTCTAACTCTCGCTTTTCATTTCATTACTCTCCTGCTTCTTCGTGCAAGCTTCGACACCGTAATCTCAGGTACGCTTCCCTCTCTCTGTGTGAACTCGTTTATTGATCACTTTCTTCGAACTTCAATCTGCTTGATCAAGGGATGGTGATGGTGGTGATGATGGTTCTTTTGATTGGATTTCGGCTTGTGCAGTTGCAATTGCGTGAATAAGAGGCAAAAATTGAAGAAGAAAGACGCAGTCGAACAGTCTTCGGCAACTACAGATTTCCAGTTCAATAGCGATGACGACTCTGAATCTGAGAGTGCTTCGGTGGGCATTGTCCCCGTTTTGAATCCAGAAAGTGTCTCTGACGATGAAGCTCACGCTACCAATGCAAACGATTCTATTTCAGATGCTCTAGCTCCGTCTGATCAAACAAATCCTTCGGTAACTCTTCGTCTTTGCTTTTCAGAACTCTTATTTGTTTATTTTTTGTTGATAAATTTGATTGCTTGTTGTTTTACAGGCATATAATACACAGGACTTGGTTGGCATGATAAGAAATGCAGAGAAAAGTAGGATAATGCCCTGCCCTGCTCATGTGGTTTAATTTACTGTTTGTGAGTCTATTTTATTTGATATGTGAAATGTGTATAAATGTATAGATATCCATCTTCTCAACCGAGCTCGGGTTAATGCGCTTCAAGACCTTGACAAGATTCTGGGTGAGAAGGAGGCATTGCAAGGAGAGATGAATGCTTTGGAGATGAAATTGGCAGAGACTGATGCGCGGATCAGAGTAGCTGCCCAGGAAAAAATAAAGGTGGAACTTTTAGGAGACCAGTTGGATAAGATGCAGAATGAGCTGAGGTTAAATGGTGGTGGTGCTGAAAGAGGTGAGGTGGTGGAGATTTTTGAGAATGAAAACGAGCTATTTAATGAAGAAGCCCCTCTGCCATACAGAAATAGCATCAATGCTCTTATGGCCAATCTTAATTCATTGAGATTAGAAAATGTATCCCTGAAGAATGATGTCGAAGAGCTTAGGGAGGAGCTTAGCAATGTGAAGAATACAGATGAACGAGTGGTAATGCTGGAAAAACAACGGTCGTCTTTAGAGTCTGCCCTGAAGGAGTTGGAGTCTAAACTTTCAGTTTCTCAGGAAGATGTTTCCAAGCTTTCCAATCTCAAAGTTGAATGCAAAGGGTTGTGGGAGAAGGTGGAAAATTTGCAGCTGCTGCTAGATAAGGCCACCAAACAGGCAGATCAAGCTATTATAGTGTTACAGCAGAACCAGGAGATTCGAAAAAAGGTTGATAAATTGGAAGAATCTCTTGAAGAAGCTAATGTCTATAAGCAGTCATCAGAAAAGATGCAACAATATAATGAACTAATGCAACAGAAGATAAAACTGATGGAGGAACGGCTTCAAAAATCTGATGAAGAGATACATTCTTATGTTCAATTATATCAAGAATCTGTGGAGGAATTTCAAGACACACTAAATACTCTAAAAGAAGAAAGCAAGAGACGGGCACTTGATGAACCTGTGGATGATATGCCTTGGGAATTTTGGAGTCGTTTATTGCTTATTATTGATGGTTGGTTGTTTGAGAATAAAATATCAATCGATGATGCCAAGGTGTTGAGAGAAATGGTATGGAAGAGAGATCGACGTATTCATGACTCGTACATGGCATGCAAGGAAAAGAACATGCACGAGGCTGTGTCTACATTTCTCAGACTGACGTCGTCACAAACAAGGTATGAACTTTCTAGTATTAGAAATGCAAGGTTTTATGTTTAAGCTCCTGTTTAATCTTTGACTTTGTTGATTTTTAGTCCAGGATTGCATGTCGTTCATATTGCAGCAGAGATGGCACCAGTTGCTAAGGCGAGTTCATCTTGGCTCTATACATTTGTGTCTTCTTTTTTGCTTTTTTATATTAAAAGATTTGAGTCTGATTTCTTAAATGTCAAGCTATAATTACTATTATTACTGCAACTCAGATATGAGAATTCGTCGAACACTATTTGATATTCATATGTGTAAAAAGTACTTTTTTATTTGTATAGGGACATCTCAATGAACTTGCATTTTAGTTTGCTAAACATGCCATAGTTTCAACCTATCGTGGTTCCTATAGGGACCTGCAACTAAAGTCACACCTTTGTTGATGAAGTGGTACATTGCGCGTAATGGATCACTTGAGCAGATTTTGCTTTTTCCTTAGTCTCTTGTGCTCTCTTTGAATTAGGAGGATGGTCTATCATTTACTGTGAGGAGGGTATATTGCTTTTCCCATAGTGTTTAATGACATTTTAGAAGTTAATCAAATTAGTTGTTAATTTTACAGGTTGGTGGCTTGGGGGATGTTGTGGCTGGTCTTGGTAAAGCACTGCAGAAGAAGGGGCACCTTGTGGAAATTGTTATTCCCAAATATGACTGCATGCAGTATGATCTTGTTCGTGACCTAAGGGTATGCAGAATATTTATTAATTTGATCAAAGGTGGTTTTTCTACTTGAGTTTCATAACATTCCTTATAACATGTTTCATATACAGGCCTTAGATGTGGTGTTAGAGTCATACTTTGATGGTCGACTATTCAAAAGTAAAGTCTGGGTTGGCACAGTTGAAGGTTCGGAATTTCAAAGTTTCTGTTTGCGTGGCATATTTAGCCTTGGATTCTTACTGTAGTGCTGATTATGCAGGTCTCCCTGTTTATTTTATTGAGCCTCTTCATCCTGATAGGTTCTTCTGGAGAGGACAGTTTTATGGAGAACGTGATGATTTTAAGCGATTCTCCTTTTTCAGCCGTGCAGCCCTTGAGTTACTTCTTCAATCTGGCAAGAAACCAGACATAATACACTGCCATGATTGGCAGACAGCTTTTGTTGTATGGACCATTAAACTTTCATTTTTCTTCCCATGCTCTCCTCTGACCATCTCGATTCTCTCTCTCTCTCTCTCTCTCTCTCTCTCTCTCTCTGTGTTTTGGTGGCTGACTTGTTTCTGTTCTTAGGCTCCACTTTATTGGGATTTATATGCCCCAAAGGGATTGAACTCGGCTAGAATATGTTTTACATGCCACAACTTTGAATACCAAGGGACTGCACCTGCGTCTGAATTAGGATCTTGTGGTCTTGATGTCAACCAGCTAAATAGACCAGATAGAATGCAGGACAACTCATCACATGATAGGATCAATGCTGTTAAGGTATAGCAGTTGTTGATTCGTCTATGACCAGCATCTTTTAGGAGTGGACAAAACTTTTCCTGATTCCATTTTCATTTTTACACTTTTTCTATTCAAGGGTGCAGTTGTATTCTCTAATATTGTGACAACAGTATCACCCACCTATGCGCAAGAGGTTCGTACTGCTGAGGTATGGCTTTTTCCTTGTAGTAAGCGTCAGATTCAGTTTCAGAATTGGTTGACCCAGCCTATAGTCATTGTTTTCGTTTAACGTTTGATTTTAGAGAATCGAATTACATCACCGGATGAATGTTTTTCTCTCATAAATTGTGTGAATCTCTCTCTCTCTCTTTCTTGTATAAATAGTAATCCCGGCACCTTAGAAATATCCACATGAAAGTGTGATTTTGTTTGTGGGTCTGTGTTGAGATGGTGTTGACCCCTTAGGATGGAAGAAAAAACTTTCAAATTGTGCTTTTCTGTGAGAGCTTTGATACAAAAGTCATCAGTTGTTGGACCTCAAGAATTTGGATTCTAATCAAAAGGTTCTTCTTGTTGGATACGCAATATCCCAGTTTATTTCTGTTTTTAGACATGAGTACACTTTGTAGAATTCTTTTTAGGTAACTTATGTTTACAACAACACTTCACAGACGAGAAAAGAGAATAAAAACTCCTCTTCCCTTTTAACGTAGAAAGCACAGCAGTCTCTGTTTTAAACTATCAGGACATGGTAAAATTAGCATTACGCTACACATCTTTGAAATTGATTAAGATGCTATGGGTAAAAAGCATAGTTAGCCCAGTATGTTGAGTGTTTGCATCAGTCACATGGTTGCCTGATGTTGCAAGTCATGCTTCCATGTTCTTGGTTATTTTTGAGCTTTGTCTTGTATTATAATAGTTGCTTACTATCATTACAGGGAGGACATGGTCTCCATTCAACACTCAATTTCCATTCTAAAAAGTTCATTGGGATTCTAAATGGTATTGATGCTGATGCGTGGAATCCTGCCACTGATGCGCATCTCAAAGTACAGTACAATGCTAATGATCTTCAGGGAAAAGCAGAGAATAAGGAAGATATAAGGAGGAATCTAAGGCTTTCTTCTGCAGATGTCAGGAGGCCACTGGTAATTATATTTTCTGAACATCAGATAATTAAGCTGGTGATGCAAGCCATCACCATACAGTTCGATTTTTTTCTTCTATGAATTGTCAAATTACGCATGATTTTTCTGCTGTTTAAGTCTAAATATGCAGGCATGATCTCTCACTCAATCCATTATGTCAATAATAATTTCATAACTTATTCAAGAAATCATACTTGGAAAAATCATATGTGTGAGAAAAAAGCAACATTGGTGATTTGAGATGTATCATGTATCTGTCTTTAGTATATACTATTATTATTATTATTATTATTTTCATAAGACTGTCTTCAGTAAAGATTATAAATTTATGGCCTTCTATTGATTCATCTTCATACTGGATTGATTGGTTAATTGGAGATAAAGTTAATAACTACAGAAACTTGTGTTGTGGATTTTAAATCTTGTATTATTCTCTTTGTTCATACAATTCTTTCTCCCCTTGTGCTGTATCCCAGTAGCTCTGCATGCAGTTCCTTTAGTTTTGTCCCTTTTCTCTTGAGTGGGTGACAGTAATGCTTTCTTAACAATTCTTTTTTGCAATAACCAATGAGTCTTTAGCCTTTTTTTTTCTGCTTACTTTTTCAAACCCCGTATGTTGTATATAGTGGTATCCATGTTCACTGTTTGATGGTCAGAGCCAGCCATGATTAAGTCAATATTTAAGGCTCTGCAGTTCTTATTTTATCTTTGGTAGTGCTTCAGATATTAAATACTTACCTTATACTGGAGCTTTTGGTTGTCCCATACTCTGCATGTTGGATCATATCGGGAATTCCATATGAAATGGCATCATTGACATCTGTTATTCTATTTTTGTTGAGCCTGATCAATAATTGGTGAAGCAGCTTGAATTCTTACTTGAAACTGTTTGATCAATCCTTGGATAGGTAGGTTGCATAACGCGATTGGTGCCACAGAAAGGTGTACATCTTATCAGACATGCAATATATCGAACATTGGAGCTCGGAGGACAGTTTGTACTTCTGGGTTCAAGCCCGGTGCATCATATTCAGGCACTGCTCTACCTTTCTCTGTGATATTATATTCTGGCTATGTTCGTTACTGTTAGAATATATTAGGTTTAGTATAATATCATGTTATCATCCTTTCTCTAATCAATAACTGAAAGGTTTCTTATTGTGTTTTCTATTGTAGAGGGAATTTGAGGGTATTGCAAACCATTTTGAGAATCATGATCATATTCGGTTGATATTGAAGTATGACGATTCTCTTTCCCATTCGATTTTTGCTGCTTCTGATATGTTCATCATCCCATCTATCTTTGAGCCTTGTGGACTTACCCAGGTAAAGTCTGCTCTCGTGCTCGTGAAAAACTTTGAAGCACATTACTCACTACATCTTGCTGTCTTAACTTCCGTTTTTTCTTGTGCAGATGATAGCCATGAGATATGGTTCTATACCCATTGTAAGAAAAACTGGTGGTTTAAATGATAGGTGTGTACTCAATGCCTGACCTATTTATAGCTTCTACTAATGATTTAGGTTATTCCTTCAAGAGGAACCTTGAATTTCTTAAATACTTCTTGTGCAGTGTCTTTGATGTCGATGACGACACCATACCTGTTCAGTTTCGGAATGGATATTCATTCTTGAGTGCTGATGAATGGGTAAAGCTTCTACACAGATACTTTTTTCTTCTTCTAATCATCTGGCATTGGTGCTCAAGGCTTTGAATTTGATATAAGATCCTTTGCCTCCTCTTTTTCCCTTATTTGTCTTGATCTTTCTCCACTTTAGTAATTGTGTCCTGGCTTGGAATGTGGACAGGGAGTAAACGGTGTTTTGGAACGTGCATTTGACCTCTATACAAGTAAGCCCGATAGTTGGCAGCAGCTAGTTGAGAAGGTCATGAATATGGATTTCAGTTGGGACTCTTCTGCATCACAGTACGAAGAACTCTACTCAAAGTCTGTGGCCAGAGCGAGGGCAGCAGCTCGCACTCAAGCAATATGATAGTTTGCTAAGCTAGGCATTCGCATGCTTTATTTTGCGGCACAAATTTGGCTTCGACTTTGATAATCTGGAGCTCAGACTGATATGGACAATATAATGAAAGTTCGAGTAGCGAGAATGCCATCCTTATAAGTTCTGCAAATCCGGCAAGGGTTCAATGCTTGAAGCTGCAGAGGTGGTTTTAACAGTCGCTGTGCCTTCGTCCAAATGTTCATTCTTTACATTTGATCACCAATGTCCAATTATTTGTTCATAAAACGAGTTCTAGTTGTTGTATACTAATTATTAGTCTTTTAATTTGTTTGTTTATAATGACCCGTGTATACCTTCCAGTCACGGATGTGCCTTTTCTTTTAGGCTTCCACACACCAAGAACAAACTTGGATGTAATACATTAGGACTGTATATATCTCTAAGCAAAATACGGCCGAGATATGAGAAAATAAGGAGTCAAAATCATCTCCATTTTGAGCAATATTTATTTATGGTAGCTTCGTTTGAATGCTTCAATCTTTTCTTCTTGTAACTTTTTATATCATTTTCTTTACTAAATGCAAAATTCGAGTAGCTGATAGGCTTGCTATAGCATGCGTATTAAACTTGGTACATGTGGATTTTTGGGTTGTGATTTTAGGTGGCTCTGCATACGACTGCATAAGCTCATAATCTCCCTTCTAATTTAGAGTATCGCTTGTACTAAAAAAAAACATTAAGTTTTGTATAAAGTAAGCGACTGGAAAAATATTTGTTTCTTTGTTTCTTCATAGTTAGAAAGTGATTGCACATGTTCATTTTAACTTCAAGTATCCTTTTACTTATTATTAATGGGCAATAAGTGATTAGTTACTCACCAAAATAAAAATCGAAAATAAACGCATTTTTAACTAAGAAAGTTCAATTCATGTTGTCCATTACTTCGAAACAAATTTACATCACCGACAACAGTATCCAAACAAAAGAAGAAAACAATTTCCCAGCTCACTTTCCGGGGACAAAGTTTGTGGCATAGGACCAGGCGTTGTTGTTGACTGGGTCTGCAAGGTGGTCAGCAAGGTTCTCCAATGGTCCCTTTCCGGTGACAATGGCCTGAACAAAGAAACCAAACATGGAGAACATGGCCAATCTCCCGTTCTTGAGCTCCTTCACCTTAAGCTCAGCGAAGGCCTCTGGGTCATCAGCTAGGCCCAATGGGTCAAAGCTTCCACCTGGGTAAAGTGGGTCGGTTATCTCTCCAAGTGGCCCACCAGCAATTCTGTATCCCTCAACTGCACCCATCAACACGACTTGGGTAGCCCAGATGGCCAAGATGCTTTGGGCATGGACCAAGCTAGGGTTGCCCAAGTAGTCAAGACCGCCCTCGCTGAAGATTTGGGCTCCAGCCTTAAACCACACGGCTTCACCGAACTTGACACCGTTGCGGGCCAAGAGCTCGGGGAAAACACACCCAAGAGCTCCGAGCATGGCCCATCTGGAGTGGATCACCTCAAGCTCACGGTTCTTGGCGAAGGTCTCTGGGTCAGCTGAAAGCCCAGCAGTGTCCCAGCCGTAGTCACCAGGGAACTCACCGGTTAAGTAACTTGGGGGCTCACCAGAGAATGGGCCCAAGTACTTAACTCTGTCTGGGCCATACCATGGGCTTCCAGAGGAAACTTGCTTGGCCCCAGTTTTCCTCATGGATACTCTTCCGTTGCCGAAGAGCTCGGTGGCTCCCGGAGCAAGTTGCACGGCCTTGCCAGCGAATGTTGGGGAAGACAGAGCCATGGAAGCAGCCATTGCAAAACTAATGTGATACAAGTGGAAGGAAAGGCAATTAGAAGAGGAGAGGAGGATGATGGGTGGTTGTGATTGGGCTTCATGGGCTTAAATAGGACAGGTTCCTTATCCTATGAGATCAATTGCTAAATCCCCATTGGTTGTGACATTTTGAAGTTTGATTTCCTTTGTCTAGTTGGCACCTCTACCACCACTTAACAATCGTTGGATTTTTCAGCGTCTAGGTTGTGGCAGACTGGTGTATCAAAAAATCTTAGACATGTGCACCACTAGTTGGTCCAATCGGGCACTGCCACTTGACCAATTGGATAGGCTTTCTGTGCTTGGAGATGGTAGAGGATATCCTCTGTAGGGCCGAACCCTAATTCTACCAGGCAAATGTCCACTTCCGTATTTCCAACAATCTTGACCATTCAGATAACTGCATGCATTGGTAGCCATGGGAATTTTCAAAATAACCTTTTTGTTTGAAGTTCATTTTAGTTTAATAACAAAGAGCAAATATCAACGGTCATATTATCAGTTGGTTTTAGTGAAAGATTTTTTGGATGAACACATCCAAATCTTAATTTAATCTGTTTCAAGTGAAAGTGAGTTTGAGAAGTGGACCAAGATCAAATTTTACAAGATTCTTGTTGCCTTCTGCAGAGATATTTTGTTCAGAGAGCCTGCCTGCCATTCAAATTTGCCTCAACTTGTTTTTTTCTTTCTAAATGTGAAATTTTCACTCCTTTTTTACCATACCAGTAAATATATTGGACCGTTGAGCCAATGGGCTTGTACCACGGTGGTTTTCGGGGCCCCCGCAACCCAATGATTTACTCTCCCTCCCCCTCCCTATCGTAAATAAAAAAAAAAAAAAAAAAAAAAAAAAAAAAATACTACGGTAAAATATCATATTCAGTGGACCAAGCTTATAGATTTTTTCAAGATTTTTTCTAAAGAGAGATCTTCCAATGTTGTGGTGGAGTGCAACCCAACAACGTGGAGAAACCATATTGGTTAGCCAAGGAAATGAATCCGACGACTTGGATGCATGGGAGTGTGCACAAAATCTTGAAGGCCAATGAGATTTAAGCTTTAGATAGCATAAGATAAGGAGCCTGGATATCAGCCCACTATTATTAATACGTACCAAATCAACCACCATCAACCACCATCAATCACACCACTCTCAAACTTCAACTATCAAAGCTAATCAAACTCAATTCTCTCATTCAGCCATGGCTGCCTCCACTATGGCTCTCTCTTCCCCAACATTCGCTGGCAAGGCCGTGCAACTTGCTCCGGGAGCCACCGAGCTCTACGGCAATGGAAGAGTCTCCATGAGGAAAACTGGGGCCAAGCAAGTTTCCTCCGGAAGCCCATGGTACGGCCCAGACAGAGTTAAGTACTTGGGCCCATTCTCTGGTGAGCCCCCAAGTTACCTAACCGGTGAGTTCCCTGGTGATTATGGTTGGGACACTGCTGGGCTTTCAGCTGACCCAGAGACATTCGCCAAGAACCGTGAGCTTGAGGTGATCCACTCCAGATGGGCCATGCTCGGAGCTCTTGGGTGCGTTTTCCCCGAGCTCTTGGCCCGCAACGGTGTCAAGTTCGGTGAAGCGGTGTGGTTCAAGGCAGGAGCCCAAATCTTCAGCGAGGGCGGTCTTGACTACTTGGGCAACCCTAGCTTGGTCCATGCCCAAAGCATCTTGGCCATCTGGGCTACCCAAGTCGTGTTGATGGGTGCAGTTGAGGGATACAGAATTGCTGGTGGGCCACTTGGAGAGATAACCGACCCACTTTACCCAGGTGGAAGCTTTGACCCATTGGGCCTAGCTGATGACCCAGAGGCCTTCGCTGAGCTTAAGGTGAAGGAGCTCAAGAACGGTAGATTGGCCATGTTCTCCATGTTTGGTTTCTTTGTCCAGGCCATTGTCACCGGAAAGGGACCATTGGAGAACCTTGCTGACCACCTTGCAGACCCAGTCAACAACAACGCCTGGTCCTATGCCACCAACTTTGTCCCCGGAAAGTGAGTGAGAGAGTGTGAAGACATGTTGTGATGTGACCTCAATTGAGTGTTGGATTGGCATTTGTTGATGTTGTAGATTGTGTGAGTGCAGAAAAATGTGAATTATTATATATGTAATGCTGATGTTGAATGGAAGTAAATTTCTTATTTTTTTCTCACCATCTGTTATTTTATTCCTTGTCTCCCTTTCATTCTGCACTAAATAATTCTCTTCATCATGTGCTGAAAATCGAAAATCGAAAATTGAAACGACATACTCTGAAATGGGAGATGCGCGACCACCAGCGTCTCTGCACTCCAATTTCTTCTCCTCCCTAAAGCAGGTTAATTTATTTCTCTGTTTCCTAGATTTTATTTTTTTTATTATTTTGGTTTCTTGGTGTGAATTTGTTTTTATTTTCTCGGAATTAATTCCATAGGTTGAGAAGAGGCTGAAATTAGAGAACCCATCTCAAAAATCCACTATCTCACCGTCACCACTGCCAGAAAGCAGCAAATTATTAACAGAAGATTCACTAAGTTCACCCTTGTTCCTCCACTTGGACCAACCCAGCAACAATCACAGCTCAAGCACACTGCAAGACAGCAGTGAAGCCCCTCAAGCATTCCTCTCATGCTCCCCTCTTTTCCTACCAACCCAAGAAAACCCACCTCAACCCAATGCCCTGCAGCACTCCAAGACCATCAATGACACTGAAGCCAGCTCAGTCAATGATATTGAACAGTTAATTCAACTCTTGGGTTTATCTCATTGTCAAGAAGGAGAGGAAGAAAGGGCTGGTTTGGAATTGAAGGGTGGTGATGGTAGTGGTTTTGGTGGTAATTCTTGTCATTGTGAAGGTGGGTTTTATGAAAAGATTGTTGGGGTGAAGGGGCCAAAGTGTGGGAAAGAAGTGGAGAGGTTGGAAGGTTGGATTAACTACTTTTTGAATGGTGGTGGGGAGGGGAGCATTGAGCCTTTCAGGTTGGCACATTTGCTATTGGGTAAAGCTGCTTTTGTTTCTGAAGGTGCTGATCATGGTTTTGGAGGCTTGGAATTCCCTTCAACTATTGGGGATTTTTTGCTCAATGATCCACCCCCAACAGATTGATAAGGCAACAAATCTTTCTTCATTTTCTTATTACCTGTCTTAAATTGTTAGTGCTTCTGCATAAATCAACTTTATGTAAAGGATATTTACAATGATAATATCTGCAGAATTTCTTCATAAAAAGTAGTTATGTGACCCCTTTTTCCTGACAGTTGTTTGATTGTGTTCGTAAGGTTGTGATTGCAAGCAATGATTAAGTGAAAGATATAATCTTTCTTCATCAAATTTGGATTATTTCTTTTTAATGCTTCCAACCCAATTTTCATTAGAAAAGGGTTCTTTTGGTACCTAACTGTCTGACAAGAATTGATTCTACAAAACATCCTGAAAATTGAATTTGATAAGACAACATTATTCTTCCATTTTTCCATCTCTGATACAGCATTACAACTTTGATATTCTACCCTGATGATTCAACATTCATAGTACTGTGAAATATAATCACCATGGTTGCTGTACTATTTTTCCTTTTTCAGCTTCAAAAGAGTAGACAGCACCTCATTCATGTTAGGTCGGTTGTCAGGATTTGGGTTGGAGCAAACCAAGGCTAGCTTAAGCAGCTCTTCTGCAATTTCCTCCTGTTCCTTGGAGATATTTGAGGCTAGCATAGGGTCCAGAACTTGAAGAATATTCTTAATTCCATTTGCAAGGGCTTTCTCCACAAGTTGGTGCAAGCTCATTGGGAGCCCGTTCTCTTCCATGAGTCCTGTTGGCCTCTGTTTTATCAAGAACTCCATCACAATTATACCAAAGCTGAATACGTCTACCTTAGTCGTTACTTTCCTCATGTATGCAAACTCTGCCGAGACATGTTTTAAGCAGGTCAGTATCATTGAAAGTGATAACATTGTAAGTTTCAGACAGATTAAAGTTGGAAATAAGGGCAAAACTCTAGAAGGAGAAAGACATATGTAAGGCATCTGCTTTAAATGTTATTAGTGTTAAATTAGCCAAAAGTTTTTTCAAATGAGGGTGAGAAAGGCACAAACTGCATTAGATGATATCGGAGTTGCAAATGACTTTGGTCTGTGATAGAACTGGAGGTTGTAAAGCATACGCGGGAAAGTTCCTCATACTAAATTGAAAAGAAAAGGGCCAGCTTAAGTTTTTTTTATAGCATTTGACTGCATATCTGCATGCACACTATCCGCATATAAAATATAAGAAGAGGATCCTACTTTATCTTTTCACAAGTAGATAGCAGAACCTTGCACATACATAAGGAAATGACTGCAACAAGGAAGAGAGAAAAAGAATAATGGAGGAAAGTTTTGTAATTGAGAAGAGCCAGCAAGAGGTCACCTGGTGCCAAGTAGCCAATTGTGCCTTCGAAAGCTGATGCTGAGGAACGGTTACTCCCATCCTGGAGATGAACTCCCAACATTCTAGCTGTCCCAAAATCACTCACATGGGCCTCCCAGTCACCATCCAGCAGGATGTTAGAAGGCTTCAAGTCGCAATGAACAATGGGAAAGCCATGACCTGAATGCAGGTAATCCAATCCACTTGCTATGGAAATTAAAACGTTGATTCTCTCAGATAGTGTCCATCTCCCCTGGTTCACCTCATCTTCATGTATAACGCTCTCCAGGTTCCCATTCTCCATGTATGTCAGAACTAAGGCCTTTAACTTCCTGCTCTCCCATGCGTAGCCAAGTACCTTCACCAAATTCCTATGCCTCAGTTGGCAAAGTGTCTTGATTTCTCTATTGAAGCATTTATCAGATTCAACAGAGAACTGATGCAGATTCAATCTCTTTATAGCTACTATCTGCCCATCTTCTAGTCTACCCTTGTACACAGTGCTCAAACTGCTTGCCCCGAGAATATTATCCTTGCTGAAGAAATCAGTGGCAGTTTCTAAATCCTTTTGATCAAACCTCTTGAGCGGCAATGCTGAAGTGTACTCATATTCAGGATTCTCAAGCTTTTTAGATCTACGCAAGTTGCTGAATCGGTTGAGGATTAGAATAATGAACACTAGAACTAGAAGTATCGAAACAGATCCAAGCGCCAACAGAAGAAACTTGGTTTTCTTGGACAGCAGGTGTGAACTTCTCTTGCATGCCTTGAGAAATTTGTTTCCACAAAGATCTGGGTTTCCTACCAAGCTGGATGCATTTATTTGTCTGAATATTCCGGTGTCTGGAACATGGCCTTCAAGTTGATTGAAAGAGAGGTTTAAGTGTTTCAAGGTGGAACGATTGGCAAAGCTCTCAGGGATATTGCCACTCAGATGATTTTGAGAAAGATCAAGGGAGCTAAGATGCTTCAGGTTTGCCAATTTTTCCGGGATTTGACCATCTAAGTTGTTCCTTGAAAGGTTCAAGCTTGTGAGGATGTCCATCTGAGCAAAAGCTTCAGCTGGAAGTGAACCAGAAAGTTTGTTCCCTGAAAGATCAAGAGAGAACAAGTTCTTGCAGCCTTCAATTGCTCTGGGAATGGTCCCTGTAAGATTATTGTTGGAAATGTCAATGGATTGTACCATTTCCAACATACCGAGCTCATCTGGAATGGTGCCAGCCAAGAAATTGTGTGAAAAGTTCAAATATATCTGCATGCTTCGCATGGCTGAGACCACAGGCCCAGGAATGGATCCTGAGAGATTATTGTGAGATAGATCCAGGGTTGTCAGTCGATAAAGGTGAGCCATGCTTTCTGGAATGTAGCCATTGAACATGTTATGCTGGAGGTTTAAGTATGAAAGCAACTCAAGTTTTGAAATATTAACTGGAATTGGTCCTGTCAGTTTGTTGTGCTGCAACTCGAGATTGGCTAGCTGTTTTAGTTCAAAAATTTTCTCAGGTATTGCTCCTTCTAAAGCATTGTGATCCAGGGAAAGCCCTTGGAGGCTAGAGAGCTTAGATAACTGTGGTGGAACTGGACCTGAGAAGCTATTCTCAGCAAGTGAGAGGACGATAAGTTGGCTTAATTGTCCAATTTCTGGTGGAATAGGTCCGGCAAATGAATTTGAGAAGGTTCTCAGAATCCTGAGATTGGAGAGTTTTCCAATTCCTGGTTTCAGCAAACTGCTAAAGTTGTTCCGGGACAAATCTAGAGTGGCGAGACTTGTGCAATTGAAAAGGTCATCGGGGATTTCCCCAAACATTTTATTTGATCCAACAGAAAAGAAAGTAAGATTTGGCAACTGCCACAGACCCTCAGGAATTTTCCCAGTTATTCTATTGTAAGCTAAGCTTATAACTAGAAGCTGGGTACAGTTTACAATACTAGATGGAATGGATCCCTCAAGAAGGTTATGGTTCATGGTCAGGTTTTTCAGATTATAAAGCATCCCTATATTCGATGGAAGTTCCCCTGTTAAGAAATTGATGCTCATTGACAAATATGTTAGATTTGTCAAGTTTGTCAGGGATGAAGGGATCTCTCCAGTAAACTTATTGGAATGCATGGTCAATACTTGTAATGATCTTAAAGATCCAAGCTCAGATGGTATGGTCCCGGTTAACTCATTTTCTGAAACTCCTAAATGGGTTAACGACTTCAGCTGAAAAATGGAAAGTGGGATTGTGGAATTTAGCCTATTCTTGTACAATCTCAATGTTTCTAAGTGCACCAAATTTCCAAGCTCAGAAGGAATGCCTCCGGTGAACTGATTGATATAGAGTTCAAGGTTAACAAGCTTCTTACAACGACCTAGTTCATGAGGAATGTTCCCAACAAAGGAATTCTGAAACAATAAAAGTGATTCTAAATTTGACAAGTTCCCCAGCTCCCTGGGCAGTACACCTGACAACTGGTTTTGACTCAAATCAAGAGCTTGCAAAACTCCCAATTTTCGAATGGAAGCAGGTATCGAGCCTACCAATCTGTTGCCAAATGCTACAAAAATCTGAAGATTAACAAGATTTCCTATGTTTGATGGGATTTTTCCAGTGATATTATTAAAAATGACACCAAAGGCTGACAAGTTTTTGCAGTTGCAAATGCTCTCTGGGATGCTTCCAGTTAAAAAATTATCACCTAAATCTATTTGTTGAAGATTTCTAAGGTTGCCTAGTTCTGACGGAATTGGACCTGAAAGAGCATTTTCATACAAGATAAGTTCAGAAAGTTGGGAGCAAAGTCCCAGCTCAACTGGAATATGTCCAGTGAATGAATTCAAAGTCAAGTCAAGAACCTGGAGGCCTGAAATGTTTCCAAGGAAGGGTGATATCTGGCCTTTGAGCTGCTTATCAACCAGAGAAATTGAAATGACATGATTTGTGGAAGGGTCACAGACAACACCAGACCAGTTGCAGTGATGGTTTGAATCTGATGTCCAATCTGCAAGTGCTCCATAAGGGTCACTGGTGATGGATTTCTTGAATGCCTTCAAAGCCTCAACTTCAAGTTCCAAGCTTGGCTGAGCTGATAGAACAGTAAATAGAGCAGAACAGACTAGGACTATGACCAAACTGAATCTTTGAGACAACATTTGTAATAGATAAAGCCTTTTGGATAATTGAGGATGAAGCGTTTATATACAAAGCTTTAAGTTTAACTGATCAATGGTCCCACAAAAGCTAGTGCGGACTCATTAATCATCAAGTCCAATCGTCAAACAATGATCAAAGGAAGTTCTTTGAAGTAGAATTTGACTTTGAACTCAACCCAACATCCCCCAAGTATAAAAATCCAGAAAAGCTAGTTGCTTGCCCACCAACCATGATGGCATATATCAAAGAAAAATAAAAGAGATCTCAATTCAAATCAAAATTAAGTTGATAATATTCCTTTTCATTCTGCCACTTAAATACAAAGACTCTTGGTGGGCTTGTGAATGGGGACTGGACTGGGTGTAGGTAGGGAGTGTGAATTCTCCCTTCTCAACTCTGTAAAGTGTGCTATTCTGGTTTTTTGTGGCTAGTGGCCAAATGCGGTTTCGACCATACTGTGTGCCCATTATGCACAACTTGCATATAAAAAACCAGAGTAATGAGTTGGCTTATCTTTGAAGTTGTTTTTGGTGTGCTGAAAAGATGAGCACAACAAGTAGAGTGTACAGAACAGAGAATGGATTGAGCATAGCAGAAAATGACATTGAATTGAAGATTGAGATTCTCTAAAGTCAAGCATGGCAGTCACAGCTTTGTCTTTTGGGGTCTTGTTGATAAGGAGGATAAGCATGCATGTTGCAAAATGTGCTGGCTTTTATTATATTTATTTATTGAAAATTGCACCGTGGTCATCTAATCTCTGATTATATACATTCCACATTAATTTTTGGGTGTTAATAGTATTATTATATAAGCACAAATTGGATTAGATGAGTCAACAAAGTTGCAAATGAACTTCAGTCTATGATAGTGCTTTTTTGTGTGTAAAATCAGTGCTGCAATGTATCAGCATCCATCAGCAAAACCCAGAGAGAATATGTTTTGCACATAAAATTCTGTCATGGTCACTTACGCTCTTACTTACGTTGTTTGTAAGTAAGGTAATCTTGGAGGAACAAATAGGGTTTTCCACCATATGAAGACAGAAGAAAAAAAATATTAGTGGAGAAAGGCAACTCTTTATGACAAATTAATGCAGTCTTTTCAGATCGAAAACAAGAAGAAAATGGATCCAGAAACAAAAAAAAACAAAAACAAAAACACTAGAAAAACTAAGGCTGCACTCCAGCACAGTCCTTCAAAATCTTAATCTTGATTTTATTGAGTGTGACAACAACATCTTCCATGTTAATCCTCTCTTATGGAAATTCTGCGGAACAAGCTAGAGCTAATCTCATAATGGATGATAAGCAATCCCTCCTGCTCACAAAATCCTGATCTTCCTCTGGGAGTAATAGGCTCTTCTAGATATGCTCGTATGCTTGATAATGAGAGCTTAAATTCCCCTTCCACAAAAGTAGGATTCAGTTTCCCTTCAAATTCAAACTTGCTAAACATGAGCTACCGTAATTTCAGTTTCCCATCAAATTCAGTTTCCCATCAATAAACATAGAAGAAAATGAAGTGAAAGAATAGACTAAAAGAAAGTGGCGGCAGAAATGTGGCTGCAATGACACAATATTGCTGGGGTCAAAAGGTGGTGCATCTGATAAAGTTCTTGCTCGAAATATCGGCTTCAAAGAAGAATCACTAGGCAGTAGGCTTAAAGAACAAAAGAAAAGAACAAGACCCACCCTGGCACCCAAATCAGCCTAGCGCTGCCTAGACCCGCCTAGGGCCGCCTTGACCCCCTAGCGCCGCCTTGATCCGCCTAGACCCGCCTAGCACCGCCCAGACACGCCTAGCGCTGCCCAGACATGCCTAGCGCCGCCTAGACCCATTTTAAGTCATGTAGATTTGTCCGACAGAACTTTATAATCTTGGTCGCTTATGTATGTTCCTGTAGAAGCCTCTGCTTTTCATCTGCTACAGTATATACACCTGCAATGAGAGAGAGAGAGAGAATTAATATATGTTGACAGATTTGCTTCTCATTTCTTGCCGCCACTTCTAACAACTTTAAACCCTTACTGCGCAGCAGCCTCCTCCGCCCACCCAAAACCCATCGCGTCACCATCCCTCCTCCCCACCCTCTCACACTTTGCATAAAACTCCTCTCTCTCTCTCTCTCTCTCTCTCTCCTCTCTCTCTCTCTCTCTCTCTCGTATGTGCAGCCATGCGTTTCCTACGTGTGTGTGGTGAGAGTGCAATTTTGTGATTTGCCATATTCGTGGACTCATATGGCCTTTCATAATTTTGAAGGAAGAGTTTGACATTTCTTTAATAGCAAATAGTGTAGCCGGGTTGCTATACACTGCTCGGCATTTAAAAAAAAATTAGTATAGCCGAACAGCTGTACTTGTTTTCACACGTGGGCACTCCGGCTGTAGGCTAGTCCCTTTTTTAAAGGGAGTTTCACTAAAACACCCAAAATGGGGGTTGAAATTATAAAAAAACCCAAGCACTATTTAAACATATAAACACACCCAAAACTCATCATTACACACACTCAAAACCCATTTATAAACACACCCAAAAAGTTGACTTTGGGGTTGATTTTGGGTGTGTTTCTATGTTTAAATAGTGCTTGGGTTTTTTTATAAATACATGTCTAGGATTGGGTTTATTTATAAATTTGTATTTTTTAAATTTATATGTGCAGCCATGTGTTTCCTACGTGTGTGTGGTGAGAGTGTAATTCGTGGACTCATATGGCCTTTTAGTATAGCCGCCTGGCCTGTCCTTTTTTAAATTTATAAATAGTATAGCCGTTCGGCTATACTAGGGCGTTTATAAAAAAATAACGTGTAGCCGAGCGGCGATACGGGTTTTCAGACATGGCCCTACCGGCGCTAGGCGGGTCACTTTTTTATTTATCGCCGTTTTTTTTTTATAGCCGATGGGCTTTACGCAAGTATGTTTTTTTTAATGATCTGAACAATGTGCCTAAGCTCCCTACCATCAATTTCTCCATTGAAGTGTTCATGATCATGCGTTGCAGGTTTTGGCCTCCGTTGCAGCACTGCGACAATATCCCATCTTCCTCTTCATGAATTAGTCAACCATAGAAATTAGACTACATTGTATAACATAACATCAATGGCTAAGCTAGCTCTGCCAGGTCCTGTTATTTCTCTCCTGCTTCTGTTCTTCTTCTTGGGTACGGTAGAGATTCGTAGACTCTTAAGCTGCAAAGTTGATGTTTTTATTTTCAACAACCCTATAGAGCATTCCACATTGTTGTAATTTCTTTCCCCCTTTTCTGCTCTCTCTCTACATTTTCACCTATGTTCATCCATGGCTTTTTTCTTTCTTTTTCTTTTTTTTTTGCAGGGGAGATTTCAATGTTGGTGAATGGACAGGTAAGAATTAAAAAGAACAATTCTTAAATTAATTAGCAATTAATTTACATATATACATAATGTTGTAGAAAGCTTGGTGTGTGGCAAAGCCAGCAGCACCACAACAAGCACTGCAGTCAACTCTGGACTATGCCTGTAACTATGCAGATTGCAGCCCTACAAAGAAAGGAGGTTCTTGGTATGACCCGGATAGGCCAGTGCACCGTGCCTCATTTGCCATGAAAATGGGTATATATTACTATGGAATTTGTGATCACACTTATGACAAGTTTGCCACAATTTTAAGAGAGTTCGACATTGTGGTGCAACGATCATAACCACTAAATGACAATAATAAGTTTATGCAATTAAATCACAACCACGCTTCTACTAAACAAAATATTGAGTATGTGACGGTCGATTAACTCATTTTATTCTCTACATTAGAGATGATTTTTTTTTTTTAAAGTTTAATATGTTGGTCATTTCTCTTGAGTTGTACCAAGTCCACTTGAATTTATGTTCTGGTAATATACAACTCATCCGACCATTGATTCTCTGTGGGTAAAGTGTGATACAAAGTATATATATTATATATAGGCGTTACAACTTCTGTCAATTCATGAAAGGAGTGGGTATGTGGTTAGAATTAATATATGTTGACAGATTTTCTTCTCATTAGTCATTGACTCATTGCTGAGAGAATTATCTCAGATGAAAATGGAAGTATATATAAGCTCCATTATACTTACAGAGTTAAGGTTGAAATTAGAGCTCTATGTATGCAAAACATTACACTGGTACAGGATATTCTCGGGGGTTGGATTTTGAGGGTCCACTGTAAATGGCTCACTAATTGGCATAACACTTTTAAGGGACATAAGTCGGGCTGTGACCTCAAATGTCTTGCCAGATGCATAGGGGCTTTCCAACGCAGCAACACAAATCTGAGCAACCTCCCATCTGAAGAGAACGACAATCAAGCCAAGAATCCCACTATCTCAAGTCAACCTCCCTTCACAACGTGATTGGTACAATTTATGTACAAATCCCTGTAATCATGTATTTTCCTCTTTTGTATATATGGTGTATCTCAACATGAATCAAAGTGTTGAGTGATTCAACCCAAACTTCTCTCCTGTACAATTTATGTACAGGGACTAACGCTCAAGACTCAATCCAACAGTTCCTATGGGCATTGATGAAGGCTCGCCTATCCCTTCTTCTGTCAATTCTCAAACCTCTCAAAATTCTATCCTTTCCATGTCAGCCACAATTCCACCCTCCTTCAATATCTCCCACATATTCAATACACCTATGGATCGTAACAATTTCCTCTCTTGGAGATGGCAATTTCTTGATGTCCTGGAAATCCACGACTTTGAGGATGTCGTGAAGAATGAAAATCGTCCTGCTAAAAGGCTTGAGGATGGCTCAGTCAACCCCACCTATGCCAAGGACAAATTAGTTCTCAGCTGGATAAAAGCAACCGCACCTCCCTCGATCAAAACCCTCCTAATCGCTTGCACTTCAGCATACTAAGCTTGGACCCTCCTTGAAAAGAAACTCTCACCACTGTCCAAAACTCACCTACGCACACTCTGTGATCAAATTCTTATCCTGAAGAAAGAACCAGAAAAAGCAATGACACAATATTGCTGGGGTCAAAAGGTGGTGCATCAGATCTTGCTCGAAATATCGGCTTCAAAGAAGAATCGCTAGGCAGTAGGCTTAAAGAACAAAAGAAAAGAACCAGACCCACCCTGGCACCCAGATCCGCTTAGACCTGCCTGGCGCCGCCTTGACCCGCCTAGCGCCGCCTAGACCCGCTAGACCTGCCTAGCTCCACCTAGACCCGCCTAGACCGGCCCAGACCCGCCTAGCGCCTCCTAGACCCACCTAGCGCAGCCTAGACCCGCTTAGACCCTCCTAGCACCCCCCAGACACGCCTAGCACCGCCTAGCGCCCCCCATACACGCCTAGACCCGCCTAGCACCGCCTAGGGCCGCCTAGCGCCCCCCAGACACGCCTAGCGCCGCCCATACCCATTTTAAGTCATGTAGATTTGTCCTACAGAACTTTATAATCTTGGTCGCTTATGTATGTTCCTGTAGAAGCCTCTGTTTTTCATCTGCTACCAGTATATACACCTGCAATGAGAGAGAGAGAAAGAGAATTAATATATGTTGACAAATTTTCTTCTCATTTTTTGCCGCCCCTTCTAACAACTTTAAACCCTTACTGCGCAGCAGCCTCCTCCGCCCACCCAAAAACAATGGCATCACCATCCCTCCTCCCCACCCTCTCACACCTTTGCATAAAACTCCATCGGGTCCCTTTCTTAAATTTATAAATAGTACAGCCATTCGGCTATACTCGGGCATTTAAAACAGTATAGCCGCTCGGCTATAATGGTTTTTTCCCTTCCTCTAAAGTAGTATAGCCGATCGGCTTTACGCAAGTAATTTTTTTTAATGATCTAAACTACTCGAATCAGTGCCTAAGCTCCCTACCATCAATTTCTCCATTGAAGTGTTCATGATCATGTGTTGCAGGTTTTGGTGATTGCATCTATGCCTGAGTCAGACTGAAAAGGAAAATGGTATTTGAATTTACTCATGAATGGAGAATTCATGACCAAAGAAAGCTCAAGCCCAGACAAAGAAAAGCCTTACACTCTCTGAAATTTCTGTTTCTTGAATTTGGAATTATATGATTGGGAAGACTGGAATTAATTGAATGGAGAATTCATGATCGTTCTGTAAGAATACAAATCTAATTCTAATGCAAGAAACCTCAACTGGTGCAACAGAAAAAGGAGGTTCTTGCTATGACCCGGATAGGCTAGTGCACCATGCCTCATTTGCCATGAATGCTTACTACCAGAAGATGGGAAGAAACCAATGGAATTGTCATTTTAACAATACTAGTCTCATTTCCTTGGCAGATCCAATTGTAGGCCTTCAATTTCATAATAATAATTTGTTTCAAAAGTTCAGACTTTCTTTTTCAGCAAATTAAGCATTTTGGTTCTACACCATTTTTGCAGGTTACAATCCCTGCTGCCAATTTGTGAGTGGTATGTGTCTATAACTATAATGAGTTTTGCACATTTTCATATGCAAAAATATTTGTATAACTTTACTTTCACTTTCCCTTTTGAAATTTGTAGGAGGATCAGGACCTCCACTGCAGGATACTTGGTGTGTGCCTAAGCCAGGAACCCCAGACTCTGCCTTACAGAACATCATAAACTTCACTTGTGGAATATTAAAAGAATGCAGTGAAATACAAGAACACGGTTCATGCTACTTTCCAAATAACCTCATAAACCATGCCTCATTTGCCATGAATCTTTACTATAAGACCGATGGACGCTACAATTGTGATTTCAATGGCGTTGGCCTTATTGTTGTCACTAATCCAAGTAAGCCAACTTGTTTGATATAATGCACTGCAAAATCTTATGTTTTCTTAACATGAATTTAGCAAACAAAGTGTGCTTATTCTTGTACATGTTGCACGTTTTGGTGATTGTATCTATGTCTGAGTCTGCCCAGAAGGAAATTGGAAACTGTAATTTGGTGATGCATCAGAATAATAAGTTTATTGTAATGTAATTTCCATCTGATGGATGATGAAGAAGGTCCATATATACTCATACTTGGACTCCAAAACAGATTAAATATTAATGTTTTGATTGGGATGTTAAAAAGGTTAACAAGTCAAGCTTAGCAAATGAAAATTTGTGATCACTCTTACGATAAGTTTGTCACAATTTTAAGAGAGTTCGACATTGTGGTGCATCGATCAATTCAACATTGGCGGACCTACTCGAGGCCAATTGTGGACATCTGCCCACATCTTATTGAATTTGTTAAGCTCTGGATGCTAAATTTACACATCAAACTAGGTTAAGAGTACTACTTATTAACAACTTCAGCCCTCACAGAATTCCACTTAACCCACTAAATAACAATAATTAGTTTGTGCAATTAAATCACAACCACGCTTCTACTAAACAAAATATTGAGTATGTGACGGTCGATTAACTCGTTTTATTCTCTACATTAGAGATGATTTTTTTATAAAAAGTTTAATATGTTGGTCATTTCTCTTGAGTTGTACCAAGTCCACTTGAATTTATATTTATGTTCTGGTAATATACAACTCATCCGACCATTGTTTCTCTGTGGGTAAAGTGCGATACAAAGTATATATTATATATAGGCCTTGCAACTTCTGTCAATTCATGAAAGGAGTGGGTATGTGGTTAGAATTAATATATGTTGACAGATTTTCTTCTCATTAGTCATTGACTCATTGCTGAGAGAATTATCTCAGATGAAAATGGAAGTATATTAAGCTCCATTATACTTACAGAGTTAAGGTTGAAATTAGAGCTCTATGTATGCAAAACATTACACTGGTACAGGATCTTCTCGGGGGGTGGATTTTGAGGGTCCACTGTAAATGGCTCACTAATAGGCTCTTTTAGATATGCTCGTATGCTTGATAATGAGAGCTTAAATTCCCCTTCCACAAAAGTAGGATTCAGTTTCCTATCAAATTCAAACTTGCTAAACATGAGCTGCCATTATTTTGAATCCCATCAATAAACATAGAAGAAAATGAAGTGAAAGAATAGACTAAAAGAAAGTGGATGCAGAAATGTGCCTGCAATGACACAATATTGCTGGTGTATCTGATACAATTCTTGTTCGAAATATCGGCTTCAAAGAAGAATCGCTAGGCAGTAGGCTTGAAGAACAAAAGAAAAGAACCAGACCCACCCTGGCACCCAGATCCACCTAGCGCCGCCTAGACACGCCTAGCTCCGCCTAGACCCGCCTAGCGCCGCCTAGGGCCGCCTAGCGCCGCCCAGACCCATTTTAAGTCATGTAGATTTGTCCTACAGAACTTTATAATCTTGGTCGCTTATCTATTTTCCTGTAGAAGCCTCTGTTTTTCATCTGCTACTAGTATATACACCTGCAATGAGAGAGAGAGAGAATTAATATATGTTGACAGATTTTCTTCACAGCAGCCTCCTCCGCCCACCCAAAACCCATCGCATCACCATCCCTCCTCCCCACCCTCTTCCACTTTGCATAAAACTCCTCTCTCTCTCTCTCTCTCTCTCTCTCTCGCGTATGTGCAGCCATATGTTTCCTAGGTGTGTGTGGTGAGAGTGCAATTTTATGATTTGCCATATTCGTGGACTCATATGGCCCTTTATAATTTTGAAGGAAGGGTTTGACATTTCTTTAATAGCAAATAGTATAGCCGAATGGCTATTTGCGCATTTTCAAAAACGTATAGCCGCTCGGCTATACTCGGGCATTTAAAAAAAAATTAGTATAGCCGGGGTATACTCGTTTTCACACGTGGCACTCAGGCTCTTGGCGGGTCCTTTTTTAAATTTATAAATCGTATAGCCGTTCGGCTATATTCGGGCATTTATATAAAAATAAGGATAGCCGCACGGCTATACTGGTTTTCAGGCGTGTCCCTTTTTCAATTATTGATAGTATAGCCGCACATGGGTGCTATTAGATAGGCGGATCCTTTTTGTTTTAATATAAAATGTACAGCCGTTCGGCTATACTCGGTTTTTTAAATCTTTTTAAAAAAATTGTATAGCCGCATGGCTTTACGGAGCTTTTTTGGTTTAAATTTTTTTAATAAATAGTATAGCCGCACATACCCTTTTTCTTTTTCCTTTTTTTTTCCCCATGATTTTCGTTTATATATATGAGTAGTTTAGAGCGTTATCCATTACTATTAGGCCATTGCCCAAGTCCCCATTGTCACTTTTTGATTTTTTACTTTTACAGAGTTATTACCCGTATAAAGAATTTAGCACATTCACGTTTAATATTGTATTACACACCCACGTATGTATTTTTCAATAATACATCTGTGTTCTGTACAAGTCTTAAAGACTCGGTAAAATTCACGTTTTTAAAAAAGCAAACGTACAATACTTGTATTGTACATATAAATATGTATTTTTCATGTTTAATACACATTTTTTTTTACAAAATTTACGTATTATACATATAATTCTCACATAATATTGAAGAAAAACATAAATAAATTATATTAAGATATAACATAGTGGCCAGTTGGTAGTTCCAACGGTCACCTTCTTAGATTCATCAAATATATAGTACCAGAGGACAACGATACCATCGTAAGGTTTCTGAGCCACACAATTATGAATTTCACCACCATTGTTGTTCAGCATGATGTCGCTGGCTTGGAGGTTAGAACAAAGGAAGGAGATTGGATTAATGTTGAGTGCAAACCCTCACAAGTGCAGTTCGTATTGTCCAAGTCAAATAATCCATGTTCCAGTCTTGAAGCACAAATTCCTCTGAGTAAGGAAAACATGTTATTCTTAATAATTAATATATTTTGAACGACTGGAGGTCAATAATTCTTAATTGAACTAATATGTATATTAAAGTATAAATTCCGGTGATGCCATAGTAAGCTTCATAAACAATTTATGTCTTCTAGCAGCCAGAGAGTTGACTTTATGCAGAATGTTTGCATAAACTTAATCTTGATTTTATTGAGTGTGACTAGAGCTTCTTGCATGTTAATCCTCTCTTTCGGCAATTGTGCACAACAAGCTAGAGCTAATCTCATAATGGATGAAAAGCAATCCCTCCTGCTCACAAAATCACCATGTTCCTCTGTCCCAAGTAAATCGGCATCAACAACTTCAACAATTGCAGCATCCAGAAGCAATGAATTTGCAATCCATTGCTTTAAATTCATCTCCCCAACAAACATTTCATCAGTGGCTTCCTTCTTGTGAACGTCTCCATTAGTACAATACCGAAACTATACACGTCTCTGGTTGAAATTATTAAAAGAAAATCATAAGGTCACCTTGTTCATAATGAAGGACAACATATATAAAATTGAAAAGTAAACAAGCAACAGTAAATCACCTGGAGCCATATACCCAATTGTGGCAAGGGTCATGGTTTGGTTCATAGAATCTCCTTCACCTAAGAGTCTTGCAACGCCAAAATCAGCAAAATGTGCAACCATATCATCATCAAGTAGTATGTTGCATGGCTTCACATCACAATGGACCACATGATTCGGACCACGATCATGATGAAGGTATTCCAATGCGGATGCAACATCTGTCATTATATTCAACCTTTGTAGGATATTCAAAGGAGAGTTTTGATTTTGAGAGTACAACCACTTCTCAAGGCTCCCATTAGGCATGTATTGTAGTACCAAGGCTTTGAAACAAGGTTGACTGCAACAACTAATTTGATAAGATTTCGGTGACGAATATTGCTCAGCACATCACATTCACTATCAAAACTCTTGAAAGCCCCTTCAATTTGTAAATTGAAAACCTTTACAACAACATCTATCCCATCTGAAATTGTGCCTTTGTATACTGAGCCAAAACCCCCACTGCCAAGTAAGTTGCTTTCATGAAATCCATTTGTTGCCCTTAGAAGTTCTAGGTGTGAAACACTTCTCCAAAGAAGTTAAGGTAACAAGACAGTCTCTGTTGCAACTTCCACTTTCCTTTTCCTTCGTAGTATTAACAATGATACATAGGCTACCAGGAGATTTGCTGATATGATCCCTGGAATAAGATATTTCGGGTTGGATGAACTAGCTTCTCTTGAATTTGGTTTATGTATATTATTTTTGCATTGTGGAGCATGGAGTCGGGCTGCACCATAGAGCGCACTATTCGAGACAAATGATTCAGAGGAGAGGTTTTGAAAAGGTCCTCCTATTGGAATTTCTCCTTGGAGTCTGTTGAAAGACAAATTCAGATACTTGAGATGGACGGGAGTTTCTAGAGACTTTGAAATCAGTCTAGAGAGATTGCTTTTGGATAAAACCATGTCTCCTAAGCTTATCAATTCCCCAAAGGAACTAGGAATAGGTCCTTGTAAATTATTATTTGCCAAGGAGAGTTGAACCACATTTTTAAAACCCCCAATGCTTCTTGGTATGCTTCCTGATAATTGGTTGTTTGATAAATCCAGAGTTGTGACGGCTTTCAATTTTCCAATATCTTCTGAGATTGATCCATTTAGAAAATTGTATGACAAGCCTAGGAACAAGATATCTTCAAGACTCGATCCAACAATTCCTATGGCCATCGATGAAGGCTCGCCTATCCCTTCTTCTGTCAATTCTCAAACCTTTCAAAAGGTGGCGCATCTAATACGTGCAGCCATGTGTTTCCTACATGTGTGTGGTGAGAGTGCAATTTTGTGATTTGCCATGTTTGCGGACTCATAAGGCCGAGTGGCTATACTCCCCTCGTGCATCTTTCAAAATAGAATAGCCTCGGGCATTTTTGTATTAAAAAAAATAGTATAGCCGCGCGGCTATACTGGGGCAATTTAAAAAAAAATAGTGGCGCCCCGGTAAGGCGGTCCCTTTTTTAAATTTATAAATCGTTTAGCCGTTTGGCTATATTGGGGCATTTTTCAAAATAAATTAGTATCGGCTTTTCACGCAATAACTTACCGGTAAGTTATAGGCTTTTTGCTCAATCATTTACCTGACGATTAAATTTTAGCTTTTCACGCCATAACTTACCGGTAAGTTATAGGCTTTTCACTCCATCACTTACATGATGGTTAAATATTGGATTTTCATGTTATAACTTACCGGTAAGTTATTGGCTTTTTGCTCTGTAAATATTTCAAGGTAAGAATTTTAAAACCCAGGTCAGCTTCTTTTTCTCTCTCTTTCTCCTACCACGACTCTCTCTCTCTCTCTCTCCCCGTTGCACAACAACATTTTCCGACGCTGAATCCGGCTTCGTCCGACCACTGTTTTCGACGAAACGACTTGCAAACTTTTCCTCTCCTCCTCTACTTGACCCACCCAATTTAAAAGACCCGGGTCTCACCCAGGTGCAATCGCGAGATAAAATATATTTTTGGACTCTAATTTGGTCATTGGGATCGAATCCTATTTATTAGATTTGTTAAGTTCGGTTTTGAATTTGTCGGTAGCCTGAAGGGATGTGGTTATAATGTGTTTGTAATTGTGTCGAGGCTGAAACCTATTTTAGATTGATGAACGATTGTGGATTGAGTCCTTACAACCACTTATGACTATGCCTGGAGGGTAGATTGTGCATGCTGAAGTGTGGAAATTTTAAACTGTGTTTTTGATAGGTTGAAAAATTTGGTTAAGTCCGTTTTTCAAGGGAGACTTTGCCGAAATTTCGGTACAAGTCTCGGCCTTCTTTTCCTTTGTTTTAGGGGAAGAGGACATTATAAATCAGTAAGTGGGCCCGGTATCGGTTGGATGTCGAAAATACCACAGGATCCGTCACGGATTCCGAGGAATTCGGGGCGAGTCCTGTCATTTTATTTGTATTGTTATAGCTTGGTTATTTCAAGCTTTATCTTTTAATTATTATTTTAAGTTTGAAATCCCAGTTGGGATGCGTACGCCAGAGTTTCTTCGATACTGCTAGCTCGTTAGTGGAGGCGCACCAGATTGTCTTCATTTTGATGTTTGGTAAAGTATTGGCTTTTCACTCGATAACTTACCGGTAAGTTGTAGTCTTTTCACTGCATCATTTACATGTCGATTAAATATCGGCTTTTCACGCAATAACTTACCGGTAAGTTATAGGCTTTTTGCTCAATCATTTACCTGACGATTAATTATTGGCTTTTCACGCCATAACTTACCGGTAAGTTATAGGCTTTTCACTCCATCACTTACATGATGGTTAAATATTGGCTTTTCACGCTATAACTTACCGGTAAGTTATTGGCTTTTTGCTCTGTAAATATTTCAAGGTTAGAATTTTAAAACCCAGGTCAGCTTCTTTTTCTCTCTCTTTCTCCTACCACGACTCTCTCTCTCTCTCTCTCTCTCTCTCTCTCCCCCCGTCGCACAACAACATTTTCCGACGCTGAATCCGGCTTCGTCCGGCCACTGTTTTCGACGAAACGACTTGCAAACTTTTCCTCTCCTCCTCTACTTGACCCACCCAATTTAAAAAACCCGGGTCTCACCCAGGTGCAACCGCGAGATAAAATATATTTTTGGACTCTAATTTGGTCATTGGGATCGAATCCTATTTATTAGATTTGTTAAGTTCGGTTTTGAATTTTTCGGTAGCCTGAAGGGATGTGGTTATAATGTGTTTGTGATTGTGTCGGGGCTGAAACCTATTTTAGATTGATGAATGATTGTGGATTGAGTCCTTACAACTACTTATGACTATGCCTGGAGGGTAGACTGTGCATGCTGAAGTGTGGAAATTTTAAACTGTGTTTTTTACTGGTTGAAAAATTTGGTTAAGTCCGTTTTTCAAGGGAGACTCTGCCGAAATTTCGGTACAAGTCTCGGCCTTCTTTTCCTTTGTTTTAGGGGAAGAGGACATTTGAAATCAGTAAGTGGGCCCGGTATCGGTTGGATGTCGAAAATACCACAGGATCCGTCATGGATTCCGAGGAATTCGGGGCGAGTCCTGTCATTTTATTTGTATTGTTATAGCTTGGTTTTTTCAAGCTTTATCTTTTAATTATTATTTTAAGTGTGAAATCCTAGTTGGGATGTGTATGCCAGAGTTTCTTCGATACTGCGTGCTCGTTAGTGGAGGCGCACCAGATTGTCTTCATTTTGATGTTTGGTAAAGTATTGGCTTTTCACTCGATAACTTACCTGTAAGTTGTAGTCTTTTCACTGCATCATTTACATGTCGATTAAATATCGGCTTTTCACTCCATCACTTACATGATGGTCAAATATATAGTACCAGAGGACAACGATACCATCGTAAGGTTTCTGAGCCACACATATATGAATTTCACCACCATTGTTGGTCAGCATGATGTCGCTGGCTTGAAGGTTAGAACAAAGGAAGGAAATTGGATTAATGTTGAGTGCAAACCCTCACAAGTGCAGTTCGTATTGTCCAAGTCAAATAATCCATGTTCCAGTCTTGAAGCACAAATTCCTCTGAGTAAGGAAAACATGTTATTCTTAATAATTAATATATTTTGAACGACTGGAGGTCAATAATTCTTAATTGAACTAATATGTATATTAAAGTATAAATTCCGGTGATGCCATAGTAAGCTTCATAAACAATTTATGTCTTCTAGCAGCCAGAGAGTTGACTTTATGCAGAATGTTTGCATAAACTTAATCTTGATTTTATTGGGTGTGACTAGAGCTTCTTGCATGTTAATCCTCTCTTTCGGCAATTGTGCACAACAAGCTAGAGCTAATCTCATTATGGATGATAAGCAATCCCTCATGCTCACAAAATCACCATGTTCCTCTGCCCCAAGTAAATCGGCATCAACAACTTCAACAATTGCAGCATCTGGAAGTAATGAATTTGCAATCCATTGCTTTAAATTCATCTCCCCAACAAACATTTCATCAGTTGGCTTCCTTCTTGTGAACGTCTCCATTAGTACAATACCGAAACTATACACATCTCTGATTGAAATGATTAAAAGAAAATCATAAGGTCACCTTGTTCATAATGAAGGACAACATATATAAAATTGAAAAGTAAACAAGCAACAGTAAATCCCTTGGAGCCATATACCCAATTGTGGCAAGGGTCATGGTTTGGGTCATAGAATCTCCTTCACCTAAGAGTCTTGCAATGCCAAAATCAGCAACATGTGCAACCATATCATCATCATCAAGTAGTATGTTGCCTGGCTTCACATCACAATGGACAACATGATTCGAATCATAATCATGATGAAGTTATTCCAATGCGGATGCAACATCTGTCATTATATTCAACCTTTGTAGGTTTTTCAAAGGAGAGTTTTGATTTTGAGAGTACAACCACTTCTCAAGGCTTCCATTAGGCATGTATTGTAGTACCAAGGCTTTGAAATCAGGTTCACTGCAACAACTGATTTGATAAGATTTCGGTGACGAATATTGCTCAGCACATCACAATCACTATCAAAACTCTTGAAAGCCCCTTCAATCTGTAAATTGAAAACCTTTACAGCAACATCTATCCCATCTGAAATTGTGCCTTTGTATACTGAGCCAAAACCCCCACTGCCAAGTAAGTTGCTTTCATGAAATCCATTTGTTGCCCTTAGAAGTTCTAGGTGTGAAACTGTTCTCCAAAGAAGTTGAGGTAACAAGGCAGTCTCTGTTGCAACTTCCACTTTCCTTTTCCTTTGTAGTATTAACAATAATACAGAGGCTACCAGGAGATTTGTTGATATGATCCCTGGAATAAGATATTTCAGGTTGGATGAACTAGCTTTCCTTGAATTTGGTTTTTGTGTATTATTTTTGCATGGTGGAACATGGAGTTGGGCGGCACCACAGAGCGCACTATTCGAGACAAATGATTCAGAGGAGAGGTTTTGAAAAGGTCCTCCTGTTGGAATTTCTCTCCTTGGTGTCTGTTGAAAGACAAATTTAGATACTTGAGATGGAGCTTCTAGAGACTTTGAAATCAGTCTAGAGAGATTGTTTTTGGATAAAACCAAGTCTCCTACAAAGAAAGGAGATTATTAGCCCCGAATGAGAAAACCTGTAAATGCTGAAGATCACCAATCTCATCTGATATAGTACCTGCAGCAATTAATTAATATCAGCACAAGCCCAAGTTTAATTTTGAGAAGTTGTTGTTATCTTCTTTTGCTTTGTATCTACTGCTTGCATATACTTATATGGAGGTAAATTCCTTAAATAAGAGACATTTTAGTCCAGTGGTACATAACTTCCCGATGTTGTAAGATGTTCTAAATTTGAATGACATTCTTCCTATTTAGAATCCTGAAAGGAACAATAGTATCAAATGAATAGAGTTGACATGACATTTCAAATACCGGTCAAATTGTTGTAGGCAATATAAATCTCCATTAATTGGGTCAAGTTCCCCATATTTTTGGGTATGCTTCCACTGAAATTGTTATTCTCCAATACTAATTCCAGAAGCTCTTCGCATTGCCATAATTTGGACGGAAGCGGACCACCAAACTGGTTGTTACCCAAATTCAGCACCTGAATATTAGGTCAAGTTGTTTCCATGTAGTGACAATATAGTCAAAGAAGACATGTTGAAGACAGCCACAGGAACATGCCCTTTTAGGGCATTGTCCTGCACATACATGAACTCCACTTGATCTAAAGTGCCGATCTCATTTGGAATTTCTGAAAAATATTGATAAACTCATTATAAATGCGTATATATATAATTAATGACACTGCAACATTGTTGTAGTCAAAGCTTAACCAAGTCATATATACCTTTGAAATTGTTGTCGTCAAGGCGTATCACCTTCAACATTGTTAAATTCCCTATTTCTGTTGGTATGCTACCTGTTATATATGTGTTCCACAAAGAAAAAGGAAAAAAGAAAAAGAAATAACAGATATAGTTAAGCTCATCTCATCGTATAGACTAATAACAAGATGTTATAATGTAATGATTTATCAACAATAGATTCCTAGATAGTTGGTTGTTGGTGCGCACCTGATAGCTGGTTATTTTCCATATTAATTACTTGCAGTGCAGATAAGTTGAAGATTGCAGCAGGCATGGAACCTGAAAAACTGATTACCAAAAATATTGAAGGCTTCAAGTTTGGATAAGGACCCGAACCACACTGGAATGGTTCCCATAAAATTGTTGAATCCGAAGTTAATCAACTGCAGTCGGCTTAAACGGGCCAATTCCTGGTGCAAGGTACCATGGAAACTGTTATTTCTGAAGTGCAGCTTAACTTCATTTGTGGAATATTAAAAGATGGCAGTAAGATACAAGAACTTGGTTCATGTTACTCTCCAAATGATAAACCATGCCTCATTTGCAATGAATCTTTACTATAAGACCGATGGACACTACAATTGTGACTTCAATGCTGATATTTTACCAAAAGTCTCTCCAGAGAACGGTTCTCCTTTCTTTCTGGCAAGCTCAATCTCCACTTGGTTCTGTTTCTCTTGAGGGGGGGCAAAAAGAACTACAATCAAGCCAAGAATCCCACTATCTCAAGTCAACCTCCCATCACAACGTGATTGGTACACTTTATGTACAAATCCCTGTAATCATGCATTTTCCTCTTTTGTTATAGTTGACCACCGCTAGAATCTTGTATATGTGGTGTATCTCAACATGAATCAAGTTATTGAGTGATTCAACCCAAACTTCTCTCGTCTATTTTTCTACACTCTCTTGATATCTTACCCTGCATATATATAAATACTATAAATCATAACATTCAGATACTATTACTATTATAGGGGAAAGAAAGAGCAATACACGTCATCACATGCATACAACAAAGAGAGAATAGTGATATTCTATTTGATTATATACCGTTATATTGTCTCCTTGGTCAAAAATGAGATCTGCTACAGCAGGCTCCTCAGTTAATGCACAAGGCCTCACAATTGTATATGGTATTCCACTATCCCGTATTAAATCCTCCCCCTACTCCAAAACTTATCAATGTACAAAATCCAAAGAGCTAAATCCGACCCAGAAAAAGAAAAAGAACATAAAAGAGCTCAGAAGTGGTATTTTAATACATTGATTATATATAAAAATATCAAACAGCTTTGCACTGATTTAGTATGAAACCTTCAACTTGAATGTCAGGATAAAATCCAATTCCTTGTTTAAGCGAACAGCAGAAGGTTGTTTACTTAGATCAAGTCCAGGCCTGTCAGGTCGGGTAACTACTGCAGAACCTACGTGTACGAACCTACACGGAACACAAGCAAAGAGAATCTTTAAAGACTAAAACAGAAAGTGCACCTAGCAGATCAATTATGTTTAGTCATAAGAAGATAATGCAACAAAATGAAAAGAATGTGAAACCTGGGAGTAATAGGCTCTTTTAGATATGCTCGTATGCTTGATAATGGGAGCTTAAATTCCCCTTGCACAAAAGTAGGATTCAGTTTCCCATAATTTTGAATCCCATCAATAAACATAGACGAAAATGAAGTGAAAGAATAGACTAAAAGAAAGTGGCTGCAGAAATGTGCCTGCAATGACACAATATTGCTGGGTTCAAAAGGTGGTGCATCTGATACAGTTCTTGCTCGAAATATCGGCTTCAAAGAAGAATCGCTAGGCAGTATGCTTAAAGAACAACAGAAAAGAACCAGACCCACCCTGGCACCCAGATTCGCCTAACGCCGCCTAGACCTGCCTAGGGCCGCCTTGACCCGCCTAACGCCGCCTAGACCTGCCTAGGGCCGCCTTGAGCCGCCTAGACCCGCCTAGCGCAGCCAAGACCCGCCTAGCGCCGCCCAGACCAGCCTAGCGCCGCCCAGAGCCGCCTAGCACGGCCTAGACCTGCCTAGGGCCGCCTTGACCAGCCTAGCGCCGCCTAGACCCGCCTAGCACCGCCCAGACACGCCTAGCGCCGCCCAGACCCATTTTAAGTCATGTAGATTTGTCCGACAGAACTTTATAATCTTGGTCACTTATGTATGTTCCTGTAGAAGCCTCTGCTTTTCATCTGCTACCAGTATATACACCTGCAATGAGAGAGAGAGAGAGAGAGAGAGAGAGAGAGAGAATTAATATATGTTGACAGATTTTCTTCTCATTTCTTGCCGCCACTTCTAACAACTTTAAACCCTTACTGCACAGCAGCCTCCTCTGCCCACCCAAAACCCATCACGTCACCATCCCTCCTCCCCACCCTCTCACACTTTGCATAAAACTCCTCTCTCTCTCGTATGTGCAGCCATGTGTTTCCTACGTGTGTGTGGTGAGAGTGCAATTTTGTGATTTGCCATATTCGTGGACTCATATGGCCTTTTATAATTTTGAAGGAAGAGTATGACATTTCTTTAATAGCAAATAGTTTAGCTAGATGGCTGTAAACTGCTCGCGCATTTTTCAAACTCGTATAGCCGATCGGCTCTAATCGGGCATTTTTTAAAACAAATTAGTATAGCCGGTCGGCTATACTTGTTTTCACACGTGGGCGCTCCGGCGCTAGGCGGGTCCCTTTTTTAAATTTATAAATAGTATAGCTGTTCGGCTATACACGGGCATTAAAAAAATGTGTATAGCCGCGCGGCTATAATTTTGTTTTTCTTCCAAAATAGTATAGCCGATCGGCTTTACGCAAGTATTATTTTTTTTTTTAATGATCTAAACTACTCGAATCAGTGCCTAAGCTCCCTACCATCAATTTCTCCATTGAAGTGTTCATGATCATGTGTTGCAGGTTTTGGTGATTGCATCTATGCCTGAGTCAGACTGAAAAGGAAAATGGTATTTGAGTTTACTAATGAATGGAGAATTCATGAAACCTCAAGCCCAGACAAAGAAAAGTCTTACACTCTCTGAAATTTCTGTTTCTTGAATTTGGAATTATATGATTGGGAAGAGTGGAATTAATTGAATTCATGATCGTTCTGTAAGAATACAAATCTAATTCTAATGCAAGAAACCTCAACTGGTGCAACAGAAAAAGGAGGTTCTTGCTATGACCTGGATAGGCCAGTGCACCATCCTCATTTGCCATGAATGCTTACTACCAGAAGATGGGAAGAAACCAATGGAATTGTCATTTTAACAATACTATTCTCATTTCCTTGGCAGATCCAATTGTAGGCCTTCAATTTCATATAATAATTTGTTTCTATACCATTTTGGTTCCTTACCATTTTTGCAGGTTACAATCCCTGCTGCCAATTTGTGAGTGGTATGTATCTATAACTATAATGAGTTTTGCACATTTTCATATGCAAAAATATTTGTATAACTTTACTTTCACTTTCCCTTTTGAAATTTGTAGGAGGATCAGGACCTCCACTGCAGGATACTTGGTGTGTGCCTAAGCCAGGAACCCCAGACTCTGCCTTACAGAACATCATAAACTTCACTTGTGGAATATTAAAAGAATGCAGTGAAATACAAGAACACGGTTCACGCTACTTTCCAAATACCCTCATAAACCATGCCTCATTTGCCATGAATCTTTACTATAAGACCGATGGACGCTACAATTGTGATTTCAATGGCGTTGGCCTTATCGTTGTCACTAATCCAAGTAAGCCAATTTGTTTGATATAATGCACTGTAAAATCTTATGTCTTCTTAGCATGATTTTAGCTAACAAAGTGTGCTTATTCTCGTATATGTTGCAGGTTTTGGTGATTGTATCTATGTCTGAGTCTGCCCAAAAGGAAAATGGAAACTGTAATTTGGTGATGCATCAGAATAATAGGTTTATTGTAATGTAATTTCCATCTGATGATTGTAATGTAATTTCCATCTGATGGATGATGAAGAAGGTCCATTTTCTTTTGTTATCTAATCTAATAAATTTACTCCATTGAGTCTGATGAGTTTGCCCTTAGAAGTTTTAGGTGTGAAACTCTTCTCCAGAGAAGTTGAGGTAACAAGGCAGTCTATGTTGCAACTTCCACTTTCCTTTTGCTTCGTAGTATTAACAATGATACAGAGGCCACCAGGAGTATTGCTGATATGATCCCTGGAATAAGATATTTCAGGTTGGATGAACTAGTTTTCCTTGAATTTGGTTTATGTGTATTATTTTTGTGTAGTGGAACATGGAGTCGAGCTGCACCACAGAGTGCACTGTTCGAGACAAATGATTCAGAGGAGAGGTTTTGAAAAGGTCCTCCTATTGGAATTTCTCCTTGGAGTCTGTTGAAAGACAAATTCAGATACTTGAGATGGTCGAGCGCTTCTAGAGACTTTGAAATCAGTCCAGAGATATTGTTTTTGGATAAAACCAAGTCTCCTAAGCTTACCAATTCCCCAAAGGAACTAGGAATAGGTCCTTGTAAATTATTATTTGCCAAGGAGAGTTGAACCACATTTTTAAGACCCCCAATGCTGCTTGGTATGCTACCTGATAATTGGTTGTTTGATAAATCCAGAGTTGTGACGGCTTTCAATTTTCCAATATCTTCTGAGATTGATCCATTTAGAAAATTGTATGACAAGCCTAGGAACAAGATATCTTCAAGACTCGATCCAACAGTTCCTATGGCCATCGATGAAGGCTCGCCTATCCCTTCTTCTGTCAATTCTCAAACCTCTTCCCAAATTTCTCAAACCTCTCAGAATTCTATCCTTTCCATGTCAGCCACAATTCCAACCTCCTTCAATATCTCCCACATATTCAATACACCTATGGATCATAACAATTTCCAGGTAAGTTTGTACTTATGGTTAGATCTTTCCTGTCTGATTGTCTCTAGAATGGGTATTTTGCAGCATTAATTGTCCTAGTGGTCATATGTATATATGTTCATCCAATTCCTTTTGTTGCGGTCCTTCATTGAATTTTCTCAGCAGGTGAGATGTCTGAGGCCAGTGAATGACGAACTTGTGAATGCACAACATCAACTTCAGGCCAAGGTTAACAACTTTCTTTAATTTCACATTCAGCGGCGATTGCGTCAAGCAATCATTTCAACTATTTTGACTTTTGAGAACTTTATCATGATAATGCTGTGCGATATACTTCGTACAGTATCATACTTCAAGGACAGATAATTTATAATGGGGATAAAAAGGATAGTGTTTCTCAAGTTGATCCAAGAGCAAGAAGTGCTTTACCTGATTTTCATTCCCAACCACTTTGCCACATTTCGACACAGAAAGCTGCTGTAACTGATCATGCAAGCCAAATTCTTTGACTAGATAAACTGAACTGGTCAATATTCATGCCATTTTCCATTCAAATGACAGACAACACACCATTACTTGTTCTGTTCACCTCAAGTTATGATGTTTGTAAATTGGTGTAGATGGATTTTCAGAGTCTCAGGATGCGAATTGCTGAAAGACTTGATGCATTGCGAGAACTGCTTCCAATATCCACAGAGGTAATGTGTGTATATTGAGAAAGAATGCATGGAGTTGCTCCTGTACTAGCTCTGCTGAAGAGGGTTTTCTTAATGACTTGTGAACGAATATTGTTTTCTGTTTGTATTTTCTCATTTGGATGACCCCAACCGTAATAGTTTGTCATCAAACGACAGAGAACAGGCAAATTAATAAACAAATGCAGTCGAGTCTGACTATAAAAATAATTAGAGTTTGATTTTTTTGGTCAGAATAATTAGAGTTTGATATGTAATACATTCACTGACAAATCAGAGTACACTTACAAATCAAATCGTGTCTTCCTCCTGAAATGGGAGTGCGTATAAGATTCAATAATTGTCACATATATGACAATGCTGCCTCAGATTCTGATGTCCAGTACCATATGGAGGTTCAATGCTAATAAATGGCAAAATTATTTTATCTTGGAGATGGCAATTTCTTGATGTCCTCTGGAAATCCATGACTTGGAGGATGTCGTGAAGAATGAAAATCGTCCTGCTAAAAGGCTAGAGGAGGGCTCAATCAACCCCACCTATGCCAAGGACAAATTAGTTCTCAGCTGGATAAAAGCAACCGAATCTCTCTCTGTCAAAACGCTCCTAATCTCTTGCACTTCAGCATACGAAGCTTCGACCCTCCTTGAAAAGAGACTCTCACCACTGTCCAAAACTCACCTACGCACACTCTGTGATCAAATTCGTAGCATGAAGAAAGAACCAGAAAAAACAATGACACAATATTGCTGGGGTCAAAAGGTGGTGCATCTGATACGGCTCTTGCTCGAAATATCGGCTTCAAAGAAGAATCGCTAGGCAGTAGGCTTAAAGAACAAAAGGAAAGAACCAGACCCACCCTGGCACCCAGATCCGCCTAGACCTGCCTGGCGCCGCCTTGACCCGCCTAGCGCCGCCTAGACCCGCCCAGATCCGCCTAGCGCCTCCTAGACCCGCCTAGCACCGCCTAGACCCGCCTAGCGCCGCCTAGACCTGCCTAGACCCGCCTAGTGCCCCCAGACACGCCTAGTGCCGCCCAGATCCATTTTAAGTCATGTAGATTTGTCCTACATAACTTTATAATCTTGGTCGCTTATGTATGTTCCTGTAGAAGCCTCTGCTTTTCATCTGATACCAGTATATACACCTGCAATGAGAGACAGAGAGAGACAGAATTAATATATGTTGACAGATTTTCTTCTCATTTCTTGCAGCCCCTTCTAACAACTTTAAACCCTTACTGCGCAGAAGCCTCCTCCGCCCACCCAAAGCCCATCGCATCACCAACCCTCCTTCACACCCTCTCACACTTTGCATAAAACTCCTCTCTCTCTCTCGTATGTGCAGCCATGTGTTTCCTACGTGTGTGTGTGGTGAGAGTGTAATTCGTGGACTCATATGGCCTTTTATAATTTTGAAGGAAGAGTGAGACTAGTAGGCATTTTAAAAAAACAAAAATAGTATAGCCGCCTGGCCGGTCCTTTTTTAAATTTATAAATAGTATGGCCGGCTATATTAGGGATTTTATAAATAAAAAATACGTATCGCCGAGCGGCGATACTGGTTTTCAGACGTGGCCCTACCGGCGCTAGGCGGGTCACTTTTTTTATTTATTAATAGTATCGCCCGTTTTTTTTTTTTTTTTTTTTTAGCCAATGGGCTTTACGCAAGTATGTTTTTTCTAATGATCTAAACAATGTGCCTAAGCTCCCTACCATCAATTTCTCCATTGAAGTGTTCATGATCATGCGTTGCAGGTTTTGGCCTCCGCTGCAGCACTGCGACAATATCCCATCTTCCTCTTCATGAATTAGTCAACCATAGAAATTAGACTACATTGTATAACATAACATCAATGGCTAAGCTAGCTCTGCCAGGTCCTGTTATTTCTCTCCTGCTTCTGTTCTTCTTCTTGGGTACGGTAGAGATTCGTAGACTCTTAAGCCGCAAAGTTGATGTTTTTATTTTCAACAACCCTATAGAGCATTCCACATTGTTGTAATTTCTTTCCCCCTTTTCTGCTCTCTCTCTACATTTTCACCTATGTTCATCCATGGCTTTTTTTTTGTACCAAGTCCACTTGAATTTATGTTCTGGTAATATACAACTCATCCGACCATTGTTTCTCTGTGGGTAAAGTGTGATACAAAGTATATATATTATATATAGGCCTTGCAACTTCTGTCAATTCATGAAAGGAGTGGGTATGTGGTTAGAATTAATATATGTTGACAGATTTTCTTCTCATTAGTCATTGACTCATTGCTGAGAGAATTATCTCAGATGAAAATGGAAGTATATATAAGCTCCATTATACTTACAGAGTTAAGGTTGAAATTAGAGCTCTATGTATGCAAAACATTACACTGGTACAGGATATTCTCGGGGGTTGGATTTTGAGGGTCCACTGTAAATGGCTCACTAATTGGCACAACACTTTTAAGGGACATAAGTCGGGCTGTGACCTCAAATGTCTTGCCAGATGCATAGGGGCTTTCCAACGCAGCAACACAAATCTGAGCAACCTCCCATCTGAAGAGAACGACAATCAAGCCAAGAATCCCACTATCTCAAGTCAACCTCCCTTCACAACGTGATTGGTACAATTTATGTACAAATCCCTGTAATCATGTATTTTCCTCTTTTGTATATATGGTGTATCTCAACATGAATCAAAGTGTTGAGTGATTCAACCCAAACTTCTCTCCTGTACAATTTATGTACAGGGACTAACGCTCAAGACTCAATCCAACAGTTCCTATGGGCATTGATGAAGGCTCGCCTATCCCTTCTTCTGTCAATTCTCAAACCTCTCAAAATTCTATCCTTTCCATGTCAGCCACAATTCCACCCTCCTTCAATATCTCCCACATATTCAATACACCTATGGATCGTAACAATTTCCTCTCTTGGAGATGGCAATTTCTTGATGTCCTGGAAATCCACGACTTTGAGGATGTCGTGAAGAATGAAAATCGTCCTGCTAAAAGGCTTGAGGATGGCTCAGTCAACCCCACCTATGCCAAGGACAAATTAGTTCTCAGCTGGATAAAAGCAACCGCACCTCCCTCGATCAAAACCCTCCTAATCTCTTGCACTTCAGCATACTAAGCTTGGACCCTCCTTGAAAAGAAACTCTCACCACTGTCCAAAACTCACCTACGCACACTCTGTGATCAAATTCTTATCCTGAAGAAAGAACCAGAAAAAGCAATGACACAATATTGCTGGGGTCAAAAGGTGGTGCATCAGATCTTGCTCGAAATATCGGCTTCAAAGAAGAATCGCTAGGCAGTAGGCTTAAAGAACAAAAGAAAAGAACCAGACCCACCCTGGCACCCAGATCCGCTTACACCTGCCTGGCGCCGCCTAGACCCGCCTAGCGCCGCCTAGACCCGCTAGACCTGCCTAGCTCCACCTAGACCCGCCTAGATCCGCCCAGACCCGCCTAGCGCCTCCTAGACCCACCTAGCGCAGCCTAGACCCGCTTAGACCCGCCTAGCACCCCCCAGACACGCCTAGCACCGACTAGCGCCCCCCAGACACGCCTAGACCCGCCTAGCACCGCCTAGGGCCGCCTAGCGCCCCCCAGACACGCCTAGCGCCGCCCATACCCATTTTAAGTCATGTAGATTTGTCCTACAGAACTTTATAATCTTGGTCGCTTATGTATGTTCCTGTAGAAGCCTCTGTTTTTCATCTGCTACCAGTATATACACCTGCAATGAGAGAGAGAGAGAGAAAGAGAATTAATATATGTTGACAAATTTTCTTCTCATTTTTTGCCGCCCCTTCTAACAACTTTAAACCCTTACTGCGCAGCAGCCTCCTCCGCCCACCCAAAAACAATGGCATCACCATCCCTCCTCCCCACCCTCTCACACCTTTGCATAAAACTCCATCGGGTCCCTTTCTTAAATTTATAAATAGTACAGCCATTCGGCTATACTCGGGCATTTAAAAAAGTATAGCCGCTCGGCTATAATGTTTTTTTCCCTTCCTCTAAAGTAGTATAGCCGATCGGCTTTACGCAAGTAATTTTTTTTTAATGATCTAAACTACTCGAATCAGTGCCTAAGCTCCCTACCATCAATTTCTCCATTGAAGTGTTCATGATCATGTGTTGCAGGTTTTGGTGATTGCATCTGTGCCTGAGTCTGACTGAAAAGGAAAATGGTATTTGAATTTACTCATGAATGGAGAATTCATGACCAAAGAAAGCTCAAGCCCAGACAAAGAAAAGCCTTACACTCTCTGAAATTTCTGTTTCTTGAATTTGGAATTATATGATAGGGAAGACTGGAATTAATTGAATGGAGAATTCATGATCGTTCTGTAAGAATACAAATCTAATTCTAATGCAAGAAACCTCAACTGGTGCAACAGAAAAAGGAGGTTCTTGCTATGACCCGGATAGGCCAGTGCACCATGCCTCATTTGCCATGAATGCTTACTACCAGAAGATGGGAAGAAACGAATGGAATTGTCATTTTAACAATACTAGTCTCATTTCCTTGGCAGATCCAATTGTAGGCCTTCAATTTCATAATAATAATTTGTTTCAAAAGTTCAGACTTTCTTTTTCAGCAAATTAAGCATTTTGGTTCTACACCATTTTTGCAGGTTACAATCCCTGCTGCCAATTTGTGAGTGGTATGTGTCTATAACTATAATGAGTTTTGCACATTTTCATATGCAAAAATATTTGTATAACTTTACTTTCACTTTCCCTTTTGAAATTTGTAGGAGGATCAGGACCTCCACTGCAGGATACTTGGTGTGTGCCTAAGCCAGGAACCCCAGACTCTGCCTTACAGAACATCATAAACTTCACTTGTGGAATATTAAAAGAATGCAGTGAAATACAAGAACACGGTTCATGCTACTTTCCAAATAACCTCATAAACCATACCTCATTTGCCATGAATCTTTACTATAAGACCGATGGACGCTACAATTGTGATTTCAATGGCGTTGGCCTTATTGTTGTCACTAATCCAAGTAAGCCAACTTGTTTGATATAATGCACTGCAAAATCTTATGTTTCTTAACATGAATTTATCAAACAAAGTGTGCTTATTCTTGTACATGTTGCACGTTTTGGTGATTGTATCTATGTCTGAGTCTGCCCAGAAGGAAATTGGAAACTGTAATTTGGTGATGCATCAGAATAATAAGTTTATTGTAATGTAATTTCCATCTGATGGATGATGAAGAAGGTCCATACATACTCATACTTGGACTCCAAAACAGATTAAATATTAATGTTTTGATTGGGATGTTAAAAAGGTTAACAAGTCAAGCTTAGCAAATGAAAATTTGTGATCACTCTTACGATAAGTTTGTCACAATTTTAAGAGAGTTCGACATTGTGGTGCATCGATCAATTCAACATTGGCGGACCTACTCGAGGCCAATTGTGGACATCTGCCCACATCTTATTGAATTTGTTAAGCTTTGGATGCTAAATTTACACATCAAACTAGGTTAAGAGTACTACTTATTAACAACTTCAGCCCTCACAGAATTCCACTTAACCCACTAAATAACAATAATTAGTTTGTGCAATTAAATCACAACCACGCTTCTACTAAACAAAATATTGAGTATGTGACGGTCGATTAACTCGTTTTATTCTCTACATTAGAGATGATTTTTTTAAAAAAAGTTTAATATGTTGGTCATTTCTCTTGAGTTGTACCAAGTCCACTTGAATTTATATTTATGTTCTGGTAATATACAACTCATCCGACCATTGTTTCTCTGTGGGTAAAGTGTGATACAAAGTATATATATTATATATAGGCCTTGCAACTTTTGTCAATTCATGAAAGGAGTGGGTATGTGGTTAGAATTAATATATGTTGACAGATTTTCTTCTCATTAGTCATTGACTCATTGCTGAGAGAATTATCTCAGATGAAAATGGAAGTACATTAAGCTCCATTATACTTACAGAGTTAAGGTTGAAATTAGAGCTCTATGTATGCAAAACATTACACTGGTACAGGATCTTCTCGGGGGGTGGATTTTGAGGGTCCACTGTAAATGGCTCACTAAATGGCACAACACTTTTAACCTGCAAATGAGTTTATAAGCATCTCAGAATCTGCAAAAGCTTTTAACTTCCAAAAATAGCAAATTACAGCCACAGCACACAGCGCACAATTAAGGGACATAAGTCGGGCTGTGACCTCAAATGTCTTGCCAGATGCATAGGGGCTTTCCAACGCAGCAACACAAATCTGAGCAACCTCCTCTCTTGATATCTTACCCTGCATATATATAAATACTATAAATCATAACATTCAGATATTATGAAGAAAATGAAGTGAAAGAATAGACTAAAAGAAAGTGGCTGCAGAAATGTGCCTGCAATGACACAATATTGCTGGTGTATCTGATACAGTTCTTGCTCGAAATATCGGCTTCAAAGAAGAATCGCGAGGCAGTAGGCTTGAAGAACAAAAGAAAAGAACCAGACCCACCCTGGCACCCAGATCCACCTAGCGCCGCCTAGACCCGCCTAGCGCCGCCTAGACCCGCCTAGGGCATCCTAGCGCCCCCCAGACACGCCTAGTGCCCCCCAGACACGCCTAGTGCCTCCCAGACCCATTTTAAGTCATGTAGATTTGTCCTACAGAACTTTATAATCTTGGTCGCTTATGTATGTTCCTGTAGAAGCCTCTGTTTTTCATCTGCTACCAGTATATACACCTGCAATGAGAGAGAGAGAGAGAGAGAATTAATATATGTTGACAGATTTTCTTCTCATTTTTTGCCGCCCCTTCTAACAACTTTAAACCCTTACTGCGCAGCAGCCTCCTCCGCCCACCCAAAACCCATCGCATCACCATCCCTCCTCCCCACCCTCTTCCACTTGGCATAAAATTCCTCTCTCTCTCTCCTCTCTCTCTCTCTCTCTCTCTCTCTCTCTCTTTCCTGCGTGTGTGTGGTGAGAGTGCAATTTTGTGATTTGCCATGTTCACAGACTCATATGGGCGAGTGGCTATACTCCCGTCGCGCATTTTTCTAGCCTCAGGCATTTTGTATTAAAAAAAAATATAGTATCGCCGGGCGGCTATACTGCGGCATTTTAAAAAAAAATAGTGGTGCTCCGGCTAGGCGGTCCCTTTTTTAAATTTATAAATAGTTTAGTTGTTCAGCTATACTCGGGTATTTTTAAAAACAAATTAGTATCGCCGCCCGGTTGTACCGGTTTACACGTGGCCGTCCAGGCGCTAGGCAAGTCCCTTTTTTATTTATAAATAGTACAGCCGTCCGGCTATACTTGGGTGTTTTATAAACATTAGTATAGCCGCACGGCTAGACTTGTTGACGTCCAGGCTCTAGGCGGATAATTTTTTATATACGCTATATACGCGGCTATTTTTTATAGCCGCGCGGCTATACTCAGGGTTGACAGTTACAACCTTCCAAACAAAAAAATAATGGAGAATTCTTCTGACCAAATAAAGCTCAAGCCCAGGCAAAGAAAAGTGTTACACTCTCTGAAATTTCTGTTTAACTTGAATTTGGAATTATATGATATTGAAGACTGGAATTAATTGGACCTTGGTTGTAAGTTATAACCAAACCAAAGAAGCTGAGGCAAGCAATTTCTTGTGTGTCAAAGGTGGCCCAAAAGTACAAATGCCAGCCTATATGCAATCTGACTGTAATGGAGCATATCAGATTGTTACTCAGTTGTTCTTGCATGATCATTATGTGTTCTCCTCTGCAGCACTTCTACAAAGATCCCATCTTCCTCTTCATGAATTAGTCAACCATAGAAATTAGACTACTTTCTGCCAGGTCCTGTTATTTCTCTCCTGCTTCTGTTCTTCTTCTCGGGTACGGTAGAGATTCGCGGACTCTTAAGCTGCAAAGTTGATGTTTTTTTTTCAACAACTCTATAGAGCATTCCACATTGTTGTAATTTGTTTCCCCCTTTTCTGCTCTCTCTCTCTACATTTTCACCTATGTTCATCCATGGCTTTTTTTTTCTTTTCTTTTTTTTTTGCAGGGGAGATTTCAATGGTGGTGAATGGACAGGTAAGAATTAAAAAGAACAATTCTTAAATGAATTAGCAATTAATTTACATATATACATGATGTTGTAGAAAGCTTGGTGTGTGGCAAAGCCTGCAGCACCACAACAAGCATTGCAGTCAGCTCTGGACTATGCCTGTAACTATGCAGATTGCAGCCCTACAAAGAAAGGAGGTTCTTGCTATGACCCGGATAGGCCAGTGCACCATGCCTCATTTGATATGAATGCTTACTACCAGTAAATAGGAAGAAACCAATGGAATTGTCATTTTAACAATACTAGTCTCATTTCCTTGGCAGATCCAAGTAGGCCTTCAATTTCATATAATAATTTGTTTCAAAAGTTCAGATTTTTTTTCAGCAAATTAAACATTTTGGTTCTATACCATTTTTGCAGGCTATAACTATAATGAGTTTTGCACATTTTCATATGCAAAAATATTTGTATAACTTTACTTTCCCTTTTGAAATTTGTAGGAGGATCAGGACCTCCACTGCCACAGGAAAAGGAGGAAACTCAAATCCAAACAGTATAATTTAAACCAAGATTTCAAATCATCTTAATTATATCAAAATCATTTCAAATGCTTAATTAAACTTAATTAATTACTATTATGCTGTGTTGGGTTTGCAGGATACTTGGTGTGTGCCTAAGCCAGGAACCCCAGACTCTGCATTACAGAACATCATAAACTTCACTTGTGGAATATTAAAAGAATGCAGTGAAATACAAGAGCATGGTTCATGCTACTTACCAAAATAAACCATGCCTCATTTGCCATGAATCTTTCCTATAAGCCGATGGATGCTACAATTGTGATTTCAATGGCGCTGGCCTTATCGTTGTCACTAATCCAAGTAAGCCATTTTGTTTATATAATGCACTGCAAAATCATATGTTTTCTTAACATGAATTTAGCAAACAAAGTGTGCTTATTCTTGTATATGTTGCAGGTTTTGGTGATTGTATCTATGTCTGAGGATAAAAAGGATCATACTTCAAGGACAGATAATTTATAATGGGGATAAAAAGGATAGTGTTTCTCAAGTTGATAAAAAAGCAAGAAGGGCTTTACCTGATTTTCATTCCCAACCACTTCGCCACATTTCGACACAGAGAACTGCTGTAACTGATCGTGTAAGCCAAATTCTTTGACTAGATAAACTGAACTGGTCAAGATTCATGCCATTTTCCATTCAAATGACAGACAACACACCATTACTTGTTCTGTTCACCTCAAGTTATGATGTTTGTAAATTAGTGTAGATGGATTTTCTTGGATATGTTTAGTTTCTAAAACTAGTCTCTTATTAATTCAGAGTCGCAGGATGCGAATTGCTGAAAGACTTGATGCATTGCGATAACTGCTTCCAATATCCACAGAGGTAATGTGTGAAAGACTTGATGTCCTTTGGAAATCCATGACTTGGAGGATGTCATGAAGAATGAAAATCGTCCTGCTAAAAGGCTTGAGGATGGCTCAATCAACCCCACCTCCCTCTATCAAAACCCTCCTAATCTCTTGCACTTCAGCATACTAAGCTTGGACCCTCCTTGAAAAGAAACTCTCACCACTTTCCAAAACTCACCTACGCACACTCTGTGATCAAATTCTTATCCTGAAGAAAGAACCAGAAAAAGCAATGACACAATATTGCTGGGGTCAAAAGGTGGTGCATCAGATCTTGCTCGAAATATCACCTTCAAAGAAGAATCGCGAGGCAGTAAGCTTAAAGAATAAAAGAAAAGAACCAGACCCACCCTGGCACCCAGATCCGCCTAGACCTGCCTGGAGCCGCCTTGACCTGCCTAGCGCCGCCTAGCTCCACCTAGACCCGCTTAGCGCCCCCTAGACCCGCCCAGACCCGCCTAGCACCGCCTAGCGCCTCCTAGACCCGCCTAGCGCCGCCTAGACCCACCTAGACCCGCCTAGCGCCCCCTAGACACGCCTAGCACCGCCCAGACCCATTTTAAGTCATGTAGATTTGTCCTACAGAACTTTATAATCTTGGTCGCTTATGTATGTTCCCGTAGAAGCCTCTGCTTTTCATCTGCTACTAGTATATACACCTGCAATGAGAGAGAGAGAATTAATATATGTTGACAGATTTTCTTCTCATTTCTTGCCGCCCCTTCTAACAACTTTAAACCCTTACTGCGCAGAAGCCTCCTCCGCCCACCCAGAACCCATCGCATCACCAACCCTCCTTCCCACCCTCTCACACTTTGCATAAAACTCCTCTCTCTCTCTCTCTCTCTCTCTCGTATGTGCAGCCATGTGTTTCCTACGTGTGTGTGTGTGGTGAGAGTGTAATTCGTGGACTCATACGGCCTTTTATAATTTTGAAGGAAGAGTGAGACTAGTATAGCCGGCATTTAAAAAAAACAAAAATAGTATAGCCGCCGGGCCGGTCCTTTTTTAAATTTATAAATAGTATAGCCGTTCGGCTATACTAGGGCTTTTATAAAAAAATTACGTATAGCTGAGCGGCAATACTGGTTTTCAGACGTGGCCCTACCAGCGCTAGCCGGGTCACTTTTTTTATTTATTAATAGTATCGCCGCCCGGCTATACTCTTTTTTTTTTTTTCCAAAATAGTATAGCCGAGGGGCGTTACGCAAGTATGTTTTTTTTAATAATCTAAACAATGTGCCTAAGCTCCCTACCATCAATTTGTTTTTTTTTAATGATCTAAACAATGTGCCTAAGCTCCCTACCATCAATTTCTCCGTTGAAGTGTTCATGATCATGCGTTGCAGGTTTTGGCCTCCGCTGCAGCACTGCGACAAATATCCCATCTTCCTCTTCATGAATTAGTCAACCATAGAAATTAGACTACATTGTATAACATAACATCAATGGCTAAGCTAGCTCTGCCAGGTCCTGTTATTTCTCTCCTGCTTCTGTTCTTCTTCTTGGGTACGGTAGAGATTCGTAGACTCTTAAGCTGCAAAGTTGATGTTTTTATTTTCAACAACTCTATAGAGCATTCCACGTTGTTGTAATTTCTTTCCCCCTTTTCTGCACTCTCTCTACATTTTCACCTATGTTCATCCATGGCTTTTTTTTTCTTCCCTTTTTTTTTGCAGGGGAGATTTCGATGTTGGTGAATGGACAGGTAAGAATTAAAAAGAACAATTCTTAAATTAATTAGCAATTAATTTACATATATACATGGTGTCGTAGAAAGCATGGTGTGTGGCAAAGCCTGCAGCGCCACAACAAGCACTGCAGTCAGCTCTGGATTATGCCTGTAACTATGCAGATTCCAGCCCTACAAAGAAAGGAGGTTCTTGCTATGACCCGGATAGGCCAGCGCACCATGCCTCATTTGCCATGAATGCTTACTACCAGAAGATGGGAAGAAACCAATGGAATTGTCATTCTAACAATACTAGTCTCATTTCCTTGGCAGATCCAAGTAGGCCTTCAATTTCATAATAATAATTTGTTTCAAAAGTTCAGACTTTCTTTTTCAGCAAATTAAACATTTTGGTTCTATACCATTTTTGCAGGTTACAATCCCCTGCTGCCAATTTGTGAGTGGTGTGTGTCTATAACTATAATGAGTGCACATTTTCATATGCAAAAATATTTGTGTAACTGTACTTTCACGTTCCCAGACTCTGCATTACAGAACATCATAAACTTCATTTGTGGAATATTAAAAGAATGCAGTGAAATACAAGAACATGGTTCATGCTACTTTCCAAATACCCTCATAAACCATGCCTCATTTGCCATGAATCTTTACTATAAGACCGATGGACGCTACAATTGTGATTTCAATGGCATTGGCCTTATCGTTGTCACTAACGCACTGCAAAATATTATGTCTTCTTAGCATGATTTTAGCTAACAACGTGTGCTTATTCTTGTATTTTAGCGAAATTGGTGATTGTATCTATGTCTGAGTATGCCCAAAAGGAAAATGGAAACTGTAATTTGATGTTGCATCAGAATAATAAGTTTATTGTAATGTAATTTCCATCTGATGGATGATGATGAAGGTCCATTTTCTTTTGTTATCTAATCTGATAAATTTACCCCATTGAGTCTGATGAGTTTGTGTCGAGTTGGCTTTGTATGAGACAAGTTTATGTAAGATTCGGTTTGACTTGACCTAATAATGAGTATTTAAAAACAAGATATAAATATAAAAACAAAATTTGAAGGGAAACAAGTAACAAGGAATCTAAGTACATAAACAAATGGAAGCATGTATACTCATACTTGGATTCCAAAACAGATTAAATATTAATGTTTTGATTGGGATGTTAAAAAGGTTAACAAGTCAAGCTTAGCAAATGAAAATTTGTGATCACACTTATGATAAGTTTGTCACAATTTTAAGAGTGTTCGACATTGTGGTGCATCGATCAATTCAACATTGGCGGACCTACATAAGGCCAATTGTGGACATCTGCCCGCATCTCATTGAATTTGTTAAGCTTTGGATGCTAAATTTATACATCAAATTAAGTTCAGAGTACTACTTATTAACAACTCCAACCCTCACAGAGTTCCACTTAACACCACTAAATAACAATAATTAGTTTATGCAATTAAATTACAACCACTCTTTCACTAGACAAAATATTGAGTACGTGACGGTTGATTAACTCATTTTATTCTCTAAATTTGAGATGTTTTTTTTGTTTTTTTTATAAAGTTTAATATGTTGGTCATTTCTCTTGAGTTGTATCAAGTCCCACTTGAATTTATTTTCTGGTAATATACAACTTAAATACCATCCCATCCGACCATCGTTTCTCTGTGGGCAAAGTGTGATACAAATTATATATATAGGCCTTGCCACTTTTGTCAATTCATGGAAGGAGTGGGTATGTGGTTAGAATTTGTTGGCACTTGGCAGCCAATAATCTTTTGCCACCAATTCACAATTTGACACATCCATCACCATCTTCTTTATCTCGTTTTGTCATGCACCTTTGGAGGGTGTCGTAATTTACATATTAAAAATTCAATAAATAAACCATCTGTAAGTAAAAGGAAAAAAGGGGAGATCCATGGTAAAGTAGATGGGTGCGGTTGCAGAGGATAAAAACTCAGTAAAAGCAAAATTATGTAAAGCATAATTGAACGGAAGGAGATTAGAAGGGTAATAAATAAAGGTGAGTGTGAATGGCGAGGCTTTCACACGAGGAGGATGAGGAGAGGAGGAGTCATTTCCACGATACGCATTCGTCAAACCCCGTGAAGGGCCCCACAATGTCCCCCTTGCACGCGTGCTTCATCCGACGGTCATCATTGCATCCGCAATAGACGGAAAGCATTTCCAAGGCCACCAATCCGACGGCTCCCACGCTCCGTGTTTGACTCCTCACTGTCTCAGTCCCTGAACGCATCCCAACGAAACCCCAAAATTAAATACCACCACTCCCAAACACGCCCTCCCCATCTCTCTCATCTCTCTCTCTCTCTCTCTCTCTCACTAGAAGCGAGCAGTAGTGGTAGATCTTGTTTAGCAGCGCAAATCTAGGGAATTTTTATCTCAGAAAAACGTACTGAAATACGAAATCTGAAATCTGATCCTCTGTAATCGTTAACCTGGATTTGTTCTGCTATCTTCTCCTTCAACCTAGGTTTTGCTCTGAAATTTGTCATCTTTTCGTTTTCGGTTTTGTATTTTTTTGTGGGTTTAGGTCAGGGGGGCTTGAAGTTTGATTTGTTTGTTGTTCTGAGGTGTTTCTTGTTGCTTTATTGGACGATTATATATAAAATGAAGGGTTTTGTCTGTTTTGGTCACATGAATTAGGGTTTTGAATTGGAACTTTTGTTGTAGTCATTATTAATATTGTGGATTCGGTGTGTTCTGAGTTGTGAGGTATGGGATGATTTTAATTTTGATTTAATCAGGCTCAGTTTAGTGATGAGCTTTGCTTTGGTAGACCAGCAAAATGAAATAATGTTCATTGCTAATTTTGATTTGTTTTCTTCGTACTTTCCTCATTAGCCAAACTGGGTTTCTTTGTTTGAGTGCTTATTCTGCTAAAAGTGACTTCTTTCAAAGACATCAATGTTGGATAAGATTCATTCGACTAACTTTGGAAATATTTTCCTTTTATTTTTTGCAGTGGAATTTTGGGACCATTTACTCTGACTTGGTATTGAAGAAGTAAAATCAAGATGCCGTGGACGTCTTCTTTTGTGAATTACAGCAGGAACTGTGTTCGATTAGTGGTGTTCTTCCGCGTCATACTGTAGTTTCATTCATTTTGGTGAGATTATACTCTCGCTATATTGCTGTTTTTTGTTCTTCATTTCCTTCACTTGTTAGCTTGGCCTAAGTTTAAGAAATTGGTGTAAAAATTGAAACTTTATGGCCCAATTAGCTCCAGCATTTCCCTTTTCCTCTATGTGCGTGCTTCCAAGACTTTTAAAGGAAAAATATAACTGCTTGGTTTTCTTAGGTGTTTCTTTTAATTGTTTGGTTATCATAGAACAAAAACAGATTAACTGAAGTAGTTTCCTTTAGATAAATGATGTCATAAATTTTGGGACAAAATGATGTTTCTATACTTCTTATTAAATGTAGCATTTGTTATACAGTTCTGTTTCTCGTTGCTCTTTCAGTCTCCATTCTAACAATTTTGTTTTGAGGGTTTACTGCTGCAGGTGAAACTCTTTGGTTTTTGAAGTTCTTTTATTTGGGGATTTTAAAAGGTGGTTGCAGGAGTGAGAATGAACATTGGGGTAACCTTTAAGAGATATCGAGCTATTAAGGAAGTTGGGAAGATTATAATGAGTGTTGGGGTCATTGCCTACTACCAACTGATGCAAGTTTGTCAGGTACATCTGATCTTCTCGTTTCCATTCAGCCATGCTATGCTATTGTTTATCTTCTTTCAGCTTCAGTTGATTTCAATAAAATGTGCTTTAGCATGCTTGATTGTACCACTCTGAAGATATTAAAAACTAGTTTGTTGATATTCTTATATTTGCTCTTACAGGCTGAATACTTCCGTCAGTTGCTTAAACCTGTTACGTAGTATAGTTTCACAAACCCTCTGGACTCTGGGATTTGGGATAAACTGGACCTCCGGCTGTATTCATACATAAGAAGGCAGTTGTATTGATTCTGGTTGCTTTTGATTGAGAATAGGCAGCTCTCCTGTACCAGAATGGCGATAACTTGATTTTCATAACAGTCCTTGTAGTATTTTGCAAACGTTCATCCAGTCAAAAGTCAAAGAATCTTAGACTTTAGGTGAATCTCCGTCTATTCAGCTTTAACTACTTAGGATTTCTGATGCAGAGGGACCAACAGTTTGACCCCAACAAGGCAGCTCCCCCCTTTGCAAATCAAGTGGGTAATAATTACATGCATATTCCAGTTGCATCTGCGCGTGGGGCAGTTTTACCTCATGAGGCAAAGCACATCAAACCTTTCCATGGTGTTGAATTTCAAACCTCTGACATTTGCCCGAAGAATTTCATTATCTTCGACCAGACTGATCATCGAAGTCAGATAATGTTCAATCCTGCAATTGCCCACAAAATTACTGGTCCTGCCTTTAACATCTGTGCAGCTTACATCCAAGACAATCTGGGATTGAATGAGGGAAATAATGAGGATAGAGAAACATCCTCTTCTCTGAAGGAGGACTCAGATGATATTGATGCATTGTTGAGCTTGGAAGAGGAAGAGCTGGAAGAATATGACGAGGAAGAGGTCAGTACAGCACGAACTCATGGAAATTATGGGAGCATGTCCCCTGATTCTTGCTCCAATTATGGTTTGAAAACCAAGAAGAATAGGCAATGCTCTTCACTTGGAAAATCTTCTGGCATTGGTAGCAGCAGCTGCAACAGTGAAAGGAAGCGACAGAAAATGAAGAAGATGGTGAGGGTGCTGAGAGGGATTGTACCCGGTGGGAATGAAATGAACACTGTCGATGTTCTAGATGAAGCTGTGCAATACTTGAAGTCTCTCAAGGTTGAGCTGCAGCACCTTGGAGTTGAGAATTTGAATGACTAAGCTTGATCTTGAGCTATGGTGCCAATAGTTATCCCTGATATTTGGTACTCATATTGGACCACTAAATATAATGGATGTGGTGTCGCTCTGAATATGATTATGGAGCTTTCTGGTGTGGCTCCTTAAGTTGTATTCTAATCTCCTCTTTGATTTGTAGTATGACTACTCAGTTTCTTGTTTTCAGTTAATTTTGTATGGCAAGTTGCAGCTGTCGACTGCTATACAACTATGTGACTTTTTTCTCCAGCCTCGGGTTGGTTAATAAATCAATTTCCTTATGTTAGCTATATTTGATGTTTTCATTCTTGCTTATATATCTCACATTCATCTGTTTGAAATCCAGAGACACGAGCATGCATCATAGTGCATTATTGTATCTCCTCCCGTTCGAGCCAATAGGCTGTCATGATTGTGGAACACTTGTATTTGGTGCTAGCTTCAGTTATCTCTCTTTTCTTTAAAGGGTTAGATGGCCACTGCTTGCCTTTTGTGACCATGACTTGCCCAAATCTGTGTCACCATCTTCGGCTATTTTAATGTAAAAATACCCAAATGTATGCTTTTCATTATCTTTTAGATGCTGGAATTGTAGGGACATGGATGGATGGCGCTATTGCGTCCTCCCCATTCGTATATTGAAAGCCCCAATAGGCTGTGGCTATAGTGGCGCACCATTGGAGACTTTTTTCCACTAAACCAAAACCCATTTTCTTGCTTGCTCATGTTTTGTGCCTTTTGTCCCCACTCTGAAATCAATTTGGTCAAGTTGAGGACGATGGCAGTGCTCATGTTTTCTGGTCATTTTTCGGTTTGCTTTTGCCCATCCATCTCTTTACTTTATCTCCTTTTGAAAATTTGAAATTTTTGAAAAGAACCCTTTACCTAATTTTGAGTTCATGTTTACTTGGACCTTGCATTTGAATACAACTGATTCTCAATTTGAGTTGGATTTTGATGTGTAATAATCATCAGAACAAAAATGAGAAGAAAGAGTTCTTTATTATTGATTGATCATGTGGGCCTACTGTATACAAATTGAGAATAGAAGAGAAAGATTAACAACAAATTAACTACCACTTCAGTCTACTTGGTCTTAAGGTTGATTTGAAGAGGGATTGAGAGCCCATGATCATCTCCAACCATGATGGTGTGCATGCCTGATGGTAAAAGCTTGTAAGCAGTGTAATCAACAATTCCCAAGGCCTTGGGAACACTAAACACAAAATAAACCTCCTTGCTTTGTCCAGCTTTCACAAACACCCTCTCAAATCCAATCATCTGCTTACCATGTGTGCCTACAATACCATCTGGGGGCTTTGAGTAAACAAACACCACCTCACTTCCATCCCTTCTACCCACATTTTTCACTTCAACCTTAACCGAAAAATCATGTTCGTAATACAAGTCATCTACAAGGACTGCAGGGCAAGGTGGCTTGGATGCTTCATCCTCATACTTAATGTTACGGCAATGTTGCGTGTTATTCAACAAAATATCCATTGATCTATCTGCAGCTTTTAGAGTGTAGTTGAACTGTGTATAGCTAAGGCCATAGCCAAATTGGTAGACTGTGGAGCCATTGAAGAATTTGTAGGTACGACCGGGATAGCCTAGACTATCGATCGGCCTCAACGGCATGGATGTCATGGGTAGCATGTCCACATAATTAGCTTCATACCATGTAAGAGGTAATCTTCCTCCTGTAAAATAGTAAACATATATATGAGATGTTAGACAACGTTAGCTGACATGACAAAATTATCAAATGTTTGTTAAGATATTAACAGTCATGTCAAGTGGTCTAAATTTGTGCTCCTGTTACCATATTTCGTGTACTTACCAGGATTGTGATGTCCGAAAACAATATCTGCAATGGCGCGGCCACCTTCCTCTCCAGGGTACCCAGCCCACAAGATGGCTTTGATTTTATCATTTTGTTTGGCAAAGCTGATATCGACGCAACCGGCAGACATTACCACAAGGATGACTGGACCCCTTGAGACTTGAGCAACTTGGTTGATAAGTTGAGTTTGGTAACCAGGAAGAAGGAGGTCCACTCTGTCCAAGCCCTCTGCCTCAACTGATAAGTCCAATCCCACCACAAGTATTGTTGCATCAGCTTTCTTTGCGGCTCTCATGGCAGGGAATATCAAGCTCTCATTTTGACATGCTACATCACATCCCACTTCATACGTCACTTCTCCGTAGGATTTGAAAGCATCAATAGGTGATGTGTATTGGCAAGGAACACCTACAAATAAATTGGAAGTGTGTAATGTTTATTTAGTACACATTATTGTTCAAATGTAGTACCTACATAATGTAAAGAGTAATGCTACATGTAGCACAATTATATCGTCAATACCTGCATAATTTCCAATCATAACTTCGGTAGCATTGGCATGAGGCCCGACGACGGCTAGTGTTTTGATTTTAGCAGAGTTCAAAGGCAAAGTTTCATTGACATTCTTCAATAAGACCAGTCCTTCTCTAGCTGCTTCTGTTGCCAATTCAATATGTTCTTTGGTGCATATCTCCTTCTTGCCAAGAGATTTAAAAGTAGGGCTTCCATCAAAGTACCCTAACCTCATAAGCACAACATAAAGGTAGTTGAGTGCCCTATCTATGTCTCCCACATTCACCTTTCCTTGTTCCACGGCAGTTTGGGTGAAATTGGGGTAGTAGACTCCACAGTCCAAATCCAATCCTATATTAATTAACATGGAACTTAATTAATTGAGTTATATTTATAACTGAAAACTCAAACAATTGAAGAATTAACTTGACAAGCCATGGACTAGCCTGCTTTAAATGCTTGTGCAACAGCATCCTCTTTAGTGTCATCAAGAAATTTGTGGTCATCCACCATTACGTCGATAGAATCACAATCCGAGACTATATATCTGCAAGACATAAAAAACAAAAGGAACCAGTTAAATCCATGTACAGGAAGAGAAATCTAGCTAGGGTTAATTAATTAAGTTACCCATGAAGCCCCCAGTCTCCTCTAATGGTGTCTCTCAAAAGCTTTGGATCAGCACAGGTGGGTATGCCATTGACTCTGTTATAAGAGCACATTACACTGCTAACATCACCCTCTTTAACACACATCTCAAAGGGTCTAAGGAAAGTTTCCACCATATCTTGCTCTGTCACCTTTTCGGCCGAAAAGAACAACAACAAAAAAAACATTAAAGAAGCTTAAATCATCAAATTAGCTCTTGAAGAAATTAATCAAAACTCACCCTTGCGTCGAAATGGAGACGATCAACCCCAAGCCAGTTGTCAACATCATAGGCTGCATAATGCTTGCAGCATGAGGAAACTTTGAGAGGCCTAAGGTTTAAATCTGTGACGTTCTCTGTGCCCTCAACATCCTGCAAGCCTCTGACGTAATTAGTAGCATAAGCGCCGACAACATAAGGATCTTCCCCAGGTGTCTCTATGATTCTTCCCCACCTCGGATCCCTCACTACGTTAATGTTAGGACTCCAAAATGTTAACCCAGCTCTTCCTAGATTGTACATAGCTCTTGCTTCTGTTGAAACAGCCTGAAATGGACAAACAAATAAACAAACAATCAATGTGTGCGGTTTCTTTTTGTTTGCTTGTTAATTGTCGCAGCTTTGCTGATACTTTTGATGTTACCTTCTTCTCCATCTTAACCAATAATAAGACAAAAAACATTATCTTCTCCAACCAACATAAAAGAAAAACGTAGGCAAATCCTTTTTTTTCCTTCTTCAAAGATAATGCAGTATGAGCATACATGCAGCTATACCTGGCCAATGGTTTTCCACAAGGACTGATTGAACGACGCAGCTGTAAGAATAACAGGAGGAAAGCTCGTTGCACCCGGAACCACTTCATCAAAATAAGCCCCCGGACCAACATTGGACACACCATGGAGTGCTTCAGACCACCACTCATACTTAGGCAATCCTAGCCTAGGCACCCCGTATGCACCATCACCAAGCTGCTTCACTTTCTCCATCAATGTCATCCGGTCCACCAAGTCTTTAGCTCTAACGTCATACGGCAATTCAGAGTCACAGAAGGCAGAGGATGACAAGTCCAGGCCAAGGCTAGAATACCATGAAGGATCACATACATAGGTGAAGTTGCTACCACCATCAATGGAGGAGGCTGCAATGTTTTTTGAGTCTAGAAGGACTCTTCTAGCAGGAGAAACAATGGCAAAGAAAGCAAGGTAGAAGAAGAAAACTAGAAAAGTAACAATATTGCTAGACATGCTTGCTCCAGTCCTCTAGCTAGGTGAAGGTGATGATACATCACTGTGGGAATTACCAACCAACCTATATATATATTATCTACGTGGGTCCATAAATTTCTGACAATTTCCTATCTACGTGGTCAATTCTGTTTTCCATGTCAACGCTAATCTCGTCCAGTATTTTAGTTGAACTATAACACAAACTCAACGGAGAGTGATTAGTTAGTAAATTCCCTTGACTTCCTTGATTGAAGAATTGACTTCGTCCAGATTTTATCCATACAATTTACAAACACATATGACATGATGGCCCATTAGAAAGTTCAACATGGGCTGATTCTAAAGCCCATAACGAAAAGCTCAAAAAAGCACTGAAATTCAAGACACGACCCTCTCTCTCTCTCTCTCTCTCTCTTCAACCTTCTGTTCTGTATATGCCTCTGTACTCTCTCCCATGGCGTCCAGATACATAAGGGAGTTTTTGGCTTCGGAGGCTTTTAAAAACGCAGGGAGAGAAGTAAGCGACGTCGTTCCACGACTGGTGAAGTTTCTCTGCTGCCTCCAAGTCACCAAGACTCACCTTTTCACCGTCACTCTGGTAAGTTCTAATCACTAAACCACTCTCTCATTCTCAGACAATTCTCTTGGTTTTTTTATTTTTTTATTTTTTTGGATTTGAATTCAATGAGCTTAATGAGTAGAGAGAAATGAAATGGGTTGTGATTCCATGTATGCAGTCCTACGGTCCCAGCATGCTCCCGACCCTCGGCCTGGCCGGAAATTTGTGCTTGGCTGAACGCATCTCGCCCCGGTTCGAAAAACTGGGTGTTGGGGACATTGTCCTCGTACAGTCCCCTGAGGTTCCTTGGAAGTTCATGACCAAGCGCTTGAAAGCCATGGAAGGCCAGTCTGTTACATATTTTGTCGACCCTAAAAACAGTGACAAGTCTGAGACCATTGTGGTATGTCAATGTTCCAATTCAAGCTTGTAGTGTTGGTTTTGTATGGGTTTTGGTTTTTTTGTTTTGAATGTTGGTGCTTTTGTTTTTGGGGATTTTGGATATTATATTGTTGTTGTTGTTGTTGGTGCTACTAGGTTCCGAAGGGGCATGTTTGGATAGAGGGAGACAACATCTATGAGTCAAATGATTCAAGAAAATTTGGGCCTGTTCCTTATGGACTTCTTCAAGGCAGAGTCTTTTGGAGGGTGAGAATCTTTTCTTCTTGCAGCTCAATTTGAATTATTTGCGTATACATCGTTTTACATTGGTTTTAGATTGACTTGCTAAGCATAAGGGAACGCATCTATGTTGGTTTTCAAGTGGAATTGTTAAAAGGATGCCTTTGAATTTATGAGTGGTATGATTTGGAGAAAAATGTATGATGTGGAGCTTCAATAAAAGTTCAAATAGTAATGAAGTTGTGGTAAAAATTTGCAAGCGTTGAGATACACATAAGTGATTGCTGTTACCTTTCTCCCAAGGAAGATTGAAAATATGTATTTTACTGGTAGTACTGAAGTCTGATGGATGTGAACAATGAACTGTCTTTTGGAATTTCTATTTTCTACTACTAGAAAGAATACTAAGATTTCTTATCTTTGATCATTTTTTTGTCATTAGATATGGCCACCTAAAGATTTTGGATCGTTGGTGCAAAACAAAGGGAAGGATTCTGTCTCATGAAGTACGCTTATTGAGCATGCACACGGTTAGTGCCTCATATGTAATGTAATTGCAGAATCTTGTTTTGAAGCTGCTGTTTATAGGGAATATAGAAGCTTGTTTGTAGAATGATCTTTTTCTATCAAGAAAAGTGGTTTAATTGTGATACTTTCATGTGCATGGCTATTAAAACCTGTATTCTTCAAGTATTATAAGTGGTTGAGTAATGGGCATCTTCTAATACCCCTGCTCTTTCTGTCAAGATGTTAGCTCGTTTCTTTTTCATGTTCATAGGGCCACTTATTTTCCTGTTGAATCTGCAGTCAGTTAGTTTCTGCATAAATAGTTGATGTGAAGTTTTACAAGATAGTCTTAGCAAAGAGCAGAGAGAAAGAGAGACCTTTCCAGTTAAGGGCGCGACAATATTGATAGTTCACGGACATTTTGAACCACGTTTGAGTTATTGCCATTGAATTTTTCTTTTCTGGAGAAAAATATCTTGTGAGATTATACTGCCCAGAACTGCATTTACATTATTGTCATAATACTCCCCAAAGAAACTTGTGAGATTATACTGCCCAGAACTGCATTTAGATCATTGTCATAATACTCCCCAAAGAAATTTGTGAGATTATACTCCCCAAAAATATCTTGTGAGTTATTGCCAAAAAGAGAGACCTTTTTGGACAAAGAATTTAAATCATTGTCATAATACTCCCCAAAGAAACTTGTGAGATTAATTATACTGCCCAGAACTGCATTTTACCTGAGCAAGGCTAAAATCCTTCCCCCCCTGCTTTCCTTCCTTTCTCAGCTTTCCTCCCCATCTTTTGTACTCATATGCTTCAATGAGCATCAGTGGGTATACAAAACAAGCTTTAGATGCAAGAAATATAGCTGCAACAATGTGTCCGTACTGTTAGAAAATCCGGACATCCGGATAAGAGAAGAACTATGTAATATAGTATTTTACAATAATATAGTTCTGTGATTTATGACGCAAATTGCAGATTAATTAATAAGTAGAATACAAGATATGGGGTTTGTCTTTCATCCATTACCTAGTGTAACAAAAGCCAGCACCATCTTCTTCAAATGTGAAAGGAGCCCTTATGTGGATAGATTCTTCAAGAGGTCAAAAATTTACTTGACTGGTTCTAACGACTGCAGCTGCTTTCTGTGTACTTTGTTATATTCAAATTGAACTTCCTATTGAATATAATTCCCCACTCAGTCAAGATCACTGAAGATAGTACTTCATCATTAGAATTCAGAAGCCTTGTTATGATGATTCTTCAAGTATCTGTCTTTTTTTCTTATTTAGTTGGACCATGAATTTCAGGACTCATTTATATATTTGTTACATGTAGGTTCATTTGAACTCTTTAACTAAGCACTCACTGGATTCAAACTTTCTCTGTGGTTAATGAAAGCTCGTTCATTTTATCATTTAGAAAAAGCTGTATCTGTATAAATTAATGGCTTGGTCTGGCAAAATAAAGCTTCATGTTATTTTAGGTTGCGATGCATAATGCATCAATCAACAACACGTGAAATATTGAACGACTTCGGACATCTAGTTCTAGTCTATATTGGATTCATATCATCAGTACAGCCAAACCTTTTCAATCTTGTATATATTATCGGTAAAACTGCTTGCTGAACAATTTCATATTCAGTTGCCTTTGCTAAATACCATCTAGTGAATGGAAATTATTATCTCCTCGCCTGTATGGTGTTAATTTTGCTTTAGTGCTTCTGGCTGGCTGTCCACTGTGTGTGTGTGTGTTTTTTTTTTTGAGACAAAGGCGACAACATTTTATTGAGAATAGGAATGATACAAGTACAAAAAGACTGGGTTAAGTCCTAGAGGATTAGGCAAGTACCTCTACACCCAATGAACATTTGGTCTTTGAACTATATGCATTAAATCAATTCCAAAATAAAAATAAGATTTTATACTAAGAACAAAATATGCACTAACTCAATTCCAAATAAGTATGATATCGTTACATGAACACACTACTTACTAGAAGACTTAGAAAGGCTCAATCATCTCAACCAAATGAGGTGCATGTCCGGTGATTACACAAAAAGAAAACAAAATGAAACAAATGACTACTCTAAACAAAATATTAGACGCGCAACACGTCTATTAAACCTGCCACCAACATCTGTGTCGGCATACCAAACAAAATAGCTCCCTTCTGAAATTGTTCCAGACCAACTTGTTCCATTTGAGCTTCCAATTGAGGACTTACATCACGTTCAAGATTTTCTATTCTCAGCTGCTCATATAGTTCATCAACTGGCTTGTTAAAATGTACGAGTCTTACAGTGTATTCTTCTCCTTTCTTTACGACAACATTCTGCACATAATCTTCTGGAAATATTTCTCTGAATACTTTGTCCACATTCACATTATGTTCATGTGTATACTTGTAATGCTTAGTGGGAAAGAGAAAGAACAATGACTTGTGAAGATAACTAGCTAAGGCATCGTTATGATTAGAAAGCGCTTCCAGAACCGATCGTCGATATACATCTATAGTGTCTGTTTTGTTTACCTTAAACACGCGGAGATATCCACTGCTCTTTTCATCAAAAATGGTTGCAAATAATAAAGCCCTTGTCACATTTGCTAACAATTCATTTGAACTCTGGACTACTATATTGCAATTATTTAAGTATTCATAAACCTTATCACTACCGCTTCCATTCGCAAATCCATTGCAAACTTCGGATTTGGTTTTGTAATGCACTCCATCATGACTAATGTCATATATATATAAGGAAGACCACTTGCGTCCCATCCAACCATAAGAATAGAACCCTGAAATAAATATTGTGTACACCACTGTGAGAAATACGGTGTCGAGCATGTTTCCCACGAGCGAATATAGGTACGGGCTATTTGTGGTGCACAATGGATGCCATTATTAACTACTGTCTCACATGCACGTTCCATTACGCCATTCAAACTACTTAGCATATTTTCACAATCCGCGGAATTTCCCGCCATAGTTGCCAATACATTGCAACTCCCCATATAGAAAAATTTTGTTGCGTCCTCTTTCATTATAAATCCTTCATCTTCAAGACTTGTAGCACTCGTATCAACAGCAACATATATTGCATCACAACAGCCTTCATTAGAGATTGCAACGATGTTTGTTGTTCCCCATCCTAAATAAAAAAATTATTGAGTAAAAGAAATAAGAAAAAAAAATAGGAGAATACTATTTGCGGGGTTTTTTTTGTTGTTGTTGTCAATAACTGAAGCTAAGAAAGACAGGAAACATAGGCAGGGGACAGGAAGAGCACATAGAATTTGGGGACGCGTAAACACATATATTGATTTAATTGAAAAAAATACGTATTATAGAAAAAAGAATAGTGGTAAAGTCACAAACCTTCAAATTTTGGCTCGTTTTCTCCAAGTATACCTCAGCCATAATGCAGAACAAAACTTCAACTCGGCTACAAACCACAATTTGTTGTTGAAAAATAAAGATTGTTTAGTAAATTTGAAAAGGTTCAACAGCATAGCCATGCTTTTATAAGAGTTGAGTTGTTCTTTTAGGAAGTAAAAGAATCTTACTCTTTAAACTAAAACTTTCTATGCTTGAACCTCAAGAAATCAATAAACAGCTTACCTTTTGTTAATAAAAACATCAAAAGATTACTAAAACAATAGGCTCTAGTTGAGGAATGAAAATTCCCAAACGAAATCCAAATATCAAAACTAGAAATTAATTACATACTTATTAAAGACGTCACCGATGCCTGCATTGGGGTCTATTAGTTTTTAATGATAATTTATTATTCAATCAGGAAAAAAATCTCCTACAATATCTAATTCGACCACTTCTATGTGTGGCCCTAGATGGACTGCACATGAAAAAATAGAGTATATTTTCTGTCGTTTTTGCCATAAACGACATCCTTTCATTTGGATTGGAAGTTTGCAAGAAAAGAGTCACAAAGTAGTACAATTTCGGAAGTGAGGCTCAATGAAATATCAATTACCGCAAACTTGAAAAGAAAAAAGGAAACGTAAAACAAAGGAAAAACCACATTAATTAACTTCCTTTATTTGGGACTCAAAATCACCAAGGAAGATTCCTGCTTTAGTTGAGAAAATGAAAATCCCAAACGAAACCAAAATTAGAAATTAATGTCTTGCTTATTAAAGATGCATGTATTGAGGTCTATTAGTTTTTAATAATAATTTATTATTCAATAAAGGCTGAAATAGAGAAATATAATATTGATTAATATAATATGGATTTAAAAATTCATAAGGGACTCTAAAGGGTGTCCCACAAATAAAATTATTTGAAGAATCCCTCAATAGAAGGAGACTCTATATATATATACAGAGAGTTTCCATTGAGGGATCCCTCAAATAAGCTTATTTGAGGGACACCCCTTGTAGGCCCCACTCCAGATTGTATTTCACTAATCCAAACCGTCTATTTTGTAGATACTCATTCGAAGATCATCTCTACAAAAAAAATTACTTGAATCTGATATCATTTAACTACTCATTTGAGTTATTGAAATTTTAGTACTTTCTTGAAGCACCATGTTCATTGATTTTATAAGACACAATTGGATGTCGAAACAGTTTCCGATTTGTCTAATTTTTTGTAAGGATGATCTATGAATGAAGACCTAAAAAATAGATTGTTTGGATCATTGGGAAAAAAATTATAAAGTACCCTAAATGACGTCCCTCAAATAAAATTATTTGAGGGATCCCTCAATAGAAGGGAACTATATATATATATATATATATATATATATGGTTTGTTGAAAAAGGGTCGTGATCCACCACACACCTATATAAGAATCGCCTTCTCTTTGGAATAAGTTTTTTAAAAATGCAGATAGAAACTACAGAAATAAAGTGTGAGTTTAGGCAAAAGGTCCAAATTCATGCTGCAAATGGACCAGTGTAGGTTGCGGAACTTAGAAACTAATCTCAGTACAACAATACAAGTACTGACTACATCTCTATATTTTAATTATCATATCCATTGTGATGATCACTTCAACAAAAAAAATTTAAACTGAGTCCATAATACGGTGATGTAATTATTCTCCGTGCCAGATGGAAATCAGTGGAACCAAACACCTCAACCCTTTGCAATTAAATTCATAAATCAATTATATTAGCAATTGAGATGCTAACATTAGGAATTTAGAAATGAGTTCAAAATGTGTAATTCATGGTTTCTAACTTTTTCTGTCATGTAAACTTATATAATCCATTGAGGCCAGTTAAAGCAATAAAAAAATGAAAGAAAATCACCCAAATAAGAAATGCTTAGAGCATCCACAATGGCCCTAACCCACCTCATTCGACAAATTTTAGGGAGGAATTATAAAAATACAACTCCAACCCTACTCCTTATCCACCTCCTAAAATATGGAGACCTCTAGGCAGGGGCGGCCCTGGGGTGGTGCAAGTGGCGCTACCGCACAGGGCCCCCGAAAAAAATTTCTTTATATTATATATATATTAATATTATATGAATCGTATATATAGTATAGCGTCTGGATATTTGCACAACAGCGTGTTCAGGGGAGTTGGATGGAGCGCATGTATCTTTCACAAAAGGGCCCGAGTTTGATGCTCCTTGAGGTCGTTCTACTGGCTAGCCTTTTTTGATATTATTTTATAATTCATAAAGACCACTCAAAATCAAATACTCATATTCAAATCTCAATTCAAATTCAAGTACGTATCTAAATTTCAATCTATTCTATATATTACATGACTTATTTTATTAAATTATTATCATGTTGATGATTGGTTGTATGAGAATATAGTTTGTAGAAATATTTATCTATTTCTTGCTGGGGTTTTCTTCCAAGTTATAGGGTTTTGGAATTTTTCTTTGTAATCTAAACATGCCACCTACTAGAAAATACGTTTATTGAAAAACTTGATTATGAACATTTGATTGATGATTTCTCTTCTAAAAATTCAAGAACATCAATTTTCAGACATTAGTATTGTACTAGCTGTGTTTTTTTTTCTTATGGGGTAAAAGCTCTCGTAATAATTTTAATTCTTCAAATAAGACAGCAAATACAATGTGAATGATTTTTGGATAATCAGGTATGTTTTTGTTGTTGCTTTTTTGTTTAATGCAATATAATCTAATTTGTTTATGACATTTGTGTGCAACTACTCTTTAATTTGTGATTGCCATTTTTTTTTTCTATTAACACAGATTACTTATTGGAGGCAGCAAAGGACCTTATAGGGGCACAATGAGCTTATTTTTGTACCAAACATTTAACTTTATCAAATGGAAACATTTAAATTTTTATGAACTTGATTTCTGATTGTCATTGCATATTTATTGATGGTGAATTTTAGTTATAAAAAAAAATTGTTTATGACATTAAGTTATGGCAAATTTTTATAGTATTTTCGTATTAGATTATGCGAGGCCCCAATTTAAGTTTCGCACAGAGCCCTCAAAATCTCAGGGACGGCCCTGCCTCTAAGAGCTCATAAATCAGAGGAGAGAGAAAGGACTCCTAGTAGCTCCCTATAATTTAATGCTTCTATATTTAACATTATTTTAAGCATTTACTTAATGCCAACTATTTTTTATTGTTGCTTTTGTATATTTTATTCAAATTTTGAATAAAAAAAATATTAAAAACATTTATGTCTATTTAAACTAGTGAGTATGGTTGAAGTTGAAATTTTATAGAGAGCTCCTAAAATAGCTTTATAGTGTTTGTAGTTAAATTTTAACTAAAAAGAGAGAGCATGATTATGAATGCTCTTACTTGACTTGAGATTAGATTTTTACACTAGGAGGAGGAGCATCTATGACTCATCATGAACTATCCAAAACACGACAAGGGTCTTTCCAACTTGATGGCATTGGCTATATTTATTCACATATTAAATATAGGAATATAATTCATAAAATACAAAATGCATGAGTTGGTGGATGACCACCATACCTTTTAGCATTCTACACTTTCTAATTCTATGTAACCTATACCCTAAATATCTATAGTTAGTGCTTGTAACTTGTTCATATGTTGTAAATGTAGTACTTAATGAACTATCTTGTAAGCCTATTTAGAGGAGGATGGAGGCCGAAGTGGAAGTAGACAAAGGGCCACTCCCGGAGAACCAATCCATATCCATCGCTGCCCAACCACCACCCTCCCTTTAGATGGTTAATAGCAGTGACATGTAATATTAGACGTCATATTTATATACAATGAAAAAGGAAAATAAGAAATTGACAAGAAGTCACGAACATATCCCTCTATTATTGCACAAAAGAATCCTAAGAAAGAGAATAAAAATTCTTTAAAAAAAGAAAATTAATATGACCACTAGTGCCATACATTGTGATAAAAGTCATTTAGTCCCCCATTCACAATGGGATTAAGAATGACATTTTCAAAAAGTCTGTTCTAAGAAGTAGTTTATTGCTCGTATTTTTCTAAATGTGTTCATCTTAACAGTTTACGGCCATAATGGTGTGTTTGGATGAGGAAAATAAACTTGGAATTTAGACAAAAGTCAGAATTTCTAAATTGACAGAACAAATTCCTATGTTTGAATAGGCCTGGGCACGGTTCGGGTCGGATCAATTTTTGGCAGACCCGCGGGCCAAACCGAAGGTGTGCTCGGTTCTCGGGTCGGGTCTAAGGCAAAACCCAAAATTGGGCCGAACTGTAAATGGACCTCGATTCTCGGGTCGGTTCTGAGTTGTGATCGGTTTGGGCTTGAGCCCAAATTTACCATTTTCAAAAGCCCAAATCATTTTCACTTTCAGTTAAAAAAAGCCCAAATCAGATTTACTTTAAATTAAAAAGAGCCCAAATCAGATTTACTTTCAGCCAAAATCCATTTTTTGTTGTTAAATGGCCAAAACCTAATAAGTTCTTATGAACAAGCCCAAATCACTTTTTACTTTTCTTTCAAAACCTGAAATTATGCAAATTCAGCCTATAAAAATCCATCATTCCAATCTAAGTTTCTAAACAACTATTAATCACAAATTCACAAAATGCAAACCATCACAAAAATATACACAAATAATAAAGCAAGAAATCCAAATTATAATTATTACAACCCATGACAAAAAAATAACAAATATCCTTCCAAAACATCTGCATCCATCCATCCAAAAGCCTTGACAAAGCAACCTGCATTCATCTGTCCAAAAATACACTTGTATCAGTCAACAATCAATCACCAAATATATAATTTCAGTACAAATAGAAATGAATAGTTTGCTTATCTTCAAAACCCTTCAAAGTTTAACAAACGAACATGTCAAACATCATGAACTACTCCTGAATAAGAAACAGATAAACAACAAAATTATATAACCTCATATTAGAGCTTTATAAAAGTAAACATATGCACCAGAAGAAAATTATCATCTATCTTCATATCGTTGAATGTATATGTAATATACAATCCAAAACCTACAGCTCTCACATATGCAAAACCAAAAACTTAAGATCCACACATACAATCGAAAACCCAATACAAAATTGACGAAAAAAGGGCAAAACTTACAGAATAAAATTGACAAAAACCCAAAACTAAAAGTGACCCCCAGCTTCCTTTGTTTCAAGCTGAAACATCAAGAAAACTAACTAATTAGGCACCCCACAATTGATCATCACCCATAACTAAAAGTCTACTAAACTGCAAAATAAGAAAGAAACACAACACTACATAAATAACAGACCTATCATGGAAGTTAAGTTTTTGTTTTGTTCTTCCAGTTATGCATTCTTCCTTTCCAAGTCTTTTATCTGAGCAACCAAAACGCCAACGTCGCTCTGCACAAGCCACTAAAATTACATGAGAATTTAAACTTGACTTTCTCAGCAACCAAACGAAAGCTGCAAAAAAAAATTCAGAATCTTTTTCTTTTCTAAAAAAAATACAGAAACTAGCTCCTCCTACCTCAGATAGCCGACTTGCATTCTCAGATTTTCTCATTCCTACATGGTCTGTGCAAAGAACAATGTTAGCAGTAACTCACAATCATCTTAATAGAGCTTAATAGATATTCATTTTAATCCCTCCTCTTTAGAGTTTGAATCATACAAACAAAAAAAGTTTATAAAAGTAAACATAGATTTGAAGACCATGAACATCACTACGGTTTAGCTTAGTTATCCTTTGTTCTTATTTCATAAATTTGACTTTGGTGAACTATAAACCAAGGGATACAGTTAGAATACAAACTGGCTCTCAAAACTTACCTAAAATGATCTAATCACCTACAGCAGCTCTCAAAAACCCATAAAAATTCCAATATACAATCCAAAACCTACAGCTCTCAAAACCAAAAACAAAACCAAAACCCCCTACAATGAACCCCATACAATTAAAAACCCAAAAATTAAAATATTAAAAAAAAAAAACAAAAAAAAAAAAAAAAAAAAAAAAAACAGAAAAAATTGACGAAAACCCAAAACTTACATAACAAAATTGACAATTTTTTTTAATTACCGTTTTCTATGAAAAGTCTCCGGTGCTGTCGAGCCAGAGAGAGAAGAGTCAGGCCGAGACAGAGAGAGAAGGTGAGGTGGTCGAGCTCGAGTCAGATAGAGAAAGGGTGAGGTTGAGCGAGACAGAGAGAGAGTGAGGTCGGGCCAGAGAGAGAGAGAGAGAGAGAGAGAGGGTGAGAGCTTGAGAGAGAGAGCGAGCGATGGCGCGCCGTAGCCGTACTCGTCGCCGTCGACTTCGTGAGGACGAGAAATCTTGTCTTTCAGAGCTAGGGAGACGAGAGAGGTTGAGAGAGGTTGAGATATGGAGAGCGGCGAAAAAAATTAATTGAGATGGAGGCTGGCTGCGAGTTAGGTCAAAGAGATGATGCTTATATTAGGTTAGAGTAATCCAGTGCAAGCAAGCGCGCGGTACAAGTTCCTTTTGGCCAATAATATCATGCCATGTGTCAAATTTATATATAATTAAATAATGGGCGGTTCGGTTCAGGTCCACTGGTTCAAAAAAAATTGGAACCGGAGGCTGAACCGTTGACTTCGGTTCGGGTCAGGTTCAACATTGACTTTTTCGGTTTGGTCAAAAAAACCTTATTTTTCGATTCGGTTTAGTTTGGTTCGGTCGGTTCATTCGGTTCATCGGTTTTTATGCCCACCCCTATGTTTGGATATAAAAAAACCTAGAAATAGGAAATTCCGCATGGGGAAAACATGGAATTTGGAGATCATAAATCCCAACTTTAAATTCTATCTAAAAGTCGTCATTTCTAAAATCCCAAGAGAGATTGAGTTTTTTAAAAAGATAAAGTTAAATTCAGTGTTTTAAATCGGTCACCCAAACAAAAAATTAAAGAACATTAATTTTCGTCATTTTAAATTCCATCATTTATGAAATTCTTTGTACTTTTAAAAAAGAAACTATTGAGACGTACATACGGATGACACACGAAAACTTTTTAGATGGTCATCTAGAAAAATATAATTGCCAAAAAAGTTTTGAAAATTGTAAGTCATGCCTGAAGGAAGAGAGACTAGTCAAATGAAATAATAATAAAAACAATAGTAAATTTGGCTTACACCCTTCAAATTCAATTTACAGTACCTACAACCCTTCACTTTTTGTTCCTATAAATAATACCCAATTTGTATAAGTAAAAACCCATGACTAGGATCCAACTCAGCAAGTTACCTAATTAAGCATAAAATCTGATTTATTGTACTTTTCATATTCCAAAAATACCCCCAACTAAGCCATTATTGCATTTTGTATATTAATGTAGGAATCAATATGGAAACAGTTTTTAATTGGATTGTATATAATGACAGATGTTGAATTTGGAAAGATCTCCAAATGGTTGTAATGGATGTAGGAATTAATTTTGAAACATTTTTAAAAAAAATTTAACAATAAATTCATATTTAGGTAATCAGTTTGTTTAATAAAATGTTTATGTTATTTTCTTTTTATGAATTATACATGACTAATAATCCACTTTATAATTGTTTATGAATAAAATTGTACATACTAATTATGTTGAAAAAATAATGTACCTATTACTTGTTTGTTTTATGAAAAATATAATTTATCTAGTATGAAAAGTGTACATAATTATCTATTCCAATATACCTACATTATATGACATCCAATATACCTACATTAATTTTAATGTACTTACAATTAGGATTTAGGTATTATATGTCATCCAATATACCAACCATTTGAATAATATACCTACTACGAATAAAGTACCTATTATTTATCTAAATAATGTACCTATTTTTTTCTATAAATAATATAGCCTTTTTTCTCTGAATAAAGTACCTATTATTTGTTTTATTAAAAGTAATTTTTTTAAATGAACCTATTTTCTCTCTCCAAATAACTTACCTATTTTTTTCCTCTAATAATGTACCTATTTTTCCTCTCTAAATAATGTACCTATACACATTTATAGGTAGTTTGTAAAATAATTTACCTATGGGTAAATAATGTACCAATATTTTATATAAATTATTGTGTACCTATTTTTAATTATGAAAAATATACGCAATTACAAAGTAACTTTGTTTTTTTTTTTTTTTTTTTTGGGTAAATAATATACCTATATTTTATATGTATATATATATATATATTATATTTTTCATAGGTACATTATTGGATATGTAATTTACAGAATTTTTTTTTGTTTGCAATTTTAGGGGGCGAGATGTGAGAGGGAATGACAACTAAAAGAAATGGGGTGATTGATATGCTATTAATATGGAGTATATTAATTACAATTATGGCACTTAATGAAATGCTTGAAATAAATTATAAATAAAATATTAAGTTTAGTGGCAACGATGTAAAAACATAAAAATACTACGACCTCTTATATCCTACTGGTCATTTAAATTTGAAATTGGGTTTTACACATAGATTTATAGAGTGATGGGTATATGTCTAGGAAATAGAAAATGTAGGGATCTATATTGGACAAGCTCAAAAAACAATTCCAAAATATATGATAAAGAGAAGCAAACCACTTTTATAAAAAAATAAAAATAAAAATTCCGATGGTGAAAGACAAATTAGAACACAAAATAATTGTTAAAGACCATGGTCCTGATCCTGAATGAGAAGACCAGGAAGGAGGGACGGTTACTGAGACTGAGAGAAGGAATGACGGTACATGGAAAACCACATTAAATTCCTTTATTTGGGACTCAAAATCATCAAAGAAAAAAAAAATTGAAACGCTACTTGAGGAAACGAAATCTGAAAATCAAATCTAGAAAGAAATTAATGCACTGCTTATTAAAGACGCCACTGATTAGTTTTTAATTATAATTTATTATTCAATCAAGGCTGAAATGGAGAAAAATAATATTGATTGATATGGTCGGTTGAGAAAGACTTGTGGTGCACGTCCATCATGATGATGGTGATGATGATGATGGTGATGATGATGATGATGGTGATGATGATGATGGTGATGATGATGGTGATGATGGTGACGGTGATGGTGATGGTGATGGTGATGATGGTGGTGATGGTGATGATGGTGATGATGGTGATGTGGTGATGGTGGTGATGGTGATGATGGTGATGATGGTGATGATGATGATGGTGGTGGTGGTGGTGATGATGGTGATGATGGTTATGGTGGTGATGATGATGATGGTGATGGTGGTGATGGTGACGATGGTGACGATGGTGACGATGATGATGGTGATGATGATGATGATGATGATGACGATGATGATGGTGGTGGTGGTGGTGATGGTGGTGATGGTGGTGATGGTGGTGATGGTGGTGATGGTGGTGATGATGATGATGATGGTGATGATGGTAATGATAGTGATGATGGTGGTGATGGTGATGATGATGATGGTGGTGATGGTGATGATGATGGTGATGATGGTGGTGGTGATGATGATAGTGAAAGACAAATTAGAACACAAAATAATTGTTAAAGACAATGGTCCTGATCCTGAACGAGAAGACCAGGAAGGAGCGATGGTTACTGAGACTGAGAGAAGGCACGACGGTTGGTACTATCTTTTTCATCTACATGGAAAAACCACATTAAAACTTCCTTTATTTGGGACTCAAAATCACCAAAGAAAAAAAACTGAAACGCTACTTGAGGAAACGAAATCCGAAAATCAAAACTAGAAAGAAATTAATACGCTGCTTATTTAAGATGTCACCGATTAGTTTTTAATGATAATTTATTATTCAATCAAGGCTAAAATGGAGAAAAATAATATTGATTAATTAATTACTACAAATTATCATTCTGGAAAAAACAAAAAAAGACTTGTGGTGCACGCCCATGCCTATATAACAAGTAAGAATTCATCTCTCTTCTTTCATTCTCTCACAATTGAATTCACCCTAAACCCAAACCAAACCACCCGTCGTTTTTTCTCTCATAAGTTGCAACCGTAAAACTAAACCACAAGCTCTACAGAACACAGCCATGGACCTTGTCTCATCTTTGGAGTGCCTGAAATTGGATTCCCAGTCAGAGGTGCTCCATAAGGACAGTGGCGGAAAGGACCTTTTATCGCCAAATACGGTCCCCCTCAACTGCAATACGCCAATTATTAGTATGCCTTTCCTTTTTCTTTTAATTCAAGGGTGACATAGACTATATGCAATATGCAATATGGTCATGATGGTGGTGATAATGATGATGGTCATGATGATGATGATGATGATGGTGATGATGGTGATGATGATGATGATGATGATGATGACGATGGTGGCAACAAATGATCATTCTGGCAACAAAAAAAAATTATCATTTTGGCAACAAAAAGAAAAAAACTTGTGGTGCACACCCATGCCTATATAACTAGTAAGAATTCATCTCCCTTCTTTCATTCTGTCACAATTGAATTCAACCTAGACCCAAACCAAACCACCAAACAACTCTTCGTTTTTTTCTCTCATAAGTCACAAACGTAAAGCCAAACCCCAAGCTCTACTGAACACAGCCAGCCATGGACCACGTCTCATCTTTGGAGTGCCTGAAAGTAGATTCCCAGTCGGAGGTGCTCGATAAGGACGCCGGCGTAAAGGACCTTTTATCGCCAGATACAGTCCCTCTGAACTTCGATACGCCAGTAATATGTATGCTTTTTCTTTTTCTTTTAATTCAAGGGTAACCAAGACTATCTGGCATATAATTATTTGGGCTTTCAATTTTATGCCTCAGCTTTTGTGTATG